CGAAAATATTCTATGAGAAAATATATTATCAGAATAATATCCGGTACAAAAATATTTTGTTAGAACCGTATTTCGGTAGAAAATACCTATAAAGGTGATCTTCTTCTTCTTCTTTTTGGCTTCGGCCTTTAAGACCATACCGCTAAATACAAATCTTGCCACCTGTCCCTGTCCTCTGCAGCTTCTCGCCATCCGATTCCTGGATCTAACGTTTTTAAGTCTTTTTTTCACACGGTCTTCCCACCTCAGTCTGGGTGTTCCTTAAGGTCTTTTACCTATTGGTTCTTCCACCTACAAAGATGATAGCATGGTGAGATAACACTGTTATCTCATATCATCTGTTAACAGTTGAACATTGGTTTCTCTGCTACGACGTACGGTTACATAATCCGTGTGCTCCTAAATTTAAGATTGGTCAGACGCTAGATTTAACTGTTCCTAAACTTAGCTGCTGACCAATACGTTGGAAGGGATGTGATCAATCGGATTGCTTCACAGCAATCCGATAGTCTGTGGACGGAATAGTGTTTTACCAGCAGATAAACGTGATAAATATTTTACACGCCAAAATTAAAACTAATTTACTAACCTATAGTTCACAAGAAAAAATATGTATATATATATATATATATATCGCATTAAAATTTGTTGTTTAATGTGTAACGGTGTTTCCCAAATGTTTCCAAATTCCAATTCCGACGCTCGACATTTATAATACAACGGGAATACTGTTTTTGTGCACTGGAAATACTTTTATAAAACATTTAGATGCTGACTCGATTTGTATGTATCATTTAATCATTTTTTCATTCTTCTAATAAATATTATAACACTCCGTGGACATTATAACAACCAATTAGTTTCGTAAGTTTAAATTATGTAAGGTATAGTGTATACATATTTTACAAAGTTGAATGTACTATTTATTTTAGATTTTGTTCCTATTGGCTAGGTATTGGCCAGAGAAATACTAAAACAGGGTTGTTATTTTTGTTTTATTAGAAAAAGTTTTAAAATGTTATATTTATATACTTTAATAAGTACTTATGGTATAATACTGTTGAAATATCATTCAAATAAAATATGTTAACATTTTTAATATTATTTATTTTTATTATCTATTGATATAGAAGTATACGGAAAACTGATATAATTTTTAAAAAATATTAGATAGTTGAAAGAAGTAAAAGTATTAAGTAAAGATTGTCCCATAGTTTAGTTCATGATACTTTCATTAAAAAATGTCTAGCGGCGTCGTTGTGATACAGTGAAACCTCTTAATACCCGACATTATCGGTCGCCAAAATTTCGTCAGTTACATGGAAATTCCACTGTATTTGAAATAGATATTTTTTTAGTCCCGTATTTTGAATTTTGAAATTTGGTAACCCTATACATACATCATATTTTATTGTAACTTTTAGTCAAATGCTTTTATACTTTATACTTTAAATCTCGAAACTCGATGAAAATAATGAAAAATGATAACAGTAAAATATTGGTCTTTTAAGGCGTATTGGTAACCTCAAATAATGGTATTAACCAATATGTTTCAACTGGATAACAAAAAGAGTATTCCTGAACTCTATCAATCTGCTTAGCAATCCGCTGAATTTGCAGATTGATTCACGAACACACGGAATATATACTTAAATGTATCAGGTCCATAGCCCTCATTACTCGATGCTCAATGTTAATTAATTACATAAATTAGTCAATAATATCAATCTATCTTCTAGGCTGTGCAACACACACAAAGCTGTTCAGCTAGTGGCACGCATATTTAATGTAATAAATCATATATCATTCAATAACTAATAAGTTGTAGAGAGTACACTAGTGCCCTGTAATAAGATACAGTAAATAAGTATTTCAGTAACCACTTATTTTTACGATATCCACCTACAATACAGATATTATATATCTATAGCCATGCTAGGGCTTGTCTTTTCAACAGCGCGCTCTATTTGTATTTAATATAAAACTTTTCCAGTAAAATATTCATACAAATTATTTTTCGATTTAAATACTTTTCTAGACAAATATTTTTTTGCTCGAATAATTTTCGTAAATATATTTTTTGCGAATTATTTTCGAACAAATTATAGGTCACCAACATATTTCGTGAAAAGTTAATTTTTTGTTTTTAAATTTTGCCTAAAATTATTTTATCTAAATATTTATAAAACAATTTTAATTTAATATATATATATATTATATTATTGCCAAATACATTGCTTCTTTAAATTATATAAATACATATTTATAAGAATTTGTAAATTAATATCTGTAATATGAATACGTTGTACAACACACCAATACTCATTTTTTATATTGTAAATAATCAGTATTTTAAATTTAATTATAATAAGTATTTACCCATAAAAACAGCTTTTTTTTTTTATTGTGTAATTCTGATTGCTCCTTCACACAATAATTTTTCTTTAAACTTTTTGTATGTACCATCCAAAATAAAAGAGTGAATTATTTAAAACATTTTTCAATTCAGTGCCTTAAAACGCACTAAGAAAAAAAAAAATGTACACAATTGCTAAACTGTATTTGTTCCAATTTGTTTTGTATAATTTCCAGATATATAATTAACACTAAAATAAAATATTCTATAGTAAATAGACACTCTACCAATTTTGAAATAATATTTGACTAAAAAAAAAATAAATTATTTTTATATTTTGATGAATAGTTTTCAAACATTTCAGAAATCCAGATTTAATGTTTTAATATTTATTAAGTTTAAAAGTTGAATAAGTATACAAAACTAGAAGCTCATTAAAAATTAGTCTTCTTATTATTCTTTTATTATTATCTATTTAATCTTGTATTAAATTAAAACATAATGTCAATTTTTTGTTACATTTTGATTAAATAATATATTCATTAAATAAAAAATGTGTATAATACTATAGCTTAATAAAAATATTTATGAGAAAACATTTTTTTTAAAGAACAAAATTATGGTCAAATTTATTTATAATTAAAAAAAAACAGACATACTTCGCACTTAGGTGTAGCCACTATTGTAGGTGGGAAGTTGGGAAAATAGGATACAGACTGGAATTTAATGTATATCTGTAAACAGCGATAAACCATTCCTAACAAAAAACGATTCTGAGCGAAGTTCAGTTAATAGTATTGCTTTGTCAACAATACAATATATAGTTATTATGGTAAAATAATTACCTTGTGAGTTTCCATAACAATAATTTTTTTAAAAAGGATTAAAATAATAAAAATAAAAACATAAAGTAAATAAAAATGGTTACCAATGACAACCTTATTTTTAATCTTTCAATCTTTTTTAAACTAAAGACCAAGGTTTTCCTCATTATCTAGAATACTAATTAGAATTTTAAAAAATGACCTCTAAAGTACCACCTAGAGAAAATTTCCTTTCAGAAAAGGTGCAATACACGATAATCAGAGTAAGCTTTCTAGTAGAAAGTATTTACATAAAAAAAATCATAAACATAATTGTAAAACCAATACGCTCCACACAGAATCTAAAAAATGTATCTTATCTTATTTAAGGTTTACAATGAAATGATAAATATATTTTTTAATTATAATACCTATTACTTTATTGTTTACAAAATTAACGAAAAACTAAATGAAACAAAAATTGATTTAATAATTAACAATATTGATTGATTTATAAATATTCATGATGTCATGTATTTAATCAGAGAATAAATCCGGTTTTCAAAAAAACCTGTAAAAACTGCAATCTTTCAAAAGTATTGTGTAAATATTAAAGAAAAAAAAACTAGTTTAAGTTTGAGATTTTAAATACTGTAGTTTAATTTTCAAACATGATTATAAATCAGCTTTTTAAAGAACCGGTTAGAACTTGATCAAAAGAAAACATCAGTTATTTTACTAAATAATCAACATTATACTTTAAATAATAATACTAATGTTTAATAGCAAAAAAACTCTAATACATAGAATACAGAAAATACCATACAGTATATATAATAAATACAATAATATAATATAAAATATCATTTTTATTATTTGCAAACTTCCTGTAAGCTAAATTCTTGTAATGAAGGATTATTAAAAGAGTTCAGGCATTTGTTCTCAAAATTTATGTATATTTTTAAACTTATATGATGGACCCATTTAAATTCTTTATCTATCCGTCTAAATTCATTATCATACCAAGGTACTTAATTGTATTGTTAGATTGCAAAGCAATAGAAGTTTATCAGATGAATTTTGAATGCTTGATGTACTAACCAGTAATCTATGCATAGGATCTATTATTTCAAGGTTTATGTTAAAATAAATATATTTTGATTTGTTTAAATTTATTTCTAATAAATTATTATCAAACCAACCAAACTTTAACTGTGTTTATAATATTTGAGTTAAAAAATGAGCTGATACAGGGGATGGGAGGGGCCACTGTTGTATGTAGGTGAGAATTTGGGAAGGTAGGAAACATATAAGGTTATTTCATTTATATCTGTCAGCAACGATAAAGCATTGCTTGATGATCTAAAAATATTTATTTAAGACTATTAATAATTTTAATTGTTACAAATTTCTACACAATGAAGAATATGTTCTTTAATCTTAATTTTAAAAATAAAGTTTTATATTTCATTTGTATACTACATGAATACTACATATAACTAAAATTGTATTTAAAGGTTATCAAACTCTACTTATAAATACACTCGAGTGTATATGCATATAGTGCAACTATATGCATTTTATTTGTTAAGTATAAACTAATAGTTTGTATATTTTACCTCTTAAACCTCTAAAATTAAATTTGTTTAGAAGTGCTATGTGATTTATAGAGTCAAAAGCTTTATTGACATCTAAAAATATTTATTTAAGACTATTAATAATTTTAATTGTTACAAATTTCTACACAATGAAGAATATGTTCTTTAATCTTAATTTTAAAAATAATAGTTTTATATTTCATTTGTATACTACATGAATACTACATATAATTAAAATTGTATTTAAAGGTTATCAAACTCTACTGATAAATACACTCGAGTGGTTGCTGAATAGGGTATCTTAATTACTTTAGTATTAGCATTTATCATTACTAAATCTAACCAGTCTCGCAAAGCTGGTACTGAAAGCATGTTAATATTATTTGACTTTTCTTTATCAATTTCTGTAGTTTTTAAGCCTTCAGGTTGCGGTTTTGGAATTTTTGACCTTAAAATTGGGATATTGTTATAAGGTTTTGTTTCTGGCATATCTATATTGTAGCCAAGATTAAGCCGATTTTGTCGATTTTGCGAATACTGTTTAATAAACAGATCAGTTACTCGAAGTAACTCTTTTGTTAATCCCCAAACTACATGTGTTAATGTTTTGGAGAGTTTTTCCAGACATTCAAGTAGATGACAATTGGTGGCTGCAGACTAAAAGAATAAATCATTTTAGTAGGATTCAATAAGTGTATTAAAATTACAAAAGTATAATACTTACTTGTGACGCGTAGATAGGAATTATCAGTAAAGCTGTTATACCATGGCATTTTTCTAGTTGTAGTTCTACATTGAATTCAATGTTAATTAGTTCCAATTTCTTTAAATGTTTTAAAGATCGAATGACTTCAAAACTTTCTTTTGAAAATTTCTCCCATCTACCATAACAATTCTCTAATCTTAAAGATCTTAAATTGATTAATTGTTTTAAAAACTTAGGGAAATCATCAGGTAAGAATTCACAATCTCCTATTTCTAAAATTTCCAGGGTAGTTGAAATTGTTCCCAAACTCTTGAAGATATTTTCAGGGAATGATTTGATGGATGTTAATGACTATAAAAAACAATTTAAAAAATACAGTTAAATTAAAAACATAAAAAGAGGTAAAACTATCATAAATATTATAACAATGCATTGAAATAAATAAATGATATACAAGTATAATTAGTTAAATAGTAACATTGTACAATTAAATATTTTTAAAGGACAATTAATTGAATTGAAAACAATTAGTGGTTCATGGAAATAAAAACATTATAAACTTCTTCATCTACAACTAGTTATAATTTGAGTTATTCTTTTAAGTACAACTATGATATTTAAAGACAGGATTTAATTAATATTGCAACTTTTTTTGTAATAAAGATAAATTTGGTTTGATTTGATTAAAAATATATAGCCAATATGTACTAAAAATATTCTACCTATTTAATTTTATAATTCAATTTTCCCACGTTTTTAAATCATAGGCATTTATCATTTGTTTGAAATTTTCTAGAAACTTAGAGAGCCCAGCGAGTGATAAGCGTCTATATATATATGGTGGTAATTAAATTCAACACAGATTGCATTAAATGCATTTGTTGCTGTAAATATTCCTTTGCATAAGCTAAACAATCATGTGTTAAAATCAATTTGGAAAAACATATTGGCAAATCAATTCTGGACCAAAGCACTTTAAGAAAAAATTACATCCCAAACATTTCTAAAAGCGTTATAGATCAAATAATTAGTGATATTGGAAATAATTACGTTTACTTAATTGTTGACAAAACAACCGATCCAAGAGGTTTGTATGAATATTTTTTTAATTTCTCATATAATAAAATATACTATTTTCGTTTAGATTTGGATATTGCAAATTTATTAATTAGTAAATTATATGGCACGCCTAGTAAATCATATTTAGTTGCAATAGAACTAAAATCCACCAATTATGAAACTATTCGTAAGTTTATTAATTCCTCGTTAAAAGAAAAATTAACGAATATATTTATACAAATATTGCACAAAAAGTATTACTTTTTATTAGTGATGCTTGTACTTATATGACCAAAGTAGCAAAAAAATTAAAAATATTTTTCCTGAATTTAATTAATATTACATGTATGGTACAAGCAGTTAATGAGTTCTAGAGAAAATTCTAGAATTGTATCCCGATATTAATAAATTGATTAACAATGGTAATATATCAAGAACATATTTAAAATTTAAATACATATGCAACTTTTTTTCGATAATTTCAGGGAAAAAAAGCTTTCCTAAAAGCTCCATCAAGAATAAATAAATACAGAAAAGAAATTCCAGGTATACCTTTACCACCCAAATCTATTATTACAAGATGAGGAACATGGTTAAATGCTGCACTTTTCTATACAAATAATTTTGAAGAGTTTAAAACCGTAATTGAAAGTTTAACAGATGATGCTATAAGTGTTGAAAAGCTGAAACAGCTTGTAAAAAATAATACAGTTAAATGTGGTTTAGCATTCATAAAATTACACTTATCAAAGTTATCCACGAATCTTAAAAATTTGGAATAATCTAATAATAAAATACTGAAAAGCATAGATATTTTTAAAAAAATTAAAAATAATTTAACAAATATTCCTGGTCCAAATAGGAACAAAATTAAAGAAAAATGTATGTATGTAATTAAAAAAAATCAAGTCTAACTTCTGTTTTACTATCAAGTCATGTCAGACAAAGAAAATGTTAATTTAAATATAACGCCTACTTTATTAAATTATTTTAAATAAACACCAATAACTAATGTAGACGTAGAACATAGTTTTTCTTTGTACAAACACATTTTAAATAATAAAAAATTTAATTTTAATGAAAATAATTTAGAAATGTGTCTAATTATCAATTTTAATTTAAAAAACTAACATTTATCTAAATTTTTTTACATAATTTTTGCATTTTTATAGTACAATTTATTATGCAATTTTTATGTATTTTTGGTGCAATTAAATCCGGTCTTTAATGATAACTTACCAAAGTTTTGAGTTTGGTCAAACATGAAAATGTTAGTTCTGGTGATAATAAAAGTTTAATTCCAATTTCAGTTGGACCTTTTATAAGTAATTCCTTCGGATTTACCAAGTTGCTCACACAGTCTATGTTAATAGACACTAGTTGATTCAAACTGTATTCATTCTTTGGTACAACATGTGGATTTCTGAGAAATAATAGAATTAAATCATTAACTATAATTTTGTAAAGTATAAACAGATCATAAAACAAACAATAAAAGTCTTAGAACTGAATGAAATAATAAGTAAATAAAGATAGGGGTTGAAAGGAAATTAAGGATGTAGATTTTCTGCTCAAATCTGAAAACACACACAACCAATTGAACTCAAGTTAAAAATATATTTTTTTAGTAATATTGACCAGACACAGAGCAACATTGGTCATTAGTATTATTTTTATGAATGAGATTAAGTAACAATTTTTTTTATTACTTTAATTCATAATGAAATAATAAAGTAAAAACAAAATTATTAAAATGGTTAATACTCGTAATAAAAAATGTATATATATAAAAAAAAAATGATCAGGTATACCAAAGTCAAAATGTTAAACACAACATTTATTAATTAATTTTTTTTTTCTTTTATGTATACAGTTTTATTCATATATTTAGTATTAACCATTTTAATAATTTTTGTTTTTGGTTTTTTATTTTATTATGAACTAAAGTATTAAAAAAAAAATGTTACTTTTATTTACAAAAATAAAACTAATGACTAATGCTACTTTGTGCCTGGTCAATATTACATTCCTCCAAAATAAAAGAAAAATGAAATATTTACTCATCTGTAGAATTGTCCATATTATCTATTGGTGGAGAAGCCTGTTGAGAAGCATACATTTTTCAGTCATATATTTTGGTGTGGATGCAGTTGTATTTAAAGGCTCTAAATATTATCTAAAACAAAATAAAATAATTTTTTTCAATTTCTAACAAAAATTTGTACATTTTTGTAGTTGTGCAAATAATTAATACAATGCATAAGTACTTTATGCAAATAAAATTGCACAAAGCAGTTCAAGAGATCCAAAGTGAATTCAAAAAATATTTAAATTTGAATTCATTTTTTTTGTTTATTAAAAAAATTAAGAAAATAACTTAATTTTATTATTTTCGGAAAATTTTAAGATTCTGTAAAAATTATTTTTCTGAAAAATTAAATGTATCATACATTTATACAAGAATAGTTTCTAAGTAACAGCCATTTTAAATTCTACTAATCTGTGTGAAAACCGATGTTATCTAAGGAAGAACCTAACCATATTACACAATTTAATGAAATTTATTTTACGTTATTTTTTATAATTTTTACTAACTTAATTAGGTTATTTAACCTACCTAATTTAAATTTTGATATGTCATGATTCTTGAAACTATAAATGACATTAATAAAAGGAATGAAGGAATAAAAGTAAAAATTTTCAAGTTTCAAAAACAACCAGGTGAAACATTGAGTATAATTGTAGATTATTTGTAAGTTAATAATTTTTGTACAAAATTGAATATATCTGTTGAAAGGACTCTCAGAAGAATTGGAGCTCACATAATCCATAATGCGATTAAAACAGCTGCAGATTGTTTACCTGTTGATTTTGAATGCATAATTGTTAAAATGTATTAATTTTTTTATTATATTGATAGGAATTTGTGTTGAAGCTCTTAAAGATTCTGTCATGCAGCTAATATAAAATAAAAAAAACTTCTGGGTTACAGTAAAACTAAATAGCTTGCATTGAAAAGTTTTGAAAATGTTTTAGCCACTAAAAAACTATTTTATGAGCAAATAAAATTTCTGATTAATAAATGTTATATTATATATTGAAAGATTTTTTTGAAAATTCCAGCTCTAAATTATGGTTATATTTTATTCACACACAATCAGCTACTCTCCATCAAGCCGTGTTGAAGATCTAGGGTCAAAAGAACAGGCCACACTATGCGAAATGTAATGATGAAATTGCAAAGAACTGGTGTTGTCAATGAAGAAAACGTAAATATTGCAGCGGTTGAATTTTATAAGACAAGTAAAGAATATTTGGAGCAATGACAATGGTCTAAAAAGAAAGTAGAAATATTTGAATGGGAAAATCTGAGAAAGGTCCCCATATGGGAGAAAGTTCAATAAGTGATGGACTTGCTAATTGAACAGAAATTTATTAATAGTGAACAAGACATAGGAGTATTTGATGAGTTTTCACTAATTTCTAATTTTATAACAGCTCAAAAAATAACATACTGGAACACTGGGAATATAGCCATTGAAAATGGTTGGGTGTTAGTATTTACACACTCCCATGCTAAAGATCTCTCACACATGAATTTTCGTATAATTGTAGAGTACATTTTATGTCTGCCAGGCATTAACGCTTTAGTCATGAGTGTTTTCTCATATTAATAAAATATGAAGCAGTGAAGAAACTATGTTGGGAGTTCTTACATTAAAAGCCATTCTGTTAACCAAGAGTAACACAAAAAATTTGAGTCAACAGTTCCATCGATATATAAAAAACAAACTGGATATTTTAAAGCAACCATGCGGATTTGAAAAATATAAAAAAAAAAAAAACAGTTGAATAATTTAATTTATTATAACATTTATTTATTTTTCTGTAGTCATTTTTATATAAAAAAATAATGTTTTTTTTTTTCTAATAAAAATGTACTGTGTTTTACTATATTTCTAGTGTTGTTATTTTACGCAAAAATTATTATGGTTTCTGTATGGTAAATGTACAGGTGTCCTACTTTAAGTAAAAAAAAATATGGTCACACAATAAATTACAGAGGCTATGTAGTAAGTAAAAATCAAGTAGGAATGAGTAGTGGACACTGTGTCACTAAGTATTTTAGTAATATAAAAATCAAAAATTTATTTTAACTAATTCTCCATCTATTTATGAATTTTTAATATAGGTCCATATTTAAAAACCAAAGTTAATATTGTCACAGGATACTCCTTAAACGTTATGAAAACTCTAAATATTCTAAAATATCTGCTGTTTTACTATTTTTTTTTAACTACACTTAAAAATTACAAATCCAGAATTTGATGTATGCAAAATTTAACAAAAAAAAAAAAAAAATGGGGTAAAATACTTAGTGAAACATCCAGTATATTTTATTATTTGTTTTAATTTGTCAATAAATTACCTAAATCACAACTATACACGATGAACGAAAATTATATACTGATACATTTACTAACATATGACGTATTTACTAACGTAAATCAATTTAAATTAATTAGTCATACCTCATAAAACGTTTGTATTCTTGAAACTTCTGCTATATTTTAATATACCAAAAATAACATTTATTCTAGGTAAGCATGCCACACCTTCCTCCAAAATTGTTTGCCAATAATTTTCAAGATTCAAATAGCCAATGGTTTAATTTGCTGAACTGGGGTTATGAACTACTTTAGCCTCACTAATTTAACTATAATATATTATTTACCGCTAAAATAATACAGGTAATTGAAATATTGAAATTCACTAAACTATAACAACCTCATGAGTATTTATCATTAAACAAAAGGCTAAATAATTGCACCTTTTATTTAATAGTTAAAAAATTTAGCCAACAGATAGCATCGTAAATTGAAGATATGCATATTGACCATAGAGTAACTATTACTATAACTATAAACGACAGTAACATTACTCTATGGTAACAACCCCTCCCCCTATGATGTCTTTTAATGAACTGCTGACCTGGAGCCAAAGCGGCTGTAGTGTGGGGAAAAAAATTTAAATGCACTGAAACTGAACAAGGTCCATAATAATACTCAAATATAACTCTGCCGAGTTCCAAGTTCTCAAAGTCAACATTTATGTGAATTTTACTTCCAGTTACCTGTCTCAAAAAAATCGCCTACTTAAAATTATAAAATTTTGTATACGTGTTGAGTTCTACCATATTTAAATAATCTGTTAGCTTTTTGTTCAAAATTACACATGTTATAACCCACTTTAGTTTAATAATAATCCAGATAATAATTAAGAAACAAACAATTTTTTATTATATAAGGTAGGTACTTGTATATTCTTAACATAAAGATACAGTTGAATGTTCTTCCTAGATTAGCATTGATTCAGGACAACTGGTTACAATAATAAAGTGATACCTACCTACAGTTCAACAAAATTTTTTCGTTCTATATTTTCTGTATTTTCGTTTTTTCTAATAGAAAAACCCATCATTTTTAAATTATTTTTATTTAGTTAATTTGAGGTATTATTAAACACAAATTATTTTAATTTTTTAATTATTGGGATGTACAGGATTTACTGTAATTTACCTTTCTTTTAGTTTCATTAAATCCCCGACCATAACCGAATGACAGCTTTTACATTTGTTCCATTATATAGGTAACTATAACACTACAGCAAACTAATTAAATTAGGAATGTTGTGTGTGTGTGTGTGTGTAAAAAGTACGAACTATTTTCACAAAGGTACAAATAGTTTTTTTTTTATAATACCAATATCCAACTTCTAACAATCTTAATACAAATATTTAGTATCAAGTACAAGTAAGTATGCATTTCATTATACATACCTACTTATAACCTTATTAATTAATTAATTAATTAATATTATGATGTTTGTGTCAACAAAAATTTTGTTAAACATTAAAATTATTTTCAAATATTCAGAATAAGCAAAACTAGATTTGTTTTAATTATTTTCACAACGCAACCAAGATTAGAGCTTTATAAGAATAAGTATCTAAATACATAAAAATATAATATGTAGCATAACATAATTTAAATATCATTAAAAGGCCAAACGAGTATTATAATAATTATTTAATGTAAGATGATTGTTCCACTAACCACTGATCAACGAACCCATTATATTGACACTTCATTGGTTTTGATGTTAGTGTTTCAATAACATTAAACTTATATTTTTGAAATTCCATGTACCTACCTCTTAATGACAATATTGTACTAAAATAAAAACAAAAACAAATTATAAACATCTATTTGTAAGTATTATAAGCAGTCAAATTCTCCATTATCAATTACGTTTGTATCCAGCTCGCACAATACTAACTGGGCTATAATTGTTTTTACAAAATGAACAAAAATTATCATTATGAAGTTATTTGTTTAGATAAAATATTATTGTTACTGGCAATTTTTTATTGTATCTAAGTTTAAAAGGTCAGTTCATCATGTGGTATGTATGCAATTAAAGAGCATAGGTACTTGTTCAACATGCCATACTACAAAAGAAACTCAGAAAATTTGAATGATAAATAATAATTTTTACTGATCTTTTTTGATAATTTATAAACAGGTTTTTTTTTTTATAAAAGAGTGATTTTTTTTTGTGTTTCAAGAAAACAACATTAATTTTTGTATAATTCATCTAAGTATAAGTTAATTAAATAATTCACAGGGGCAAAAAACGACAATGAATGCTAGTGAATGCTAACCCGATACCAATCGTTATAAAACATGGAGATATTGACGACGGGTTAATAATATCATAACAATGTAAAATACTTACCAAATAAATAATAAATTCTGCATATACACTCAGGGAACGGGTATGATTAAAATAGCGGCACAAAGATTACAAAAACACCGAGAAAAACTCAACGAAAGCAAAGTAGAATAAAAAAGCGTCCGCCCAATTAATCGTACTAATACCATTGATTAAATTTTAAATATATAATATATTTAATAATTATATGGTATATTTAATCAATGCTAATACCATGTACTAAAAATTATTATGACAAAATAAACAGTGCAAACAACGTAACTACGAATCAGGTACCCACGCCATAGCTGTTGAGTAACCATAATGGTCATTATTCATCATAAATATTCCCACCTTTTTTATGTTTGAAATCCTATCCTAACCGTTTAGCAGTAGAATCTTTGGAGAAACCGCATCTAAGTAAGAGATTTTTATTCACGAGTTTTTCATGTTCGTTCTTTCGCTATAATATTAATTTCCATAGAATTTTTAAAACTATTATAAACCATTTTCGAGATTTTTTACCCTCCCGTTTTTCCACTTGTCGTTTCTTCCCGATCTGGAATTCAATAATTTTGCCGTTATCTTATACTCGTGTACAGACATCGCATTTATCGCCGTATTACGGGTCGTTACATCATGATGTCGCCGAACGTACCTACCTCGGGTAGGATAAAAAGTATTGCTAGGTAAATTGCTGGTAGAAAAGTAGTTCACAGGAAAAAATAAAAAACAAATAAAACAGTAAACAAAAAGGAACACTCCGTTACATTTTAGTTTTGACCTAAGTACTATAATTATGTTTTATAATATACTCATTAAGATTGACTTTATACATACAGACTAAATTACAGCGTACAAATAGATTATAAAAATTAAAGACATTAAGTTCTTTATAAATTGAATTTTAGAATAGAGACATAGCTTGCATAAAATAATTTTAATTAAGTATTTAAGTAGGTAGTTAAAGATTATACCTTAATATGACTATTATAAGCACTACCTCCCACTATCAAACCATAAGTAAAAATTGATTGTGCTAAAGCTAAATATATTAATTATTATAATGCAATTTTATCTAAGATATGACGAAGAATTTCACTAATAAAATATTAAATTATTTGCATAAAAAATATGTTCATTAAATTTAAGTTTATATTCAAAAATAACACGACAATATTTAATTTAATTTTCCACTTTATTTAAAGGTATATACATGTATTTTAAATATTTCTAGTTATATGTAAGAGCGCAAAGAGTTATATATCTGAACAATTATATTTTTATTTATATCAAATACAATATACTTGGATTTATTTAAATTAAGTTGTAAATTATTTTTATCGCACCAACATTTAACTTTATTTAAGCAATTATTAGCTGAACTCATCAAATCTTCATAATTTGTATGTCTTAATAAAATTCTTCTGCATAACAATACATTTCTGCATCCAAATTTTTATTTAAAAAAAAACCATTTATATATATTATAAATAGTATAGGGTAGTGCCCTAATAAACTGGAAAAGTATTCAAGTAATTTAATTTAGTTTTTGTACATATGCAATTTTTGGTTAATTCTAATTAAAACAAGCAAACTATTAGACATGCATGGTTTTATTTTGTTTTTTTAAATGAATTATTTAAAATAGGTAATACAGTAATAATGAATTCAATTAATTTATTTAAATAAATATATAAATAACAAATTTATACATAAAAATAAAATAAATAAATGAATCAATGTGCGGTCTGGAGTATTATGGTATGTGTATTATATGACTGGCTTTAAACTTTTTTAATTAAAAATTCATCATCAGGTATTAACACAATTAAAAGGTAAATGCTACAGAATATAAAAAATTAAATGAAGAAATACATAAAAAAGAAATTATACAAATTGGTCGTTTTACATAGAATATAGATATAATTTATTTTAATAGGAGAGATTATTTAAAATTAGTTATTATTAGACATAGATTTGTTAAGAAATATAAATTATTTGGTTATTATTTATTATCTAAAATTTATTGTTATAAATTAATTTATTTTATTATTAAAAATATTTAATAAGACATCCACATTTAGATCAATTAGTAATTCAATAATATCAATTGTGTATACTTAATATTTACTTGAGGACTTTATTTTGGGAGGCTTGTAGGTTGATTATTAAGAGGGGAGAGATGCTCACTATTTTCACCAATGCACAAAATTAAGGATATGATAGCATTTAATACCTATTTAAAAAAAATTCTACATCTAACATGCACACACTTATGATAACAATGTTATAATATGTAATATTATTATGTAATTATAAAAACTCTAGTCAATTTTTTTCCCTAGAACCTCAATAAATTGAAAAAATTGCATTTATCTTAAATTATGATTTAAGGAAGAAGTTTTACTGTATTCATATAAAAAAAATTAAATATTGCTTTATTAAATACCATTATTTTATTAATTTAAAAATTTACAGTAAAACATAACACAATTCTATTTATTAAATAATACGAAAAATTAAAAATTAAATTTTATAATATAAACTATTATTTTAAGATTATATTTTTTAATTTTAAAAATAATTGAATATAATCAAGCTATATTTATGTTCTCTGACTCAATTTTTGGATCATCAATTAACATAGTTACAGGATTTCATCATAATTAACATGTATTTATTGGAACTATTTTCTTAATATTAAACTAAATATTTGAATAATAAAATCTCATTTTTCTTAAAGTCGTCATGTTAGATTTGAAACAATATCTTGATATTTTAACTACTACTTTTAATAAAATAATTTAATTGTATTATTATTTGTATATTTGATTTCCAATTACAAAGTTTAATTAATTTTAACAATTATAATTTGAATAGCAATAATTTTTATATTAAAAATTGTATTTTTAATTAAAATATTAATTAATATAAGAATAAAATTGAATTACAAAATATCAGCACCTGGTTAGTTTGATATATTTATTAAATCACGTATTCCATTCTTATTAAACTTTAACATTTCAAATTGTATACATTTTTATTCAATTGGGTATACTAATAATTTTAAATTTTAAAATTTCAAACATAATTAATTTTGATTTAATATTATGAGATTTTTATTTTAAAACTCTTAAGGATAATAATTAAAAAATATAATATTTAATTAGAAAAAATAACACATTAATTTAAATTATAGATATAAAAATCCTTAATTTCAATTAAAATTCAAAAAAAAAATAAAAGATTTATTAGATACTTAGAATAATATTGAAATTAAATCTATTTAAAATAAGAAGTTACAAATTGTTATTTTTTAAACTTTAAAAAATATACAAATTATTTTAATATTTTTAACGTTATTTATTAGTTTAAAATAAATAATAATAAACTTTTAACTTCAAATAAAATAACTTAAAAATTATAAACTATAAGTTTAAAAAAAAAAAATTGATAGAGTAAACCACAATTATATAAATTATTTAAAATAATTATAATAATCAACCTAAAATTATCAATATATTTAATTTTAATAAAATTCCATCTTAAAGTTCTTTTATAATTTTTATTCTTTATATAGGAAAATTAGTAATTTTATAATTTTACATACCTAGTTTAAGTATTACATATAATGAATTAAGAAAAATCAAAAAATTTTAAAATATTAATATTACCTATTATAAAAATATTATTAATTTGTATTATTAATTATTAAACAGATTATTTATAAATTAAAGAAAAACTTAAGGAAAAACTGAAATAAATTAATTTTAGATTATTGAATTGATTATTTTGTGTCAATAAATAATGAATATAACTTGACTATTTAGAGTAATTCTATTATTAATATTACAATAATAACAGTGCTTTTGTAGGATATAATTTTGATGAGTTACAGTAATTAAATACTTTTTATCAGCAATCCCATCAAGCCGGAATACAGGGTTGGGGGGAGGGGTTAAAGAAGTCAAACCCCCTCACATTTTTTAAGTAGGTAAATACGTATAGTATAACAAAGACTAACCACAAGTTGAAGTATTAAAAATATTTTAATGAATGATATTTTTTATTTATACAATTTCATAACTAAGTAAATAATTAAATAAGTTAGGAGTTATTGCTTTAATTTTATCAATTATTTAATAACAATTTTTAAGAATTAAACTATATCTTATTAATACAATTTTATTTTGATTATTCATTAAAACATTTTTTATCTTAACTTTAATCAGTATAAATCCAGTAAAATAGCCATTTATAATACAAGATGTCTCACAATTATCTACTGATTTTTTTATACAATATTGTTGTGGGACATTCTGTATAGAATATATTTTTTACTAAAAATAATGATGATTCTTATACAGTTTGAACTTAATTATAATGATTTTTAAAAATAAAAATCTGAAAAATTTAGGGTTTTACTTGATTTCAGTATGATCAACACCATATAAACAGAAACTGAACTTGTATGGTTGATATTAATTAAGACCTTCTTAACATAACTTTTTAAGTTGGACCGTAAAGTTGGCTATTAATTGGTTAATTTTTCTTAGATATTAAATGAATAACTTTATACAAATATGTATTCAAACAAATATAAGATAGATATTATATATTAATGTTAACGTGGTCTTTTGGAATGTTTAAGTTTTTTATTTAACTGTGGAAGTGAAGCTAAAGGTATTTTCAAAGTGTATTTATATTTATCTTCTTTTAATGGTGAAGCTCCAACAATTCTCATTAGTACAATTAACCTGTTGAAATAATAATTTACATTTTTATTAGTTTAAAATCAATATTTTTTTAATAACTATGTACCCAATAAATCACAATACTAATACAATGAAATCACAACTCATAAATAACAATTTTAATAAAATTGATATCTGTGAGTTGGCAATTTATTCTCTTATTTATTTTAATTTTTTTGGGAGTACTGTCACTGTCTACCTAATAAAAACAATATTAGCATAAAAACTTTCTTAAACTGAAAGTTTATATTGAATATTTGAGTATAATAATTTGTTTATAAAATGAAAAATGACTTTCTAAAAGGGAAACATAATTATTAATTAAGCAAAAATATCACAAAATTGAACAAAGTAATTTAGCTAACAAAATAAAATTGTACACTCCAGTATCACTAAAAAAAAAATATAGATACACTATAGTATCATTTCTACAAATATCACCCTGCTTTCAACCATTGAAATTCAGGATATACTATGTTTTAGTAAAATGATTATTCTATTAATTTAATAATAATGTTAAATAATCTTAAGTTAATATTAAAATTTTTTAAATTGATAATATAATTTCATTTTTGAGATATGGCTACATAGTACTCTAGATCCAAAATGTTTTAATTAAAAATATTATTTGAAAACATTAATGATTAATTATTTCTCATAATGTTTTTAATACCTTTTTTGACAGTTCATGGAAATAAATGGTGTTATCCAACTTAAATCAAGGACATTCATATTGGACAAAATCATAATAATAATTATATGACATAAAGCTTTGTCCTTCATCTTAGATGTTAAGTCCCTAAAAAAATATTTATATGTTTAATTATGTTTACAAATAGAAATGTCCAATTTGGTATAAAATATTTTTACGGTCCAGTGCTGGTGTATTCTATGAAGTTATCCAATACTTTATCATTTATTATTACACAATTTGGATAGATATCCAAATTTCTAACATAGTTCAAATCAGCAGATCTTAATTTCAACAATTCAATTAATCCATCAGCAAACATCAGGAGGCAAATATTTTGAATAGACTTATGAGATAGTCTGTTGATACTTGCAATATAGAACTGGCTTAAACTGTAAATAAAATACACAAGTTAAAATGTAGTTAAAAAAAAAAAGTCATTATTCAAATGTTTACACAAATAACACAGAGTGTTTGATAATTTTTAGGTAGAGAATAATATACTCTTATCATAGAAGTTAACTGTACTCCATAAAACCAAATTATGACCAAGTGTTTTGCAGTACTTTGCAAAATATTCATTGTTTCTTAATAGATCTAAGAATAAGTTCTCCCATCCTTTTCTTACATACATTAGCTATAGTAGCTTATTGATAAATATTAAATTGAACTGTTAAATGTTTTAATATAACAAACATAAATTATTATTATTTGTATTGTATGTCCCAAACAATACAAACAAATTAGTTGGTGTGAACAATAATTATAATTTTAAGTTAATTATTTCATAGGTATGTTCATCAAAATTAATTCATCATTATAAACAGGCCTTATAAAATGGACATATGGTAAACAGACTTGATTAAAATTAGGGTAGTATTGATTTATTCTAAAACTTCTATTTTAACTGATACTCTTAGAGAAAATGTTCTTGGAATATGTAAAAGATCTGGTTTTCAACTGATTAGTTCAACTGAACTGCGAATAATTTCAATAGCAACTTGTGATTTTCAATATCAAAAAGCAGGTATGGGTTTCTATGTTAGTATATGAGAATAGCAGATATTGGTTTAAAATGGTATAGCCTTTCCCGAAAAAAAATTCCATTATCACTGGCCACTGTAATATAATTTTAAACTCACTCTTCATTGTCCACCGAAACTGGTATCATACTCAATACTTCTTGTGCGTAATTCTTCATTGAACTTATTTCCTCTTCATGCAATAGAGTTGAAATGGGATAAGCATTTTCTAATTTATTAGTAAACCGATTGCATCCCAATGGAAGGTACAACAAAAATTCAGTGGATGGAGAATAGGAGTTATCCAATGATTCAACTAAAACATAAGGTGGCATGATAGTAATTTATTGAATAAAAAGTTATAACCAATACTTATTCTATACATACAAGATGAAATATTGTCAAAGATGGTTTCTGTTGCAGTAACAGCCTCTTTGCTTTTTGCCTTTGACATACGCGATGATCTTTTAGTTCCAAATGTTACATTGAATTCTTGATCTTTGTCCTTTGATAAATTATTTTCTTCAAATGTTTTCAACTTAAAGTAGTCCGGTTTTTTAAAATATGTCACTTTTGCACCGAAAATTGAAACCTGCATAACAAAGAAAAGTAAGTTAATCAGCTATCAGGAACAACAATTATCACAAATTGCCATAAACACACAAAAGAAATAAAACAAATGGTCTACCAAAAAAAAAAAAAAAACAGTGAACAAAGAAAATATGTATAAATTTAATTAATTTACCATGTTAGGAAGAATTTTTGATGAATAGAAATAATTTAAACACAACATTCAACTTTTTAAAACGTAATGGGAAAATTACAAAAACCGTATAATCATTAAAAACCAAAATGACGACTACAAATAGAATTCATTTGATAAAGCTATTGAAATAATTTGTATTCCAATGAGCTAGACTGAAGATTGTAAATCATTAGTTGAAAAATATCAGGAAACTAAATATAGAATGTAATGTGAAAAATCTATACAAACTAACAAAACATAAAACTGAAATAAAAATAATTGCTTGGTTGTCAGATACAAATGAAAAAAATAAGTTTATAATAATGAACAAAAAGGATAAAACATATTCATAATAAATAACCATTAAAAAGAGTTTACATTAAATCTAACTAAGTTCAAAAGAGTATTGTTAGGAAAATTAAAAATCTCAAGATTTGGGTTTCAAGTTTATATGGATGAATGATATAGATCTATCCTATAGTGAAAAAAAAATTAAACCCAGTCTATAGAATTTGTAACAAAAATTGATATAATATTATAAAATTAACTATACATAATATTCTAGATCATATGATACAATATAATTTTATTCAGTGATAAGTTCAGTAATGCAAATAATAATTTAACAGATATTAATGCTTTAAATTTCCTTTTAATAAATTATAAGGGGTTTTAAATTTTTCTTTTATAAATATTTAGTTTTAATTAACAAATTAGATAGTTCTGAATTTGTACTTAGAGTATTTCACAGAACTTTTAAATATAAAAATACCATCAAATCTAAATAAAAAAGTGCAATATTTAACAGTCAGACTAATGGTAAAATTGGTAAACCTTTGAGGAACTAAAGAATACTATCGCTTTTGAATTCAGTATACAAAGTGTTCTAAAAAATAAGGTTAAATTAACTAACTATAAAAAAAAAATTGGGTGATTATTAATGGGATTTTAGAAAAAAAAGATCAACCATAGAACAGATGTATATTATGTCAAATTACAGAAAAAAAATATAAATTTAGTCAAAACCTTTGGTAAATATTTGTTTTAGAATAGCTTATGATAGCATACATACAGGTAGTCAATAATATAACATAATGACTGAATTAAGAATACTCAAGGAATTAATAACATTGACCAAAATATTCATGGAGGAAATGTATCAAACAGTATCCTAATGCATGGAAACAACAATTGCGTAGCTAAAACAGCAATATCCTGGAAATCAACAGGAAAGCAGTAAAATGTGAATGGGGATGTGGTAGAGCAGGATCAAGAAGGAATAGAGTAAACAAGCGGAGAAATGTAATTCAGTATTGAGAGGAATGGCAGCAAATACTCTTGTAGAGTGGTATAAGCTAGCTGAATAAAAAGACAAGATATTAAAGATAATTTAAAACTAGATAATTTAAGTTTAATGGCACAAATAGGTTATCTTTAATTGTACAAAGGATCATATTAGAGTAGTTCTTGTATTGATAATATATATATATTTATAGAATGTAGGTATCTTAAATATCTGATCCACATAATCCTTCAATCTCAAATCACTAATTACTATAGTGTATTGTTAATAGATCAAGACAGTATTGAAAATAAGTAAAAAAAATCTACAAATAAATTGAATTATTTAGATACTAAACTTTTGTATACATTTAAAAAAAAAAAAAAATTGGGAGATGTTCATAAATGAACCTGAAGTCAACAAATGCATAAATATATTTCAGCATTTATTAAATAATTATCTAAATAAACACTTGGAGATTTCATTAATAAAATAATATAAATGATCAAAAATCAAAAAATAATTATAATTCATCAAATAAAGGGAATTTCCTTGGATACTGACTGGTTTATTAAATTCTTTTAAAACTAGAAATATGTAATATTTCACTAAAATGTCTAATAATAAAATGTTCTTACATTAAACAAAATATAACAATTTAAGTTATTTATTAAAAGAAAACTAATATTATCAAAAATAAATTAAAAGTCAACCCCAGAAATATGAAAAAAGTAACTTTTTACATGATACTATTAGTCCTAATTCAAATAACTATAATGTGAAAGCTAATCCTCCATTACTAACTATGGATGGAAAAGACATAGCTAACTCCACTGCTTAAGCCACTTCTAGTCAATTACCACTATCTTCAACTATTCCACACAAAACCAAAGTTCTTACATCCTTTATACAGGATGATTCATTAACCCTACTCACCCCATTTTTTTTTGATTACATTTTGCATTTATTCAATTCAAATTTTGGTTTTTCAAATAAGAACCTATATTAAAAATTCCATAAATAGATGGAGTATTACTTAAAAAAATTTTTGGTGTCAACATTTTTGATTTCTGTCGACCCTTTAACAAGATATTCTACTTTTAATTTTAGATAGGAGAAGAGTATTGGATTACTAATAAAATTCCCAAACACACAAATGATACTACACTACTATCCCATTAATTATACCTAAAAGTAGAATATTTCGTTAATGGGTTGACCAAAAAAAAATGTTGACACCAAAATTTAATTAAAGTAATATTCATCTATTTATGGAATTTTTAATATAAGTTCTCATTTGAAAAACCAAAGTTGGTATTGTCACAGAATACTCCTTGAATATTATAAAACATTTAGGTATTCAAAAATCAGAATTTAAATATATGCAAAATTTAACGAGAAAAATGGAATGAATAAGGTGGTATGTCACCATGTATAAGTGTACATATATTATTAGTTTGATTTCTTTAAATAAATAATCAGTAGTAATAAAAAAATTGTAATTAAATTAATCATACAAATAGCAAATGGTAACAACCTTTTGTGTTTTTTTATTTCTCAAAATTAAATATTTTTTTCCAATATCTTTTTTACTAGTATCTTCCTCTTCAACTGTACCTCCATGATGGCTAAATATTTTTAATATAGGCCTTCTAGAAGTGTCATCAATAGCCATCCCACAATCCAATGTTGTTGATGAATTCAAATGACCCACTTCAGTAATAGCTGAAAAAAAAACATAACCTTGTTAATATTAAAATTATTTTATTTTTAATTTTCATTAATTTATCTTCTTGATTTTTTTTTTAAAATAAACAACAATTAATATGTGGATTATTTTAAAAATATGGTCTTTTCGATGAATAGTAGACAAATTTTGTTTTTTATGTAACCATTAAAATTATATTTTTATAAAATTGAATTAAAATATTAGTTACATTCCTACCTACAATATTAATGAAACATACTTTTTCCAATAAAGATTATACCATATTTTCTGCTTAACATTCAATTTTAATTTTATCATATACTTATACAAGTAATAAGAAATAATTACAAACAACCTATTTTCAGCATGCATGAGTTCAAAACGACTAACAATATATACTTTTGATTATGGTTATCTCTCAATATGTAGTCTAATACTGTTTTATGCACTACCTAACTATACATATGAGTACAATATGCAGTCTAATAATATTTTGTGTTCTACTATAAATATAATACCCACATCATTAGTATTATCCTATTATTTTAAACCAATTTGCATATTTTATTTTTGTATTTCCCAATAAATAAATAAAATAAAACTATTAGGTAATCTAACATCTGGCATAAAAACTAGTTTAGTATTGTTTGTAAGGTATAGAACTGAATAGTATAGTAAATTATAATTCATAGTTAACGTTTTAAAATGTTAGTAAAAGAATTTCATAGTATTTTTCATTTCTAAAATCCACAGTTATATACTTGCAGGATTATGGCTTGCTACCTTGTGCAACATAATGTCATAAATATGGTAGTAAAGTAAAACTGTATCAAACAAATGACCGATAAAAAGGTATGAGAAGTATTCAGGTGTCAAAAAAGCTATGAAACTACACCATTGTTAAAGAAAATTAATTTTATACCTAATTGGAAACAAATGACCGAAAAAAAAAATGAGTTTCAGCAAAATCATAGATATTGTGTTCTTATGGATTGCAGAAAATTAACTTGTTAAAATAGAAAATTTACAAGAGACCAAAAATACTGTTTGTGGCTGAATGAATCTCTGTAGACATCCCTGAGCATCTATTTAACGAAATGCAACCTCTTGGAAATCTTAGTAAGATTGTCTAAATTGATGATTGGTGCATAGAAATATAATAAAGGCAGCGTTCCGCTTACCCAATTAAAATCTGTATTTATACCTAGACAAGATGATGAACAAGACAACAACTGTAATTATGGTCAAAGAATTGGTGGACCGTGGGTAGTTGGATTAGGTTGTTTTTGGAAAAAGCTACAAAGAATGTTAGATTTTTTTTTTTATTGTCGAGAAAAGAGACAAAAAAATATTACATCAAAATATAATTAAAAATGAGGCATGGAAAAACGTGTACTATTTATTCAACAATTGTACTTATGATTTGGTTTGATTTTAAATATTACAGAGTAGAATAAATTGTTACCTATTCATTCTAATTCCTGGCTTAAATACATCAGCATATTTGAAAAGGGTTATGTATATGACACAGTAAATCATTCCAATAATTGTATGGACCTAGAAACTGAGGCTAATACACAAAGAATTGAAAGTTTTGGAGGTCTCTCAGACTAGCAATTTTAACATAAAAGTGGTAATATTTTTGATTCATCCTCAAGAAATATTAAATTATGTTTTGTGGATAATCTAGAACAGCTTATTTTTGATATAAAACTCATAGATACATGTTTGTTATTCATAAAATAAAATGAAATAAATTTTTATTTTTTTATTTAAAAATCAACTTTTTATATTTTTGTATAAAATGTAGGTAGACCGCTAACTAAACTATAATTATAACTGTAGACCACGTTCATTGGTAGGCTTCACATATTTTTGGTAGGTTGCATATTGGGAGATGACCTTTTTAATTTTATAATTTTCCTATTACCTACCCAACATAGATTTTCATAACTAACCAATAAATGTTTTCAATTTGCAGAGATAAGCAAAAGTACCACTAGATGCAATGTTCAAGTGACAATCATCTGAATCAAAGTCATGTCTGAAAAGGGGTTTTAGAGATACTAACACTCCCCTAAAAATTGTTTGTGTATATTACTATGTAGGAAAATAGTAATTTCAGTCAATAAAATTAAAACGCCTTAACATTTTTGATTCATGACTCCACCCAGCAACCCCACCATCCCCGAAATTATTTTCCAGTTATTGTTTTGATACTAATAATAGTATCCTGTTCAAATTAAGTCTATTGGTTTAGTTATTGAACACCGAAAAATAAACTAAGTTTTATTTAAATTAAAGTTGGTTTTCTATTGTACATTTTTTCTTGGTCAAAAACACAATTTCGACAGAGAAATAAAAAACCAGCTTAGACTAGATGTTTCCAGAATTCATATTTCAAATGGCATAATAATATTATAACTCACCGATTATTGGCCGAATGATGGGTGTATTGTGGATTTTTTGCACAAATCCTTCCATGGTGGCAGTATGTTAGTAGGTACGTACTTCCAAAGGACTTCAAATAATTAATATAATACATGTATGTAAACAAGTATTAATACCTATTACTATCGTTCAAAAATGAAAGAGCACATTTTTAATAAAATTGATAAATATTAAACATTACGATTACGTTATCATTTTTTTTTTCAGATAAACAATGAACGACGCACTCTAGCAGTATTATAATTTTGCGCGGTTTTTTTTTATTAAAAGAAATCTGAAAAATTATAATTATGTTGAATATTAATTTTGTGAATATAACAATGAGGTTAGTTAGTTTAAATTCTAAAAAAATTGCCTACCGGTAATATTATTCTAATCCAACGAGATAAAAAACAAAACACCCATTAAATGCAGCAGTCTCGAATTTTCAATTAATAATTATACTATAATACTTTTGAATTATAGTAATATTCTATACAGAACAATATAAATAATCGAATACGATAATGTACATATTAACACAATACTATACTATAATACAATTATTAGGTTGCTTCAAAACAAAAAAAAACAAAAAAATTGTAAAATTTGATCATAAAAGATAATTGTTTTACAAATTTTTGCGAAAAATTATTTTAATGAATATATTGATATATCAGAACGATTTTAAAGTTCATAAAAACTGTGGAGCAAATGAATGCGCACTTATTTGGGAAAGAATAACTGAACAATGACGTACACAGAAGGTATTTAATTCAATTTTATTTTATAAGTAAGCTTTTTTTTTTCCTTTTAATACAAATCAAAATGATATTGTTACCTACTTAACAAATCTTTCCTAAATTTATAATCAGTTTTTAAATTTTGCTATTACAGATATTTTTACTTTTGGTAATTTTTTTCGGTAGGTACTTACGATTCAACAACTTATAGCAAATATTAAAATGATAATGCTATTGCGCTACTGTTGTAGGTGGGAAGTTGGGAAGGTAGGATACATAGTTATTCAATTTATATCTGTAAGCAATGAAAAACAATTCAGAGCCAAATTCGTTTATACCTACATGATTTCACCTAAATAATGACAACTTATAAAGAACTCCCTCTTAATTTTTCAAGCATTTCTGTTTAGTTAAACAATTATATCCACATAATACTTACCAAATTAAAACTATATAAAACAAATTGCAAAAATGGAAACATAAAATAGGTACTTATAGATATATTAAAAAAATGTCCAAAATGTTTTGTGGATATGATTGAGAAATATATAAAAATACAGATGTATGCAAGGATGATATGAGGAACGTGTCAAGTGGAAGTTTAAGACAGGGGTAGTCGACCCTAAATATTTGGAATAAAAACGTAAAAAAAAAGGAATTATTTTTTAGTGTCAGAATAAGAAATGGCAAACTAAATATATTTAAAAAAACAATCAATATGTACCTAATATGGATACTAATGTCCATATAATTTAATCAATGAAAAATAAAAATAAAATTTTCATTAAGAAGACAAATTGTTTTTATTAGTTGGGTCAAGGTAGGACATATTATTAAATTAGGTAGGTACCGTACCTAGGTAATCGACCTGGATAATTGTTTTTCTTATTTAAAATATTTTTAAATAACTACCTAATATTTTTTAATTCAATCACTAGAAAAGGAGTGTAAAACCTATTTTTAGTGCATATTTTAAATTTTATAATTGCATAAGTGCTACATATTTCATTTGTTTTTTAGAGCTATTTGCATAAGCAAAACTAGATAATTTTACTAGATCAGGTCTGTCCAACCTTTTGTGAAGACTGGGCCACATCATGTAAGTAGAAGTTGTTGTGGACCACGTACATTTTAATAATAATACATTAAATTTATAAATTTACCATAGCGAATAATGAGTAGAAATATTTTGATGAGCTATTATAATTTATTTATGGTTAAAAGAAAATAATTGTATTGTTATTTTAATTACATTGGTTTCCTTATCGTTATCAGAATCTAATAAAGATAAAACTTGCATTTAATAGTATATTATACTTTTACGTACCTACTTAATTTTTAAACTTATTTTTTTATATTTTGTTGTTTAATGTTCTTAAAATAAATTTTTTCCATGTCTTTATATGTATTATGTATAATTAATTGATGATTTGAAATTGATGTGAGAGCCATATTAAAATGTACTGTGGGCCGCGGGTTAGACACCCCTGTAATACATATTATGAGAAAAATTATAGGTATTTTAGATGCAGAATTTAAGTTTTTAATTTTAATCTTAAATTGTTTTAAGTCAGTATGTTATCCGGTCAGTATTAGCTCAGGCCATTGTCAGACTGAATAACCCATAGTTTCGCCTATGGCTATAAAATATCTTTTCCCTAGACCTTAATGATGAATCAAAAAATAATCATTTTTATGAAAATCACGGAAATACTAGGTACCTATCTTAAATCGTTTTGAAAAGACTATCGAAATCTATTGATGGCTTACAAACTATCGATGGAATTCGAAATTTGATAGTAAAAACTATCGATAGTTCACTATCACTATCAATCTAATCTAATGGACTGCGCTTAGAGAGAGAAAAACAAAGCCAACATTGATTCGAGAGAGATAGTCATATCACTCGTATCAGATATCAAATGGGCTTAGAGGCGCCTAGTAAAAACAAAAAATCAATAACATCCATTATACAATAATAATAATAATAATAATAATACTTATATATTTATGATGTATTTATGTCTATGTAATGTACCTTATATCTTAATTCATGATATGCAATCGGTTTAATCAAAGTCACAATCGTGTTTCAACTGTTTCTACATTCTATATAGTTATTTTCCCACATCCAGTTTCTACTTGGCAGTTGGATAGTATATTAATTGGTTGGTATCAACCTATTCATTTATTATATATTATATTAAATATTCACATAAATATTTAAATCATGTGCCTAATAAATTTAAATATGTTGTACCACAAACAAATAATTCATCTCCATCTTTCCATCTGTTGTTATCCTTCATTGCATATCCGATTCTGTGAGAATACATAGCAATAGCCAATAATTAGGTTAAGTAGGCAATGGTTGAAGTGGTTTATAATTAATTTTTATATTTGTGTAGTATTATTTAAAGATTATTTATCCCTGCAGTGTATATATACTATGTCTAATGTCAACACCGGTTCTGAACATTATCATTGTTTGGACACTGTGCTATTCCACTATCTGACGCTGCAGGGAACCTTAAGGATTTATGTTTAGTATTCTAAATAAAATATGTATACATTTTAATGTGGTTGTACATAATTATTATAACCACTTTTTTCACAATGTACAATATACAAAGATAAAATTCTAGTTGGTTGGTTTAACAACAAAGCCACAAATTAAGATAATATCGAAATAAATATATTGTACTCCTTGAGGTAGCTATATCTTAATTCATACTTAAATATAAATAATTTTTATAGTTATATTATATTTTTGACTAGATACCTAAACATATTAGTAGATAATCAAATAATAAAACAAATACTATAACTACCTTGATAGGATATATCCACAGATATATAAATTAATATAATAATTACAATATTTATATTTCTATACCTACCTGTAATTGTAGAATAACAAGTGTTAGGTTTGTAATGTTAGGATTTCCTTTTTTTGAAAACAATTGTCAAACAATTTATTGAACAGAATATATGGTTTGGACATAAGAAAATTGAAAAAAAATATACTTATGAATTGAAAGATAATTATTTTATTTGATTAGTTTGTTTTTGCCTTAAACTATTCTTTTTACTAAGGCCATTTTATTCTTACATCTTAGGAACAGCTTTATTAATATATTGATTTAAATATTTATTTTATTTATCTGTTTATGTTTACAATATTCCACAACAATAATTAAAGGAGTAATCATGGAATTTCATCAAAGATTTGGAAATTCTCTACCTATCTAATTTAAAGTGAGCAAATTATTAATTATTATTATTATTAGATAATATTAAAAATATAACAATGAAATAAATCATTGTAATTTTAAAAATCATGGCATGTCTATAGTAGTTAGTTAATTTAATATAGTAACCAAATATAAATTTTGTTATAATCAGTTATTCTCTAATAACAAATGTTATTACATTGATTTAGTATTTATTTCCAGACTTGACTAAAAGGAAAAAAACTTTACTAATACTTTAAAACCTTAACAGTTTATTGAGATTCACTTGTTTTTATTACAATGAATTATCATTACTTTCACAAAATAAGCTAAATTACCCTATATATATATATATATATATATATATAGTAATATATTGTATACCCTATGTACCCTTATATACTATACCTTTCAAAATTCACACTTATACTCCTGGTATGAATTATATCTAGTTTTTTAAATTTATTATGCTTTTTGATGGGGACATCTATTTAAAAAAAAATTAAATTTTCATTTTCATTTTTTGATTTTAAAAAGAAAAATAACATTATATTTCACTTTACAATATTTTCAAAATAGCAATCTTGTAAAGATTATTCTACAAATTAATTGTATTACACATTTATATTAGATTAAGTATTTAATGACAGGCAGTTTAATTTCTAACAATAAATTAAGTTATTCCCTATCCCGTTATGCAGTAGTCTGGCTTTTCACACCTTTTCTATAAAAATTAGAACAGGTGTTACGAAACAAGTGATCAGATATGAATGTATGATAGGTACATTAACATCTTTAAAAAAATATATTTTACAAATTTTGTACAGTAAATAGATGAATTGTTATTATTTGTTTTAAACATTTTGGGATAAAAATAAAAATGTATTTTTCTCTGGATAGATGTCCCTTTCAAAGAGTAAATTGAAAAAAAAATTGAATATTAATAGCTTTAGACAAATTTGTTAAACACGTGGGATCATGTACATATTTTAAATAATAGTCGTGAGTGTACAATGGGCAATATATCATATCTATAGTAGTTATAAATTATGCATTTAAATATCAATTAGCTTCAAAATTATAAAAATGTGTTAATTCAAACAATTTAACATTATTAATATGCTGTATTTATAGTCCAATGTCATTGATTATTATTTTAGTATAATATTGACTTCAGCAGCAGATTAAGGAGATGCCCCCCCCCCCCTTGACAGTCATATTTGTAGTTATAGTAGTTATAATATGTAATATGAGTTAATTATGGTTATAAATCACTGTTCAAATTGTAGTTGGACCAATAATTATTACATTAGTTGATAATGTTGATACTTCATTGTAATTTTATCAGTATTATATATTTAGTGTTCATTGTTTAAAATTAATATGAACAATTTTGGGACCACTACCCATAAAAAAAAAAAACAAAAAAAATGTGACTGAATATAAAAAAAAGCCTTTTTATAAAAAACAAAGAACGAAAAAATATTATTATGTAAAATGAACTTTCTTAACACTGATAATAGATAACCCATATACATACATAAGTATTACACTATATTTATGAGTTTTAATGAATATTTTTAAATATTGAAATTCATGTGTTCACCAAATTTTTTTCATTTTTTTCTATCTGTAAACAACTTTTCTACCAGAGATTCGATTTTTAAGTGTAGCACCTTTTCTGAAACAAAATCGGTATGGGGAAGTATTTTAACACGGTCATTTTTTTATTTTCCCAATTGTTTTCCTAGCAAATGTGAACAACCATAAAATCGTAGGAAAAACAGGAAAATCTGTACATCACACAAATATTATTAAAGAAAATAATATATAATGGCTATTTAACTATTTTACCATAATATGACGCATTTATTGTTGACAAAGCATAACTATCAACTGAACTTCGCTGAGAATCTCTTTTCGTTAGCAATGGTTTTTATGATTTCTTACAGATACCTTTACATTAAATTAACTATAATAATTGGCTAATAATGGTTCCCAATATTCTAGGACGAATTTTTTTTTTTTTATTTATATAAAATTAGACATTTGATTTAATATGTTATTTTATATTTGAGATGAACCTAGTAGGTATTTTTTTACACTCCATGGTACATATGTAATATGATTAATATTACATGATAATATAATAATATAATTTATTTTCTTTTTGAATTTAATATAAATATTTGATTATTGTGCCAATACCTATGCATGATGTAATATACCTATTGATTTTTAAAAATAAATAATTATAAATTATAAATCATACTCATATAATACCAAATTCCTTTTTTCAAACTTTTCTCATTTTGAGTAAAAATATTTAGATAACTTATTTTTTCTACTACATGCTATAGCCATAGGTTTATTTTATATTGATTTTTAAATAGGTATTTTGTACTTGCCCTACATTAGTAGTCATTTTTGTTATTTTTGATTATGAACAGCAGATTTTGAAAGCTTGCTCCAATAATTATTTTTATGAAAACATTTAAAATATTATCATTGAATATATAATATAGTCAATGATAGATATTAAAATATAGTGCAGGTACCTATTATATGGTACTATATAACATTATGTAGTACTAACCAATAATTTTACTTCTTTTTATTTTAATATAACTTTTATATTATAATATTTAAAATAAATGTATTACTTTTTTATCACTTGCTTTTTTGTCATTCACTCTTTATTCACTTGCATTTTTTTTCTCATCCCATTGAAACAATTACGGTTGGATAGTGACTAATAGTGTGGTTAGGATTTTGATGCAAATTGCATTTTTTGACAGATGTCCTAAAGCTATGCTTTTCAAGCACAAAATTTGTTTCATATATTAAAGAATTAAAGTATGAAACTTATTTTGCATTTTTATAAAAAAATTTAAGTTTTTAAGGCATTTTTTCTTCCTTTTACAAACTATTCATATTTGTATTAAAAAATTTGATACAATTTATTTTGATTTCCTACTAAAAGAATAAAATTCAGAAATTCATATTTCTATTTTTAATATGGATTAGGTATAAATTTACCGATTATACCAGATAAATACAATGCTAGCTGCAATAAAGAAAACAATTAGCCATTTATTGAGTTTTAATGTAGTTATATTGTATTATTTGTACTGTTGTGTTAAGTAAATTTATATACCTACCTACCGAATAAAAACATTTTTTTCAACTTTTAAAATAATTTTTAGAGCATTTTTAAGACATTTTTATTGTTTAATATATGATTTAAATCCGCACCCTACTAATAAGCATTGATTATACAATAAACTGCATGTGATTGAAAGTAATTTTCAACCCAATGTTTTAATGTTGATACCTATCCAATCAGATTATCCTTCAAAAACTAAATGAATACAATAAATTATAAATAGATATTCCCAAGTTTAACAAAAATATACAAAATCGGTATTTTAATATTCAAATTAATATAAAATCGTTCATCGTAGTACCTACTGTGTATGTATATTATTAAACTACATCATCTTTTAATTGGCGAGTGGCCACTCTCCTTTACATAATTTAAAATTTCGAAAACTGAAAATATATGTTGATGTTTTGTGTTTTAAATTATTTTATTTTTATTTACCTAATATTAATACAAAATTATATAACAAAATATAGTTAAAGAGTAATGATTAAATAATTAAAATAAGTAATAATTCACCAACTAATAGTTAGTAATAATATGTACAAATGTAGTTTAAATTTTATTCTTAATAAAATTGTGTTCCTTATTATTACGAATTCTTTCAATACAATCTTCAAAATAAATAGAAATTACACAACTCACAGTGAGATATTTTCAATATTTCGTAACTAAAATATAATTATACTATATAGCAGTAGTTCCCAACTTCTCCTATTATACGCCCCCTTTGTAGATTTACAAAAATCAGGTGCCTCCCCCCTATATTATATAAATTGAAAAAAATGATAATCTTTTTTTTATACTTTACGAATAAACTATACACGATTCGGAATGACTACTATGTTACTGATTATAATAATAAAATATAAATAATATTAAATAATATATGTAATGAAATAATCTCTTCCAAAGAGCTGCCGCTGTTAAAATTATTTTTTGAGCTTGAATCGTTCTTCAGCTCGATTGCTTGTTCTTGAAATGTATCTGGTAATGTGTCTGGTGTCTACGTTAGTATTGAACGAACAACTTGTAAGCGTATATTGCCAACTTTCGTTCAAAAGATCTAGACAGTATCGTATGAATTCATCTGTCAAACTGTCGAGATGTTTAATCACTATATTATTTATAATATTTCTATTAAAATTTCATTAAAATAAAAAAATAATTTTATTTTCCAATCCAGCCAGACGAAAGGATTCTTATTCATCAGAGAGAAGTTTGTTCAGTCGACGGAAAGGCGAAAAAATAGGAATCTTTGTTTATTCGGAATTTCCACAGATATATATTTTTTGGAAATAAGTTGATAGAATCGTTGACGGTTATGACGTTCGTATTACACCCTTGTAATTTGAGATTTAGGTTATTAATAGTTTCAAAAAATCTGCTAGATAAGCAAAGTAGAATGTGAAATTTTCAATAGTAAAATTCTCATGAATATTGTCTTTTCCTAATTGTAAAAACATAATTTCGATTTTAATTTGTACAAACATTCAAACATATTCCTTTTGGATAACCAATGAACCTCTGTATGGAATAATAAAACAGAATTTTAAGCGAATAGCTGAACAAAGAATCTTAAAAATACGCGAATGGAATGCACTGCTTTTAAAGGTGTTAAAATTTTTTATACATACATGAGTTCAAAAGTACATTTTTAAGTTCAGGTGGCAGCGTTTTTGCAACTAAAGCTTATCTATATATTACGCAATGAGAACCAATTATTGACGGGTTAGATTCTTTCAATCTTTTGCGAGCTTTACAAAACCCGATTGTTACCCTAGCATTACAGGGACACAGTCTGTACACACACACACAATATTTTTCCAATAGATACCATTTTGATCAAAAAATATGTTGATGGCAGAAAGTTGATCACTGCCTATTGCAGAGGTGTAATTAAAGACTTAGGAAAAAAGAAGTTCTTTTGTAACATACTGTTCATTTATAAAACGGCAGTAAACTAATACCTGGCAATAATGAGCCATATCAGTTGAGTCACCATACTGAATCGCAAAGAATACGGAATATTGTAATTTACGAATCAATTGATTTTTATATCTAATACGAATTCATCTGTGTCGTTTTACTGTATTATCTGATAGAGATATTTAAACTATTTTCCTTTTACTTTCTTCACCAAGTACTATTTCAACAGCTTTAAGTATGGTAGGCTTAATTAATTTTTCACCCAATAAGGTATGTGTGGTTTCTTTTGCTAAGCCACAATAAAGGCGATATGATATGCAACTTCAACAATTTTTTCATTGTTCTGTTGAAATTCTCTAGTACTGTCAAATTTCATTTTACTTAAAGAGTTAGCAATGAAAAACTCTTAGGTTTTTCTTTTAGCATCGGATGAACTGTGGTTAAATGTCGTTCTAGTCGATTTGATCGGAGAGCATCGTTACTCAACACAACATGACAAATAACACACTGAGGCTTTTGTACACCATTCTTGTCAATAAACGAAAAACTAAACTTGACATAATCATCGATATACATTCTTATTTTTGGGGGAACTATTATAAATATAACTTCAAATGTAAAAATATTACTATGATGTAAATACACTCGTGACGATTACGACATTATACATGCATAGTGCAACAGCAAAACGAAACTAAATCGAGTCTAAACTAATTTCATAACTTTCTCCTAGCATCCTTTTATCCCACTGATTAATATAAGGACTCCATTTTTAAACACTCGTAATCCTTATTGATATTCGATAACCGGTCGTTATTAATTTTTCATTTTTTCCCTGCATTGTAATACAAAAATAATTAAATAAATATACATTTTACTTCGTAATGACTGCTTGCGCCTCTCCAGCAATGTTTACAGTGGTGTGCCTAAGAGTTTTAAATGGTTGGAGATGTAACAATTAAAAACCGTGAATAAAGAGTAAAATTGTCTTCTTTACCTAACTCGACTATGAGAATTGTTAATTTAAAAACCATATCCTGAAAAAAAAGTCAATTTATTATTAATACGTCAAGCTTTTCTTCGGAAATCGGCTGAAACTTATGAGTTTCGATATTAAATATTACTCATATTTGTTTACGTAAATAAGCCAATGGGAGGGATATAATCTCAACCCCACCGTGCGCACGCCACTGAATGTATATACGCCCCATGTTGAGAAACATTGCTATATAGGTGTCCTACAGTGTTAACCGAATATTAATAACTCCGCAATATTCATTTTTTTTTCAATCTCGTTTTGTGTCAAGGGGAAATAAATGTAGGGAAAAATTAACTTTTTGTTATCATCCTTTAGACGTAATCATTGGATTTAAAATTTTTATTTTTTCAATTTTTAAAATTTTCGTAATAGCCAATTTGTAAAATACATACACTAAACATTTTAATGTATGACACATTCATAAATATTAAATTCATACATCAATAGTTCCTTAGTAATAACCATTTTAATATCTAGAGGTGTGAAAAACAAGATTACTACATTTTGCGAATCATAATTTTACTAGATACACGATAATAAAACTAGGTATCAAAAGATAACAATTGTTACTATTAACGTATTAGAAATTAAAATGACCACTACTAAGAAACTATTAATTATAGATATGAATGCCTGATGCATTTGAATTTTTACAATAATATATTTTAAAAAATGGTTATTTTGAAAATTTTAAAAAGTAAAAATAATTTTTTTTTCAATGATTAAGGGATGAAAATAAAAATTTAATTTTTCCGTACATTTGTGTTCCCTCTTACACATAAAACCCGATTGAAAACATGTATTTTTTTTAAATTAATATTTACAGAGTTATTAGCTTTCAGATAACACTGTGAGACACTCTGTATAGCAATATTATATTCAATTAAAACTATTTTATTTACATCAAAATACATTTTAATTTGATTTTAAACATTAAATATATAAATTTGTTGAAGTGAAAATAGATAATGAATCACTAGCGTTATGTTCAACTGTGTCAGAATCATGAATGATTTTCTTCGATGTAGAAAAAAAGCATAATATCCAGCACTTTTTTTGAAAATTTAGTTTTCTTTCCAGGGATGAATTTAAGGGTAGGGGTCTAGAGGATATAATTCTATAGATCCTATTATTACTATATTCCAATCACTGATATGAATGATATATTATATTATATTTTAATTGTATTTATGTTGCAAAAAAATAGTTGGGCCCCCTCCCAGATCTTTGTTCCGAATCCATGCCTGTTTCTTTCTTCGAGAAAGTTTTCTTATACGTGATATCAGGGATCAGATGATATAAGGATCATATTCAAAATGTCCTCCATCGCAGAATTTTTAAATACATGTTTATATTTTGATGCTCTAGTAGGAGTTGTAACTTGTAAGTGTAACATTTTCCACTAAATTTGCATAATTTTGCTAAAATGAACAAAGACGCATTTGAGTAGCATATGTAAGTTCTGACAAACTATTCTCATTTCTTTTTTTTTTCAGTTTTTCTACGTTTAGTATTTTTGATATATAATTAAAATATACATAACTCAAATATTGTATATTAGTTATAATATAAGATATATTATACTATATGAACACAAATGCCACAAATTATCTGAACCGTTGACACGCATTGCGCGATAATTCTTTATAATTTATTTTCCTTAAAAATTACAAACTATTATAGCTAAAAAAATATATAATATTATATATTTTGGAATCAAGATGAAAAATTATTAATAATTTTTTTTGTTGATTATCGATGATAAAGAAGTCTTGGATATTATAAATATTATATAGCAAGCAATTTTAACGCTAGATTTTAAACAAATTATACAAATATTCAACGTTGAATAACCGCTTAGTAAAATATAACCTAATTCTAGTTTTACTGTAAACTAAAAGTTCCTATACAATTTAAACAACGTGGATTCCATGTAAAATAAACCAAATTTAAAATAACCTCAGAATCAGTGGCGATTTTAAATTCGTTGGGCCTCATACTATAATTTGGTATACATATTTTTGATAAAGCATCACTCTCAACTGAACTCTGCTCAGAATAATTTTTTCGTAAGCAATGGTTTATCATTGTTTACAAGTTTACATTAAACTACATATATTTTTTATTGACTCGAGTACCGGTTTTAGAACACCCTCCTTAATATCCATATCTCAAATATTATAATATGCAATAATTTATTATTATTCATCCTCGTGATTTTTACAAATATGCCGAGCATATTATCATGCGTTCCTTGTTATTATTAAATTAATGAGTTTAAAAAAAAACACTGCTTAGAATCTAAAATTATAATAAAAGGTCAGTTTTTCTTTTTTTTTCATAGAAGCTGTTCACGACGTCATAGTCGTGAACTTTGCAAATTAAAATAAATAATCGTCGGCATCCGTGTCATTACGACCAAAGGTCGTCTTACTGACGACCCAGCGTGTCCACAAACGAAATCAACAGTTCTCCTGAACTCCTCCTTTCATCCATTGCAATATGCAAATTCTTATCTGATGCCGGGTGTTATGATATTTTTGTTAGCATGATGTAATCGTCTATGCACCGGCTGCAGTCACCCTTTTTTTATTTTTGTTACAACCGCCTGCTCGCTGTCTACGATGTGACATTATAATTACGAGGGACTTAGCAAGAATCCATCTTGAAGCTCTTTTTGCCCCACAAGACATCTGATCAAACGATACCACTTCAATCAAGTCACTGGTTCACTCATATTTTGAACACACAGCTGCGTTACCTAACCTCGATTTAACCACACTCTTGTGGAGCCCGATGGAGCTGGTCCATATTTTTGAGAAATATCTAGACTGCGACCCCCGTGCTCAATGGGAATTGGTATTCGGAGACAGACATCAATCACAACTGTCCGAATTCATCTAGTTCTTACGAAGTCATGTTCGTTCAGCCGAAGTTCGTTCGGGATATTATAATATTTCTTTGGTCCCAGGTTCTGGTTCAGTCAAATCAGACTCTAAACCACAACAATCGAAATGGCAGCGTTCTACATTGACATCCAAAGGGCTATTCACAACCACTAAGCACCTGGCAGCCACGATCACAACAGCTGCTCAATCTGTCAGCAATCCCATGCATTACATAAGTGTGCTCACTATTTATGAATCAGACTCTAACTCTCACATTTTCCGGTGTCCCAATGTGAAAATAACAAAACACTCAATTTTATCTGACCTTGTCCGCGTTTTTGACCTACTAGGATTCCTTTACCTACCACATTCTTGAAAAAACACATGATGCAATTTCTGTGGATTTTCTGTGGAATCGGCTAGGATGATCCCATCCCAGATCAAGTGCTGACAATATGGCAATGTTACCAAAGTGAACTCCCATGCATGCAGCATTTGAAAATTCCCCGCCAAATAACCACAGACGGAACAGTCAAATATGAGCTCCATGCCTTCTTGGACTGCTCAGAGAAAGGTTACTCGGCAGCTGTGTATCTGCATTAGGACCACGAAAACGGAATTAAATGCCACCTCATCAACGCAATATCAAAGGTATCACTTCTTAAACGAGTGACTATTCCTCGTTTAGAGTTGTGTGGCGCAGTATTGGCCGCTCAACTGCTACATTTGTACATGAAGTTCTCATACCAATAATGTCCATTGATTCAATGCACACCTGGACGGACTCGACTACGACTCTCGCTTGGATCCAATCGTCTCCATACAGGTGGGCCAAGTTTGTTGCAGACAGAACCAACCAATTTTTCACATTTAATGAGAAAACTCTTGAGAAAATCGAAAAATGCTTCAGTACAAAAATTTTAAAAATAACAATTTGGACAATTTTAAAATAGCCATTGTGTAGGTTTATTTTTCTGAAATTTTAATGTATCACACATTAATATCCAATGAATAGTTTCTAAGTAACAGCCGTTTTAAATTCTATTAATCCATGTGAAAACCAATGTTATCGTGGTTAGGTTATTCTCTGGATGTATCACGATATAAACCATAGTGTATTACTCCATGATATAAACAATATTATTTGTATTCATTATCTATCAGAATTCTATCCCGATGCCTATAAAATAATATCTGCCTATTATTATTAATTAATTATTTATATTAATTTATACCAATTTAATTTTTCTGGTTTGAATATGAATATTTATTTTAATACATTTAATTGTATTAAAACCTACCTTTATATTTTCAATAATAGTTTTGTATGGTACTATTAAATCAGTGAGAATCTAATTTAACCTTACTAACATAATCTTTAATCGTGATCATAACCACAGCCATTATAGCAGTGAACATAACCTAAAAATGATACCATTTTGGAAGTATTTGATAAGAATCCCTAAGAGATGAGTATTGATTAAATAATGTAAAAATTATTAATTTTAATTAATTATTAATTAATTAATTATTAAATTAGAAATCATATGTACATTTATTAATAAGCTTTTAATATATTATTATATAAAATTTGATTTAGTATTTTGGTTGCAGTTTTTGACTACCTACGTCATATTTTACTAAGTGTGTTCTTTCAGCAGCTGGCGAAATACTGGCTTCACGATCGTATTTAAAAATATACACAACCGGTCAATCATTTAAAACTAGGTAAGCCATATTATACATCATTAATTTATGAAAATACCTATAAACTGATTAAGTCTTTTATAATAGACTGACTTAAACAATAGAATAATACCTACTTATTACAATATTGCTCAATATATTACAGTATAACACTGTTATCAACTTTTCAAATATAGTTCTTTGTGTATTGATGTAATTTCATTTTCATAGATCTAAATTCTAGTATTTTTAGCTAATTATTTTAATTAAATTAAATTAATTAAATTCTTACCCAATTTAAAGTTCAACATTATAATACAGTTTAACTCAGGTGCGGATAGGTCCACTGGGACACCGAGATTTTCCCAATGAGCATCTAATCTATATTGCCCATATCTATCTATATTGCCAATAATGGGCTGATGAAAAATACTGTTATTGGCTATTGTACATAAACACAAATTTTCAAAGTTGATAAAAAAAATATAATAATACTCTATTTTTTATTTAAATCCAGTTTAAATCGTAATAAATTATCATCACTAGTGTTTATCTTGGAATTTTAATATTATTTTTGAGTTTAACACAACTAATATACCTTAATAAAAGTACCTACCTACACTGTACTCAGTAATCGAACACAGACATTATAGTGAAATTTTGTTTAACTAGTCACTACATTCTGATTTTGGCTTTCCGATGTCATTTAACATAATATACATAGTATTATGTACTAATCTATTTGTATTTAAATTCTGGAGTATAAGCAAGTACATTTTTCATATTATAATTTACACCTATTTAAATAATTACAGCTATTTATTAATTTATTATCATTTATAAATTTATAATATTATTAAATAATATTTACAAATGTACATAAACTTTACAGTCATGTAGGTACATTTCCCTGGCCCCCCTGGTAGTGTTATTTAAGTGAACATATTTGATTTTTCATAATTAATCGAATAAAATTGAATTCCAATTATTTTTTAAATACTTGAAATTAGTTGATAATAGACTAGGAAGAAATAGATAAATGTAAGCGTGGGCATGGAGAATCCTCCTCTGCGAGATTTTACACCAAAATATGTTAGATATACATTTTTTTGTTAAATATTAAACTCTCAGTTACTTTTTTTTGTTGAATCTAGGATATGATCATGTGGGCTGCTAGATTCTATTTTTCCCAAGCCATTCAGATCATGCCTATCTTTTTTTTTTTACAAAATTAGTTATTATTTTAAAAAAAACTGTTTACAAAATATTTATTGTGTATAAGTATCAATATTTAACATAGTTATACATAATAATCATAGATATTATGGTGGATACATCACACACTAAACTGAATATATTAAGCTTGTCATATTCCTCATAACATTAATATGTTTTTGGTGATAATTATCTTAGTTGGTGATTAATGATTATAATCAAGTATCAACCATCTGAATGGAAATAATTTTAATCATTTAAAATTTAACTATTAAAATAATTTTTAGTTTAAATATGAGTTTTGGAATCAATATAATACAGCTTGTTTGTCATGAAATTTACATAAATAAAGGAAAAAACTTCTAGTTTACTGTAAAATAAATGTAGATTTGTTATTTGTGTTTTATTTAAACAAATTAAATATTTAAGAATCTAATAAAAATAATTCACTTGCAAATCTTCATTTTTTTTTTTCTAATCTGACTCAAATATCATTGTATACTTGGGTTGAAGATCATCTTCTTAATTTTCTTCATTTGTTATTGTATTTATACAATAACAAATACTACATAGCATACAAATTATTATTAAAATATTAAAAATAAAAAAAAACTTTACTGATATATATATTTATTATTTATACATATTACATATTAATATAAGTACAGTTTTGAATTATTATTTTATTTTAATAAAACATTCACTTGAAACTTATAAAATAGGAAATAAAACAAAAATGAATAATACAAAAAATTGTAATCCTGATGGCATCTTTTATTTTATTGATACCTATGTCTAACAATAAATTATAAAGAAATTAAATAAATAAAGACCAATTTTATATTGATACATTTGTTTACATGTTAATTGAAGGTGGTGGTTTTTGTTTGATTTAATTTGAATAAACCTTGATTTTTTTTTTTTTTAGTTAATTCCTTTTGACCTACACAAGGTATATAGATTGAGTATAAATATGTTTTACAGAATGTCCCACAGAGATATATCCATTATTATATCTCCAGAGATAATAAAGATGATCAAATTTTGTTATATTTTTATATTCACAGAGATAAGGACTATAGGTAATTTTATGTATACCTGTAAACAACCATAAACCATTGCTTACGAAAATATGATTCTGAGCGGAGTTCAGTCGATAGTGATATCTTGTCAGCAATATAATATATGCCATATTACAGTAAAATAATTAAATAGGTTCCATATATTTTCATTAATAATATGTGTTCAATGTTGCACTAATTTCTCCGGTTTTCCTACGTTTTTCCTGGTTTTCCCATGCTTTTTCTCAGTTTTTCACATTTGCTAAGAAAACTTCGGAGAAAATCGATAAATGACTTCTCTAAAGTACCTACTTAGTGTTCCTTTTAGAATAATTGCTATCATTAAAAGTTGGAGCAAAATTGCTGATAGAAAAGTTGTACACAAGAAAAAAATAAATATCTTTGTAAAACCTTACTCTATACTTTATTTTGTAAAATCTTCTTCGCTCTACTTAGAATCTGAAATCAATTTGAATCACTTAAAGATTCACTTTTGCTAGTGTAAGAATCGGATTCATTAACTGAGTCTGATTTTTCAATGTTTAATAAGTAGATAACTTCTGAAGGTAATTTAGATGGAGACTTTTGGATGGCTTACCAGTACTTGTTGATAGATACAAAAGTAATATTTAAATGTAATTGTTACCAATGGCGTATTGATAAGGTGGTATGATGGGCAATTAGCCCCAAATCAGGGACCAAGACATTTTAATGTTATGATTTATAAAGTTTGTTGCTTCATATGTTTTATATTGTGATCAAATAATATTATCATGATATTTATTAAAAATACTTCCCATTTATTATAGAAAATATACAAAAAAATAAAAAAATGATTTTGTTTTATAATAAAGAAATATGAATAGTTTTTTAATCAGAAACCTGATTAAAAAAAAGATATAGATATATAATTTAGGTATATTTTTTATAACTTTTAATAAAATCCAAACACAAATATCCACAAATAGGCGGATCATTATAGTCTTGAAATCTTCTAGATGTTATTTTAAGAATATTTTCTCCTAAATATTTTACTAATTATTTTGGTGGATTAGCATTACCATAAGAATCAAAATAAATTTTTAAATTTTCATGTTTTATCTATGCAACCCAATGTGATAATTCTTGATCAGAATTATTTAAATTTAATATCACACATTCTTTCATTAAAGTTTCTGTAAGTAATTCATTTCTCATAAAACATCCTCAAACATTTTTAATTTTTTCTAACATATAATATCAAAATTAATTAATGGACTGATTTTCTTTTTTTTTTTAACATGGGGTTACTATTTTCTTCTTTTTAATTCCAGGTCCAATTTGTAAAGTTTTAACATTTTTAACAATTTTTTCCATTTCCTTATTATGTCTTTCTTGCTCTTTTTCTGCTGCTCTCTTATGTTTTCCTTCTATAATAGTATTTGCAATTGCACTAACTCCGCCAACTAATGCACTTGCAGCTTATTATCTACCAAAAACTTCTTCGCTTCACTCAGAATCTAAAACAAACATTAATGTAGAACGAATACATTCCTCGATTCACTTAGAATCTAACACACATCATATAAAACCTACGTATGTCTTGTTTTGCGCTCAGAATCTAAAAATGCCTATACTGCCAATACCGCAGCTAGTTTTTGTCATTTTGGTTTTCTTTCGTCTTTTGTCGCTTTTGACACTATTATGTTACAGCAAACCAAAACACCCAAATAAAATAACAATATTGAAAAATAATAAATATTATTTATTTATTTGATATTGCATGATTAAATATTGATAGAGAAAGGCTTTTAGAAATCGAAATTATAACGAACGTTAATTATCGGTTTCAGATTCAATTTAAAAATAGGGCAGTGCTTATCGGAATTTTTTCTATGAAATTCTATGTAGAATGTAGATAGGTAGATATTATTATATAGATATAATTATTAATATAGATTATTATATAGTTAGTATTATGAAATATAGTATACCTATATATTTACTGTGATTCCGCTATCAATAAGTATAAATCTATATCTGAATTTTTTATCCTGTAAATTATTTTAATTATTTATCAAACATTTTTTTTCTAACAAATAACAACATTTTATTTTAAACAGTTCAGACTATTCGGAGTAATCTGCTTGTATACATATATATATAAAGATGGACGAATTCGGATGGATTAATTCCAATAATGAACATAGTTTATTGTTCAATAGCCAAAAGCAACCGCTTAAAAACGAAAACGGCGATCTACTTGTATGGGACAGTAAAAGTGAGTATAATATAATATATGATATATAATTGTTATTAATTGATATATTATAACGTAATTGATGTGTAACGTAAAAAAAAAAATATAAACACGAACATTTTTAGAACCATATTAATAATAGATTCTAATATCCTATGCTCACGATATTTTAGCCGAAGAATGTATATCAGTTCCCAATTTGGAGGGAATATTGAACATTTTCGGTTACGGGAAACGAGCTACGAGCTCTGACAAGTACGCTCCCAGTTCATCGAAAGATTCGTCCGATCTCAACACAGAACCGATCGAAGTCATAACAGGTAAATATTTATGATATAAAAAAAAATATATATATATACCTAATATTTATTACTAGCTGTCTCGCGCCCGGCATTGCCCATGTCAATTTGTATTGTTATTATTTTACCCATGTTCATTTTTAGTTTTGGCCGTGTTAGAATTGAATGAAAACAAATATGTGAAACGTGGGTAGGGTGGACTAAATATGTTCTATTGTGAAATTTCAATGGTGTAAATAATAGCAATAATAATAATAATAATAATTTTCGTTTTCGTGGCAACCCTTGAATAAACAAAAATCTTATATAAATAAAACAAATTCGGGTTAGTTATATTCAAGAAATGCTGGACCGATTTTGATAATCACATGATATTTTCCGATTAATTTATTATAATAATTAATCACCATTTTTTTTATCCCTAAAACCAGGGTAACACAAATCAACAAAAAAAAAATTGTATTTATTATATTACAAGCTAAATTATTTAGTGTTGCTCGTGTATATATGTACATAAGTAAGCGAAAATATTAAAATCGTGAATAAAAATAGTAGGTGGGAGTTGGAGGGTAAAAAACACTTTACGACCTATTCTCAGACCTACCAGATATACATGAAAATCAGTAAAGCCATTTCGGAAGAGTGCGACCACAAACACGTGACACAAGAATTTTATATATAAGATTTTATCAATTTCGTTATAATAATATTATATTGATTTGTATAAAAATGTTTATCAACCTAAATTGTATATAAGGGCTGAGCATGTGATGTCTCATAACCCTCCAAAGGAACTGGATCTGGAACAAGTTCCTTTGAATAAGGAACAAGGATCTAGAACGAGTTCTTATTTAAGAAAATGAACGGGGAACCGAACGAGTTCCATTTAAAAAGAAACTTTTCTGACACTGCCCCTTACCAACATTTAATAACATTTGATAACCAGGGCTCTGAAGTTTTTTATTGAATAATAAAGGAAAAACAAAATTATTAAAATGGTTAATACTCATAAATAAATAAAGTAAATAATTATATACATTTTTATTTATATATTTATTTACTCTATTTTTTCTATAAAATAGTATGTCTGCGTTTTTAAAATCGCAACATCCTAATCACGTTTGAACGCGTGGTATGTAAAGTTCAAAGTAAAATTTACCATTTATTTTGACATAAACTATTGAGAATATTAATTAACTATTATAATAGCAAATTATAAATATTTTGGATATATAATATTGTAATTTTTTAATTTCATAATAGTTTTGAAAATTTACGTTTGAAGTTTCAATTTGTATAAAATAACAATATGAATAAATTGAATATAAATACGGCTCGTGGGGGTAAGATCTATCCTCCATATCACTCCCCCCTCCGTAATTACTTCCCTGTACTTTATTGCATGATGAAACCAAATAATCTAATGTACATTATTACATTATTACACTAATTTAGCTAAAATGAAAATATCGCTCTATAATACATGTAAAATGTATAAATCTTACGAGTATATACTCATTATACTTGTATATAAAAGGATAAACTAAGGTATCGATGCATAGCCCCAACCACTGGGTATATATCGTAGTCGAGCACCAAGAAAGGGTTTTTCAAAATTCAACCCCTAACGCGTTTTTTAAAATTCATCTCTTAAGTTGACGCAAGAGGGTTTCCAAAATAATTCAATTTATTTTTCAGTGAAATTTTTAATTTACTTTGCGAGTGCATACTTATACAGTTTATCTAAGATTAATAAATTTAAAAACTACTGGACCGATTTTTACGTATTCTTTTGCAAAATGATCCCCGTTGTCGTCAGAGGCAGGTTTTTAGCTAGGTATTGAAATGTTTCTTCGATCCGATTAGTAAACAGCAAATTAGGACTATAAATGTTTTATTTCTAAGTAAAAAGTTTGTGAGTTAACCGTAGTATATTACACGAGACGGCCAACTACTAATTAACCTGGGTAATTTTAGGACAAATGGTCCGACCTCTCTGTAGCCTAAACTAATGGACTGATTGTTTTGAAATTTTCATGGGTTGATCAGTGTGTTAAGTAGATGATACTTTTATAAATTTCAAGTTGATTGAATGATTACACCCTGAGTAATATACAAAAGTATTGGCATAATTTTTACTCGAAACGCTATTTTTTTCAACAATTCAACAACGTTTGTGTACGCTTTGTTACCATCTGTTTGCGATGAATAAAAAACAATTTCGTTTATTTATTTTATCGTTGTATTACTGTAGTATCATTTTCCAGCAACATTCATAATAAGCTTTATTCATAGATATACATCATATATTAATTTACTCAATCCATAAAACAACAAAGATATTTTGTCCCCAATATTTCACTCTATAAAGAAAAAACAGGTTAACTACGAGGTGTGGCTATTAAATAACGAGACTGCTCGTCTAGAGGGCGCTCTAGGTAGTGAAAAAAACGAGTAATGCGTTGGGTATTTAGATATCTTATCTATGCACGTACCAAAACACGTTTTCGTCACTATTACAGTATTTTTGCAGTAGTGGTTTGAAACGAACGTGTTTTTTTCTCGTGCCGAAAACCATGTGTGACGAAAAACATGAGCAACGGATAAACGTAAAATTTTCTCGTTAAACTAAAAAAAACTCCAACTGAGTGCTATAAGTTGTTAAAAGAAGCCTATAGTGAGGATTTCCTATCTCGGGCGCGTGTTTTTGAGTGGCATAAATTATTTTCTGAAGGTCGAGAGTGCACCGGAATCCAATTCAGTCGTAATCCAAATTCAAAACCGTTTTCTTCGATATCAACGGCATCGTGATGACTGAATGGGTTCCAGAGGGTCAAACTGTGAACCAACATTACTATTTGACAGTTTTGGCAACATTGCGCGGATGAGTTCGTAAGAAACGGTCGATATTGTGGAAAAACAAGTCGTGGATCTTGCACCAGGATAAAGCATGAAGTATTATTTGGCCGCTTAAGGCACTCCAGTACTCGAACACGCATCTTACTCACCCAACTTGGCACCCTGCGACTTTTACTTGTTTCCGAAGATAAAGTCTGCCTTAAAAGAAATCCGGTTTGAGTCGATGGAAGAGGTGAAACAAAAATCGGCGGAACTCCTGAATGGTCTTACGAAAACAGACTTCCAGCACTGCCTCGAGCAATGAAAGAAACGAATGAAACGGTGTGTAGCGTGGGGAGGGGAGTATATTGAAGGGGAGCATTTGAATATAAAATAACTTTTATAATAAAACACTTTCGTAACCAGTCTCGTTATTTAATAGCCACACCTCGTATATACAAAATTTTTATAAAAAAATAAGTGATATCCTAACAAAAACCCTCCGTGAACAATGTGTATAAATCTCGTAGAGAAAAAAACTTTAGTTAAAAAAGTTGTGATATCAAGTTTGATTTTTCAATATACCAATATATACTAGCAGTGACATATTCAATGCGGACTAAAAAGGTATCAGCTCTTCCCCCATCAGTCGTGTTAAATAGAAAAAATAATAATATACGTAAACTATCCAACACCGAAATTTTATTCTTATACTTATTATAACATACAGAGTGATCCATTTAAGTGGGTAAACTAGATACATGAGATATTCCATTTTTAAATTTTGGTCGGGAAAGAATAGTAGAGCAACATTTGTGTGGTAGCACGGTGCGCGATGTTTTAATAAAGCACGACTACTCTCCCCCGACCAAAATTTTAAAGTAGAATATCTCGTCAACGGATTGACGAAAATTTAAAATTTAAAGTTTAATTTTAAATCAGCTTGTTTTTTTAATTAAGAAAAAAAAATAAAAAAGTAAATACTTTTCGAGATATCAAATGTACCCACTTAAATTATTTACACTGTACACAAAATAAAATTCGATTTATGTTAACTTTTTAAACTTAAATACCTACGAAATGAAACTTTGCACATTCAGTATTCAAAGCTAGAGAAAATCACTATTACCTCTAAAGAGTTACTGACACAATTTTTTTGTATTTTTGGAACAATAATTAAACTTTGTTTATTTATGGGTTATCTTGGCAATAACAAAAAAAAAGTATTATATTTATTTAATTTTTCATGGACAAAAAAGTACCCTTTTTAAGAGATAATTTTTACCTATAGCTGTGATAAGATTATAAGAATAAAATTGAACCTGGGCAATACTGGGTGACTTGGCTAGTAATTATTTATATAATGATCCCGTATAAACTCACCTTAGAACCAAATATGTAAATGTTTCCCACGTAAACCAAAAATAACTCGGTGAATAAAAAACAAAATAAAACAATTTAATAAATAAATAAACCTGAATATTTAACGATTGAATGTATTACAGATACGACTAAACTGTTGTGGACCACGCGGACGTCGAGCAAAGAGGACATGGAGGCCACAAAGGAAATGCTGGCTTTGGTCAGTTCAAAAAAATATCAAAACATGTTCAACGACAAGTGTACGATCAAGATTCAGATATGGAAGCGGATATACAAAGAGCTGTTGTCCAAGGGTTACCTGATCGCAGAATCGACAAAAGAAGGTAGTATCAAATGCCACCAAAAATGGCGTAACTTGGAGAAGTCGTATCGGAATTTCTTGATCAGCTTGACGGACCCTACCAATTTGATAGCGAGGAAACCGCCGCCATTTTTCGACGAGATGCACAAAATACTGAAACGGAAAAAAAAGTATGCAAATGCCACCGAGACCACTTACACGGTAGTTACGAGCGAGCACGATTTAGAGACGGAAGAGGAGGGCAGCACTCACGACAACGACAGCACCACCATGGATGTCCAGAACTTGCACCAACTCAACGACTCAGACCAACTTGAAGAAGACGTAGACAAGACGAAGGACCGTAAAGTCTGTTATCTCGCGGTAAATTCAAAAAACTTGGAAACGTTGACGAAAGCGAGTTCGCGGACTAGAGTTTTCTGCCCGGTCAGTAACGGCACGAGCAGCAGTTCCACAACGTCGGCCACGACCACGAATCACGTCCAGTCGAGGCCGCAGAATCCGCCAAACACCCTCGAACTAATACTGAAACAGATGGTCCGGTTGCACGAGGATACGTTGGTCATGGAGCAGCAGCACTTCGATCGGGTCGAGAACCTGATGAGATGTAACATCACACAAACGCGGCGGCTGGCCAACGTCATGCACCAGTTGCTGTACAACATTCATACTGATGAAGACAGCGATAGCGGTTAGAAGTATGTCCGTTTATCAATGCCGCGGAAATAATCTTTTTACGTTTAAAAAATGTATTGACTGCGCCAGCTTCCGATTCCGCCGGACATTTGATCTTATTAAATTCACTGGCCTTTTATTTTGCCGAATTTTTTTACATACTGATTCCAATTTTTGGTATGATTCTAGTTTAGCTTACCCGTGATTTTTTTTAGCTTTTTTCTCAAAGTGTGTATTTTCATGTTTAAACCATCGGTATAATCAAAATTTACCTAATATACTTACTTTTATAATTTTTGTACATAAACCTTGAAAAATAGCATTTATGGAATTAATCCAAAAGGTCGTCAAAATAAGACATCTTTTTTTATTAATATTATTATTGTAGTTGTTAATATTTTGACAAAAAACATTTTTTTTTTTATTTAACTCAGAATAAATCTATCTGGTTTAGTTTTAGGTTTAGAAGTATAAACGCGATGTTTCACTGCGCTCACTTATACAATTTTATTTTAATCGAAAATAACCTCCGATTTGTTGTGCTAAACCGCGTCAGGTAGGTAATATGGAAAAGTGAAAAGCATGATAGGTGAAATTAGAGACCCAATGCAGTGTTGGGAAGGAACGCGTTCCAAGCTTCGTTGAAATGAACCTGAATTTCCGTTCCTTCCATTAGGAAAAAAAAAATGAAACGCGCATTATTTTAGTGATAAATATTGTTTAGAAATTGTTGTTTAGTGTTGATCACGAAATAAGATTTATAGGATACACAACGAGCACTTATCAGTTGTTATGAGAACTTTGTTTCGTTCTTGAATTAACAGGTAGCGCTTAAAGGTGGGACTGGCGGGTTTTGTACTTATAACATAATGTCCATCTATACTACTCGTATTACATAAATTGTAATATACTATTATTATTAAATTGTAAGAGGTTTCCTACGACCGCGCTAACCGAGAAAACTACCAAACCGATTTGGCTGAAATTTTTTACTGTTATACCCGACACTCTGCTGAAAGTTTTAGTACCACTTTTGTCAATNACTACCAAACCGATTTGGCTGAAATTTTTTACTGTTATCCCCGACACTCTGCTGAAAGTTTTAGTACCACTTTTGTCAATAAAAAATAAGTATAAAGTTTTTGAAAATATAAAAATTGTATACCTATATTATATACATATTGTGCGGCACGGCGGCCCGCGGGTTTACCTGCAACCTGACCTTTTTGTTCATCAAATTGTATTGTGTTTGATACCGGCGTGTAGATATGAATTGTTCCAAGAAGTTTATCGGACGTACACCATGTATACCAAATATTCGTATTAATCTACATCTATATTAATATATATCCATTTACATATATATATATATAAGAATTTCTCAATTTTCTTTCTCCTTCGGGATTTCCTCCTCATAAGCTAAAATTAAAAATTGGTGCTCCAATTACATTATTACGTAATCTTCAACCACCGAAGTTATGTAACGGTATAAGATTACAAATAAATTCGTTGTGAAATAATATTATAAAAGCAGTCATTTTTACAGGTCAGCAAAAAGAGAAATTGCATTTATTCCAAGAATTCTCATGATTCCATCTGACTTGCCATTTTCTTTCAAACGGCTTCAATTTCTTGTTAAAGTTTCTTTTGCAATTACGATAAACAAAGCTCAAGGTCAAACATTCAGGTACTTTGGCGTAGATCTTCGAACAGAGTGTTTTTCACATGGACAATTATACGTGGGATTTTCCCGAATTGCGGACCTGAATCATTTTATGATTTTAATTTCAACAGGAGATAAAACAAAAAACGTCATATACTCAAAAGTTGTATACAATTCTTTATCAACCATAAATTACTCATCATTTCTTTTGTATCTGTATTCATTTTCTAATTAATATATATTTGTCATTAATCCCGCTAGAAACGTTATACATCAATACGTTTTCATTAACCGTTTTTTATATTAACTTGCCGATATTATTAAACGATAGAATTTGAATAAAAAATTCTATATATCATCGTCGGAAGGCAAATTAAACAACCAATCACGGGTGAAGCTGTGACGGGTCGGCTAGTTATCAATAAAATCGTAACATGGAATTCCAAATTTGGGATTTGTACAAATTAGATAATAGGTATAATACTTTTATTTTTAAACACAAAAAATATGTATAAGTAATAATCGTATACAAAATAATTAATATATATACCTATATTTTAAGTATTCCTAACTAGTAAATTAGTAACTAATTTGGATATTTTTAGTGTAGCAAAAATGTATTGGTTTTACTAAGATATTTATTTTTTTTTTTTTTTTTTTATCCTTTGTACAAAAATTCGACCATAAATCTTGCTCAGATATATACCTGCAACACCATTTCTATAAAGGGAATGTTCTGTACATGGTACTTTTGGGAGATAATTTTTTGATTTTATAAGTAGTTTTCATAATATCTGAGAAAAACCAGGAAAAAACGTAAGAAAAATGGGGAATGTACGAAATTAATGTTCTTATTATTTTATTAATTTTGCTATTTGTTATAATTCAGTTAAACATATTTGTAGAGACTTAAAATTTAAACAAAAAATTTATATTTAACTTTTCTAGACATGATAACATTTTCAAAAAATTTAAATCATTTTTGAGCTATTTATAAACATTTTAATTTTGTAAGTTTTGTACATAATTTTTATTCAGTAGGTATTTTGTGATAAAATTGTTAGACTTAACAGAAATAATTGAAAATTTAATATGAGGTTCATCAAATCTTACTTTGTAGTAAAAAAGATATTGAGTTTAATGTATTATTAATGTAGTATTAGTTTTTGTAAAAGAATTTTAATACTATATTTTGACAAAAAATTATGTTCAGACCAATTTTAAAAATAATATCTTACATCAATATGTTTTAGATAATAAATAATAACTCATTTTAAATAATCTCTCCTATTAAAATAAATTATTTCTATATTTTATTTAAAATGAACAATTTGTATAATTTTTTTTCTATGTATTCCTTCATTTAATTTTTTATATTCTGTAGTATTACATTTTGACTGTGATATACCTGATGATGAATTTTTAATTTGAAACCAGTTGTATAATTCACTTATCATAATACTGCATTTATTTATTTATTTATTTATTTATTTATTTTATTTTTTATTTTTATTTATAATTTTTTTATTTATATATTTATTTACTACAATTGTTTATCATTTTAGTTTTAAGAACTGTTTTAATGTTTGATATAGACTTTTCCATTCCTTTTTTTTGTGGTTGTTTATTTTTTTGTACAAAATTAATGGGTCATAATCAAATGTTGAGACCTCATACCCATTTAATGTGTGTATAATGGCATCCAGTTTTAAAACTACTGCTGTAGAACAAGAGTTCCCAATCTTTTTTTTCTTTTGTACCCCTAAGTTTAATATTTTGCCAGATTATATAAATCATTATAAATTATAATTATATATTTTAAAATTTTTTTCACATAACTTCTCTTAAAATGTAAAAATAAGAAAATAAAATATATTGGTTAAACTCTGATTTGCCCTTATTGTGTCTATAAGTAACTTCAAAAATACATTTTGCTTCAATGTATAGAGTACAGACAGTACAGTATCTTTTCTGAAATGAAATTTTGTCTTGTTAGTACAAGAAATAGGTAAATTTTTGATTTTTTAAGGGATTATTGAAATAATTTAGAAACCCCCTCCACCTGAATGAAAATTATAGGTGAAATGGCAAATATTTCTGGAACAATTTCATTATTTTAATTTTTGCAATTCATGTTTTCTACCAAAAATATTGTTCCAATAGAAAAACAACAAGAAATCATTTTATAGAATTTTTAATCTAAATGGTAACCAAGAAGGTAGTTTTTTTAATTTTCTTCATAGTATTTTTAATATTTGAGCTAAACTGAAAAATATGTAGAAAGAACTGGAATATTTATGATTATAATTCTTTTATTATTTTAAATGTAATTCAGTTAAAAATATTCATATGGGCTTGAATTTCAAAGCCATTTTTGAGCTATTTTTAGACATTTTTAGAAAAAATTATTAGATTTAACAAATTGATTGATTGGACCAATTAAAGACTGTTGGTTGTTGATCAAACTCATCTGTAAGGTACTGGGGGAAAAAAAAAACAAAATTAAAAGTCATTTTTTTCCAAAATAATGAAATTGGTATCAAACAATTTGTATTGATGTACTGTATCTTTTGTGGAATCAAACCATCAAAACAACCTTCGAACCTAGTTCGAAAGTAATAAGTGCCAAAAGTTTAGGCCAAACAGGTAAGTCAACTGATAACTAGGCAAGTGTTAAGTTAATACACAGCTGTAGCTATAATTAATGATATAATATTGCATTATTGTGCTATGGTAACTACATTTCAAAGTTTAACATTTAACTTAATCTAAATTAAATCTCAATTTAAATTTTAACTTCTGACTGGTACTGCTGTTCAAGTCAAGTCAAAACTTTTATAAAGGAGAACAAAAATTAGACTATATGAAACCCTGTCACTGGAACACATTGTATATATTTCTTTTTATGCTTTTTATAAATGTACTAATCATCTTTATATTATTATGCATTATATACACATTAGTATATGTACAATACAAACCAAAATTTTACAACATTAAGTGTGATTTGTAACTTAATAATAAAATTCAAGACATGTAGAAAAAATAAATTATTAGCCTTTGAAATTAGAAAAATATATAAAAAAATTGTCTAAATATTTAAAAAAAATAAGATGGAATAATTAATTCAGTTGTAAATTGTGTTCATATTAAATCAGCAACTGAAATAGAAATTTAAAAAATCATGCAATTAATATAAGTGAATATTTTACATTATTTATACATTTACAATTTGATTCAATTAATTTAGATGTTTATTTAACAAAATATAAACTTTTTTTAGTGATAAGTATCTACAATAATACATAGGAAGGCTATTTGTATTAGATTGATTGGTACAACCCATTTTTAATCCTATTCAGACAGTGTTCTTAACAAAACATTATAATAATGAAGTATATAGTCTGTCCCTGGAGAGAACGGTCCGCTGGTGCGCATGTTTTCTCCCTCCACATAACTTGATTTCAGCGAAGGCAACCGATGGTCATTTCTTCCGTCGTCGGTTTTTGACTATACACCGCTAGGATATTTTGTAGAAATTCAATTGTTATTATTAGCAGACATCGCGCATCGCACGTTTATTTACCTTTGCTGTTTTATAACCTCTTGATAATTTTTCAAATCGTAAACTATCATATATACAAGCACTTTCTATAATAATCCAGACTTTGTTTTTTTTGTATACATATTTATTTATTTAATATCTTATTGAAGACTGTAGGTATAATACAGATATATATATATATATATACTCGCCGTCATTCATTTTAAAATAATTAAAAAACCGGAGAAAAAATAAAAATTACCAAATTGTACAAAAAAGTAAACGCTGTAAAAATGACGTGTGCGTACACCACGGCAATTGGCGATAAACAGTGGACTATCGACAGTCAACAGTGCATTATTTGAAACGCAGTGTACAAAACCTGCACCACTTCTGCGGTCGCCGTTGCTGCGCTGTTGATAGATCCGGGAGGGGATAAATGGATAGTGTTGCAGCGTGGGGATGCGCAGTAGCGCTTCGATTTGGTCGGAGAGCAGACCGTTCTCTCCAGGGACAGACTATAGATAACTTCTTAAATACTGAAAATATCGATATTGCCCTTATATCCGAAATACACTTTACATCGTAGACTGTTCTAAAAAGAAAAAAAAAGATTTATACAACTTTACACCCGAGTGGTGAAACATGCGAGGTACAGTTATAGTCATACGAGAAACTATAAAACACTTCGAGCTTGAAGAATACTCAGAACTGCTCATACAAGCCACAAGTGTTTGTGTTGAAAATGGAAATAATGACCTCACGGTGACAGCTATTTGTTATCCAATCCAAGGTGGTGCAGATGAAACTAGATTCACTTCATTTTCTCAAACGCTAGGAGACAGGTTTATTTCTAGTGGTGATTACAATGCCAAGCACTCTCACTGGGATTCAAAACTGATCACTTCAAAAGGACGTGCTCTGCTAAAAGTAGCTAACAGTATAAACGCTGATATAATTTCTATTAGAAAGCCAACCGATTCGAGGAAAATCCCCGATCTGCTTGACTTCTTCGTAATTAAAGATATTTCCTTTAATTATGTTAAAGCTGAAGAACTAGTAGAGCTAAAGTCCGATCACAATCCTGTGTTATTATCGTTGAGTTCAAATGTTGTTATGCAAAAACGAAAACATTTTCTAACAAACAAACATACAGACTGAAATCTTTTTGGAATTACTCTCAAAAAATCCATCTGTTGCTGTGCGGCTAAAATCGTCAACTGCCATCAACAGAACCTGACGTCAACAGATTATTTTAATTTGAAATTTGGACTTTTTTTGAAACAAAATTCAAGAGAATTAAAATTTTCATCTGTACTTATATTCGTATATAATATTCGTGTATTTCCTTTAAAATTCCTTTATTTAAAAAATGTCAAATGACCTTTTTTTTTGTTTTTTTAATCTAGTTGGTGAGTCATTATTTGATTTTCCCTGTAATAAATTTACACTTCTAAATTTTTAAATGCTTTTTAAATAACAATGTACTTCCAATTTAGGATCATACGCCTATTTGTGCCGGGAGACTATTAAATAAAAACAAAAATACGGATAGACATACTACGGGTAAACCATTGTTGTAGATGAGAAGAACCATTAAGGTAGTAGACGTGGTGGAGTGGTGTGGAACTTCGTAAGAAGGACATCGCGTTACATTTTTTGATGTTAAGAGGAAGATTAATACGGCTTACCCAATCCAAAAAGGTTTCAAGGTCAGATTGCAAGAGGAGACAGTCGGAGGGAAAATTTATTTTGAAGTAAAGTTTTATTTCATCAGCGAACAAGAGGACCTTCATAAAAGATAAGCAATTATTAAGAGAGTTCATAAATAAAATTAATAGAAGGGGACTAAGATGGCCACTCTGGGGAACACCGGACGGGCTGATAGTCAGATCGGATTAAACACTATTGATGGAGACAAATTGTCTTATTGATGTTAAATAGAACTTAGTCCAGGAGAAAAAAGGCTCACCAATACCGAGGTGGTCAAGAGTGTCTATTAAAAGACCATAATTGACTGTGTCGAAGGCCTTCTCAAAGTCTGTGAATACAGCATCTACTTGGGAACCACTTTCAATATTGTCAGTAATGTAGGTAGTGAATACTAATCTGATAGTGACAGTAGATTTACCTGGTTTGAAACCGTATTGATATTCTTAAAGTATGTGGTTGAGACTTCTTTTAATAGAAGAATAAACAATGGAATCAATGACACATCCAAAGGGTCACCAGATTTTAGGATAGGGGTAATCGAGCATGTTTTCTACATGATGGGAAAGATACCTTCACTTAAAGAGCGTCTAAAGAGAATGAATATAGGTAAAGCCAAGGAGTTTCGGTAGTTGTAAAGTAAACGGGCAGAAATATTATCAGGCCCGTTGGAATAATTGTTCTGAGTGATTGAAGAGCTGAGAGAACATCATCACAAGAGAAAAAGCAGTTGGAGTGAAAATCATATGGGAAATCTTTTTCAAAGGTTAGAATTAGTGTGAGAAGTCAGTGGGGACTGTAAAACTGAGGAAAGTACTTGGAAAAAAGATTAGCGGTGGTAAGTGGGCTATCTGATACTTCACCAGAAAGGTGTACAGTGGAAGGGATTGAAGAGCTATGCTTCAGATCTCTAGTGAATTTTCAAAAGTAAGATCGATTGGAGGAGAGAGAGCTTTCGGTATGACATAAATGACCGATAGTCTTAGAGTGATTAGCGCTTACACTTTGCTCGCAATTATAGAAGATTAAATAATTAGAGACTCAATTTGTCTACTTAAATACTTTACGAGCGCACTTTTTCTTATTAATTAAGAATTTAAAGGAAGTGTGGGAATTTAGGAATTTTAAATATCATCCTTGGAACAAATTGTTTAATAGAATTCAAAATTGCATCGTTGAAAACTGTGGCAGTGTCGTTGAATACCTTTCGTATTACGAAAGGTAGCATCCCAGTTGAATGAGTTAAAGAAGTGAGAAATAGGTTCATAATTCCCAACATTAAAATCATAATATGAACGAGCAACCTCGATCCTCAGCTCATTTGGATAATATAATTTGATAGAAAATGAGGGATGGTAGGGTTTAGGATTAATTAAAGGTGAACGTGCTTTGAGAACAGATTGAATGTTGGAGTTAGAGAAGACTAGATCAAGAATGTTTCCAGAGCAGTTGAAGATACGGTATAGCTGGAAGAATTTTAAGAAAGAGAAAGAATCTATGATGAGAGAAGATGAAGGGAATAAGACTCCAGAGGCTGAAAGGCCGAACTTATCGGATGACCAAGATACACCTGGCAAGTTATAATCACCAAGAATAATAAGCGAAATGGGTTTGAGAGATGTTAGGAGATTTTCGACTGTGGTAAGGTGAGATTCGTATACAACTTCTTTCGATTATTTAGTTCAGCATAGACACGGCGAATTTTTTGTCTTGTCTTTCGAGAAAAGTTCGGTCGCGAGAAAGGTGAATAGTGCTGTTGCGGTGGCTTCCTAACTTAGTGGAGCGTTTGCTGGTACTGTAATCGCTAACAAATTGGAAAGAGAGCTCTTTAGAAGGGAATACCATTTTTAAAGGCCATGGTTTTTTCAGAATGAGCATTTACACGCCCCATTCTAAATAATTTAGGATTTCGGGGTAAAGACATTGAAAAGGGCTGAATAACTTCATTGATGCGCTTGATATCATCAGAGATTCTGGCAGTGGGCAGCAGTTGGGAAGATTCCTAGACCCTATTAGATGACGATATTGGATATGCTTTTTTCGCGCTCAGACAATTATTGAAGTAAGTTGGGCACATGGTTAACATTATCACTAGGTGAAAAGTTGGTCCCACTTGATTCCATGGTCACCACTCACTTTTTGAGAGAAGCTAGATCAACAAGGAGTGAGAAATTTTTAGACCTTAGTTCCCCCAACTGGGATGTAAGCAGGTCAACATTAGCTTTCAGCTCATTGAATTTAGAGTCGAGAGAAACAGACAAATTCTTGCAGTGGGTCAAAGTAAAGTTCGGAGATTTGGTAATACCAGAAATGGTACGACGAAATTCTTCAGCTAATAGAGGAAGAGATGCATTTTCAGTTGCAGGTGCAGAAGATGTGGACCGAGTGGTAATCTTAGCGGGAACCTTAGTGTCTGAAGAATTAGGCGAATTGACACTCATAATAAAATAGTGTAGATTTGTTTTTTGAATTATTTCCCGTTTTTATATTATGCAAGTAATCACTGGCACACAGTGTATTGACCAGGAGTGAAGTGACGTCTGTGTACAGAGTGTACACGTAGTACGGGTCGTGCCTACTAGCTCGGGAATTAACGAGATAAAACGACCGTACTAACTTTGGGCATAAATAATATTTAAAAGAAACTTACATTGTGTATAAAAAAGGCACCACTAAAACTGACATTACGAGGAAAATTAGCAGAATGACACCTAAACAACACCAATCTGCAAACGTATTTTTTATAATTTTTTTAGAGCAGAAAACTCAAAAAAACTGACAACTAATGCCGGAGTAAAAGGTGAAAAACTCGGGAGTATAACAATTTATAACTGTAAAATTATTGAGTTTTTACAGTTTAACCACGTCTAGAAAAGGCAAATATAAGTTTTCTTTCTAAATTTTATGTCATTACGAATATTTTAACTGTACCTATTATAAATGCATTATCTTCATACATTTCTCCATTTTATTCCGGTTTTTCCCAAACATTATGAAAACCGATCGGAAAATCAAAATTTATCTCCCTAAAATACCATATAGGTAAAATTTCCTTTTAGAAAAAGTGTTACACTTATTGATACATCGGACCAAGATTTTAGGTAGAAAAGTTTGCACAACCAATCGACGTATTTTTCGATTAAGATAGTCCGAGTGGGCGATTAATGAGTCTCTAGATACACCCAAAATGCATTTGTTTTCGAAACTTTGGTTTGAACTTGCGATTTCTAAAATGACTACATGTATGCACAAACACTAGACTACGATAGATATTATATAAAATAACAATATTGAGTTATTCGAGTATATTTATTATTAATATTATACAAAAGAAATAATCAGTTCCCAATGCATGATATTCTCCGTCAGCAGCAGGAGATGGCCGCGGATGTGCAATATTTTGTTTGTGCACTTGTCATTTCGTTTAGTATGTTTTGAGTTTTAAAATAAATATGGCAATATATCTTTTATATTTTTATTTCTGGAATGTTAGCAAATAATTCATTTATGGATAGTCAATGACTATTGATGTGTAAAGACTGGGCTGATATCATATTATCATCAAGATACAACTGTACAAAATCATAAGTAGCTTTGGCATTTTTTGGTCTTAACTTTAAACTAATATAAGTAGATGTAAAAAAATATATTATTAAAGAAAATATATTGAGCATATTTAATTATTTTATTATAATATGGCATATATATTGTTAATAAAGCATCACTATCTACCGAACTCCGCTTAGAATCCTTTTTTTTTGTAAGTAATGGTTTATCATTGCTTATAGGTATATATTAAATTATCTATAACAGTGGCTGCTCCTATCCCCATTATCATAAAAGATTATATATCCCCAATATAACAATTTAAGAAATAAGCATCTCGTAATTTAACATTTACAAACTAATAAAATAATAAATTAATCAATGCGTCTCCTGGAGTATTATGATAAGTGTATAATAACTGGTTTCAAATTAAAAATGCATCATCAGGTATATCACAGTCAAAGTATAAAACTGGACTGAATATAAAAAAACTAAATGAAGGAATACATAGCAAAAAATAATTTACAAATTGGTCGTTTTACATAAAATATAGAAATAAGTTATTTTAAAAGGAGAGATTTTTTAAAATTAGTTATTATCAGACATAGATATGTTAAGAAATATTAATTATTTGGTTATTATTTATTATCTAAAACGTATTGATATAAGATATTATTTTTAAAATCGGTTTGAACATTTTAAATATTAAAATTATTTTTCTTTATTCATTGTGTATGTGTAATTCTTCTAAAACTGAATTATTTTAATGTTATTTTGGGTATTTAATATTTCTAAGTCTATATTAATATCAAAACTTATTTATGATTATTTTCTAAAACATGTTTAGTGAAACTTAAATTAGGGGCAGTCTTTTATAATTTTATTTCAGAAATGTGTTCTTTATACTTTGTTTTAAAATGTCTATTTGTCTTACCTATATAAAATTTATTACGGTTACATTTAAGTTTATATCTATCATCAGCATTTTCAAAAGAAGGTGGATTTTTGTGAAACTTTAGGTTCTATTATTATTATTCTTAAAGCGATTGTAAGTGATTTAAACTATGAGATTAATTAGTTTTTAAATTATTAATCATTTCTATTATAATTGAGCAAAAAACGAGCATTAGCAGGAAAATTGTTTTTCAAAAATCAATTCAAGAATTATTTAAATTATTAATTTATTTGATGTAAATTTATAGCTAAAATCAAAAGAGTATTATATACATTATTATTGTATACCTTAATTAATAATATTAATAATTAAATTATTTAATCATACTAATATAATAATAAATATTGTTTAGATATTTTCCAAGAAAGTAATAAATCGCTTTAAATAAAATCTCTAAATTATAGATAAATTAATATTTAATCTATTATTAATTATTTTTTAAATAATAGGATTCATTATTGAACATTATTGAAGTTAGTGTTATAGAACATATTTGATCTGTTTTAGACACTGATTAATATTTTTAATAGTTTTTTAAAGCAATAAATATTAAATAAATAAAACACTCTTTTTTTAAAATGAAAGTTAATCTTAAATTGTAAAGTATTTTTTACAAATATTATTGTTAAAAAAAAAAAAAAACCCGAGATTTCAAAAAAAGAAACATTAATTAAGTTAAATTATCTAAAAATAATTTTCTTTGAGAAACGCTGATTTTTTCTTTCAGGTCGAGAATACTTTGCCGTTGATCAGGAGGTAATAATGATATTTGAGCATCAGTCAATTGTAATACTTGCATTATCAAAGAAGCCTGCAAAATAATTTAAACTTTAATATTTGTTATTGATACTTTGTGAAATACTTTCACTACCTTTTCTGTGTCAGAAACAACAGCTTTATTAGATTGAGATGGACTGGATTGAGATGAACTGGGTTGAGATGAACTAGGTTGAGACAAACTAGGTTGAGACAAACTAGGTTGAGATAAACTAGGTTGAGACAAACTAGGTTGAAATAAACTGGGTTGAGATACACTGGGATGAATTGCAATCAGGTTTTGAGCTGGTGGATGAATTGTAACACGTGGTGGTTCCTTTATCATCCCAGGGGGTGGAATATTCATTGGTGGTAAATTTATAAAATTGAAATCTGTAAATGGTGCATTTCCAAATGGTCGAATATCTGGCATCATTGGATGATAATCCCTTTGCCTAAGACAATATATTTTGGTTAATAGATAATCAGTTATTAGAGCATCTTTATTTATTTACAGAAATGATCTTGCAGGATGTATATGAAAAGGGGGTGGTGGAAGAAATGTTGGTGGCAATTGGCTTAAATTTGGAACCAATCCAAGTCCATGGTTATTAGTATTCATTTGCCAGTTCATATTATCTTTAACAAAATTTAAGATATTTATTATTAAACATAAAAGTTTCTGACTAAACTTGTTACCAGAATGCCTTGATGGAGGAGCTACAGTTGGATCAAATGCTCTCCAATGATCATCTGGTCTTTGATGCTGCACTGGCATTACTGGCATCACTGGCATCACTGGCATCACTGGCATCACTGGCATCACTGGCATCACTGGCATGACTTTTGATGTAGATACTGTAGGACTCGGAATGGGTTCAGGAACTTTATGTTGAGCATACATCATTGACTAACAAAAATTTAAATATCTATTTATACATTAATTGTTTTGCAAAAATAGTATCAAAATATATATTGTATTATTAAAGAGTTATTGATAATTTTAGAGTTTCTATTACATATTATTCAAAGCTCCATCTGTACATTAGTGTAGATTCTCCTAAAATTTATAAGTTAAAGAAGTGTTTATTTATAATTAATTGCTACATTAATTATAATCACACAATTGAAACTCATTAAATTTAATATTTTAATCATAAATAGAAACATAGAGGTTATAATCATGTTCATAATCTAGTGATCAATATTCTATGCATTGGATATCATATTCATACTCTTTGTGTTTCTTGTTAGAAAATGTAGAGGACCCCTGTAGTTATAGTATAGTTTAAAATAATAATAGTGTTAATAGCTGTTTGATTGAAATGGATTCTATTAATAAAATAACACTAACACTGTCATTTTCATTAATACTATTGTTATTACTAGAAAGATTATATTTAAATATTATAGTATACAAAATATGTAAAACTTTAACCTGTATATAAATATATACAATGGTCTTATTATAACATTTAAAATAATCAAATATACCCCAATGTTAAAACTAAAAGCACAAAATGAACGAAAGTATCATTATCACGTAGTTTCATGAATCGGGCAATTTTATTTATAGGGTGTAACCAGTTTTAAGAGTTATATCCCCCCCCCCCCCAATTAATTGGCTTAATATAAAAAAAAGTATAAGTAATCTAATATCGAAATGCATTTATTTCAGCCAAGTTACAAGGAAAAACTTAACATATTGATTAGAAATTGGCCTATTTTGGGATCCGGCTTTTAAATTATTAATTCTCACAGTCAATTTGGGTAGAGAGACACATTTATAATTTATTCATGATTCTTATTTGCTACATCCCCTCCTATTGATAATTTCTGGGCATGCCACTGGATGTAACATATACATTCTTTTTTTTCCTACTCCATTGATTGTTTATTAAAAAATAAAACAGACAAAAGAGTATAGTGTACATCTATTTAAATTATTGTGGTAATAATTAGTTGAGGATTTTAAAAATTACAAATCCAGTTTTCAGTTGGATGTCCCAAAATGGTAATTGGTAAATACAATTTGTAAATAGTTAAAAATTTTTACTCTGGCAACTTCTGGATCTACTATTTTCATAACAACTTGAGCTTGCAATAAGGCATAACCAAGTTGAGGATTTTGGAGCAACATATTTCTTGCTTCAACTGGATTATTCTAAAATTATAGATTATTAATTAGAACATTTATTTAGATGAACAAAATGTATATAAAAATATATTACATGAATGCATTCTTTCATTTGTTTCATTAGATCATATAATTGCTCGGGTGGTAAAGATGACACTATATTATTAATAATTTCTGGAGCTTTTTCAGCATTTACAGCATCACCATAATGATTTTCTGAAGCAGGCATTCCCATCATTAATGCTGTAATTGTTAATACACAAAATTAAATTGTTTTTAAAATCTTTTTAGTTGAATAATTATAAGTTACATTGCATTTCGAGTCTAGATTTCTCTGTACAAGCATTGTCCACGCGTAGAGTACGACCACTTATTTCATAGCCATTAAGATTACGCATGGCACTTAATGCAGTCTCTTGATCTTTGTACTCACAAAATCCATAACCTTTGGGTTTGCCAGTTTCTCTATCATAAACCAACCTAGAAAAATAATTAATGTAATTAAGACAAATTAAATAACTCAATTAGTAAGTAATAGAATATAGACACTTACTTAAATGATAAAACTGGTCCAACTTCGTTAAATATATCTTTTAATTTTTCTTCAGTGGCTTCATAGGGAATATTTCCAACTTAAATTAATATAAATTAAAATGAATACATGAGTAAACAAATTGACTATGAATTTGAATATTCATGGTCATAGTGCCATCAGAAGTAACATTACTTCCCAATCAATACAAATAGCTTACTTAATTGGAAATTTTATTTGCTTTAATAAAGCCTAACAAAACAAATTCTATTATAAGTTCTATGTATATGACTAATTATTTTTCAATAGAATTATTAACAGAATGCTTTGATTCTATTAATTATAATTATCTAGATTCGAATATTGTTTTAATGGGTGATTAATTATAACTTATCTTCCCAATTTTTTTAAATGTCAATTCATTATTTATTTTTGACAATTTAGGTAATTTCAATCTTGATCAATTTAATAATATTTTAAATACTAATGGTATGTTGTTGGTTAATGAAATTCTATATCTGTGTTTAAATTATTTTCCAATGCAATGCAATTATGTTATGCGAATATAATTAACACCCATTAAAATATTAACTGGACTGAATTCAACAATAACAGTGTTGAATCTAAGGTTAAGTTATTCTATAATACAATACTGTATTTTCTTTAATTTGTATGATCAGTAGTAAAATATTTTAATATAATAAATAAATATACGGATAAAATATATAGTATTTATTCTTTATTAAATAATTGACTTATTATTTTTTATCATGTTTTAAACTAGAATATGCTACATCCAAATGGCCCCTTAACATCATTTTTCATACTTAACACTTTGAATTAATACAAAACAATGATTTATCTATTTAAAATTGTATGTTTAGAGACTATTTTAGTCATCATATGATGTCTAAGGTTTATTCAAAATATCAAATATAAATTATAATGTTTCTTTATGTACTCCATAATAGAATGAATTACTACTAAATACTTTTAAATATATTATTTTAGAGAAATAGCTCGGTATTTTTGATTTATTACTATTATATTTAATCACTAGATAAGTTATATTTTGATATCATTATTATTATGTACCTATTACTGCTATTAAGAATACAATTCGTGGAACATCTAGTTAAGCACCCTCTCGAAATTTTGATTTTTTTATTTTTTTTTTTTTTAACTAATATAAACCCATGTATTTCAGTATTTTAAAAATGATGGTGCAAAATTGTTTTGGTGGAAATCATTAGTTTTGAAGTCATAGCTATTTGAAGTTCAAATATTATGTATATTACAATGAATAATTTACTATTGCCATTTACATCAGTATGCCTAACTTAGTCTAGAGCAATGTTTCCAAAGTGTTTTCCACAAAACCTAAGGGTTTTGTAGAACAATCACAAGGGTTCGGCCAGATGTATATGAACATTGAGAAAAATTTTATATTATACTTGGAAAAAAATAAAATCATAAAACATCAGAAAAACATTAGCGAATAACATTTGGAAAGCCTTGAAAAATTAGTCTCAGCACTTCTCTGATAATTATAATGACGACGATTAGATACAAAATCCTTTTGAGAACAAAAAAAAAGCCTGCCATGTTATCCTTGTTTGAATATGAAAACCTTATTGAAATCAAGTGTATGTCATCCTTAAAACATACTTTTGAATTCAGATCTTTAAACGAGTTTTGGATTACACGAATAATCATCTTAAACTGAAAGCTATTCTAACTGTACTGCTTTTTGTAACAACCTACCTTTGTTAGGCTGGTTTTACCTCTTATGCTTATACTGAAAATAAGTACATAATTGAATGCTGCTCCAGACCTATAAATTCAACTTTCAGATATAAGACCCAATTTTAAAACCATGAAACAAGTCCATTCATTGCATTAAAAATATTAACAATAAACATATATTATAAAATCCAATTAATTATATTTTGTTAAAAATAATACTTTTAGTTATTAAATAATAAATATTTGTTATTTTAATAAGTACAATTTTGATTGAAAATTGTTTTTTTTTAAACCAATTGTAATAAACAATAATCATGAACATTATATTTTAAACATTTTTGGAGTATTGATTTTTCAATAAATAGTTAAAAAATTAGAGTTCAGTTAAAGTTGGGGTTCCACAAAACATAAACTTTTTCCTATAGGTACAATGGTCATAACAATTTGGGAACTGCTGGTTTAGAGATGATATCTACAGGCGTGTCAACTTTTTCTTAATATTTTATGTTTGGATTGCTTTATATGTAAAAAATTTAAAATTTTCTTAGATTTTTTAAACAAAACCACATCAAATGTATATTGTGTGTACCTACAGACCTGGCAGTCACTTACTTGGACTATTTTAATTAATTAAAAATACTCATAAGTAATATCCAAACTTCAAATGGCTATAACTTCAAAACTAATTTTTATTTAATAATTTTTAAAACGTTGAAATCATAGGTTTCTAGTGAAAAAAAAAATCAAAATTTTGAGGGGGTGCTAAACTAGATTTATGCTCATGTAAATGGAGTTTAAAATCCTATATAATAAATAAATAACTTACCAAAAACGCTTCTCATAGACTTGTCCAAAATATTTTGATCAGTCATTGTATATATATACATAAACAAATGTATACCGTAAACGTAAAAGTACCTACATGAAAGCAAAAATTAAAGTATTAATTATATTAGATACTACATCAATTTGCTAAGTAGTAATTTTTGTTTTTGCTATATGCAATAGTATAAGTATATGCATAAAGCATAAAGCATAAAGCATAATGCATAAAGCAAGAAAAAAAAACCGCCTAAACAAAAGTGTATTAAATTCTTAAATAAAACTATGAAAAATTAATTGTGCACCATTTGAATGCACCTAAGAATAATTATACCATTGATAGTGCAAATAAACAAAGACAATAAATACTGAATGCATGAACAGTAGATGGTGGAATTATCAATATCGAAATAAATTTCAAATAACTTAGAATAAACCATTAAGAAAAATTGATGATTTCAGAGACAGATGCTAAGTAATCAATTTTTTTTTTATTTGTTTTTGAAATAATATTTCGGGTTTGTTAATGAAATAACAAATTACCCAATTGCTACATACCTACCTACATTCAAGTTTTTTTAAAATTTAAATTTATGATCAACATACCTCTGAATAATATGCTTGTTATATTATTGACACGGAAAAATATATACAGCTTCAATGTTTCATCTAATAAAAGGAAGTCAGTTATATGACCAGATTTATATATCTGCGGGGAGATTTCATTTAAGGCATCGATTTTATTTGTATCAAACGTCGGACGCATAAAGACGAAAACGGCTTCTATCACATTAATGGTAACAACCTTTTTTTGAAGCAGGCTATTTGCCAAAGACGTTAGAACGTTTAAATGGACTCTTTGAAGCTTATATTGATTTTACTGTTTCCAACTTCCCCAATTCTTGATTATTTAAAAAATGAAAACAATCGTTCGGGGCGTGTCGAAATTGTGCAGTAATGTTGGTAACAACACTTGCGTAAACGAGGTGATAACGAGTGATTGAACGGTTACATATTATGATATAGATAATGAAGAATTATTATCCATATCACATACATGGTATCTATTATAGCCGTGGTCACATATTTATCTGTTATCTATATTATCGCCGTTGTTTACTCCTTCTTGGGTCTACGCCTTTTTCCTGACTGCAATTATGTCAATAATTTTATTAATAAGTAGAACTACGCACTCGACGGGGAATAAATCACTCGTTACGTATGCGTCAATACGTTATCGAATGCTTTGCTTTCACTCTACGTATTAATAAATGACTGCAGTGTTAAAAATCGCAGCGTCAAGGGCTGCGTTTCGTAGTTTGTCATCGTATTCCACTCGCGTTCCAAAAAAAATGGTGAGTAAAATAAACTATATTGAATTTGGTTCTCTATGCATTAATTTAATCCCGAGCCGTCCAGTACCTTCCGAAAGTATTATTTTATAAGACGTGTTGTTACTAAATAGCTGTAAATATCGTTTAGATTTTTAAAAACCCAATTTCCCATACAAATGTGGTCAGTTACTTTAATTCTTATCTTCGTCACCAGATATCTAGCTACTTTATCTGTAGCCCATATATTTCTCTGATTACTGACTATTTATCTATTCACCTATATTTATAAGCATACGCACGGATGAGGCAGGAGAGGCAACTGCCTCCCCTGCGAGATTTCTCGCTAAAATATTTTAAAAAAATTGATATATTGTTTAGAAATTAAATTCTCTTAAAAATGTGTAGTTACTTTTTACATTTTCATCAAGATTGTAATTTTGATAACACAATATGATTAATGCATACAATTCTATGGAATTTTATTAAATTATTTTAGGTAGATATATATTGTATTTCTGTTACTAATTATATAGTACAATCCATTGAACGTTTTGATTATTATTAATTAAAGGTAGGATTTATTTTAAATTATGGAAGTATAAGCATCTTCTCAATTTAAATCAGTACCTATATAATGTATAATAGATTAAATTAATTGAATTTTTTTAATTTGTTTGATAGCATTGAGGTTATTGAGGTTATTATACTAGTACAACTCAACAATTATTTAAAAATTGATTTTATATCAAGAATATTATTCTGACATTTATACATTGCAATTATTTTAATTGTCTTAGGCTAGCCAATTAACCAAAGAACAGAGAGAAGAATTACTCAAACCATTATTTTCAAATCAATGGTCATTAGTGAAAGACAGAGATGCTATATATAAGGAATATTTATTCTCTGATTTTGTCGAAGTAAGTACTAATGTGTAGGAAGTATTTACAACCATGTTTTTAATTAAATTGTAAGAGGCACTATACCTGCATTTACTATCTCCATTAGGTAACAAACAAGATTACCTTAATTAGAAAATAAATTGTAATGTTCAGATTGGAATTTCACCTATGGGGTGTAACATATTATGTATAATATATTATTATGTCCAAAGTTAGAGCATCTTTTAATAAACTTATTTAGAAAGGAGAATATTTTTGAGGTTATACTTATTTTTTTTCTAAACAATAGTCACACAAAAAAAATAAGTTATTTTAAAAAACAATACTAACATGGCTACACAAAGCCCTTAATTTATTCTTCTCTTCAAATTTTGTTAATTTTGTTTAAACTTTAATTTCAACCTAAATGTCAACATTTATATAATATTTAGTTAATGTAAATATAACATTCTCTTATGGTGATAATCCAGAAAATGTGTCATGTCCATAGGTATAATATATACAGTGAATCATTTATTTCACAACATCCATTATTTCAAAAAGTCCTCTTTTTTAAAAAAGAATTGTTAGAAACATGCTATTCTAAAATGTTATACTAAAATTGTTTTGTAATGTAAACGCTTTGCATTTTAATAATATTCCACCACTTTTCCCCCACTGAAATTTAAAAGTGGAATATTTCATCAATGATTACTGAATACTACCAAGATTACAATGGTCAATCAGAATACAAGGCACACATTTCAGGGATACTGCCTTTAAAAGTATAAATGTGGAAGTGCATGTGTAATTTTATATTATTTTTTTTTAACTTTTGCATATATTAAATTGAATTAAATAATTATTTTTAGGCTTTTGGATTCATGGCACAAGTTGCTTTGAAAAGTGAAAAAATGAATCATCATCCTGAATGGTTTAATGTTTACAATAAAGTTCAAATTACATTATCCACACATGATGTAGGTGGATTATCAATGAATGATATTAACCTTGCCTTATTCTTAGACAAGATTGAAAAAACCATCAAAGGTTCTGTTTGATTACAATTATTTTTAATTAATTAACAAAAAAAATAAATTGAATGAAATATTATAAAAATATACCTACTCATTTTATTTGTTGTTCTTTTATAATATTTGTACGATTAGTTAATCTAATATGCTGATAAAAAAACTGTTAAGACACATAAATTTATTTAAATTGTATACATTTTAAATAACAGACATGGATATTTAATTTATTATTTTGGTTTTTTTTTAAAAAATAAAACTGCATACATTATCAATTTTCATAAAAAATGAAAAGTAAACAGTGATTGTGCTTGAATTTCCATAATATTATTTTTTTATATTTCTTTGAAATAATTTTAAGCAAAATATATTACTATAGTAATCTATGTAAAGTTCAGAATGATTGTTTATATTATAATTACAATATATTTGTATAAACTTATTCAATTACTCATTCTAAAACGGTTCAAATATCATTATCAAATGAACCGGTGTATCACAGTACAGGTAACATTATATTTTTCACTGTACCAGTTACAGGTTAAAAATATGTATTTAGAAAATTAAAAAAATATGTCACATAATAAAATATTTTATTGCAGCGCGATAATATTTTTTATACCATTGATAACTTACATGAATTATTAGAATTAAACAAAATGAGAAAACAAAAAATAATTGTTTTGAAAATAAAAAAATTTCATCTCAATAACTACAGTTTTCAAAAAAAAAAATACATATGTGATGCATACATATATGGTATTTTAATTTTTTGAATATAATCTATGTTTACTCATTTATTCCATTTTTACTAAGTTTTTGTTAATTATGTATGGAGTTTAGATATTTATACACTTAAAATAACTATGTTATGTTTAATTTTATGCATTCAAAAATTTACCAATATGTATTCAAAATAAGCACTAAAAATCATAAAATGTTCATTTGTAGCAGAAAAAAATCACCAAATATGGGCAAAATAATTTATTTTACTTAAGTATTTAATTTTTATTAGTAGTTTTTTTTTTTTTAATTTGTTTAAATTGTTTGCTTTTTGCTTAATAGTTGTTATTAATTGTTTTTAATAAAGTTATAAGCTATATATTATACTTTTACAAAAAATCTAATGTTAATAAACTGTGTATATACATGTTTTTATAGGTAAAGCCCGAATTAATCAAAAGCAACAACTTAAAAATTCATTTTTCATTACATTGGATACAAATATTCATGTTATATTTCATTATTATTACCTGGATGGTATATAATGAACTTAATTTAGATAGATTTATATATAACTTTAAATAGGTTTTAAACAATAAGGAAAATGAATAATTTAATTTAAATAATATATATATATCTCATTTATTAAATAATTTGTTGTAGACAATAACTAATTTGATAGTCAAATACTATACAATTCTTAAGATTAAAAAAAAAAATCAACATTATTTATAGTACTGTAACTTAATATTTGATTGAGGAAGTAGTTTTTTTTTAATGTCATATTCCTTAGAAGTATTATATCAATTAAAGAATTCTATTAAATTTAATGGACAGAATTTTTAATCTATTTTATACTGAACACCATCAAACCCTCTCATAAGTTATTTGAGAATTGGGGGCCTTCTTAAATTTAAAATTGTGTAGGTTTTCGAGTGTATCAAATAAAGTTTTTAGAAGTTCATCTGTTAAACATTTAGCACAATCAGTATCTAAAGTCAAATCAAATAATGGCCATTTTGTTTTTATTGGTGGAATCAAGGTTTCTGGAAAAAATTTGTATTCATAGCGTAGTTTTGCTCAAATTAAACTTTTATTAACAAGTTAAACTTTTTCAGCCTGATATCAATAGTTGTAATTGATTGCATTAATTCAGGTGTTGCATCAATATTTATCAATTCAAGGGATTCAAGGTAAAATTAATAATAGTTGAATACATTAGTAATATCTTTTACAATCAAGTGACTATCTTACACAGTTGAAACAAGTTTTTTAATTGCTTTGGTTCTCAATGAATTCTTCATAAATTATTTTTGTTAATGTTATCAATCAGAAAATGATCTAATGCCAATTGTTCAAGCAAGTCAAGTCTTTTAATTTTATTTAAATCATCTTTAATACTTAATTGAAAGTAATCAATTATTAATACTTTTAATAATTGAGTTTCATTTAACATTGCATATAAAATGCCATCAACAAATTCAACTGTATCAAAAAATTCCAAAAAGATTACTTTGGCTGCTAACAATGGCCAAGTAATCTTTACCCAATGATTTTAATTTACTTAATTATCATCAATATCTTGAAAATATGTTATCCCTAAAATGCAAATTTAAAAAAAAGAGTACACTTTTGCAAATACTTTGAGTGCATATTGAAGTAAAAGGTTATTTGAATTTTTTTTAAATTATAACTTCATTTTTGACCATTCTTGAATGACCTTTAAACATTTATTTAAATTTGCATATAATTCAAAAGTATAATATTAAACATAAATTCAAAGTAATATAATTTGATAGTAACAATATAGCAGTTTAGGGCCCAAGCATATATGAAAGAAGATATAACAAAATACTATACAGTTTTTGATTGTCAAAAATTAATAATTACATGGAAAGAAAAAAAAATCTTAAGGAAAAAGAGTATATAATTTTGAAAGATCTATTGTGCAATGAATTAGTTTATTTATTAGCAGTCTCTATATGATAAACAGAAGTACAATTTATTATAAATAGTATCTTAAATACTAGCATTACATACATAATAACCATGATGTATAATATATATAGGTATTAACTGTACATTTAATTCAAATAAATTGTTTTTTTTTTTTTTTTGAATTTATATCACTGTATTTTTGAACCTTATAAATTACAAGAGAATAATGGGGATGAATGCAGCCACTGTTGTACATAATTAGGATAAACCATTGCTTACGAAAAAACAATTCTGAATTCCTTTTTAGTTGATAATGATGCTTTGTTAACGATATATGCCATTTTACAGTAAAAAAAAAATAATAGGCTTTATATATTTTCTTTAATTATATTTATTTAATGTTGTACCGATTTTCCCAGTTTTCCTAGTGTTCCTAGTGTTTTCTCAGTGTTCCCATGTTTTGTCTCAGTTTTTCACATTTACTGAGAAAACTGATAAAATCGAAAAATTACCTATTTAAAGTACCTCCCCAAAGAAATTTCTTTTTAGAAACATTGCTATCATTATAAGTTGGAGCAAAATTTATTGCTGGTAGAAAAGTTATACACAGGAAAAAACATTGTAATATTTTAGTAATATATTACGGACATATTCCCTTTTCATAAATTTTTAAAATTTAATGAGAACTCTTGAGAAAAATTGAAAAATCACCTCCCTAAAGTACCTCCACACACTGATTTCCTTTCAGAAAAGGTGCTAAATTTAGAAATCTGATATTGTTAATATATCCGAATGTTGTTTTTAACATTTATTGATAATTGTAGTCTTAAAAAAACAAAAAATAAGTTTTTAAAAAATAGGTATCTACTTAAAAATATCTGGTTGTTTTTGTTTTTTAATCCATCAAAAAACTGAACAATTGCTGCAATTATAATTTTCTCCACAGGCCATCTATATTTTGAACTCCCTGCAAATCATTTTTTGAAACTGGGGCATTATATTCATGAGTTGACCGTGTGAAAGTTTTTTGTCTCTAAAATAATGCGCTTTATGGTTTTAAAATATTGAGTTTTGATAGTACTAGGTCAAATATATTATATCTCTTATTTATTACTACACATACGAATATGAGAAATTTGTGGCTAAAAAATCTAAAAAAATTGTATTAAAACTTAAAAACTTAAATATTTTACTAAATAAACATTGTTAATATTTATCTATCATTGATTTTGTTTATTTCAATTTGCATGGAATAGTTCCGTATAAACATTATTTTTATTCTGGTTATTAATTACCTACAAGTATTTGAAAATATTGGAAATATTAACCTACACTTAAAAATTCCAAAAATCAGAATTTGAACATATGTAAAATTTAACCAAAAAAAAAAAATGGTTTGAGCATGCTTAGTGAATCCTGTATATCATATTTTTTGGGTTACTAGATACAAATATCTTTTGAACTCTCAGTATCAATGTCTATACTTCTATATCAAATTTAAGTTAATGTAGTTAATTAAATACATTAATCAATATTTATATAAATAATATATAAAACAATATTTTTTTTTTTATATGGTGTACATTCATTATTTTTTCTGTCAATGAACATATTTGCAACAATTAGTCAAGGTTTATATAGGAATAAGAAAAATATTTTGTTGAACAAAAACGCATTTTTATTTGTTTATAATATAATCACAATCACACATCCAAATAAGGTATTAAATAAAAACCGTAATAATATTAAAATGTTAGTGATGTTTCAAGACAAAACAGTACAATATCATCTTGGCCCAACCGAGTGAATAATTAACCCTACAAATTTAGGTAATAACTAAATATAAATTATTATCATAAAATCTGATTAGATTTTCTTTATTGTGAAAAATTAACTGTGTAATTGCTTAAAACTATTGCGTTTATTATTTATTTATGTGTTATTCACCTCACAAAGTGAATGGTTAAAATTAAAATAAACAATACATTAATTATTATCATAGTTTAACAAGTAAGTATCTACAACTATAGACTTAAAACTATTGAACATATTTTCATGCACATTTTCTAAAGTACGGGAACTCACAATGTTCAGTAGGTATAAATATTCTAAAACAAATAATTATATTTATAGAGCCAGCAAAAGAAAGAACAATAATAATAGTAGAATAATACAATTATCTTTCTTAACTAAATGAGAATTTGTATAGTATATGTAAATATTTTTATTATATAGCTATATGAATGTATACAAATACAATTGTAACTATTATTTTATAACCATACCTATAACATTTAAATTAACCAATAAAAGTAAAACTATAAATTAAAATTAACATATCTAATGACAATAAAACTTGATTTCTAAATAAATCTCTACAAAACATTTTATTTTAACCCTCTGTTTATTGTTTCTGGAGAGGGGCAAGTTACCAAACATATATATAAATACATAATAATTTTAATATGCAAGTCCATAGACTTTTGTAATATGAAACTACATGCAACACTAAAATTAATAAAAAAAAAAAGTGTTTTAAAATGCATAGTGAATAACACTTCTTTATAGTAATATAAAATTTAAAAGCTATTGTTTGTTATTTAACACTTTTACAGATAGTGTAAAGTTTGAAATTTAAATAGGTTTAAAGCAAACAGTGTTTGTAGTCTTAGTACTTTCAGAGGAAAGTATTTTTATATGAATAATATTATTATAGTACGATATATTAAATTATGATGTATATTTAAGGAACTTTTCTTTGATACATAAGTCTAAAAAAAAGATATGTGTTAGGGGATAAAACACTTGTGATTCATTTATAAAGAAATATTTTAGAAATAGGTATATAATTTATATACCTTTTATATTTATATAATTTATAATGTAAGTATATTTAAACCTATATCTCACATTTCTAAAAAATATATAAGATCTAATCCGATATATTACTCGGCATGTTTCTACATAAAATCTTTTTTCCTCTAATATTAGTAATGTCTTAACACCACTGTATAGTAAAACTGTTTGAGGTTCTAATCAAATGATATTTCATGGCTACAGATACCCATTTATGCAATGTTATAATAATGATATTATACAATAACAAAATCTATGTGTAATAATAGTTTCTTTAATGAATATAAAGGAAAATATATTATATGTAGGCATCACAAATATACTATTTCCAGATAAATGCTAAAACCTTATACAATAACTAAAAAATGCATAATATAAACAAAATGTATTTTTTTTGTTTTTGTTTATTTTTACATAAAATTATGTTTTTTATTGGAGGAAATAGGATATTGTGTATGATAGTAGTAAGGGTTGTTGAGTTGAATGGGTGAGGGGAGAGGGGGAGGGGTTTTATTAATTTATTTTGAGAATGAAGCAATTGAAAAAAAATATTTATAATTTAATAATATAAAATCTAATACTAAACTCAATTTGATTTAAATTAAATTTTTTTAGTTTTTTAGAGGGGATAAAACTGATGGTGGGTAATTTCGAGAAGGGATTGGTGAGTTATGATGAGAAGGGGAGTTGTTGGATAAGCCTAATGTAGGCCAAGAAAGTCTGTAATACTGTCTTGAATCCACTGGGAGAAAGCCTGTCGTTTGGTAGATGTTCCGGTCTTCTCAGATGCCAATGCGCAGTCTGCCATGTAGTCTTCAGTGCGCACGCAGAAGTAACTCTTGATCGGGCTACGACACATCGGGCATGTCTCCAACTTTCCGAAGCAAGAAGCGCATATGCAAGTGTGGCGGCACGGCAACAATGCCCTGGATAGTGGATAGTATTGACACACGACACAAAGTTGTTCCTGACTGCTGCTGTTGTTGTCCAAGACAAGGGCGCCCTGTGATGCATCGTCACTGCAAGCGTCATCCTGATAACTAAGTGCATTGCCAGTAGCCAAGTAAAGTTGCTGTGTGGAAACCAAAAAAATAATACAAATGTTAAGTGTTGTTATCATTAAAAAGTGAAAAGATAATTTATTACATGATTTTTAACAACAGTAACTGAAAATACCTTTGAGAATTATGGAAAATAATATGTGGACCAGTTTATGATACGAAGACAAATTAATAGAGAAGAAAGTTTAATTAGTAAATACAGGAAGTTATAAATTTGTCTACCAATTATATAAAGATTCAAAGAATACAATGAGAATAGATAGAGACTGGTGTTGATGTCATAAAAAGAAGCTGTAAGGGATCAGCCCCCAAGGCAGGCCACTTAGATGTAGTAGAAGATGATCTTAAAATAATATTTTTTTGTTAGCAACGCAAAATCAAACAAACATAATATGATAACAAAAATGTACAACAATTACAACTGATGTACTTAAATATGACTATTATACTCTGGTATTTTATACAAATATTAATACTGACATAGGTGGTAGGAATTAAAACTACCTACTCATTTAAATAGTATTGTTACCACTAGCTGTGTCCTGTGTCTCACTATAATACAACTTTCTCTTAGTGTTATTTTTTTTATAGCTTTCGGTGTAAGAAATTTTAGTACTTATTTGTTTTAATTTAAGTGGGGTTTTCTTTGTTATGTATTATATAGCTACAACACATAAATTCTAATCATTCATTATTGCTGAGTGTATATTATAGGTACACCTCTTATATTTTTCCCAAGTCAAGCAACACGGTTATATATTTTAGTTTTGATTCTTCTACATAGATATACTCCTACCCTCTACAGATACTCAAATGCGTGCAGTGCCTGTAATAATCTACTCACATTCTCTTCTGATGACATTAAAAAAAAAACCCTAGTCTTACAAAACACCATTAAGTAAATTATAATATATCTTCTCGAAAATAAGTAGTGTAGATAAAGTGTGGATAAAACTTTTTATAATAATATATAGGTATGCAATTTGTAATGTTATATTATTATAAGTACAAATACAAATTTGAATTAAAATGATAAAAATTAATTTTAGGGTATTTGTTAACCATAACAATTTATGCAATGAAATAATACTTCAATTACTGGTACTTATATTTTATACTTGGATTTATTAGGAAAATAAATATTATAATAAATAATTTAGCTTTTAAAAATAAAATACAAAAATAGATAATTTGAAAAATAAAATATAAAAAGAAATTAGTACAATCATTATACAACGTGTTATTTATCATTGAAATACATTGGTACTGGTTATATGAAAATATTTAAATTCACTCTGGTTTCAGAATAGGTTATTTTTAATTTGGTTCCAGTTCATAATATATATGTAGATAAAAGGACTGGGGCAGGTAAGAATCTGATATGTATGTATTTACTGCACTGTTTGATAACTATAAATAATATTATATACCTACTAAGTTCACTCTTTATCTAATTATTATGTACAAATCGTACTGACCTTCAATGATGACAATTGTCCGTTCGCTTGTTTCAAGTACTGGGCCAGAATATTGGTGGGCAAAGTGCAAACATTGTCTCGTATATGAACGACATTCACTAACGCCACCTGAAACATAAAAATAAAAGAATTAATCTATCAAAGTTCTACATAAGAACTGGCTAGATTTAAATACTACTTATACTTAAGGGTACCAACCACTTAACTCTTAAAAATATAAAATACCTACATGTATTTAATGCTTTTATTTAGCAAATTTTTATATACATATTTTACATAGTTTATGCTAAACTATTGCTACTGCTTGTTAATGTTATTTGTATAATTTTTTCATGTAATTTAGTGTTTTTGTATTTTTTTTTCTAATTAAATAATTGAAATATATTATATTAGGATTAAACATTTGAAGATTTTTAGCACAATAATAATATAAAATTATTAATTTTGCTGTAGCTTTTTCTTACTGCAATAAAATTCAAGCTCTAATCTGTATTAATTAATAAAACTAAGTATCTGTCTATGCGTACACCATCAATCTATCCCATGTAGAATTTTGAAAATTTTAATATGCAGTAGTAGATGTAGTATGGCCTGGTTTGTGTGCACAGTGGCGCTGAACCTTTTTTTAAACCACTAGGGTAAATCCTGTTTGAGGATAACACCTACCAACCCACCCAAGTTGGATTAAGAGGGTAAAATGTATGAAATGTACATGTATTAGTTGAAAAACATTTCGGCCATTTTTCCTGTGAACAACTTTTCTACAAGCAATTTTGCTCAGATTTACAATAATAGCACTTTTTCTAAAAGAAATCTGATCGGAAAGGTAAATTTTCGATTTTCTCATCAAATGTAAAAAATCGGGAAAATTTAAGATACATAACATTAAAATATTACGATTTTTTTTTTATGAGAATACTTTCTGAGAAAGCTTACTCCGATATATATGATTTAGGCATTTTAAACACTTTTCTAAAATTAAATTTTACAAAGATGTTTATTTTATTTTTATTTTTATTTTTTTATTGCAAACAACTTTTCTACCAGAAGACTTGCTCGGATTTCTAAATTTAGCACCTTTTCTGAAAGGAAATCAGTGTGTGGAGGTACTTAAGAGAGGTGATTTTTCGATTTTCTCAAAAGTTCTCATCAAATTTGAAAAACTTAAAAAAGGAGAATATGTACGAAAAATATTACTAAAATATTACAATATTTTTTCCTGTGTATAACTTTTCTACCAGCATAAATTTTGCTCCAACTTATAATGATAGCAATGTTTCTAAAACAAAATTTCTATGGGGAGGTACTTTAAATAGATTATTTTTCGATTTTATCAGGAGTTTTCCAAGCAAATGTGAAAAACTGGGATAAAGAGAGGATATCTCCCTACCCATCCTAATTAGGCCACCGGTTGTCACAATTGTAACATACATGGGATTATTTTGTTTTACGGAAAACAATAACAAAAATAACTTTAACAAGTTTTACCGTCTCGTCCGGGTGCATAGTGGAGTTTTCGGGTGTGTCGCGGATCAGGAATATGACCAACGGGTAGCAATGTCGCGGTGGCGTGCCCAAATCCAATTTTCCTTCCGGCATAAACATCTGTACGGTTTTTTCGGTGTGACTTGTTTCGCTAAAGGTTGATGTAAATTAAGGAAATCAAACGGATTTTTATTTTTTCAACATATATATTTATAATAAAACTTATCATCGTTGCCTCCTGACCAAACTTAATATATTTTATCGTATTATGTATACTTATTAGGGTGTCACTTATTTTTGAGGTTATTAATTTTGAAGAGCGATTTGTTCCAATGCATCTAAAAATAGTGTCTGAACAGTTTGAGGTTAATCGAACATAGTTAATACGTGGTGACTTAAAGTCAAAGTTTGACTAAAAAATGTTAAATGTCACGGTTTGTCGCATAACTACTTAAAATTGTATTTTACAAAACATTGTATAGAATCATTATTGTAGTTAAAATTAATTTCTAAAAAAAATGTATCCTTACATTTCATTGTATAGTTCACCCTTACCAATGAAAATAATAAAATATGTTATAAAAAGACCTAGTAATATCTAATTTATACGTTTACGTTTAATATGTGTGATAAGCAACTTCTCATAAAAATATTAAATAATAATATAATAATCAGTTTTAAATCTAAATTTAATCTTTATATACCTAAACAATGATAATAGATGGGTTATTTTATATTTGAATTATAAGCAAATTAAAAACGATAGAGTACCTAGTATCATTTTATTTAGTTCGTAAACGTACGTCTATCGAGAATATTAAGTTATAGTGTTGTTATATAGTATTATAGTATTAGTGTTTTTTCTTTTCTTGAAAACTGCATTTATTTACATATTTAATATATACCATATCATCCACGTATATTTTTAAAAATGCCTAATCGTGAACAAATTTTTCTTCTTGGTAATATGAAACATCAAATAACTGGTTCGAAATTACCGTCAATTGGTGACTGTTTACGAGTTTTATTTTTTAATATGAGGATCTCTAAATTAAATTTGAATAATAGCGCCCTTCTTGTTGTTGATGAGTGTATAGTTTTTTGGAAGAAGGCAAGAATTCCTATTAGAGATACTCACAAATGAAAAGATAAATTAAAAAGTATTTATAATAATTGGCGACAACTATTAAAAAACAAAAGTTTTTCAAAACTCAAACAAAGAAAGTTAGAGTTGTATGGTTATTTAAATGATTTTTTTTTGATACTACCCATCAAAACGCTTTGAATATTATAAATATTGAAGAAAACAGACAGTTTTTACTCAAGCAAAGAGAAAAAGGTTGAGTAGAATCTATGCTTGGAATTGATAAAAAATTAACGAATATCGAAGAAGGCAAACAAGACGAGAAAATTATGAGAAAAACCGAGAAAAATGATAAACACTCCGTCTACATCAGCAGATGTCTGTTTAGATTTTTTATTTTCCGAAGATTCAAGTACTGAGTCGGAAGAAGAGATGTTTAATCAATCAACTACTAGTGTACAAGAAGAGATTATCGACTTATTAAAATGTAAGAGATAACGGAAGGAAATATTAACACCAAGGTTATTAGCAGCAATTGATAAGTGAAAAATAAGTGAAATACTGTAAATACATTTATTTATATCATTTTTGGAAGCGGTTTTGTTAAATCCATCTGATTATGTTATTAATAGAACCTCAATTCGAAATTCAAGAGTCATTTTTCGCAAATCATATAACAAGCAAGTAAGAGAATCGTTTAACAGTTAAAATATTGAGTCGATAGTCATTCATCGGGATCCCAAATTATTAGAAAATGTAACTGGAAAACTAGTTGATAGATTAGCGGTCATAGAGGCACAGGTAAAAGTGTAAAACAATTATTAGGTAATCCAGAATTGTATGCAGGTACTGGAATTGAAATATCGTCCGCATTATATGCTACAATAGATAATTGGTTATTAACAGATAAAGTACAAGCATTTGTGTTTGACACAACTACGTCAAGTACTGGAAGACTGAATGGCGCGTGCGTTTTGCTCGGACGCAAAATAGGACGAGAAATTTTGTATTTTGGATGTAGATATCATATTTGTGAAATAGTTTTAGCAGCAGTTTTTACAAAGTGTAATATTATATTGATTTCTGGGCCGGATATACCATTATTTAAACGGTTTAAAGTAAAATGGGCTGAAATAAACTATAATAACTATTTACCAGGAAACATCGACAAAGAAATTATTAATCTATTAGGAGATAATTACAATACTTGCATTACTGCAATACTAGATTTTGCAAATAGTACAATATTGACCACATTACTGAGGGACGATTATAAAGAGTTCTTAGAGCTTATCATAATTATTTTGGATGGTATTCCTCCTAATGAAATACAATTCAAAAAACCTGGAGCATATCACTTGGTAAGGTAAAGCTAAAGCGATTTATTCAATTAAAATATATTTATTTCATCGAGAGTTTCATTTGAAAAATGAAGAAGAGAAATCTCTATTTTAATTTATTTTATTTTTTGTAAAATGTTACTTTAAGTATTGGTTTTCTTCGCAAAAAGCCCACGAAGCTTCATTAAACAATATTAAAATTGTTGAGAAAATTATACCATTATAGAACAATCAATAAAAATATTTCTGATATAGCCATTTGTAAAATAATTAATCATTTATATTATTTAAATGAAGAGACGGTTATATTTTCATTATTTGATGAAAGAGTAAATAATGAAATCAAAAAAATATTGAATTAAGTAATTCAAGACGGAGATTCGCAACACGAAGATGATACATCAAAAAAATTAATATTAAAAAAAGAGAATTTGTAATAGTTTTTAGAAGACGAGGATAATAACATTTTAGTTAAGCTTATTGGTAATAAATCAATAAAGTTTTTCGAAAAATTTAAAATTTCAACAGAATTTTAAAAATTACATCCTAAAACATGAAATAAGATAGAATCATTTAAGAAAGGGGATTCTGTCATAAGAAACTTAAAAATCGTAAACGACTCTGCTTAAAGAAAAATAAAATTGATGGAAGAGTTTAATGATAAAATTACAAAAGATGAAACCCAAAAATAGTTTTTATTAAAGGTAAATATTAAAACCATTTTCTAGATAAGTAATATGTAAACAAAAGCAAAGGTAGGTAATTATTTTTTTTATTATAGATCGTTCAAGATTACCGTAAAAAATATCCCAAAAATGCTACATTGGAAGTCACGAAGAAATCATTTAACGATTATTGAACAGTAGTTTGATAAGTATAAATCTAAATTGCATGTTTATATTTTATTTGAAAATATTTAATCATGTACCTATCAATAAAATATAAAGTATATTTCCAAAATAACTTTTTCATAAAACATGAACTTCCAACGTATTTGTTTTATTTCACGTTTAAGGATTAATTCTATGAACAAATGTAAAGATACAAAATTTTAAGTAGTTATGCAAAAAACCGTGATATTTTACGTTTTTTCATAAAACTTTAAGATTAAGTCGCCACGTGTTAACTATGTTTGATCGAGCTCAAACTTTACAGACTCTAATAATAGATGTATTGGAACAAATTTCCCGCAGGCGCTCTTCAAAATTTGACAAATAATTATCTTTCTGTATAATTAACTTGCACCCTAATACATATATTTTTATTTATAAATCAAAGGATACTGTAATGTAAGTCCGCGGTGTTGATAATGACCACGGAGTAACGAGTCATCGTTGACGGCTGTCTGAAACGAACTCCAGGCCTTCCACAGGAAATGATGAAGTTCTCGGATGGAAACGCCCCAAAACGCTTGCAATGTATACGGGACTTGACTTGAGATTGTGCAGCGAAGATCTGGAAAAAAAATATAAATAACTTATACATTACAACTTATAAGTCATAGAAGTTATTATCAATATTATAATTATCATATAAGTTTTAATACAACATATTCTATAATATAATAGACTCTACGATGAATGTAGTTTCAATAACCGGAACGAAAAACTGATAGAGACTATATTCATAATAAATTGTAATATACTCAAATTTTTTAGAGCACCTTTATAAATTATAGGCATAATAGTAGATTAACCCAATCATTATTTTTACATAGTTTTTAAAAAGGAAAATAGTAATAAAAACATTTAACTTTTAAATATTGATAAGAATGTAATGCCACAGAGTTTTGATGGCAATTATGTCACTAATTTCGTTTATTCTATTTTTCTTGTCTAATTTTCAGCCATTTAGCTAGAATTAGTTTTATCTTTAGGTCTTATAGTTATTTTTTATACGAACAAATAAACAAGGGAAATAATTAATTTTTTTAATGATTAAATTTTAAATGAACTTCTTCAACATCGTCCAATAGAGTAAAATTTATATAACCACCATATAATTGTTTTCTTATTAAAGATGACATTCTTTTTTATTGTAGTAGATCAATTAAATCTATTAAAATACTGCATCTATTTTTATAGGTACAGTTTTGGATTAAAAAAAAAAAGTTAAATTAATATTTTTTATGTGAAGAATAATAACCGAGTGATTCCACAGTGAGAATTCCTTTCGAGTTATTTTCACACTGATATATACAAGGAAGAAAATTTAGCTTCAGGAATCTGAGGTAATTAAGTTTTTTCGAGCACTATTTAAATAGATTTTTTGGATTTTTTTTTAAATTAAATTGTTATAATATTATTATATATTACGTATTTCTTTTTAAATAAAATGTTGATCCCCCCTCCCACTATTCTTCAAAATAATACTCTAGTACAACACCAATATTCTTTGTGTGAATATTATTTTATGATACATGGTACATATTTAAATTTACCTGCATAAACAACAATAAGGTTATTAACACTAACTTCTTGTATAATATTAAATTAAAGGTAGGTGTGTTTGCAAATATTAAACGCGCATAATTATTGGATTAATAATGCAAGGTACAATGTATATACATTCAATGCTATTTAAATACCCGAACAAATTATTTTCAATAAATTGTATACCATTACGATATACCGATTTATAATTATGTCTATATAAACTATAAATATTCCATGATATTTCAGATCTTTATAATTATTTTTAACCAAATCATATCCTAAAAAACAAAATCAAAAATAATTAAACAGTTAATGCCTTAATGCTGGAAACTTTCCCATTTTCCCAATTATTAAGAAAACTACACAGAATATTAAAAAATTTTCATTCTTACACACCAAATTTCTTTTTTATAAGATGATACTCCTGTAATTAAGAGGAAAATAAAATCTAAAATAATGAAATTTTCAATGTTGTAAATATGCCTGTTTTCCCTGTATGTTTTTCCCAATTAAATTATAAAAACTCCCTTTTTTAAGACTTACGAGTTATTTAGACTCTTAGCCGTCATAACTACTTTCTTCTATTGCTTTCTATCATATGCCAGCTTTCAGTCGACTCTAATTTTTTCTTATAATTCTTTGATGCAACCCTTCCATCTTTTCACGGTCTTCCCCATGGTCTCTTTTCCTTCACCATATATGTCAATACTCCTTCCAACATACTTCCATCGGCCCGCTACACATGGTTTGCCCATTCTATCCTTATCCTTCTAATGAAATGCACCACATCTTCTCTTTTGTAAAGCTGGTATAGTTGGGCGTTAGTGCTTATTTTCCATTACTGTTCGGTGTTATTGAATATGGAACCGTACATTTTTTTAGTACTTTTCTCTCAAAAAGACGTAATTTTTCATCATCACCTCTCGTCGTTGCCCATGTAGCACACGCATATGTCAATATAGGGCGGATGTAACTTATGTATGATGATAAACTCATACAGATGTTCTTTTGTTTTTCTTGACAACAGCTTGAATTTAAAGAGGGTTTTTAGTGCATTATGAAAACCACTAGAAAATTAAAAATATCCTCCTAAATAACACACCAACTAGATCTAATTAGATTTAGGCTGACATTTTTTTTATATAAGAAAGAGGGGTCCTCGTTGGCGATAATAAAAGATAAATCAAATAATACTTAAAATAATCATAATAATAATACCTACAATGTTTATTAAAATACTTGACTATTTCCAAAAAAAATTAAAATATTAATTGTGTCGTTTAAAGTATACTTTTTATATTTTCTAGAAGAATGAGGAATATAAAATAAATGATTGTTGCGAGTATATTGGTTATTAACTTTGAAATTTAATTGACTTGATAAAAATGAATCATCGATCTCGTTATTTAGCAATTTGGAGAGAAAGGTGTATGAAATATTACTAGGCATTTTTAAAGTTTCTAAATTTAACATTTTTAAAATATTTTCGTAACCATATTCGAGGTAAAAATCGTTTGAACACTACATATTAATTTCTAGAATTTGTTTTCGTTTCCGTTAAATAAAATTTTTTTAAAAAGTGTTAGATTTTTTTCAATTTCATCAAAATTAATACCATTTTTATCCGATAAGTTTAATTTCCGTTTGATACTACTCAATATGGTGTAGATTAAACGCTAATTGACATATTATAGTATAGTAGTTACTATAAATTTTTCAATATTAATGTATCTGCAATACAAATAACTATTTTTTATTTACTGTTAGGTATAAAGTTACTATAGTTTATTGTTTCTTTTTTTTTTTTTTTTAATATAATTAGTATTAGACGAATCGTATGATGATGCTATACAGTAAATCCGGGGATCGATATAAAAACAGAAGTTTCGTCCTGGTAAAAAATTAATTTTAGTGAAAATGAAAATGTGTTTTTTTTTAGTCGAATTTTTACGAAAATCGAGACTATATCTGCGAGTATGTAACATATTTATCTGTTCCCCGTTACTTTTAGGCACTTTAAATCAGATGAATTCAAATTCATAAATAAAGGTTGTTTTATTATAAAGATACAAGTTGGGTTGAGGTTCACCATATTGTTACAGTATGAGTTTTTTAGCTCTGAACACCTTTACAGATACCCCATAAATCCCCAAAGTTTTGGCCGACAAGAAAAAAGTGGAAACACAAAAAACACAAAAAGTGGAATATCTAAAAGGAATGTTAGAAATTAAACATTTTAACACCAAAATTGATTAAAACAATACGCTATCTATTAATTTATTATTTAGTTTGAAAATCAAAATTGAGTAGTGGTTTACTCCCCTAAATAAGAGAAATGGAAAGAAAATTGATGTAACATTTATAAATACGTATTTCTTAAATGTCTTAAAAATTCTTTCCGATATAATAAGTGTTTTGCGTTATGTTGATCAAGGTATAATACAGAAAGATGGGGGATCAAATTCAACTCAAATAAGCTCGGCCAACGAGGGTTTTTTTTACATTTTTTGTGGAAACGAACAGAGCTGCAGGTACCTAAACTGAAGAATTTTTGTTTTCATCTAGTAGGTAATACTGGTTTTCGTTAATATAATATGTAAATAGCAATAAAAATACATGCTTTTAACTTGAATCACCGTCCCTCGCGAGAAATTTCGAGAGTGGAAACTCGCGAGCATATTTTCGTATTAATAATAAAATATAATAATATATTACCGAATGTCGACAATCGATCACCTGCATACGTCTTCGGAATTCATAAATAATATAATATTACATAAGTAATCCAATTGCCTACAGCTAAATCGAATTGCATCGCAAGTTAAAAATGAAATGCGACGTGTACAGGTATAGTTAATACATTATAGACTCTATAATATAGAATGCAGTCAAAATTATGAATTTGTCCACCTGAACGGATATTGTTAATAGGAGCAGATGCGAGCACATATTATTATTATTAATTGAACAACTGGCAATGTGCAACAAGGGAAATAATTTTAGCCCGTGTGTTTTAAGTGACGGTTTAAAAACGAAAACGACCAGTGTTCAATTTAACACTTCCGGTGGAGTCTTTAAAATTCCACCACACCGCCGACTAAATAATACAACTCAACTAATATGCATATACAATATTAAAGGGTTCTCATCGTATATATGATTGCTTAATTGTGACATAATTGAATTTGCATACGTCATGTTTTGTTATATTTTAGTGGTGTACTTGAATGTATACCTATTACCTATACGTACACAAAGAGAATCGATCGACGTCTACAATGAACAATGAATGAATATCTAGAACTAAAATTTTAATTCGTATTTGCTGCGTTGTTTAACGTATACATAATAAAATATTATTAATCCGCTGTTACTATTGCAGTAACCAAAAATATACTAAAAATAAAATTCTTAATTGCATTATTCAACACGTTTTAATAATTATCTTGTCGTTGTACCAAATTCTAAAATGTAAACATATAATTCATATTGTTAATGATAAGTTAATAGAGTCAGAAACAGTATTAAAGGTCAGGTATGTGGTAGCTGAGTGGTAGAGCATTTTCGGTCCAGCCGCACGGTTTTTAGTGCTATTTTCCGATTCCCAACAATATAATATAATATGTCCTTAAATTTGTGTCGGATTTTTCAAAAAAATAGAGGCAGTCATTATAACGGACATATTGTAATCTATTATATCCGTTATAATGTTATATATTTTTGGAAACTTCTAATGGTTCTCTTTGAACCAAATGATTTTAAGCTCGATAATTAGCTAGAGTTGTTTTATTGAAGTGATAAAAGTTGGGTTAAATTTTAATACAAATTTCAGTATTTTGTTACGAGAAAAGGGTTTTTTAGGCATTGAACACCCCTGCAAACCCCTCAAATAAAGATAGGAGAATGCAATTTTGTTTATGTGCATATATGTTCCTCATAGAAACTTTCAAAGCCCACCCCTACTATTTGTATGCTCAAATTTCACTATTTTGTTTTTTTATATAAGTATAGTATAATAGTACAATGTTATATTCGTATAGTAGTATTGTTTTATATTGTAGTATTTGTATAGTTCTTTGTTGTTTTAAAAAGGATATTTATGAAAAGCAAAATAGTAAGGGGAGAGGAAATTCGATTCTAGTAACGAAGTTATACTGCTTACAGGAGTTTTTTTTTTTTTTTTTGGTGGAATTAGTAATTAAAAGAATATCATTATCAGTGTTTGCGGAAGAACTGCTACAGACGTTATCAAATATAAAACAGCAATAATAATACACGCATGTTATCAGCGCAAAAAAAAAAAAAATATGTAAGAAATCCATCACACCACCTCGAGCATATACTTTGAACCAGACGAGTGATAAAGCCATTATAGTGATATCATTGGAAATTTCTGATTTAAAAAAGAATATTATACGTTTACACTGATGCCATCCATCGGGCGTCATCATCACCAGATGTATTTAGGAACATAATAACGTAGAATATGAGATCGCGTAAATATCAGAATACTATTCAATTATTATTGTTAGACTAAAACTAGCGCATCTGAAAAAATTAACAAATGGCAGTTTTTATTATTATTATTATTTTTTTTTTTTTAATGTACATATATGCAATGTATAGATGATGCTACGGACAAAAGTGGAATTCACTCGAAATCTTCATATACGGGTAATGTCTGATTCACGAAGTCACTGTGTATATAATATAATACTTATATAGTATTATGCTTCGTTAGTAACGCTCGGAAATCGTGATCGCGTTTCGGTGTAAAAACGATTACTAATTGTAAATTATCATTATGAATCGTTTTGTTTTAACGAGCGCGAGCGCGCGCGCGCGTAAGTATAGATACGTCTGTATTTACCCGTTTCTGATTCGCTGTACACAGAGATATTAATTTATATTATTCCTATATAGTTTTAGCATTTAATATGTTATTTTGAAATCGCAAAAATCCAATATGATTTATGTTTTATGTATACGTTTCGATCGTAAATCTTGACACTTTACCGTATTAGGCGGCTACACACCGCCAAATTTACACGCGCCTTTTTTCGCCCCGTTCGTTTAAATTTATTCATTCCGCGCTGTTTCCGTGACCATTATTATTTTGTTTTTGAGCACATTGCGGAACGGATACTATTATATTTCGACTGAGCTTACACACAATATTTTTAAACGAATGTTCGTGATCGTTTATTCATTTTGATTGCACGATCGACACGTATTTGATGATTCTGCAAGAGGAACTCATCAGTGCAGGTTTAACCATGGTTTGTGTGTGTGTGTGTAAATAGTAAATAACTTTTCTAATAGAAATCTTCTTCCAATCAAAAATTTTCCAGGAACTTTTTTGTAGCATCGATTTATAGTTAGTGAATTTTTGTATTTCCCTGGTATAGTTTTATTTTTAATAACATGCGTGGTGAAAACTAGTAATTTTCGATATAATTTTTGTTCCCTAAGTATAAGCTTTTTTTTTTCATGAAATTAAACTTGAATAATATTATAAAAATATAATACGTGTCGAAATATAATATTGGTACGATAAAAAAAAAATATCACCTTCGGGCGGAAGATTTTTTTTAAATTCATTTTTAACGATACATTTTTTGTCACAGAAAATCGAACAATCGATCGTAAGATTATAATATAATATTGTATAGCATTGTAAAGACAAGGTCATTTTCAAGAAGACGTTTCCATTATAATTCATAATATTATTATTGGCTCACACCGTAATTGTATAGTCCGTATCAAATTTGTCGTGGATTACGCGAGGTTTTGTGAACAAATAAATATTCGACATATTTTTTTGTAAAAATTTCTCACGTGATAGGCAACACATACAAACTTGAAAATATTATAAATTTTCGAATTACATTTAAATAACTTATACGAACTCGGATAATGTTAATTTATAAAATTAAAATAGACAATGATGTATGATATATTTAGTAAGTTCAGTAAAGTAATTAAATATATTACAATACAACTATGCGAAGACAACAATTCGCCAACATTTTTTTCTCGATTTAATATTATTCTAAAGTGTAAACAAGAATATGTAATTTTCAGAAGTTGCAGCAACAAGGGAGTATGTATAATATCGATGATGATCGATGACAATATAAGTGCAGATGCAAAATATACGGAAATATTATGGATGATATAACATAATTACGACGTGCGCTTAAAACCAAATAAATAATACATTTATTTCAAAAAAAATCCAAAATTTTGAGTAGAAAATTTTTCTCTAAACTTATAACTTTACTATAGTAATATATACTTAGACCAAAATTTGGCTGCAAATGTTATATTTTATCGTTTATCAACCTGTAGTTTACAGACTGATAAACAGATTTTACATAGATACGAGAGTATACCTACATACCAACTATCACACATTCAAGTTTTAAAAATAAACCGAATAAAATTATTTTTTTAATATGAAGAAATATCATTATTTCTCGCGTGTTTCAATAATGTATAGATACGTTAAAAAGTATTCGACCAGAATAAATCCGGTAGCAATTTCAATCTTTGGTCGATAAGTGAGCATAATCATATATTATAATAAGTAGGTACTCACAAAACCATTTTACTTACAACAGCCTAAGAATTATCACTAAGATTATCTCCAATACCTAGTTTGTAATAATTATTAACATGAATCAATATCAATTCGTTAGGTAAAAAAAATTACGATAACTCGCAAGTCACGTTAGATTATTTTATAAATACGATTTAGATAAACTGTGATTTAATAATTATATATGATGAATATTATGTTAATACTTAATTAAATTAATTGCAATTTTGTACAAATCGCATTCAGTGTATTAAATTAATGAAAAAATTGAATTTTTTTTCTTTCCAATTCAGGTTTTCCGTTCATCGAAACCATACAAATATTCTTAAATAAATTCCTCTTCATTTTTCCTGAACACATAAAATGTTCTGCCCACACCAGACGTTCCTTTAACATCTCTTTAATTTTTTTATCTGACCCTTGAAAGAGATCACGCAGAAGATATAGTTCGCCGTTATGTATTTTGTTCCATTTCTCTGAGTGGCTGAAATTCCCTCTCAACTACACAATATATAAAACATCTCAAACAATAAACATATTTATACCTATATATATATTATACTATATTCATAACTTAATATGTTATAAAAGATTAAATTATTAAAGTTAAATTAAATTACAACACACATATTTGAATAAAAAATGAAAATATAGCAAAAATCATCCATTAAGGCGTGGTCAATACTCTATTTCTTCACGACGCGCCACGGCGTTACAGATTGCATTGTTTTTAATTTTTACAAACTATGTTTTCTACCAGAAATATTGCTTTTATTAAAAAAAGCCAAGTGACCTTTTTTGTTGAAACTTAAATCAAAATGCTCACAAAGAAAAAAGTTTATTAATTTTCTAAGTAGTTTTTTTTTTAATAATTGAGCAAAACCTAAAAACAACGTAGAAAGAACAGGGCAATTTACCATAATTATGCTCTTATTATTTTTTGTTTTTTTTTTTTTTTATTGCAATTCAGTTAAAAATATTTGTCAAGAGTTAAAATTTTGATAGAAAAATTATATTTGCTGGGTGTATATTCTGGGTGTGGTAGAATTTTCAAAAATTGTAAGTTATTTCAGAACTATTGATAGGCATTTTAATTTTGCGAATGTTTTACGTATTTTTTACTCATTAGATACTCTGTAAATAAAATTGTTACATTAATTAGAAATACTTAAAAATTTGAAAGGAGGTTCATTATAAATCCCACTTGTGGTAAACAAAAATAGTGTATAATATTATTTTTTTATAAAAAATGTTAATATCAAACTGACGAAAATCGTAAATATTATGACTTTTTAAAACAATGTATAACCGAAGTTCGCTCGGAATCGTTTTTCATTAGCAGTGGATTATTGTTACTTACAGGTGTAAATTAATTAACTTTATGTATCCTATATTCTCGACGTCCCACCTAAAATAGTGGCACACCCGTTCCCAAGTATCAGCTCTTTTTGTTTTTTATTTATATCATAAAAAAAAGCCTAAAATCAATAATTTCAAATAAAAGCTTATTATACTGATGATGATTTATTATGTCAATGAATAAAACAAAATAACGTAGATAGGAAGTATACATTTTGTACACGGTTTACATGATAATATGTTAATAAAATGACACAAATTTAAAACAAAGTCGATAAAATATGTATTAAATTGGAAGAAAATATAAATATTCCAGCAATACCCAAAAATATAAGTATATAAAATATTAATATTATAATACAAAATAGAAATTAAAGCATTTTTAATTTCTTTAAAATGCGAAATGAATTGCTCATTAGGTTTTATAGTTGGATTAATAGGAAAAAGTATGCGAAAAAAAAAGGAGAAAATAATTCTTTATTTGTTTAGTAACATATAGTAAAGTGACAAGTTTACTTGAAGAAAAATCTTAATTTAGTAACCTACTAAGTAGTTATACTCGTAGAAAAAACATGAACAATTAAGTTATTAATTATTAAGTTATGAGTAGTAATTACAATATAGTAATGTTACTTTTTTTCCTTATTATATTATTATACAACAATATTATCTATAGGGTATAGCGTAAATGAATTTTTAATTAATGAGACGGTAGATATACTTATAACAATATATTAAAATATAAAAAGCAGCATTTTTTCACACAATTTTTATCAACTAATATGGATATTTATCATTGTCTAATATTTTATATATATAAGATGTATATATATATTAAAAATTCGTGTTCTTTAATTTCTACCGTAGGCTGTTTTATTTACGCTCAATCATATATTATAACTCATTTTGAGATAAAACTTTTTTCTCACACAAGTTCTGTGTTTTTAAAAAAAAAACTAATGCGATGATTATTAAATTGTAAGATATACAACGTACATTCCACAAATAACTCTGTAAGTATAAAACATATACCTAAAGGGAAAGAAAACAATCCGTGTCTGGGTAAATATATCTTGGGTAGAATTGTAGAAACCATGATGTCAATTTACTAAAAATATAAAAACGTTTACACACTCACGCAACTTTTTGATATATTATTGTTATACTTAATGTAGTTATATTTTTGCTCGCGACACACAAAACGTTGAATCAAAAATGTCCGAATCTGTCAGTAGAATTTTCTAATAAGTTAAAATAAAAATACTAAAAAAAAAAAAAAAAATAATAACTAAATAAATTTAAGTTAATGAGCACGGTACCAGTTTTTCAAATTTTCTCCAATTTTGAAACATTTTAAATTATTTTTAGCATTTCAATTACTACCTTAAAGATAATATTTTAAAACTGATCTACTTCCCGATACTCATTTAGGGGAAGGGACAGGGCCGTTTTTAGTGATGAAAATGACTCCACGGATTTACTGATAACTCATTGTCAATTTAATATTTTCATAAAAAACAATTTTTTTATTGCAGATAAACAAAATTATAAAGGCCACATTCAACTCTCGATATTTTAATCCCGATTTCAAATAATGAAAAAAAAAGGTTAAAATTTACTTTCTCTAAAAGACTCATTATCAGTTTTGAGAATAAAATATTGAAAACCGAAATTCAATGCGGTCTGTAGAATGTTTCTCTCTATTAATTAAAAAAAAATTAATTTGGTTGATTCTACTGAACAGTATCACTATTTCCGTGTAGAGTGTATTTTGTGAACAAAACGATATTGGCCTAAGTACAAATTAAAAGAAAAATAACAACTGTTAGATTAAAAGTTGGTTGATAAAAACACAACTATGTTAAAACAAAAGTTACTAACATAAATAAAAGTTATTGAGATGATAAAGAAAACTCACATAATATTTCTTTAAAATTACATGTATTTTTTAATTGCATTATTTCATTGTCATTATTATCGGCTTTATCTGTAGACGTGTTTAATAGATGTACACAAGTCTGGGTTGGAGGGCAGAAGTCCGAATATGATAATAAGGTTCCGAAGGGCAATAACGGTCTGAAATGAAAACGTACTATCAATCATTGACAAAGAACTTACCTTAGTACCATGACGTACAGAAAAGTGTTTAATTATTTAACTGGTTAAATTTAAAGTCAATGATAAAAGTAACTTCATAACTTTCAAACTAGTTAACGCCCTGCCTTGAACCGCGAAACGGAATATTCAAAAAAAATCAATAACGTTAATTTTAAAGCGGGCTATGCACATTAGTTAGGATTCGTCACGTAGGAACGTATCGGAACATTCGGAACATCTTTATTTATTCAGGTGAAATAATTTACTCTAATGCTCTTTTCCTATAATGATTTCATGAGCCCTGTCTTTTGCGTTAAGTAATGTTTTTTTTTTTAATTGTCTTCTTCTACGACGACAAGTGCTGATGTAATCACACATTCGCTTTTAATAAAATCGTAAATGTAATTGAAACATTGGGTGTGGCAACAAAAACACTCGACAATCGATTGATCAGAATTTCGATCCAATTCGGCGTATTGTGCGACAAATTTAATATTGCAGTATAATAATATATACCCATGCTAATCAACCAAACTGTATCATTTTTCATCAGCCATAAACCTGTCCATTTTCATTTCAGATTTATCTCGCATTTCTGTGCGTGGTCATAATTTTGTTTTGTGTCAAATAATAATATTATTAGACGAGGCGACGAAAATATAATACGTCATTGTCAATGAAAATTGCACGCTCGCACGCGATTAATATAGAAAAATAGCATCGCATATTGTGCAATTCAGTAGGTATATTGATTCATTGCATACCGCTCGTGGTGACGACTGTGCACCATACGCATGCCTATACTTGGGTCAAGATAAAGTGAAAAAAAGGCTAACTGCACACGCCATACTAATCGAACAATTTTCGCTAAAAATTCCAATAATACATATATATGAAAAAAAAAATGTATGCTGATGAATGTGTCATCTTTTGTTGTAGGTCAGAATTTGAGAGATTCATAAAGTAATATAATTTATATCTGTACAGAAGATTAAATTTCAACGAAAATCGTTAACACTACGGTATTTCAAACCATGTACTACCGATCTAGAATTTGTTTGTATTTGACTAAATTTTCTATAACTATAAAACGATTCGGGAAAAATAACCAAAAACTATTCAATGCATTCAATTGGTCAATATTGTATTAAGACGTTTTCCTAAACGATATCTTCTATTGGTAATAATTTACCAAAATTCGAAAGACTAATATCAATTTGAATTCCGATGAAAATTAAAATTCATATTTTTAACTACCTACAATGGTGTAAATAGCACATCTTATTTATTTTGTTCAAAATAACAAAAAACAAAAACAATTGACGTGAAAACAAACGCATCGGTTTATAACTAAATTGCCGAATCCCAATCCGCCGACAAATAAACTTATTTTATTAGGTATATTAAAATTCGTCCCAAATCGCCCACAGACGATTGTAATATTATCGAAAATAAATACTTTATAATATTATGAAGGAAAATAACACTATAATATTAAACCGTTGAATATTCAAAATCATTTCCAATGCCATTGTGACGATAAGTTTAGTATTATTACTATATACTTACAACACCGTTGTTCCACAGCGTATAATATTATACTGCTTTACTTGTATTCAAAATTCGGGGAGTAGCAAGGGATCTATTTGTTTTACTATGTGACGTGTGTTTTTATACTTTTTTCATTTTCTTTTATGAGCCGGTTAAAAACTAAATCATGATTTGTCGGTGGTTTACAATATATTATGTTCGCCGGTTGGACAAAATACAGGACCAAACAATCCACCTACAATCCACGGTGTAAAGTATGTCGGCTTTTTTTTATTTATACGTATACACAATATACATTTATTTATAGCTGCAGTATACCCTCGTAAATTATTATTAAATACGGAGAACCGTCGACCCGACAACGACGAAAACAACGACAAGGGGATGTGTTCAAGTGGAAACAAACACCATGTGTTGGGGCTGAGAATTTGTTGCGAGCGCATTTTTTTTTTCTTTCTATTGTATGACATAACTTTCTTAATACTGCAACGTTCGAACTATGCACGAAGCGTAACAATGATAATCACGTTATACGTGGTAGTTTGAAAACTTGTCGCTATATTTGTCGTTTTCGATTTTTTATAGTTATACGAATATTTTATTAGAACATTGGAAAAATATCAGATTTATTTATTCCACATAAGAATTATTTTTGTTTTAATAAATTTTCAAACATATTGCATTTCACTGCTGTGTATGTAGCGTTTTTTGTTTTTGATTTTTCAAATAGCATTTTTCTATTTTTAAAGATTTTAAACGCTTTTTGTAATGCATTAAGAATGTACACCCCTTTATTTATATTATAATATATGAACTAGGCGATATACCGTATTTTCTCTCTCCGTTTAAATATAAAATTTAAAAGAGCTCGTTTTTACTTATTTCAAGTTAAAAAAAAAAAATACTTTTTACTAGTTTTCTCTTGTATGTTTTCTACTTTACAATTACGTAAGTCCTCTGACGAAACCTAGATCCCCTTCCCTATGATGTTTAAATAATTTCACCATTATATTCCGTTATTATAAGTCTTATTTCCTTATTTGTGTTATCTAGTAATCGTATTGGTATCATCGCTGAGGGTATGTGGCAATAAAAATCCGCGAATGAAGTTTTTATTACAAAAATAAAGAGCTAATATAAATTCAAAAGCGTTTTTCCCCTTATTTCGATAGTTAAAAAAAAATGCGCTTTAATTGTTTTTAAACATTCTTTTTTTTGTTGATTTTAAATGTTGTTCTAAACCCCGGTATAATATTGTGTACATATAATTTACACACGTTTGCACAAATAATATTGTCTATTTCATTCCCGCTTGGGAACCTTGAAAGTGGACCAATACAGTAAAGCGTGAGTAATTATAACCTGGGACGTGTCGTCATGATGTAACCTTCGGAGAGTCATCGCGCTGGCCCCACCTATAATACGTATAGATATATCTATACTATCAGAACTTGTTAAACTCCCGTCTCATATACCTACTACTGCAGCAGCGGCTAAGTATAGTTATTATAGGAGCTCGTATAATATCGGCGTCCAGCGGCAGCAGTGTGTTGGTACACTATATATGGAGATCGGAGAGGGGAGGAGTTTAAAAAAAAAAATTAATACAAAATATAATATTATTTTAATATGAACCGCAATCGTAATTTTTTTTCCATCTCGCGTATACAGTCGCAGTCAATATTAAATTTTTATCTTAAATTTAAATATCATCGTTACAATAAACGGGAAATTAATATATTTGTTTCTTTTTATATTTTAAAAATCAACGCCCGATCCAAAAATATTATATTACTACAACTCTATAATGTAATTTCACATTAGTTACAAAATGTATGCGCATAATAATTATTGCACGGATATAATAATAACTTGGAACAGCAAATATTTTATTTTTAAATAGATAGATTACAACTAGTAATATTGTGCTACAGTTAAAGAAATGCTAATTTCCTATGTTTACACAACTAAATGCTTTTTGATTACTTTTGACTTTTACATAACAATATTATAATAATATACCATCGAGGGTTCGTAAAAACAACTGTTATTAAACCATCCAATAATAATAACACTATATACCTACGTCGAGTACCTACATTAGTTATTCCATTATTATCATCACAAATATATATACATACATATTTATAATATTATAATAGATTACTAACTAGTGAAAAGAGTTGAAAAACTTTTGGATCACCATTTTTATGGGAATTATGCAGTGATAAGTTCCTCTTTTCTTTCTTTCACTCTCTCTTTTCGTTACAATGTTCTTCATTAATGTCTGGGATATGTATTGGTATTGCTGCACCTTCTGGAGGTCTACCTTGTTTTTTTTTTAGTTTTTTTAAAGTTATTACACCATGAATTACACTATGGAAAGACGAAAAGAAACAGCAACAACCCGACAGCCAAACATCGCACCAGAACGTCCTTGACTTTATCGACAAAAAAAGCTCCTTTAAGGGTTACCCATTCCCTGACAAACGAAAAATATTGCATAGTAGAAAATAATAAAAACCTAAAAAATTATCTGATGTAAAAATATATAATAATTAATGATTGTATCAATATTATGATAATGCAGGTAGCAATGGTAGAATATAATATTAAAATAGACAACAATCTAATATGAAAATAATAATAAAAATTGTTCTTTGTGTAATATTAAACACAATATAATGATTTGTATTATATTAATTATATTTTAATATAAATACGGTCTGTAGTAACTCTAATAAAAGTTTATTAGAATAATAATAGTAATAATAAAAAAACGCAATTTAAAGATGATATTATTAAAGCATATGAACGGTGCATACAGTCGACGTGGGATGATATTAAATTGAATAGAGATCCAATTATTATTATTGTGGTGTACGTACGCAATTCGCGCCCTTCAAATTTCGAGTGTCGTCTCTTTATTATATTATATAGAGTTGGTCTGATGAGTGAATGTCGCGCACACACAATGACCGTTAATAACAATATGAGGACTTGAAGATTATCAAGGTCACGTAACCATCATCACCATGAGAAAAAACGTCTATACATTTTAAATTTACTAAAAATTGTGTGGAAAAAATTCTTTAAATATCTAATACATCGACAAATACTTCAATCCACTTAATATATTCATGCTCGATTTATAATATAATGTAATAATATATACCTTGTGCACCAAACTGAAAAGACACTATTTCTGTTCAAATCGAATGTGATATTTTTATACATTTCTACAAGTATAAACACGAATTAAATATTAAGTATTGATTCATAATCATAAGTATCAATAGAATTTCTGTCATTGGAAAAATTCAAGACAGTATTCTACTTTTAAATCTACTCTAAATATTACAAGAAGGTGTTTTTAACATTCATAACAACTTCGGCATATTCGTTTGTCACGCATCAAACAATACCTATATATAGTATATACATTCTCAAAGATCTTATAACTGTGAATACATTAACGGAAAAAGCTACATGACAACACGAAGCTACGCTAAAAAAAAATAATGTCCTCTAAACACCTTTCATTGACGTTAAAATGCAACAGATGTTTTTACCGATTGTGCTGCTATATATATAACTCGTCACACGCCGTCTGCAGACGAGACATATAAGTACGAACGCCAATGGTAAGCTAAGATTTTAATTTAAATTCGTGGCATAAAAAACATGAACATTTCAACGTTAGTAAAAAATATCATACATTCTACGACTCGTGGTCTTCGTGGACATTCATGGACTTTTACGGGCTTACAATTCTATAGTCATCATAATATAATAATATAATAATAATATAGCATGATATATTATAGAGAAACAATTTAGAGGAATCAAATAAAATGTCGGAAATATATATTATAGATAAAATCATTAAACAATTCTTTAGAATGTTTGAAAAATAAAAACTAAATATTACTCAGAATTTTCTTAAAAATAATCGCTGGTACATGATAAAATAATTAATTTACTACATTATGATTTTTCAATATTCAACTCTAGAAATATAGACAGAGAACATTAATTACTAGGTAAATTTAATTTTCATATCGAGTGTTGAATAGTAAGTCCGTAATAATTTTTAATTAAAATCAATATTTTACCCAATTTTAATTTGCATACTAATGAAATGTAATGGTTAATTAAAGAATTATTTCCACACTTCAGATATACCTGTAGGACTATAAAATGTATAATAATAATGAAGTATAAAGTATACATGATTTGTTTTTTATATGATAAATTATATTTTATCCCTTGAACTGAATCAAATTTAAATTTAAAAAAATAAATGATAATTTTTTTTTAAATATGATCTATATATTCTAAGCTATACCTATCTATCGATTAAATGAGAAAAAATATAATTTGAATATTGCATTAATTATTTATATAAGAATATAATGCATATGCGTACATTAAAAATGTAATTTAAAATAAAATAATATCAGACATCCCTAATCACACGGGTAGTTTAAAAAATAAAACGTGTAAAATAATTATTCTAATTTATAATAGCTACCTCGAAATATAGTGAAATTAAAAACAAATATTATAAACAAACTAAAATGAAAAACAATTTTCAAAGCATTTTACGGATAAGGCACTAATGAAAAAAGGTAGATAACATTTTTTTTAAATTATTTTTTAATTAACCTTTGTCATGGTAAAGCAATAATCATAAACAAACACAAAATATTGATACACGTAATCCAACGAAGTTGTATTATGAATATTTGAATTTTTAATGCATCTACCAACTGTTATATCGAAATGGGCGTCAACTATAAATGTGAACAAACTGCCCAGGAAGAGCGTTACGCATCGAATAACCGCATGTGTAATATTATTATACACAAGGAAGAAAACAATAAAAAAAACACCGTGAGTGTAATTATTAATGAGGAACAAATACTCGAAAAATATTACAATTTTAAAAACTCATAATACCTATGAATACAATTTTTACCCACTTTTAATTACCCTATAATCCGATGAGGTTTTTTTTTAATTCATTATATTACTGAAAATTAACAAGTTTCACTCAAACTATGTATGACAACTATAGGTATTTTTTCAATTTTAACTGAAACAAAAAATTATGAAAAAATTGTTAATATTAAACTTTGTGTATTCTGTATCACAGAAAATCTAATACACGTATAGAACGGATTTTTATACCAATTTTAATGTTATATGCAAAATATTACTATAAAAAAACTCTTCACAGACTATAAAACTACAGCAGCTTGTGTGGCTGATATAAAATAAAATAACCACGTACTCTGTGACGTCGACCGCGCGTATTATTATCGTGCATATAGGATTAGTTACGGTCCATTGTGTCGGTTTATAAAGCCGTACGTAAATAATTTTATAAAAAACTCTATACTTATGAATTGTTACTATTTCTTTTAGATTCTGAGCGAAGTAAGGAATCTATTGGTTTTACCTACAACAGTGGCCTACTCATTGTGCAAAGTATGTCCGTCGTTTTTATAAATTTTATTCGCTACTGAATAAAATAATTGAGTGTGAGACAAATTTCAGAGAATCCGTTTAATATATACACAGTATAAATTATAAATACAAAAAATATGTTAAAAAAATAATACCCTTCACGATGTGAATTCAAAAAAATGTGGGTTATTGCTAAGTATGTATTTGAAAACCGAAATTTGAAATTATATTGTGTTTATGTGTAATACAGAATAAAGGTATTAAATATTATATTTCCAAAACATAATACTGCATTCTACGATTCTGTACTATAGTTATTACTAGAAATATCAAAACTCAAATTTGTTAAACAAAATAAAATATAAGGTAGATTATATTCGTTTCTCAATATAAACGTTGGTCAAAATTATTATAGCCAACTTCTTGTTTAATAAATTATATCTGTAGGCAACGATACATCATTACTAACAAAAAACGATTTGGAGCAAAGTTGGGTAAGACATATTTTGAAATGCCAGTTTTTACGATTATCGAAAACATTTCTTATGAAAAAAAAAAAAATCGTTAATTAAACTCCATTTTATTTTTTAGAATACATGTAAATAGCCTATCCATAGCTAGAATGTTTTAACAATTTTACCCCGTCTACAAAAGGCCAATACAGGCTGTCCCATGAAGATATACCCCTTGAATATTTAGATAATAGAAATAATCAAATTATGTTTTTTTATATTACTCACAGGAATGAAGAGTTCAAATATTTATATATGAATTAATTATAAATTAAAAAAACTTTTTACTTTAATATTTTTAGAAAGTTTTAATGTATCACACATTTATATCCGATGAGTTTCTAAATAACAGTCGTTTTAAATTCTACTAATCCCTGTGAAAACCCGATGTTATCTAGAGAATAACCTAACTGTGTTACACGAAAACATCAGGTTTTCACAGGGATTAGTAGAATTTAAAACGGCTGTTACTTAGAAACTATTCATCGGATATAAATGTGTGATATATTAAAATTTTCAGAAAATAAACTCTACAGAATGGCTATCTTAAATTTTTCGGAATTTGATAAAATAAAATAATTTTTTTAATAAAAAAAAAAAAATTCATATATAAACATTTGTATTTATCATTTCTGTGAGTAACATAAAAAAAAAACATAATTTGATTATCTTTATTATCTCCGGAGATATCCAAGGAATATATCTTTGTAGGATAGCGATGCAATTTCGTTTTACAATAATTTGACACGACACACTTAACATACAAATATATATAGCAGAGTTTATATACGGACAGCAACGATAAATTATTGCAAATGGCAAACAAAAATTGATTTTGAATGGAGCTCGGTTAAAACTTCAGATATTAGAAAACAATATATCTATAAAAAATATATATATATCTATAGTTGTTTTTTTTTTTTTTTCGTAACCGAAAGAATCTAAAAATCAAACGAAAAATGTTTCAAAATAGCAGTACGCAGTAGCGCGAGCTCAAGATTTTAATTTAATTAAGATTTTCATTTTTGATTAATCGTAGACCAATATGGGGACTTGCTCACCCTTCGCCTCGATAGCTTAACTAGTAAATAATACTAATATTAAAATATGAAATAATTTCAATTACTTATTGGATTTGGAGCGTATTTATATATTTGTCGTTTAGATTTCATACTTAATTTAAAAATTATAGCAATTTTTAAATAATAATAATAATAATAATAAATATACTATAATCCAAATAATAAAATAGGTACATACAATTTAACAAACTATAGTTTTGCAAAACAAAACCACAATTTTTTAATTATTTATATTTACAATAAACAATTTTTAAATATTAGATTAAAACAAATTATAGATTTAATCTTGAATGTAGTCTACGACTAATCGTAGACTACAATAATTGTAATATTCTAAAATATTTAACTAAATTATCTAGGACCTCTTGAGGTAATATACTTACATCTACATATATGGATGATTAGTATAATGGTAACCCCTTTAATCACTTATTGTACAGCGTATACGATATATTTTTAAGGGATGTAATGCAGGGAAAGAGCTTTGTGCAAAAGATGTAGTAATGGACAATCGGTCACTAATATTTAAAAGTCAGTTAAATCACACAAAATATATAAAATTTACGGTAAACCTTGGAGGTAAATAAAAACAATTTGGGAGGAAGAGATTTTAGGGGGAAGTAAATAATTCTTAAGTACTACCTCTGCGTACGCCACTAAATTAAATTGTTCGCTTGGGTTCGAAATTTTGAATTTTTGTATGCTATTAAGAATTTTTTTCGGTTTTTTAATTATCTTTTCGATAAACTTTCGAGAATATGGAAAAATATTTCAATTAAATTACCTGTACTAATTACAAAATCCGAGTCTTCTAAGGAATACCCAAAACCATATATCCCAACATATACCCTAAATGGTCATGCCATTGTGAACATTTTGAAATATTTTTAATTTCCTGAAAATTAATGTTTTCGAGAAAAAAACGCTTTCTACATAAACTAGGGAAACTTATAGTTTCTTCAAGCTACTACACTCAAAATTTAGAATGATATTAACCACGTTATATAAACCGTGATAATATAGCTAATAGTATTGATATTAGGATGCAGTGATAGAAAAAATAATAAATATAAAATAGTCAACAATTAACAGTTAATATTTAATTTTTGTAATAAACATATACAAAATAAGTTACGATATAAGTTTAAATATCATTGCACATCGTTACGATAAGTTATATATTGCTCATTGTTATTACCTATTTATGGAAATTATTATTATTTATAACGTTACGCAGTAATCTCAATAAAAAAAAAAAACTGTTGTATAGTATGTTGAATAGATACATCATAATGTTATTATTTTACACTCACCTACGTTTTATACATATACTGGTAGGTACCAATAATTCGAAGAATTCTATATAATATTAAAATAGTCACTATCGCTAGTATAAAGACACCACTAGCACTTTAAATATTAATAAGTAACTTTTCCACGAAGTTAACATTTTCTATTGCCTTCACACTATTCCTTATTATTAATGTGTCGTGTTTTAATGACCTTAAATAATATATTATAAATGATAATTATAGATTAAGTCGATTTTGTTTGAACATTTTAAAGTGATTGAAATAATATTATGTAAAGTGCGTGTTCAAGATACTAATAATAAATTGTATGCTTTATTTCTATCCTTGAATAGATTGATGAACATATGCTGATCGTAGAAGTATAATTTATTATAACAAGAATATTTTTATTAACAGTAGTATATAATGTGTCCTAATCAGTGCACAATAAACGAAATATATATTATGCTTAAATTTGTATTTCAAAGTCAAAAATAAGTCAAATTCTAACCACTAAAATATAATAAAAAATATTATTAATAATTATTGTGTTATCTAGTTTGTTCTTCTTCTACTGTCATACCTATACTCGCTTAAGAGTTTTCGCCTCCAAAGTAATTGTACTTTGTCGTCTGCCTTTATTTTGAACTACGTCTCTCCAATTTTCAACTTCATAATTTTTTAAATCTTAGTCCACTAAGTCATTTCATCTTTTCCTTGATCTTTAGGGTTTGCATTTGACATTCCATTCTTGCATTAAATTTAAAATGTTCTCCTCTTCTCATTATGTGACCTAACCATTGAGTAATTTACCCAACGAAAATTGTCATTGGTGCTAGTTTAAATCGTACTCAGTTCTCAGTTGCCAGTTTCCCATCGCATCATCGTGAGTCCACTAATTATACTTCAAACTTTATTCTCGAATGTTCCCAATCTACTCTCTGTTCGATTTTTGTAAGTGAGAGTAATAGTAATAAATTTAACAATTGTATTTTAGCACAATTAGGTAGATATAGTATCTAATAAATAATCAATTTGAATAAACTCATATTGTTTAGCGTTTTAAAATCAAAAACATAATTTTTTTTTCATCATACGCAGTTCTAATTTTAAGTTCATAAAATACATAAACGAATAAAATAAATTCTACCTTGGGTACATTATTTATTTACAATAATATTTTAACATAAGTACTGATATGATCTTATAATATAATATTTATTTTGTATTACCTCGAAATATTTAATTATATTATATTCTATCTATTGTCGAATTCAAGTTCAAATTCAATTAATAATTTATAAGATTAAAATCTTTTTTTAACGTCCAAAAATATGTTTGCAATTGTAATTAGGTATATTATTAAATAATAAAATACTGGAGATAATGTCTTTACTTAATTTTTTTCAAACAGGTAATTTACTTTCACTGATCATTGGCTTAAATCATAGTATTATATATACACTATACATGTATATAATAATTACGAAATTCACTAAATTAATGTCGAAGGTTTTTTTCATATTCTTTTTCTACCAACCTATCTACTTTTAGTATACATTAAACGGCAATCGGCATTACACGCTGATGCATAGGTATACGAGTATATAGATATAACGTAAGTATGCGATGATAACGGTTAAAACTAAAATAATAATTTACACCTACGTAATTATTAGAAAGAAAAAATAAGTTAAGTATATTTTTAATGTACCTATTATAATATTATCCAGATTTTCGATGTAGTCATCATCAACTACACTTTCTACAATAGGTAAGGTTTCTACTACAGGGTCGGTCGTCTGTAGCAGATGTAACGTACGTAACATAGGTAATATTATAATACATCGCATTAAACAGAAACCACTTTCTTTTTACTACTTTCTTTTCTGAGTTGTCTGATCACCTCTATACTTCAGGTTTTGTAGATATTATGGGTACTTAGTGAATGTCTTAAAACCCGTTTTAATACACTACTAACGCCTATATAATAGAAAATAATAATATTGAAACTATATATTTTTTTTATTTTAACTAACCTACCCACTATTAATTTATTATACAACAATTTTTTTCCACCAAATTTACGTGTTTAATACATCATATTAATAACTTTCTTATTAGATCTGAAAAAGTATTAAAATACCATTTTATTATATAATTAAATTATAAATACTTTCTAAAAGGTTAGGTTAGGTTATGTTTATTTTATAAATAATTTATATTCAATAAGTTGTCTATTTCTCTTTCTTATATACGAAAAACATTATCGTAATATGTTATATATTTGTTATAAGTTATCGACAGACACTATAAGAACATGACATTAAAAATCGTTTTAATAAAAAAAAATGTAATAAAGCATCAAATACCTATAACCAATAAGAATCAAAAACCAATTAAATTTCAAAATAATATTTTAAAATATTTCATGGTCATTTATTTGCCTATAATAGTTGAATTCTCATTATTAAGGTTCTACTGTATTAATTATAAGAACGTAAAAATATTTTGGATTCAGTGCAGCAAGAAATGACTACATTTCTCGGTGCACTAATTTTTTGCTTTTATCTCTCAACAACTTTTCCATCCACCAAAAATCTTGCTTCAATAAAAAAATGAAAAAGAGGTTTTTTTTTTAAATTCCAGATCTAGTTGATGTCAATTTTTGAATTGAATTGAATTAAATTTTCAATTGAAAGCAAAAAAGTTTTCAAAATTTCAGAAAATGTTGTAAATTGTCCCCTTACATTTCCATTTCTTTCAACATCAAATAAAATTCCCTGACTTACAGTTTTCCAAATTTTCCAGACTTGAGGCAACCTTACGATTTTTGATAATCCGTGTAATTTTCCGGAATTAACGTTTCTATATTTTCGGTTTTGTTATAATCCGTTTAGAAATAATTTTAAAGACCTAAAATATTCATCGAATACGTATTATATTATTATTTTGTAGACATAGTAAAATTTGTAAAACATTCTTGAAATTTTCAAGCTAGTTATAGAGGTTTGACATGTTTTAGTTCTTATTTAGTTTATTGTGGATAACATTGTTTGGCCTAACAGAAATGATTGAAAATTGAATACGAATTTTATTACAAGTTATATTTAATGGTCAAAAAAACATGCTAGATGCAAAAAAGTAACTTTTTTTAAAAGCTTTTTAAGTTCAAATTATGACAAAAATCATAAAAATCACATTTCAAAACGTGTATAACCAAACTTCGTTGAGAATAATATTTCGTCAGCAATTACTTATCGTTTCGTACAGATATAAATATTAGATACCTATTAAATACATTTTTATCTTTTCACCTACAACAATAGCACACTTATCAGCATTTAACAGTAATTTCGTTCTTTTATTATTATTATTATTATTGTATTTATCTAATGAAGTTTAAATTTGGGCTACTTGAAATCATTGTTAAAAAAATATATATTCTTACATCAACCATGCAGTATACTATAGTCTATATAGATCTATATAGATAATAATCCAAACACCAGTCAGTTTAAAACTTATTTTATAAAACCCCACGACTTTAAACATGACTTTTCTTGAAATATATAGCTATATAATGTATATATATATATACATATATACGATTAGGTACATTATATGAATCCTGGAAAAATGCGTTACTTTACTTAACGATATAAACTAAAAACTCAATTTAATTTTACGGCGTATACAGATAATCCGGTAATCCTAAAAATATATAAGAAGATATAAGTAAGTCACGTACGCCATATTTAATGATATACCTAGTTGCACTCGGGGAAATGATGGATGGGTATTAATGTATATACTAACACTAACATATAATAATTTAGGTTCGTATAAAAGACAACATAGTAATTTTATTAAATATAATAATTCGTAAGCATTTAAAAACCAAACGAGACCAAGCAAACAACAAAATAATTTAGTAATTCACAAGACATAAACAAGTTTAATTTTAGATTCTGAGTGGACCGAGGAATGTATTGAATTTACAATGATGTTTTTTTTTTTATTTATTTATTTTTTTTTTTGTGAACAACTTTTTTCCCAGAAATTTTTCTTCGATTATTAAATTTGGTAGTTTTTCTGAAAGGAAATTTTACTGGTGTGGTTACTTTAAGGAGGTCATTTCTTGATTTTCCTGGGGGTTTTTATAATAAATGGAAAAGTTTACGAAATGTATTCGTAAATATTACGGCATTCCAAAATATGTGAACCGAACTCCGCTCAAAATCGTTTTTCGTTAGCGAAGATTAATCGTTTCGTACAGATATACATTAAATTTCCTTCTATATCCTACCTTCCCAACTTCTCACCTACTACAGTATGTTTTTAGTATCAAATAATAAATATTGAAAATCATTACCTATACACAATATTATAAGCTCGATTCGTAATAATATATTTTATTAATAATTTGAGTTCTCCTTTTTTATATATATATATATATATATATACATTTATAAATATTAATTCGATGCTAAAATAAATAAATTTATAATATATATAGTTAATATGGATAATAAAGTAGGTAGTACACCTACTAAAAATGTATAATATTGAGTATACCTGAATTAATGTGTATTTGAAACCAAACCCTGAAAAACCAGCGCTTTGACATCACATCCGTGAATTTTTACAACTATATACACAGAATAAATAGTGTATTGCCATTCTACATATTTACTGGTCATATACTTTAAATAAAAAAATTTTAAAAATAAATTTATTTAAATATTGAACTACATAAAAATTAATAATAGTGTATAATATTGTATATATATAAATATTTACTCCAGGATATTATAATTAATTCGAATTTACTGTCCGTTTACTCCCCGTCCACTGTCAAAGAACAATTTTAACCAGGCGTATATTTTGTGAAATTCAGTCTTTATTTATAGTATTTGGTAGGTGTTAACATTCTGGTTTTCATGGTACACTATACCGGTTGTCTGGTGAAATTTGTCAATATATAGATACATTAAATACTGTAATTTCTTTAAGTCAATTTAATTTAAGTAGGGTACTAGGGTGGTAGTGATTTAGTCGAAAATTGTGGGTAAATTTTTTTGCCGAATTTTTTTCTCAATATTAGTATTGAATTTTAAAATTAAAATTATTTTCAAAAAAATTTGTATTATAATAACTACCTAGTTTTGAATAATTTACTATTGTCGTTTCTGCAATCATCTATTCAATTATTATTTGTATAAACGTATATAGTATTTATTATACTACTTGATATTTTAGGGATAATTTTTAATAAGTCAAATATAAGTTTTTTTTTGCAGAATAGCATTTTAACTACTAATATATTATAATAGGGTAATAGGCTTTATATTCATAAATATCCACAACAAAAATATGAACATTTGAACCACTAGTGGGCTTAACAAAAAAAAATTATCCACAATTAACTGTGGTTCAAAACATTATAAAAATTATCGAAATAAACCAAATTTTGTTATAATACATGTATTAGTTTTAAAAACCTATCTACCCTACTATAACTTATTAATTTTATAAGAAGAGAAATCTAACTTTACCAACAACTGTAAAAAATGTACTATTACAAATTAATAATAGTATAGGTAACAAAAATAGAGTAAATAATATTACGTCATATAATTAATAGTCAAGGACCATAGTTTATTGTAGGATAATAATTGTATAGGTATAATTACTCAACATCTACAACACGAGGTACATCAATATTATCTATGGATGAAATGCGAATATTCGATTTTTAATAACGAATATTTTTTTATCCAATTTAATTTGGAATCAAAAACAATTAATTGTAAGTATCGGTATCATAATAAGAATAAATTATTCGTGCAATGAAATCGGATACCTACTACAGTATTATAATGGATAAACATTGGAAAATAAAAAATTTGTATTCATGAACTCTGTTGGACAAAATCATTTTTAAATGTATTTTTTCATAATTATGAATTTTCTTATCAACCGTATATGGTATAATACAATACAATACAATAATATTAATACAATATGAACGATTCACTAGGTATATTTAATGAATTCGATGTGGTGTAGAAGTTATTAAATGTTCTAAATATTCAATTACGCATATTCTAAATATTTACCTGAATAAGAAGAATTCGAAGTCTCGTGTAGTTTAAATGTAAATGGTATGTGGACTTTCATCATTTTCATCTGCGGTATCCTTTGTTGAACTGGATGCACTCCATTACCGCCGAACATTAATTCTTCACCGTGCAGCCAAAATACCGTCATATTCCTACAGTAAATTATACGATAAATTATTATTATTATTATTATTATTATTATTAATAATATTATTTTTAATTTATAAATCTAATAGGTTGGCATACTATATTATAATCAAACAATGATGCTATAGGTTTTTTTTTTCGATTATCTGATAATATGAATCAATATAGGTACAAAAAGTATAACTAATACAAATTAATTAAATGAGTCTAAAATACGAACGAGGTCAATAAATTAGTACAATTAATTTCAACAGTTTTTCAAAACCTACACTTTCAAATATCACATTTCGGGTATTTGAATCAAAATATTATATTGTAGTACTAAGCATATTTGCGTCGATGTCAAATCAATAACGTGCAAAAGGGACAAGGTTACAATCAATAATCTAACAGTTTTTTGTAAGTATAAGCTATTGAAGTAATGACGTAAATAATTAAATTGTATTCATTTAAATTCATTAAAAACAAATTTGCCAAGTCTGATAAATATTAAAAATAATTCCGAGTCCTCGATCGTTATAATAGCGTAAAAGTATAATACAGCTTGATGACTGTGAATATTTTTTAACCAAAATAATTATTGAACCCGTCACAAGTGTATAGCTATTTGAATTGTAGTGCTATTATTTATTAATATTATTGAATGGCATTATTATTTTTTTTTAATTGCAACGAAAAATAATTGTTTCTCAGTTTCAAGAAAGAGCTGGACTTTTAATTCCATCACTGAAACGGCCTTTAAAGTACTTACCATTGTAAAATAGCATAAATTTTAATTTTGACAAAAAGGTTAAGATAGATGAAAGGTTTTGGTAGGTAACATGAACGAATAAATACATTAAGAACATTAATTAATTTTTAACTTAATTTAATATGAACTTAATCTAGAGCAGATTGTAATAATATTATGCCTACATACGTTTAACCTACCTATATAAAATTGAGTTCAAAAATACATTATTCCAAACGCATAAACAAATAAAATTGAATTAAGATGAATTAACGCGGTATCGTATAAATAAAACAGAATAATTATTAAATATAAATATTATTTGTTTTAAAATCAACGATGCTTTCACAAAAAAAAAAAAAATTCTTGATAGAACTCCGAATTATAACACCTAAACGGACTTTAACGCTTCTTTGATTTTTTAGGACATCTACTATGAAAAATTCAAAAATGAGCTCTGTTAAATAGCTATATTATCTATCTTCTGCGTTAAATTATATTGTATCTGAAACTTTATAGAGTAGAACCTATTCTTGAGCATTATTATTATTTATTATTATTACGAAACGTGATTCCGGATGATATAAATGATAATGATAATAATGGTGATAAGGCATTGCTCAATTGTTATTCATATTGAATATAAAGAATTTGCAGTAATCTAAACAATTATAAAAACATTAACATTCGAAATTAATTTTAAGGTTATATATAAATTCAAAGTTCTCACATAATATTTATTTCTTGTATATTATAAAACTATAATTTGATGCAATAATATGACATATTTAGGTGAGTTGGGTGGTAAATACAAATCTTGGATTATTGAGAAAATTTAGTTTAACCCGCCACTCCATGAACATTTATAAGTAATGTTGATGTACGAAAATATTTTGTCATTAAATGATTAATATATTAACCTATTCAAAAGCTATCAACTATCGTTTTTTTAAAAATATTCAACAAGCGTAATATTACCTATATATTAAAATTAATTTGGTGAACATTAAAGTGGATACAATTGATTGCAGGAGAGGTTTCAACAATCCGAAAAAAAAAGTCCCCGGAGAAATCTTAAATAGGACTTAAATAAGTTTTTAAATACCTAGGTACATATTATCCCCAGCATTCAACCCCAAAAATGTATAGAATAATAATTAATACTGTTCTCCATACAATAAGATAAAGTAAACTGATTTTTTAAAATGTATTTTCGGTAAATTATCTTTTACTGTTCTAAAACGTATCTTACTAAACGTAGATAACGAAGTTTAAATGTTATTTTTGGTATTAAAAGCACAATAAAATTGTACATAATTTACCCAATAAATTTGTATTTATTAAATTTATGAATACAAAATTTTGACTTTGATTTTATTATTAATTCTAAAGGAAACCAATGCGTAAATGGCAATAAACACGTATTTATTTTAGTTCAGGTTTGACATTAAACAGCAGCTTAATAGCAATATTAATCACAATAATTTAAATAATACAATTTTAACAGAAACTGTTCATTAAACAAAATTAATTTTGTTTATTTATTTCAGTTTAACAAATGATATATTGTTTATTTATTTAATAAATTTGAATTCAAATTATATAAGCTTATACTTATACTATACCTTTATACTTAATAGTTTTGCACACGATTTATTATTTGCAATTTTAATATTCTCAATAAAGTAAAAATATTTTATACATAATACAAATTTTACAATTGTTTGGTAAAATTGAGTGAGCCCATCGCTATAGCAACTTTGTTTTGTTTTTTTTTTCCCGTAAAATAATACCAATACAAACGGCAGAATAAAAACGAGTATTATTATTAATTATTTTGGAAACCAAAAGAAAACACGATTGAGCATTAAACCCTTTTTTCTTTACACGATTGAGTATTAAATAAACCGTGCTGTTGCCATAAGTTTATTATTCCTCATTTTTCATCCAAACCTAACAAAAATCTACAGCAATAATAATAATTCAACATAATTATAATTTTGACATTATAGGAAAACCTTCTTGAATTTCAATAAATCTACATGAATAATTCACACATTTTTGTTACATAATAATATACTCGTATAGTTTTAAACAAAGACTGTTTAATACTTTTTTTTTATGTTTATTCAATATATTAATTTTATACATAATAATATGTGGACCCTGTACTATGTGATCAAATAATATTGATTTTCAAACACACATGTGGGATATATAATTTGATATTGGCGAATAACCAAAACGCCCCATCACCAATAAACTCAATGCATTTAGGACTCGAAAACGCAGTAGACATAATATTATATTATAAAATACGCTCGATCGTGTTGCTAACGGATATCGAACATTGCAACGTCGCTTTAAATTTGCCATCGTACTGTTACCGAATTAAATGTAGATAATTTAATTTGGTCCTATTTCCTATATAGGTACTATAGCTGATAGTCTCGCCATGCGTTATCGTAACATTCAACGGGTATACGTAGGTAGGTACCATTATTGCAAATACAAAAAATCTAAACTAAACTGGTTTCCTTTTTTCCGTTACTTGTATACCTACAAATATCCAGAAAACTAGTTTTAAAACAGTAATCCGCAATGACTGTAGATCCGAGTCGTAAAGAAATTATTTTATATAGAAATTGACTTACGATGTCCCGTTATACCTATACGCTGCACACAAACCTGCAAAGTTACGATTTCAAGGCCATATCAAGACAAATTTACGTTAAACGGCAAAAAACTGTACGAAACAAAATGTAGGTATACAAGTACCCACTGAATGAAATTGACTAAGCTATTGATTTTATTGGCGACTACAATCAGAAATGACGATTACCTACCAACACACGCATATAATAAATCTAGAAAAAATGATATAAATATTATAGAAATATTATAATTTATATGCCTACGTGCACTTAATGTACCTATAAATCAAAATAAATTTCACTTATTAAGAGAAGTATCTAGACATCGGAAAAAAAAACAAAAACAAAAACTTGAAGACTAGCTAAATTAAATAATATGTTTAATTTTAAGAGAACACAAATAGATATCGAATCAAGTACGATTTGTATTTTTTTTAATCTGTCATTTTATTAGATTTGTATTGTATGATAACTGATAATAAAATTGATGATAACTGGTGATAAGCGCATACCAAATCAGCACCGATAACTGTTGTATTATTATATTATAAAATATCTATTGAACGTGCCGTTAATACTGTTAACGACAATCTTTATTCATTAGTTTGTTTAGTATTATTCGCAATAATCTAGAAACGTGATTTAACAAATTATACAATCATAATAATATAATATTATTTTAAATAGTGCAATATTTTATTTATAATTTCGGATACACATATATCTTTTATCATTATTAATTTTGACATTTCGCGTAGACCTTCGAAGTTTTGACTGGGTATCGATTGCCTTAATAACAATGCTAAAAATATGTATAAATAATAAAAGTATTCGTTTATAGAATAATCCTGCAGTAGCGGACAGACTCGGAATGCTAACGACGCATATAAGAGAGCAGTATGTAAGCATCTTGAGTCTTCGACCCTATTTATAGTATATTGACTACTGAATACTACTGAATTACCATTTTGGGACCTACAACTGAAAACTCAATTTGTAATTTTTTAAATCCTCAAATAATTTTTTACTACTATTATTTGAATATATTATATATTTATGTATACATATATAATATTATATCTATAGAGTAAATATAACTATACTCTTTCGTCTTAAAAAAAAAAAAAAAAAAAACACTATAATCAACGTATAAAAAAAAGAATATATTATATAGTATTATGTCCAAACGTTATTAACAAGTATCGTTTAGTACACTAAAAATGCTTTTTTGTTTCAACAAATTGTTGAAAACTTGTTCAAACTTCTCTTACGTGTGTGTTTTTTTTTAAACTGTTCTAAAAAACACTATTTGTAAATATGCTTAATAATATGCTTTCTCCCTTTCATCTTAACGTTTAGAATTTTACAGAAATGTATACATTTTGTATTGCATTGTATAGGTAAAAGGAAATCTTTAAAAAAATTCAGTGCTCGTTTTTTGTCTGCGTCTGTCACATCGTTTACGAATATTTTTATAGCGAAACCACACTTCACATTCTTCGTTTTATGACTGGAAATTATATAGTTGACGTGTAATCTATTATACAAATTACTCAGCAGAACATAAATTATTATTTATCTAGTACTATACGTAAACTTTTCAAAAACAAGTCTATTTTTAAAACAATATTACGATTAATTCACGATAATCTTACGCTTATACCCTTAAAAATATGAATTTTGAAAAATCCTACTTACTATTAAGTATAGTATACGATTTACAACCATCGTCTAACCACAAATCTAGTATTATTTTGTCATATAGAATGACAAAAGGTGTTATTCGACATCGTGCTAAGGTCGAAATATTGTACTGTATACCTAACCCATTATAATTTATAATGTACAAAAATAATATTTTCGAATGTACCTACACCATTAAATTTAATTGAACCTACTCCGAATTATTAATAGTTTAACACTTGGTTTACACGTCCTCGCACTGACAGGCGTATATTGATATGATTAAAATGGATTAAGTACTTATTGTTATAACAATAATAATATTATGTTTCAGTAGAGGTGTACGCACTATTTTTAATTTGTACCGACCGATATTCGTAGCGAAATTTCTAAAAAATATAGCATACCTACATATTTTAAAAATGATTAAAATATGTATTTTTAATTGTACATTTTAGTATACGACAATTTAATTTATATATAATAACTATATAAGTAGGTTAACGTTAGTCGGATGCCTATACAGAATACCTAAAGGTAATAATTATCTTTGTCTAATTACATCTGTCGGAAAAACTAATTATTGATAAATAGATAGATAATAAAAACTAAAAATGTACCTATTATAAATGTTTATTTAAGTGGTTATTATTAAAATATTGTAATCATATATATTGTAAGGGAATTCAGAAATTTACATGAAACATACATACACTTTGGCTCTACCTATTTAAAAACTAAATATCTACGCTCGTTATCTTTAACTTTTATCATTAATATAATGGAATATTTCAACAATACGCAGTGTTTCTGATATTAAAAATTAATTACTTTACTACTTTAGACCATCGAAGAACCTTCTATTTTTTCTCTAAAAAAATGAACAAGAAACAATAAATAACCGAAAATATAAGACGTTTATTGATTTAACAATAAACATTTTACATAAAAGTTATCCAAAAATAAAAAAATGAAATTGTATTAATTTTGAAAAAGTAAAATAACAACAATCTAAAATCTATGGATAACTCAATTTATCACACGCAGGTCATAGGTAGTTTAAAACGAAAAAATTATAGTATTAAAAATACACAATAGTCGAGTATAAATATCTAAATATTCTAAACGAAAAAGAATATGGGTCCGGGGCAATTTATTAGAAGAAATGATACGAAAATAGTATTTCGAAGTTAAATTAAATGGAACACACGCGTAACGAACATTTCACAACCACCAAAATGGTCAAGAATGATAGAAAAAAAAGCTAAAAATATATAATTATACAGATTGGAAAAGTTAGAAATAATTGAATTTGTATGCCAACATTCTCTTTAACTATGAATATATTAATAGTTGAATGAAGAAAAAAAATACATCAAAGTCGAAATGTATTAGATAGTTTGTGTATACAATTAGGTAAGTAAGCCAAAAACACATGACTGTCTAGTTGACAATTATTGTAAGTAGGTAAATCATAAACTACTATACAGACATCGTGTTATTTTAAAATAACATTAATTCGTTATTTTTAACATTATAATTTTTTTTTTTTTCAAAAACAGTCAAACAAACCTCTAAAAATTCAATCATATATGAAATTTGGTATATTTTTATCGAATTCTGTGTCGAATTGTACGAAAAGTATATATATATTTTTTTTTCATAATTTCAATTGATCTTTCGATTTTCAATCAATTTCAACAAATTATCATGACATAGTACAAATTCCCTATCATTATTATATATTATTCCATACAGGATTATAATATGTAGAAGATATAATTATACTAAAATTGGATGGAATATATACCGCGAATTATTCTTAAGAACACCACGATAATGAAAAATGATTGAGTGTTAAATGATTCAAGTTTTGACAGAGAAATGAGGAGAGCACCAACCAATCGAAAAAAGAATTAGCCTAAAACAAATCATGGTTATATTTCATAAAATAAACTAAACAAATTACTATTTCTACTACAATCTAGGATCCGGTAAATCGTGTGCTTATAACACTAATACTGTATAATAATAATAATCGTTCACCGCCATAAACGCGGATATCCGAATCCGCAATTGCGATGTTTGTTTAATAATAATAATAATATTATGTACGTCAGAAATAGAAAGTTCACGGCTATAATAACACCGACATGATGCAGAAAGGGTCAACCATATGGTTCCATAGGTATATACCAGTGATGGTCTCAGTCAATTGTTTAAGCAGCAATAATAATATTATAGTGAGCACGTTATAATAGCAGTTATGAAAGGACTGACCGGCCGGTCTAACTTGGTCGACAACAATCTCGACTCAATAAAATAATATTTGAAATTGCTGTTAAAGAAAATTAGTACTAATAATAATTATTATATTAATTTTCCAATTATTACGGGTACCTCCCGTAACACGTTTACTAAGAAATTTCGAATTATAAATAAATAAATATTAGCATTATATTATTATTTTTCCTGTTTAAAAACAGTACTGCAATAATAATAATAATACCAAACTGACGAGACACGGTATGTAAAAAAAAACTTAAAATTTCACAGGTACCCAACGCATGAGTACCTGTAATACATTCTTTACTCCGTATTCCCGTTACCTACACCAAATACTACCGCGACAACCATGTTGAAAAAAAAATAGACCATAGCAAAAAATTCGCGAACGACAGAAAATTGCGTCAATCGATAACGGTTACCGTTTCGATATGGATATAATATTATAATATGGCAGATGTTTCATATAACTTTAAGATAGAATACCATTATTGACTAAATATAGTAAATATACACAAAAAGTCCAAATCAATAGACGGAATGGAACTGGGAACCCATTCGAGATCTTAAACTACTAGATTCTGAGTTAACTGCATTAAGTGTTTAAGGGCCTCTATAGCGTCAAAGACATTACAAACGTTCAAGATTGCCACTCTCTGGTTGAGTTTGAGGCAAAAGGACTTAATATTATGACACATTTTATAAAGAAGAGTATTCGCTATACCTTGACCAAATGATTTTTTCAATATTTTAATTTTTTATCAAGATAAACGCGTTTTAATTTAACTTAGATTAACAACTATTATTAAAAAAAACTGAAAATATTTTTAAAAAATTCATCTCAACGCTGGTTTATAAAATTCATACATTTATAAAATGTATAATAGGTCCTTTGCCCTAAACTCAACCAGAAATCGCAATTGCACAAGTTCATAATGCCTTTAGTTATAATTTATTACACAAAAAGATAACAAACAATTCAAGACATCATCGTTCATTATTTTGCATTAGGTACTTAATATTTTATCATTTTCCAAGACGCATGGTATTTTTATTTACAAAATATTCCGGTGTTATTTGACATTATCGATGTTTTTCTTATTATGTATATGGTTATATACATTTCGGAATTAATTTTTCTCAAAATTGTATAATAATTAATTTTGTAATCATAAAATAACACACAATAATTGTCAATTTAAATTTGTCAGAACATGTTGAACCGAATTTGCTTCAGAGTCGGTTTTCGTTTGCACTAATAAATCGTTGCCCACAGCTGATGTAAAAGAAATTATATCCGATCCATATTGTCTTACGGTCCCAACTCGCCAACCGTGACCCGCCTAAGATGCGAAGTTTATCTTTTTTAAACGATTGTAATATTATAATTTATCATAATATTTTCCCCGGTAATTTAAATTTTAAATTTTAATCACATTTGTCGAAAAAATGTGTGTAGCATCCCAAACATTTCTTTATTTTTTTTTTACCAGTGCGCGTCTGACTATTTATAGTATACTACAGGTTAAAAGAATATAATATCTATATTATGTTTTGAAACTATCTCAGCATCATTTGTGCTCATATATAATAAATATATATACATATATGTATTTAATATTGTATTATTTACGCACACGCACACGATAGACGTGTTTTTCGTATGAATTACGCAATGCTCAACACACGGTTTTTACATACGAATATTGAAGTGGACGGCGGCGGTGGCAGAGGCAGACTGTCGACCGTAGTCGGTATTATTATTGTTTTATTTTTTTTTTTCATTAGTGATTATTATTTTGACCTCGACAACGAAGGCGGCGGCGGCTCACCGTGTCATCGTCAAATAATAATGAAAAAACTGCATTTTTTTTTTCTGTCCTAAACGTACATCGTCGCCGACAACGACATCGATTACTATCACGCCGAAAACGTCACCGCGACATTGCCGAACAGTGATATATTGGTTTTCGCGCTAAAATATATGTATATAATGTGTAGTATGCCTACCCCTCCGTTTTGTAGCACTTATTTATATTTGAGAGCCCGTCACAGTAAATAGCAAATGCCTTAACGTCTCTGTATTTCTATACAATAACGGGCGCGATACCTATAGCGAAAATGTAGTGCGTTCGTGCATAAAACAAACAAAAGACGGTTTGAAAAACGATTTTAGAGAAAGAGAGAGAGAGAGAGAGAGAGAGAGAGAGAGAAAGAGAAAGAGAATGGGATAAAACGTATCGCCATTATAGTAACGTATAGACAATCACCTCCTTAAAGACAATAATACAATGTACCTCTTCATGCGTTTTTCGAAATATTAATATTAAACATTAAACAAATTACAGTTCATTAAAAAAAAAAATAATAACAATTGGAACGTTTACACTGAATTGTATTGTTCGTTTTCAAGATGTCGTCATCTACATATTTGATCGTAGGTGCATTTTACCTTCAAAACCGATTTTAAACGTCTCTTTGTTTGTGTTTTACATGAACATACAATTTTGTTCGTTAGAAAAATACAGTGGCGTGCCCAGACATTTTCAATGGAAAGAGATGGTATCATGGCCGCAGCTGAACCAAATTTCCGAATTCCCACATTTAATCCCCGATGCTAAATTTAATTATCTATTATTTTTTTCCCAAACATAGAGTTTATCTTAAAAATAATTAGCAATACTTTTGACAACATTTGGAGGAGCCAATGCGGGGGATATAACCATCCCTCTTCAATGCAGGTCGTCGAAGACAGATAACAGATAACATTGTGGCGAACCTATAACGTCATATCCGCATGTGCAATCTCCGTCTTACAAACACACGACATGGCAAATTTCCGTTCAGCAAGCACAATTTTATCCCGTTAGTTTTAAAACTAGAGTTAATTTACCAATAATATAATGTAATGTTATGCTCAAGCAACATATCTATGTACAATTTATTATTTATGTTATTTTAACAGTGTGACTAAAATATTCAAATACGGCCAAGTACTTGGTATTCTCTATTAAAAAAATTAATAATTTAATAAATATAATGGAGCATTCGTTTGTTCGAGAAGGGTACATATTATATTCTTTATAAATAAAATATTTTAAAATGGGTCAAATATAGTAGAAATTTACGACATCCGCTTCAACTCTCCGAGGACACTGCCGCGCCGTCGCAACAGTCATACTCTTGAGTATTCTTGTAATTTCCATAAACACCCCCATAAATATAATTTTATTATTAGTTATCTTCTATCGACACCGACACGAAGGCCAACGGATACTGTTTTAAGCTCACAAATAATAACGGTTTTTTCATTGTTCGAGAAGGATCCATATCCCATTTATTATACTTTCATTAGAAATATTTTAATACGAATCAAATAAAAATAGAGATTTACGACGTCTGTAAAATCAAACTTCTACACTAGATACTCTGTATTCCCATACAAAATTCAAATAAAATGTAACGAGGTATTTCACAAAAACTCGAACGTCTTGACCGCTCGAGAAATCTCTAGACCAATTTTTATTTACAAAGGGCCATAAAAAAATAATATTTCTAATATTTCTTAACGGGCCAAGAATTTAAACTTTTACTTTTAAACTACAAACATATCTTCTTTTTTTTTAATGTGAATGTTAATTTCTGAAATTTGAAGTTATTTTTTTTAATTTTGATTTAATACTTTGGTAAATGATTAATAAATGATCGTTTTCCGGATTTGGCCCACGGGCCGTAGTTGATCACCACTGCCCTAGACGATCACTCTGTCGAGAACCTCGTACACAACAAGTACGCATCACCAACTTATTTCAAAAATCTTTCTCGAATAGCTAGCTCCGACTTTTAACAGCTAATCACTCGTATTTAATCCCTTTATTTATTTCTATTAATAATTCAACATTTTGTTTTTATAATTTAAATACTAACACTCGTTGTCTGGGTGTTAAATACTTAACTTGGTTTAATCGTGACTAACGTTCAGAGACTCCAGGATCACGTGAGGATAAATAAAGGTATATAGTAAATACTCTAGCGTTTCAACACCGTGGGCAGGTAAAACATGATATTTCTAATTTATTGATCTCGTTTCCATTCTCGGATTCACGACTCCGAATCCCTCCAAACATCAAGGAAAGGTATAGTAACGTAATTATTAAGTTAAAATTTTGATATATTTAAAAATGATTTATTTTTTGTGCTACCATAAAAAATGTGAAGATTCTATAACGAATACAGATCTATTACTATTTTGAGTTACTGCATAATGAACACCTATTTTTAACATATATTTCTGTATTATTCTTTTATTTATGTTTTGTATTCCAACACTAATTTAAAGATAATAAAAACATCAACTGTGCATATACTCTTTGTTACATGGATCGTAATATTTATAAAAATCCTGTTATATCTCACTTAAAAATTCAAACATCGTAAAAAACCGCAGCAAAAACACAGACAATTTTTACAGGCTATATTTAATGTTCGACAATAATGAGTAAATTTAGCACAAAATTATCCCTGCTGAAGGTAAATATGCTATGTCATGCGTTTGTAAGACAAAGACAGTACGTCGTACGACGTCCTCTTAATACTAAAATATACCCGTGGGCCATCGCCACAGTCGACGCCACCTGCCTAATAAAAATCGTTTCGGCTCCTCCGTTGGTGCCAAAGCAATTACAATATTTTAATGGGTACCCATAATAATATATTTTTATTATATTGTTACCATAACCGAGGTAGACAGGTACCTACCAACTACTATTATTATTATTATTTTTTTTTTTTTTTTGGAAATCTGTTTACGTGCACCCTTACGGCACGGCGACGGGCATAAATTGTGATCCATTATTATTATTATATATATTGTATATTATAGTATATAGTATAATATAGGTTACCTCCGATACTATAATATTATAATCCTCTGCGAACGGTATCGCATTTTACTACCGACAGGTTGTACGTGCAGTATAATACACAACGCGACCATCTCTGAGACCATAGACCGTTGAAAAATAAAAATAATAATACTACATTATAATATCTCTGGGGGAAGGTGGAAGGAGAGGGCGAGGAACACAACTACTGCAACGTAAATTACGAAATATAAAAATGGTAATTCATTTTTTTTTTCCAAACGTTTATTAGATTGGAAATCAACTACTTATATATCTATAAATATATAAATATATATAAGTACGATATAATACACGAACAATTTATTCCACTCCACGTACAATATTACTACATTATACGATACAATACGACCGGAACGTGGTTCGTGTTTACGTCGTTGTTACCTGCATTATCTGCTCGTTCCGACTCAAAATCCTGCAGAGTTGAAAAAGAATAATATTTCTTTTTTCCGTGTATGTGTATATGTATAAGGGATAACTATAGTTTCTTTGTGTTCGACGACCACACAGCACTAACCCTAAAAACGCATTCAGTGAGCTGTTTATATACATGCATAATATATCATCTCTGCAATAAACACCAGACATAACTAAAATCCGTGTCACCAAAAGTATATAAAAACATAACATCTTTGCTACACAAAGAAAAAGAACAATCCGGACATATTCAAAAAATTCTCCAGCTCAAAACCGTGCAGTGTGTAATGATTCCGAAACATGACTTTGAGCCATACACCGGTTTAGATAGAAATTCGGTAAATAGATCAGTTCAACCCTCCCATAAATTATCACATTTCAGAAATTTATACTCCGGTCTTATTTTAAATTTATTCTAAAATGTAGTTCTATTTTTATAAAAATAAAAATATATTATCCGGGTTGATTTGTACAAAAATTAAAATGTGTAAGAAATACGTAATATTCGTATTCCATTAATCCATTACATATGAAATTATATAATAATCAGTGATATTAGTTTTAAAATTGATGATTTGAAAATCAAATTGGTTAAAGAATTTTTCTCAGTAAAAATCGTATTTCAAATCTTACAGTTCAAACATTTCCTGCTAGAAAAAGTTATTAAATTAAAATTTATTTACGTACTTTAATTAAATTAAAATATATCCTAATATGAAAATAACTGTGCTACATCTTATTACATGGTATATATTTAATTATATATGTAAGTTCGTTCATTTAATTTTGATTATGCAAATTAGGACGATTTTCAAGATGATATACTTCTATTTATTGAAAAAAATAAAATAAAATAATACATTAAAATCTATTAATAAAAATTAATTAATAATAATTAACAATAAGATAGATTTTAAGATTTATTAAAAGTATTTTTAAGAGATTTTAAATTTAAATAACCGTGAAAACTGATAATGTTTATAATTAACATAATAATAAATTAAATAAGGGGAAATATCAAATTTGTGGTGGTTCATGGTGGGGACGAATCGTGATCGGTATTTATCGACCACCTAGTTATCGTGGTCAAAAAAAAGTAAAACAGTGTGCCTCATTTTTAAATAGGTTTAAAATACAGCGAATTTCTTAAAACCACACCGGTTTACTTTTTAAGGGAAAATACACTGGTTTGCGCTGGCGAATTTTTTGAATATAAGAAAGCAATAAAATGATTGAATAAAATAGGCAGGTACAGTTATAATAATATACAGGATGCTTACAGGGTAAGCTCACTAAGTGTGCTCACCCATTTTTTTGGTTAAATTTTACGTATATTCAAATTCTAATTTTTGGAATTTTTTAACGTAGTTAAAGCTAATATTTTCGAATACTTAGATTTTCCATAACATTTATTTGAGGAATATCATGTGATGATACCAACTTCGGTTTTTCAAATGAGAACCTATAAATAAACGGAGTTTATTACTTTAAATACATTTTGGTGTCAACATTTTTGATTTCCACTCTTAAGTTCAAGTAAGGGGAAAATAGTGAAGCACTAATAAAATACCGCGCGCCGTGCAGGAAATTCCTTAAATTTTGTGAAAAATCTAAATATTTGAAAATATCAGTATTAATCAGTATTAGTTACACTTAAAAATTTCAAAAACCAAAATTAAAATACATGCAAAATTTAACCAAAAAAAGGTGAGCAGGCTTAGTGAATCGTCCTGTATATCTGTATTTGATATGATATATTATATTCAACTAATAGATTTTGAGTTTTGTTTTTAAATAAATTGTATAATATAAACCATTCGAATTAAAATTTACGGAGAACAAACACAAAAATCGAAGAGTAAGATAATGGGGACGGGTGCAGCTACTGGTGGAGGTGGATAGTTAGGAAGGTAGGATACAGGCGGGAATTTAATGTATATCTGCAACGATAAACCATTGTTTACGAATAAATGATTCTGAGCAGAGTTCAGTTAATAGTGATGCTTTGTCAATAATATATATGCCATATTATAGTAAAATTATTAAATAAGTTCGATATATTTTTTTTAATAATATTTGTTTAATGGTGGACCGATTTTTCCAGTTATCCTACGTTCTTCCCAGTTTTCCGTGTTTTATCCTGGTTTTTTCAAATGTGATGAAACACTCCTGAGAAAATTTAAAAATGACCTCTTTAAAATACCTCCTCAGTGAAATTTCTTTTCAGAAACTATTATTAAAAGTTGGAACAAAATTACTGGAAGAAAAGTTGTTCACAGAAAAAATTTGTAATTTATATTTATTAAATAAAGTAAATAAATACCAATAGTAAATAAATATATAAATAAAAAATGTATACATAAAAATAAATAAAATAAATAAATGAATCAATGCCATTAGAGGAGGACTTTAAAACCCTTCTGTCATATTTAATTTTTAAATGTTTTAAGTTTTTTTTCAGGGATTTTTTGGTGTTTTTAAGCGCCTTTTTGTGGGTTATAAAAGAATATAAATCCGGTCTTTATATAAAACCATTAACAATATCAAGGATTCAAGGTACTTATTTTTACAGTTTTCATTCATTTGCCGATCTACTGGTTCAAATTAATGACAAGTTCGACATTCTTAATAAAATTACGCACTGAAAAGACTTATTCGAATAAATCTATAATTAGATTTGAATTTCTATTACAATACAAATGATGATGATACTACACTTTCGCTTCTTCATATTACATTAATTCGCTTGTTATCTACTCACCAATTTTAAAAACATTAAGTTTAATATAATGTGCACAAAATTAGCGTTAAACGGGACAATTTAAAAATGACCGTTACAATAGTATTACATAAACAACTTAGCCAAAGATTTAGCCTGAATTCGATATTAATAACGGCTATTAAAACATCTACACGATTTTAATAGGAATGCTGTGCTTCCCGTTGACCGTAAGTATAACACCGACATGGTTATCGAATAATATTATTGCATGTTAATCTTGATACATTATTTCTTATTTTACATATAGGTAAGGTACACAACTGTATAACATCTACTTTGCTAACGAAACCGTGACACTGGGTATTGACCTATTAATTATACGGTTTTTTTTTATTTAGATTCTGAACATAGCGAGGAAGTAATATATTTTTCTGTTTGTCTGTAAAACACTTTTCTACGAGAAATCTTGATCGGATTTTCAAGTAAATAGAATTATTTCTGAAAACGAATTTCGACTAGCTGGTATGATGGGAAGATATACTATGGGATAAACGAGAAAAATTACTGTTTAACTATTTCAATATTTTCGGTTTTGTTTTAGATTCAGAGCGAATGTATACCATTGGCTTTACTATATGATATGTGGTTTTATTTCTGTCTGCAAACAACTTTTCAAACATAAAACTTGCTCCAATTAAAAAATGACAAGAGACCTAGTTTGTAGCATTTTGGAACGAATTGAAAGTACAGGTCATTTTTTTGATTTTCTAAAGGGTTTTCAAAATAATTAGGAAAAACCAGACACAAAATTATAAGAAAAACAACAAATATTTACGGCATGCCGTGATATTTACTGATTTTATTATTTTTAATTTTTACGTACAATTTTTTCTGACAGAAATATTGCTTTACTCAAAAAATGGTTGTACAATAATGTTTATTTTTTTTTATAAAAAAAAATGGATACCACTTTTTGCCCAAAAAAAAACAAAAACACTTGACAATTTAACCGGAGATTCATAACAAGTTGTACTTAGTAACAAAAAAAAAAAAAGTAGAGTGTAATGTAGTAATTTTGGTTTTAATAATTGGTTTTAAGAACAAATTTTAATAGAAACCGTAAATATTATGGCCTTTGAAATTGTGTATAAACGAACCTCACTCAAAATCATTTTTTGTTGACAATAATTTATTTAACTCTATACCCTACCTTCCCAATTTCCCACTTACAATAGTGGCGCATCTTTCAGCAGTAGATCAGCTCTTTTTTTTTAATTGTAATGCGGTTAAAAATAAATGTGAAAATATGAACACTTTTAAAACATTTTGGCGTTTTTTGAGCTATAAATAGGTATTTGGTCATAAATATTACAGCATTTCAAAACGTATTTAACCGAACTTCACACTTTTTTTTTGTTAACAACTACTGTTTCATTTTTTTTTTTTTTTTTGTTTGAGTGATTTTAAATTTTATTTTCCAAGATCAACACGCATTTTCAGCACAAACTATTTAGTATTACAAATACCTATGTTCAATATGTTTGAAACATACCTGCTTAATTATATATTTTAATATTGTTCGTATATCATGTGCAGAAGAACCTACATATTATGACACACCAGACGTATATTTGTGACTATCTAGAAAAATAAACCGTCAACATTTGCAATGCAAAACAGGTTCTCGTTATGTGTGTTCCCCTTTGATCGTAGCTATACAGGATGAAAAAAAATGTATATATAATACACATACAAACGATTATACGTTTACGCATCTATCTGTCCAATGTGGATTCAATACGGTACATGGATTGTAGGTACCTAGTGTTCAATATAAAATCAAGGTATTTTTTGTGAGTCTTTATGTAAAAACGTTTGACCAATTACGAATAAACTTGCCAGCATTTTTAAACATTTTTTTATTTTTTTTTACATTTATACCCCAACCTAACCTATACTAACTTCAGTTTATAGTCAGTTTATGGCTTGTTCGTCACTACCTTAATAATATATTGCTAGAGTAACCCAGATTATACGATAATCAGTGTTCGTCTTTCCGCTTTCGGGATCACTATTATTAATAATAATAATAATAATAGAAATGGCCGACGGGATTTTAAGTAGGTAAGGTAATCCTTAGTAAGGTAATCCTTTCCTCCTTGACTTTTATTATTATTATTTTACGCCCGGGTAATAAAGCTTAGTAATCATATATACCAAATACCTATAGGTAAATCTTAAAACTAAATTATGTATACCCGTATACCTACACATATTTAACTTGCTATTATTAAATTTAAATTAAAATTAAACAATTATTACAAATATTAAGGATAAATAATTATTTATACCGATTGTAATTATTAAAAAAAAAATCATAATACATTGCTACTAAACACACGTAAACATCAGCCGCATTCACTGCGTAATTTTAAAACATTACTGTTCTTATTCTATCTAATTTTAATCAACCAAAGAGAAAATTATGTAAAAACGCTGAAAACATGATTTATTGAAAACCAGTAGATATTTTGTTCGTACGACACAGTAAAATTTTTACCGTTTACTTTCTTACAGGCAGTAAAGAGCAAAACCGGATTTTCAATGTTACAAAACGGTACCAACCTCCGGTTTTAATAAAACTTGGAGCTAAAGACGTTAGAAAGAGAGAATACATAAAGTTATTTAATTTATATCTATACGCAACGCTAAATCAATGCTAACGAAATACGATTCTGAAAATGGTTAAACAGTTCTTTAAAATAAATAATAATAAAACACATATGAATTTATGAATTGTATAGTTAAACAGCAGCGCATCGTCCAAATTACCTCCTCTATACAGCCGTTTCTACCGCCCCGACAACTGTGGCGCACCGCTACGTTTTACGTGAAATGACATAATTAAAAAAATTAAGATTTTAATAATTGTATAGTTCAAAAGTCCCTAGAAAGTTCTGAAAATGTTACCACGTCGATAAAATTAAACTGTATGGAATTTTTAGATCTCTATGATTGTTTTTAACTGAATCACAACAAAAATAGAAAATCGAAAATAATTTAACCGATCATTTCCCCGTTGTTCCTACTCAATTATTAGGAAACCTAAAGGAAAATCAAAAACTTACATCCCTAAATGCAACGAAAAAAGGTCTCGATTCATATTTTTAATGGAACAAGATATCTGGTAGAAAAGTAAGTTAATTAAATAAATTTTATAATGTCAATATTGATAATGAGTGTGCTATTGTTGTAAGTAAGGACTAGGGAGTTAGAAAGGTGGGATACAAAAAGCAATTTAATTTATATCTGTACGCAACAAAAAACCATTGCTAATGGAAAACAATTCTAATCAAAGTTCAGCTACACATGGTTTGAAATTACATAATCTTAGCGATTTTCGTCAAAACTTGATCTTAAAACGTTTATAAAAAAATACTCCATTGCACTCACCTTTTTTTTTTTTTTTACTACTACATTAAATTTATAATGAACATCGTTTTATATTTTAAAATCGTTAATTTAATGAAAATTTGACTGTATACCGTCAGGTTTTAATAGATCCCACTAATAGGTAACTTTCAACACCTCTTCTACCCCTGAGAAAAAATTGTGTATGTTTCACATGCAAATACTTATAATGTTAATATACATGCGAGTCATTATTATCGTCTGCAATACTTCACTGTGGTATCTGTAGTCACGAAATAGGTTACAACCGCAGTGGTAACGATATAAGTAGCGCCGATAAAATTTCAGGTTTCTCATTGAATATAGTTATATCGAATTTTTTCAAAATTGTAAAAACTAAAATATTTAATTAATTTATATTATACAATATCTACATCCATGTACGCTAAATCATCTGGTCTAATGTAATCTAACGGGTTCTTTGTTCACCAAAAATGTTCAGACGGGCGTTCAAACACCCGGGCAGCCGTGTACATGCGTGCCTGTGTTTATAATATTATGTTACTGTGGTGTCTTCTTAATCCGAATGTTAAGTAATAATTAAATAAAAATAATCAGACTATAGTGGTCCATCAACCGGCAAACACAGAGACAAACACGACAAAAACGTCTACCTAAAGACCGGTGTCGAACACGAAATTACGCCATCGGATGACCACGTTATTATTGAAAAAAAAAATGTATTCAAAATGGCTAAAACCGGACAATATTACACCGAAAATGTACGAAATAATGTATTACAAATTATTACTCTACGGTTACAATTCTGAACGTCATCGCGGGCCCGTCCATGAAAAGTGAATGCAACCAGTGAATGTAGGCAACCTGCCTACCTAGTTTATGACGTTATACCTAAATATTGTTTTATTGAAAGTTTTCGGGCTAATGCCACACACGTTATCAAATCCCGACGTACCATAATATTATATTTCTCTAATATTGATTTTCAGCAGTGTCTTTTTGGTACACAAGCGAAATGACAATATTAGTATTACTTATAACTAGATACCCAATAATAATAGGTAATGACGATAATGTTAAAATATCATGGTTTTGAACTTACCTCATGATCAACAGGAACATGGCGCAAAAACATATGAGCACGGCCAAAACGGACAGTATATTGGAGAATTCCGCTACGGACACGAGCATTGCAGTCATGGCGACCAACATCGTGAAAAGTGTTCTTATTGCCGTCACGAAACAATCGGAAGAAAAAGACAACCCGCCAATAATGCGGGGGGCTGCAGCTCCTCGGGAACTATCGGAGTCGACTCGGAACGTTGATTAATTTAGGTAGGTACCTACGAATGCCGTATACCGTATATCGTCTGCGCAAACGAACGGAGGAAAAACAGCTCCGTGGAGGAAAACCCCTTGTTGATCGGTCTAACTCATATACGGTATGAAGAGAAATAATATCAATAATAACAAATTAGGTACACGGATGCGAATGGTACAGAAAAATGGCGAATAACTCGCGGGGTCGGTGCGGCGGGAAAAAAAGATACGCGAAAACTCGAAACAATATTAAAAATGATACTTATTGAGTATAATATTATTTGTGATATTATACCGGGCGAAGAAAAACGCAGTCGCGTCTATTTTCCAATAAACAGTTGTCGGCGTTTTATTTCGTGTCGTCGAGCGGGCCGCAGAGTTGAGTGACGATAGAACGTGGTGTGTAACACCGTCTCGTCGTCCGGACTGCGGTCTGACAAAGAGCGCAGCACTCACACACACACACACACACACACACACTCACACTCACACATACACACACACGCGCACACACACACACACACACACACACGAGCGCGGGCGCGTAGTGCAACGATAAAAAAAAAAAAAACGTTTCGACGACGAAATGCGGCGCGTGCGTCGACCAATAATGACAACTATACACCGAACAAACGCGACACTAACGGAAAACCAGGGCACGATGAAAACCGCGGTGGCCGGCCGCTGACTGCTGCGCTCTGGCAATCGGGTTCTCACGGTACTGGGGGCGGTGGCGACGGGTACTACGGTATAAATACGGGTGGCGGCTGGCGACGACAACGACCGCGTATCACAATATCACACCGTTGCGGCGCGGCGGACAACCGTAATAATAATAATAATAATAATAATAATAATATTATTTCTCTGCGACCGGCAAATGTTATACCGTGAAAGTAGCCGCGGCGGTCGTACCCGTAGCGATGGAGCCTCTGCGAACGTGCGACCGAATATTATGCATCGCCCGCACCTTCTAAGTCACACGGCCGGTAGAGCGCACACCGGTAGTCGTCGTCGCCGCCGCTGCCGCCGTCCGTCAATCCCGCGGTAACGGAGCACGATGGCGTTGCCGTCGAAGGTGTGCGCGCACGGTCGCGGTTCCGATTGGCGGACGTGCGTTTGTGACGCGATAGCAAAGTGATTATACCGCACAACTATAATAATAATCCATAATGTAGTTGGTTTTTATCTATGAACGTAACACGCTTTCCACCTTCCATTTTCATAACATTTTTCATTCAAAGGAGAATGAAGAACAATAAAAAGACGATTAAATCTTTTTTGATTTTTTTTTTTTTTTTTCATTTTACATTTTCTATTTTCTTGGTTTCTGTACATGGACGATAGAAATACTAATTTACCGTTCACTTGCGTCGCTTCGAAATCCATTATACTAATCGAACCGGCGACCACGACGACACGGATGAAAATAATGACGTGATAATATTATTCTCGTTGTCGTCGTTGTACATTTGTTAGCCATTGACCCACAAAAAAAAAAAAAAAATAGCTTTAGTTTGTCTTCTTTCCTATCAAAAACATTTATTTTTGGATTTTTTTTTTTTTAATGGTCCCAATAGTTAATACCTACAACTGAGTACTGGTCTACAAAATTATTGAGCAACGGCGGCCACGACAAATAATATTGAATTTACGTGTAAATGTGTAATAACACAAAAGGATAGAAATAAGAGGATTGAATTATCTGGATTTTCAATTTATTTTAATGCTTACTTCTTTATATTGAAATGCATTAATTATTTCGTTGCAAAATGTGTCACTATTTTGTTGCTATTTTATATCGTGTAATAAATTAATACCTAGCCTCGTTTTTTTCGTTTGATCTTTTTATACGTCATATTATTTATTGAATTTCTTGACAGAGCGTCTGCAACTTTATTTTCTTTTTGGTTTTATAAATTTTATACTTTAAAAAACTCAAAATCGAATAGTTTCAATGGTGGTCTGGTTATTCTTACTGAAGATATTTGTATACTATTAGAGACTAATTTTATCACAAAAACTGCACATTTGCGTCTCCTGAGATATTTGTAAAAATAAGCAATACCAAAACATAAACCAAATAATTTTTAGGTGGTACATGAGTACATGAGTATATATTTTTTGTATCTAAGATTTGTCTCGATGCATATCCAACATAATGCAATATATTCCCTTTAGTTCATATTGTCACCTGTTCAATACAAACCCCGAATCCCATTAAGAATGCGTCGATGGTTAAAAATGCCAGTCATAAAAATAGTTTAACAGTGGCTCAGAAGTTAATAGATAGTACATTTTTTAAATAAATCCAACAACCCGGCAGCGTCATGCCGAGTATAAAAATGAGCATTTTAAAATATACATATCGGCAACATAACACACGATTTGTCGAGTATAATTACATGAAGTGCAACACATTACATGAAAAAATATTATTGAGAAAGCATAGAGAATTTGTTAGTTAAAAAAAATTTTGTTTGAAAATATTATGATGTAATTAGAAATTTTATATATATGGGAACGCTGCACTTTTCAAATCATTTGGAACAATATCAACGGAGTTAGAGCCAATTTAACTATTATAATTATTATAATTATTAATATGATAGTATTACTGTCTACCATACTGTTTACCAACAAAAATGTTACAAATTGTATAGTAGACTGTAGAGCCATTTTGGTAATTATTTGTCAAACACGAGTCGCATATAGGTTATTCCAATTTGATTTATTATTATATTCATTTCTTTTTGAATAATTTGTTTAATTACGTTAAAGTCGTTTTATACTATATTTTACTATTTTAGATTCTAAATTGAGCGAAGAAGATTATAATTTTACAAAGATGTTTATTTTTTTTTTCTATGTGTGAACAACTTTTCTACCAGAAGATTTGCTCAGATTTTTAAGTATAACGCTTTTTCTGAAATTAAATCGGTGCGGGGAGGTACTTTAATCAGGTCATTTTTCGATTTTCTCATCAAATTTGAAAAACTGAAAAACAAAACAGTGGAAAAACGTGAAAATATAAGAAATGTAGCTATTAGTTGAAATGTATTACGACCTTCTTTTTTCATGTGAACAACTGTTCTATCAGCAATTTTAGTCCAATATACAATGATAGAAATTTTTTTGAAAAGAAATTTGACTGGGAAGGTATTTTAGACAGATTGTTTTTCGATTTTCCTAAGTGTTTTCCCCATCCATATGAAAAACCGGGATAAAACATGGGAAACCGGGAAAACGTAGGAAAACTTGGAACATCGGTACAACATTAAACAAATATTAGTAAGAAAATATATAAAAGTTATTTAATTATTCTACTATAAAATAACATCTATTGTTGACAAAGCATCATTATCAACTGAACTCCGCTCAGAATCGTTTTTCATAAGGAATGGTTTATCGTCGCTTACAAGTATACATTAAATACAATTATCTAAAACAGTGGCTGCACCCGTCCCCATTCTCCTAGGACATCTTTTTTACTATTGTTCTATGCAAAAATAATAGTATCTCATAATAATTTCTCATAGTATCCCGAACAACCACGCAAGATGCACGAACATGCTCGTTCGTGCACGGACTAAGTCAACACCAAACGCGCCGAACATGGTAGCAACGTTGCAAAACGTTTTGCGCGTTTGGTGTGAACCCGGCTTAAGAATACATCATGCCGTCTGCGGTCAGCAGTAAGCCAGGAACGAGGCTTCGCCGGCAACAGTGTGACCAGATTTAAAGATTTTTCCTATCTGCTCTCGTCAACGTAATTTATTGACTATTCCAAACGCACCATAGTTCGCGCAGGTGTAGTTACGTTGGCCGCCGTCGGCGCACTGCTGTCGATCACTACCCCAAAACATCGTGACAGCCGCGTTATGCGTAATATTTATTTCCGCATTAATTATTATTGTTACTATTATGATTATCTGTATACACGACGACAACCCAGTGAGGCCCCCGACAACCACGACATCGTGTAACGACGCATGCGCACTGTACGCCCTTCTCCGTTCGCTCATTACTCAAGGTTCGCTCACGTGTTCTCATACATAATAAAAACATTTTTTATTTTATATTGTTTTATGCGCATACTTTGATATAGCGTATTTTGTGTAGCCTGTTATAAACACAGTTTTCCTTAGATGTGTTGGTTCAATACAAGCAATAGAATCGGTTCAGAATCGATTTTTGAGAATAGTATCTTTTAGATGCGATTTTATATGGCAAGCTTATTCCTCTTACCTGTCATTACTAACCTTTTTAAACCCTAAATCACAAAAACAAGACGAATAAGACTAATAATATAATAATAATATATAATAATATATTATATATTATATTATTATTTTTTTTTTTTTATTATAAAGAGGGAAGATTTGTATATTTATAACGAATAAGCTCTAAAATTCAGATCACAGCTATACGAACGACAATCAAATGCCGAACGCTCGCAGTGCCTTGTTGAAAATGGAGCTAAAACAGGTTTGAACTTGCAGTCTCTGAGATGACAATAGACAAGTACCACCACTAAACTAAGACAGACATATGATAAAGTTGTCATTTTTAACAGATTTTTAACATAGAACATAATATCTGCATAATCAGTGACGTATTTAGGAGAGGGGGGCAGAAGAGGCTTGGGCCCCGAGTGGTAAATTTTGGAGAGAATTTCGATATAATATTAAAGGTTTTTTTGACTAATTAAAAAAGAATAATAATAATAATAGCAATAATTTTTTTGCATTCTATGATAATATCAGGACATGAAAAAATATAGTGGTTACTGGTTTAAGATATTACCACGTTTATGTACAAACATTATTATGTTTTATACTGTCCCACTAAGATAGATAAGAATATAGTATGAGATCTGATAAAAAAGAAAAAAAAGTGATATAGTGATCAAGTATATTCTTATCTATCTCAGTATATTATGCTTAAATGTGTATCCAATGCGCTACGGTCAATTCTAAACAAATATATGTAAAAGAAATAGGTATTTGAGCTAAAGTTGTAATAACGAGGAACTTCAAACTTCCATCCAGACTTCTTTAATAATGATTTCCGCAAAAAATTCAAACAGTTCCGAAATCAGCATCCAAAAACACATGTTTATTCCATGAATGTATTTTTTACCTAATATATTAGGTACCTGTATATAAAAAAATACATTCATGGAATAAACATGTGTTTTTGGATGCTGATTTCGGAACTGTTTGAATTTTTTGCGGAAATCATTATTAAAGAAGTCTGGATGGAAGTTTGAAGTTCCTCGTTATTACAACTTTAGCTCAAATACCTATTTCTTTTACATATATTTGTTTAGAATTGACCGTAGCGCATTATGCCTTTTAGATTCCAACAATAACGAAAAATTATTGATTTACGTTTACCTACTTAGTTATAATAAAGTTTATGGCTGATAATGAGTGTTCTATACAATGGTCTAAAAAAATGCCAAAATTTAAATATTAATATAAATCATTTTCGTAATTTAAATTCTGTCAAAAGTTACGTAAGAGTTGATTTATCTAGTATATAGTTTATATTTAATATTAATAACTTTAAATGCTACGTATTTACTTATTCAATATGCTATAGTTTTCCTTCTTTATTTTAACCTGTTTTCTAGTTTAAATATTGTATAGATACTATATTTTTTACATTTTAATAGGTATTAATTATCACAACACTTTATTTTATGCAAGGTGTATTTATAAATAAACTTAGATTTTATTTTATGTAGTTACAAATTATAATTGATAAGAACAGCTCTCTTAGCACAAACTCGGCTTATAGGAAGTACTGTAATTTAATTTATGTGTAATGTCTATTAAATGTATCACCTGTTATTTTTTTGCAAAATATATTAAAAATAACAAAAATAATAATAACTGATGTTTTTTTACAAATATGTTTCTGGTGAAATTTTGATTGGGGGCGTTTTTTTTCTTACCTGGGGCGCAACATATCTAAATACATCTCTGCGCATAATATAATTTCGAAATTAAATCAGTCTGCTCAATTCTAAATTCACCATAGTTCTTAAATCAGTAGTATACATATGTTCATAACAAAAAAAAAAAAAAAAAAGAACTGAGAAAATCGATATAACGTTAAACAAATATTATTAAAGAAAAACTATTGATTTATTTAATTATTTTACTATAATATGGCATATATGATTAGAGTTTATTTTTTAAAAATATGGGACATTTTAAATCATACCTATACTTGTAATTTACATTGATGTTAATTTAGAGAGGGGATGAGGGGACTTATGTTGGCTATTAACATATTACAAAATGAAATATTTGATGTTTGTTATACAAATTCTTTGTAAACATTTGGTAGCTAAAATTACATTTGGCCTCGATAAAACATTTCATTTTCCTCACATTTACTAAATATACTATAAAATAAAGTTAAACACAATATTCGATACTTGAAAAACTAAAAGCGGAACAATTTTTAGGTCTTTATGATTAGGTGAATCAATCATTACTGTCACAAAATTAGCAGCATCTAATTGATTTTTTATTAAATTAATTGCATAAAGGAACAATACATTTACAATTATTACTTGCGTTTTAGTAACACCACGAGTAAATTTACTGCTATACATTTTACGTAGTAATCCATTGATGAAAAACGTTTGATTGTGTTTGCTAACATGATAAGCCCAAGGACCTTGATTCATGTAAAGCAATTTATCAGTAACAACATACATTTTATTTCCCAAAAAATGTATTAACTTTTTTACTTTTACTTGATTCTACAGCTAATTTATGACGTTAAGTTGACGTTTTTGTCAGATTTACCGCCATGATCAATACTGAAAATTGCACCACGGCAAATGCATTAGATTTTTCCATCATTTCAAACTCGTTCACACAGTTTTAAACATTTATATTCTTCCTTTAGTACTTCAGTAAATAAACATTTACCTTGACATTTTTTCGTTTAGGCATTTTTATGACAAAAATTAAAAACCTATTATTAGACTATTTAGACTAGAAAATGAAAATCATTAAAACAATTTTAGAACTTTGAAAAGTAATGATAATTACCTACGCTCTACAATAGTTAGTGATAAATGATAATACCAAAATATCAAATTGTTCATAATTCCATTCTATCTTAAACCGTGTTTCATATCGACGGTCTTCAAAATAAATCTATCTATAGATATTTTTTTATCTATCTTGATGTCGAAAGTCGACCGTTTGATAGCTGATATATAACAGTGTAACCCCAATACCAACAAAAAAATCATACGAGATAATTTAAATTTTTTTTTCAGATTTTTTTTTTAATCAAATAATAATTATTACCTACTTATCATTTGATTTTAATGAAAAAATTTAATTTTTAAAGTGAGGTACATACGAGACGGATTATCCAAAATACGGGACGTATGGGATCCTATATATATATATTGTTTACAAAGCATTACTATCAACTGAATTCCGCTCAGAATCGTTTTATCGTAAGCAATGGTTTTGCCTTACAGGTATACATTAAATTATCTATAACAATGACTGCACACATCGCCATTATCCTAGGACGTCTTTTTTCGAGTGAATCTCTCGATTGTTATAACCTCTCGAACACTCACTTCTCGAGTGTGGAAATCACTCGATTGTTCCAATCAATAAAAATTATACAGGTTTTAACACATATAGATAACAGTATTAGGAGATGATAATTTCTTTGTCAAAACCATGGACTCGTCCATAGTCAAAACAATTGATAAATGATAATAGAGTATAATGAATGGGGCTCTAGTCGACACTAAGGATAAGGCTAACGGAGAAATGGGTGCTATTATAGTATTAGAATAATAGTAATTAAACCATAATAATCCATTTATTAATATTTTTCTTTTTTCTTTTAAATTGTCTTGTTAAAACTTATTTTGTTTATAATTTGAACTAATATAAGTACATAATTTGTAATTCTGTAATAGAAATCACTGATATAATTCAATATGTTGGTGATTTTAAAAGATCTTTTGTCGAATGTTCAAATGTTGAATAGGTATTTAAAAAGAAACCATATTATTGAAATAGGTTTAAGAGAAAAAAAGACGTCCTAGGATAATAGGGACAGATTCAACAACTGTTATAGGTAATTTACTGTATACTTGTAAGCAACAATAAACCATTACCTACTAACGAAAAAACGATTCTGAGCGGAGTTCAGATGATAGTGATGCTTTATCAAATATATATATTTATGTCATATTATAGTAAAATAATTAAAGAGGCTTCATATATTTTCTTTAATAATATTTGTTTAATGTTGTACCGATTTTCTCGTATTTTTCCTACGTTTTTCCTAATTTTTCACATTTGTTAAGAAAACTCCTGGAAAAATCGAAAAATATCCTCTTTAAAGTGGGTACCTTCCAAATTAAATTTCCTTTCGAAAAAGTCCTATCATTGTAAATTGAAATACAATTGCTGATAGAAAAGTTGTGCATAAAAAAAAAAATCATAATATATTAGTAATATATTTCGTACATTTTTCTGTTTTTTTTTTCGATTTTTCACATTTGATGAGAAAACTCTTGAGAAAATTGAAAAATGACCGCTTTATAGTACCTCCCTACATCGATTTCTTATTAGAAAAGGTGCTACACTTAAAAGTCGGAGCAACCTCACGAAGTACCTGTAAGTACATTTTAAACACTATATTGTATATGATATATTACATAAGTTCAATACAAGTTTATATTTAATTTATGCATTTTTATTTTCCATTTAACTAGGATAATTATTATGGTCATCCATAATATCAAATTATTAACAAATAAAGCTTTATTTATAATTATTATAACGAAATGAGATTATAACAAAGAAACTCAGAAGTTAGTATTCAATATAATGTAATCAAACTTACATTTTCGCCAGTAGAGGGTTCTTATAAATTTCACCAAGTAGGGACTCTTTTGCTTTCAATCGCAATGTACAATATTATATATTCATAATAATTGTTTTATTATTATAATGTCCAATATCTACGTCTTACAATGATAATAATATCAATACCAAATATATCTTGTGATAATTTCTCTGCTAGAGTGAGACATTAGTATATTAATAAAAATAGTATTTCTCTCTTCTCCATTGTAGTACATTTCCCTATATTTTGTTGGTATAGTCATGGCCTATCCATTCTTTAATAACTATATTTTAACATTGTTATCAGTGATTGTAATAGTTTGTCCAAGAACTGTAATCATTTTAATGATTATTTTTCAAATTGTTACACTTAAAAATATTTTCATTTGTTGTTTTTTTACGTTAAGCGAATATGCAGGAGTCAAGTGCATTCAAAAATCAATTCTTGTATTTTGTGTCCAACCTCTACTGCTACTGCCTGCATACAAATCTTACCGCGCAACACCGCATCAACTATACCGCGCTGTACCGCTCCACACACCACGTGTTATCCCGGCTTTAATACTTAAATTTTTGACTCCCATGTGTTTTTTATTATTATAATATTATTTCATATTAATTTGAGTTCTTTTTACAATGGGTGAGCATTATATTTATATTATTACAATGTTAGTATTTTAAAGTACTCGTCTACTAGAATACTATACAATTTATGTATACATTTGAATAACGCTTATCTATATAATTGATTGAATATTATATTTTGATTGTTTAGATTTTGACTATCTTAAACGTGGTGGTTTTAGTGATGGAGATGTTCGTGGTAGAGATGCATATGACCGAGGTGGTGGTGGCCGTGGAGGTCGTGGTGGTTGTGGTAGACCTTTTGCCGGTCTAGAAAGCTTCAAAGATGATAAAAAAATTGTTATTGAATCGCATTTTCATGCTGGAGTTTTCATTGCTCGTGACAAAGAAGATGCACTAATCGCCAAAAACATGATTCCTGGCTAGGCAATTATTGGAGAAAAAAGAAAATGTCATGTTTATCAGTTAAAGAACATAAAACCAAATTGAGAGTTTATACTAATCTATTTCAAAAATTGTAAACTGAAAGAGACAAAACTGAATACCGTTTATGAAATCTATTTACGTCTAAATTGGTTGCTGCTATATTAGGTGGTAATTATGCAATTTATATGTCACCCGGATTAAAACTACTATACTTAGGTGCTGCAAATGGAATAACTGTATCTCATGTATCTGATGTGTTAGGCCCTGTAAGTATATTAAAATTAAACAAATTGGACAATTATATAATTCAATATATTTTATAGGAAGGTCTTATTTATGCAGTTGAATTCTCACATAGGTTTGGTCATGATTTGATTAATGTAGCTAAGTAAAGAACTAACATCATTCTTATTATTGAAGATGCTAGACATCCACATTAATATAGAATGCTAGTTGGAATAGTAGATACAGTTTTCGCTGATGTAGCTCAACCTAATCAAGCTAGAATTTTATCGATTAATGCTCAATATTGCTTAAAGAATGAAGGTCATTTTGTAATATAAATTAAAGTAAGTATTATTTTAATATTTATTAATACCATATATTTTTGTTATTTAATAACAAGTAAATAATTTTCAGGCGAATTGTATTGATAGTACACTCGAACCAGCGACTGTATTTGCACAAGAAACTGAAAAATTAAAACCTATGGAACAGCTTACACTAGAGCCATTTGAAAGGGACCATACATTTATAGGTGAGTATAGGCCAGTTTCAAAAGCAAAATAGACTTTAATACTGGCAAAGTATAGTATTTTATTACATTTAAATTTATAATACACATTTTGGTATTAAAATTATATAATTACATGCCTTACTATATTTGAAGATCTGTTATCTAAAAATTTTTCTATTTTTTAAGAATACATTAATTGATATCCAACACGGTTTCCGCTCAAATAGGTCTAATAATAGCCTGTTCACATAATCCCGAATCTGTTTTTTTGCCTTATCGATTTTCTGCTGTATAAGCCAGTAGAAATTTAATTTATATGAATATATTCAAATGATATAATTAGAAACTGTACAAGGTAAAATTATTGATTAAGTCGTTGGATTTTGTCACTGCAAACCGAATTTGATCATTCGATGGAAAAACTTAAGATTTGGTTAATGATGGTAATGTATTTTTGTATTTTTTTACACTGCATTTAGAAAATCAGTATGTTTGGGAGACCACATTTATTTGTCTTTTGTCTTTTTGACAGAAAACTTTTACTTTTTTTTTTATGACAGTCATTGTTTAATTTATGGAATTTAATATTAGCCTAAGGCTAATAGAGGGTGCGTTGTACTGTTGTTTTACATGCGGATTAAAATTTGTGTTCACCTATGATTTTATGCTAATACTGAAAAAAAATTATTTTTGCGTTTCACATTGTGCATTATTGCACATTTATTGCCTATCTAACACCTTCAATTCAATTTTCACGTATTTTGAGAACCACTGGCTCTCTTATCAAAATGTATTGCTAATGGACATCCGTAAATATACGTCACGACAGATTGGACAGACCACAGGCGACAGTTTTGCTGCTCAGAGTTATTATTACCGATGATAATAATAATAGTAATAATAATAATAATAATACGATAATGTTTTATTGGGAAGTATTCATACTATCTCACCGTGTTCGGATGTGCAACTGGCGTTCGTGTATCGTGTGTCCGTCGTCGTCGTGACCGCTGCCCAAGTAGCGTTTATCGGTCTGTTTCAAACAGCTATTGAACATCCCTACCGCGGGGTGCTCATATCGCTTGGTTGGAATTTGTCATCGTCTATACAATTTTCAATCCGAGGCACTTTTTACGACCGAGTAATTTACAGATTGATTCAGCTCCGATTACGAGGACAACAATAGAAAAAACGAGACAAATATGAGCATGGAAAACCATCACGATCGCCTGCCGTCGGCCGACCACTTGGGTATGTGTTTCACGACCTTATGTAAACTCCTCGAATTAATATCGGTGGGCTTTACCTTTACAGTGCTAGATCACTCTACTTATCTTTAGATTATTTCTTTTTTTTTTAGATTTGATTACTTTGACTCTCCTTGTTTTTACAGTTTTACTCTAATTAGAAATACTTGCCTTTGACCAGCCAGAATTTGTATCATTACGAACCAAATTGATGTATGTGCCCCTTTTATAAAATGTTTAATTTAATTTGAAGTTGATAATTAGTTGAAACCTAAATTTTGGGTAAAAAAAAAAATCAAAAAAATGAAAAACTGTATAATTTCCGTTTTCCTTCCCTTATCAACATTCAGCGGTCAGAATTTCAATTTTCAAATTTTCTGTGAAAATATGTGAGATTTTAGGATTCCAAAAAGGATTAAAAAGTTGAAAAATCAAAATTCTGAATAATATTATTTGTAGTTGCTATTCAAATAGAAAGTCTCTGTACCATTTTTCAATATTTTTAGTTAAGTTTTAACCCTAAGAGTGAGGCAACACCAGTGAATGATCAAATTTGTCTAAAAAATCCACAAATGTGTGGTTTTAAGCTGGATGTGCCTCGGTGAGAAATAATCTACTGTGAAACATTAGTCTGTTGAGACTAATGGAAAATAAAATGTAATTGATGTTTTTTGATTTTTTGACTCTTAGAACCAGACTTAAACTGATTTACTTAGTTTTTAATTTTATTAGATAATTATTTTTTGATTTTGTAAATTTTAATACTATTGGGCCAGTGCTACTATTTTGTATTTTAAAATTAAATTATTAGCAAACTTAAAATAAAAACCATAGCTGAATTACATTTTCCTAGTAACAGATTTTCACTGATTGCTTACTGTCGTAATACAAAACCAGGATAAAAACTGTCTGCAAATTCAGCAGTTAATTGTGAATTATTGAACCCTCGAAAGAGGGCAACTTAATTTTTAAAATGGTACATCATTTATCGATTTTGGTTTAGTATCAAGGAAAAAAAGTGTTTTAAATGAAAACACCTTTGAGAAACAATTTAATTGTAGGTTACTTACAATAATGCAAAATACAAAGGCTGAGATTATTATGTATAAAAATAGTGTAGAGATAGGTTACCTTCTTATATATATATTATTAACCCTAACCATATTTGATTTTTTTTATTACAGATATTTATTGCTTTTTGTATAATAATGTTTTAATTTTAGATCCATCAAACAAAAATAAGAGGTCTATACTCTTAAATAAATCATTTCTGATTGATATTGTAGACAAAAAAGTCACTTCAAAAGTGGAAAAACTCATACATTTATATGGAGGAGTAAGTTTTATTGACAGACCAATGAAATATTTTTTTTACTTAAAATATTATTGAGAAATATACCTAGGTATGCATATAAATGCTGCAATACTTTAGCACTATAGAATACTTTGTTGGGCTGAACATGACCCACACACTGACATCTTATTTGTTTGTATTTTTAATTTTACAGAAAGTGCTGCAGGCTCTAGAGAAAAATACCGATTATTTAATATCTGATTATGTTCAACACAACTTGGAAATGAGTAATGTTAGTTCACATTTTTATTACATTTTTTTAAATTTATTTTAACATAATACTTATAACTTGTAATGGGCACTTTTAAATACAGTGGAACTTCAATAAGTCGAAATAAATGCTGTTCCCTTGTGAAAAATCTTGATTACTCAAAAAAAAATTTATAGATAACTCAAACATTCTGTGTTCTGAATATAGATTGATAATGACTGATAATTTTTTTAATTATTTGTTTAATTGACCTATGTGTCCCATAATTTAACCTATTGACATGTATTATGTTTATTATAGTATTTTTCATTTGATAATAAATAATATTAATAATAATAATAATAATTTGACTATATTCTGTACAGATATTTTAAAAACACTTAAGTCAAATTTATTGCCTATAACTTTGATAACTCGAAAATTTTAATAAATTGAAAACCTCGTTAAGTCAAAAATATTGTATTTCCTTTAAATTTTGATTTATTAATGTTCCGCTGTAGTTTATATTATTATTAGTTTTGGATAGCTTGAAATAAAAATTGTATAGTTATAGGAAAAACTATTAGAATATTTAAATAGTTTCAATTTCAATATTTTTCTTCTGTATTATTTAAATATATGTACATATATATATTTGCATAACAATGATTTGAATAAACATAGTCAGTAGGTACTAGGTATAAGGCACAGATCTTCCACCATCTACTTTCCTTTAAACAGGATTTGCAAATAGTTCTATAAAATACTACCTGCAGTATGCCTCCGTTATGCACAATGACATTTTTCAAATAAAAACTTTGAATTGTTTTTTCCATGAACTAAATAAAAACAAAAATTATACTGAATACTAATAACTATACTAAAAGTTGATAGTGCTCATCACTAATTTTAATTAATTTACTTTATTTAAATCTAGTGTAAAAGTGAAATTGAAGTCCAAAATATGCTATCTTCTAGACAAGAAAATTCAGCTGATATTGTTAAAAAAGCTAAACTTTTCAACATACATATTTTGACTGCCAAAAAGGTTTAAGAAATGCTTTAAAATACCTACTTATCTAGTATAAATGTTTGATAATTAAATTATTTTATTTTTAATTATAGTTTCAACATTGGCTGAAATCTTTGTTGAAAAAATATCGACAGAACAAAAATTCTACAGATAAAATTGCCAATGTACTGAGAGGAAAAGTTAGTTTAAAAATTGAATCATTGGATCAAGGACAGTGTCCAGTTTTTGAATTTATACCAAAGTGGCCAGACTTAGGAGACACATTATGTAAAAAAAAACCTAATATCCCTACGCAAAATAATTTTAACAGAGAAAATGAAATAGACGATGAATATTCTTCAGACCAATATAGGTGTAATATATTTTTATTAAATAAGATATTATGTTTAATTATTATTATTTTTACAGTACTTCAGAAGTTGGTGGAATGTGTGAACTATGTGATGTACCTTTTATGAATTATAAAGAACATATAAATACAAAAATACATATAAGAGAAAGTCTGGATGATAACAAATTCCATGAACTAGACGAATTAATAAATCAGAGGCCTTTAAATTCTATTTTCAACCAATTCACACCAGAAAAGTATTATAAAAATATTTCATTTTAATATTTTAAATGTCATTTTTAATATTATTTAAACAATTTTTAAGGAAAATTAGTGAAGTTAAACATTTAATTCATGAAAAAACTAATGTCAAATCCTATACAGAAGCAACAGAAGAAATCATTAATGTAGTTGATACTGATTCAGATGACAATGACATAAAAACTCGGGTAAATATCTAAACTTAATTTTTGTGCCTTCATAATCTAAAAATTCTAATTAAAAAATATATATTAAATATATTATTATAAATTGCTAATTAATCAATATTTTGAATTTATTCACATATTATTATTTTATGTTAATTTGAAAATTATTGATAGATTAACTATTTATTTCTTATTCCAGCTTTGTTCTGTCAGTGACAATCCTGGTACTTTTGAAAAACAAACTATATGTTTCAAAAGACAGTATTCTGCAACTGATATTACATTTGTACCTCAAAAGAGACCTAGTAATTTACAACTAACATCAGATGAAGAAACCAGTTATCATAAAAAAACCAAGCGAAAACATAAAACCCACCAAAAATCATTATCTAAGCACATATACAAAGTAGAAGTGGTCGAACCTAATCAAATATTACCGAAATCAAAAAATACAAATAAACCACCAGTGGTTATACGTCTGAAGAGGGTTCAACACAATGAAAACAAATATTGCTCAAGTGATTTTAATACAGATTGTTTGAAAGATACAAGTTCACTTGAAAACCATATTCCAAATCATAAATTTATAAGAGTGGTTAGAAAACCCAGCATTTACAATGATAATAATATACGACCTGTGACAAAAAGTTTTTCAAATAATCATATTTTCACGTTTGAATACCCAGAATTACGTAGGTTTATTCAAAAAGAAAAATTATATCACCCTATATCTGTAAATATACCTGATACACAATCTAGTGTCAAATATATAGATGAAAGGATATCCAAACAAGACAATCATAATTTAAAATGTGCAATGTCCTTCAGTAAATCTATAAAGTTTATATTAAACATGAAACCTCAACAAATTGGAGCATGGTTTTTTAACATTCCAAAAGAAATTGAAGACGACTACTCATTTGATTCTGCTGTATTAACTCCTTTAACCACAAAATCAAACACAACATCCATATGAAAAAAAAATGTCAAGATTATTATAAAACTTCTAAATGGTCTTGTGAATCCTATTTGAGATCTCTTAATATTTTTTTCTATCTTTCAACATTTTATTTTTATGTTAAAAATATTAAATATTATTTTGGTTTTAAAATTAAATCTTAAGCCATTCTACTAACTATTGAGTACAAAATAGTTAAATTTATAATAATATGTACTTAAAATAAAGGCTTTATTTTAATTACAGATTTTTAAATAGTTTAATGCTATGTTTTGTTTGATAACTTTTTTAAAAACTACTTTGAAAAGTTATTTATATAAAGTTAAAAAAAATTTAGCTTTGTTTATCTTAAATCATTGTCTTTTATTGTTTAAAAAAGTATGTTAATTTACTTTAAATTTTATATAAATGTTCATAATATTAAGTTAAATACAGTCAATATAGACTGTTTTTGTTAACCATGTTTGTATAATTTAGGGATGGGCTAATATCAAAAACCATGAATTATTATTGAAACTTTCTGATATATCTATTGAAATTCCAATTATTTGTAATGTTTTTTTTTTTCAGATTCATACTCATTTTTTGGAATTTTTAAGTATAGTTTAAGCCGATATTTTTGAATATTTAGATTTCTAACAACATTTTAGAAGCATCAAGTGTTGATACAAATTTTGGTTTCTTAAATGAGAACTTATATTAAAACTTCCATAAATAGATGGAGTATTAGTTAAAATAGATTTTAGTAGTTCACATTTTTGATTTCTGTCAAGAGATATTCCACTTTTCAGTTTAGGTAGGGGAGAGTAGTAGAGCACTAATTAAATGCACAGCCACGTTTATGATACTTCACTGTCTTCCCCCTACCTTAACTTAAAAATATAATATCTCATTAACATTTGAAAAACAGGATACTCCTTAAATTTTGTGAAAAATTAAAGTACCTTAAAATATTGTCTTAAACTAACTTAAAAATTCCAAAAATCAGAATTTAAATATATGCTAAATTTAACCAAAAAAAAAAAAAAATGAGATGAGCATGCTTAGTGAATCACCTTGTATAAGATTAAATTTTGGTAATCATGTTTTTATTTTAGTGTATGTATCCACTCCCTAAGTATTGATATTATTGATTTTATTCATTTTTTTTCTTGCTTATTTGCAATATTAAAATATTTATTATTTGAATCATTATAATTTTATATTATTTATCAATTGGAAATGTAACTCGCATCAGCAAATCGGTATTTTGATTTTGAAATAATACACAAATTTATATGAGCTTTTTTTTTATTAAGGTACATATATTTTTATTACAGGTTATTTCCTAGTCTATTTTAAGTGAAAAAAGAAAATTCAAAATTATTCAAGAGTTAAATTATATTATTCAATTAGTATTTTTATAGTATTATTATATAAACTAGTTGATTTTCTTTTATTGTGATAATTAATTGGTTTTTTTTTTTTTATAATTTTTACCAGTATATACATTAAAAATAAGATTCTTACAATATTATTATTATTATTTTATTAAGTATATTGTTATTATTATTTTTATTACAAAGTATATTACTGTTATTACGAAGTATATTAATTTCTTAAAATGCTTCTTGAAATTTTATTGAATTAATTTTGTCGATTAAAATAACATATTTGTATTAATATATTATAATATTGTTATACTGAATTATAGACTGATTAAAAATAATACTGATTATAATAAATAGGGTAATTGGATTATATTATATAATTATGTAATATTATTTTTGTTTTTCTTAAAATTGTACTTTTTCCAACACTATTGAAATGTATTTATAAAAGAAATTATATAAAATGATTTTTGTTTATTTTTAATTTGATGATGTAAAATTAATTTGGATTTAATAATGTTTAAATTGTAAAATGTAAAGTACAATTTTTGTTATATCATGAAAACTGGATTTTTTTAAAACTAATTTTTACAAATATATAAATTAAACTTAAGATTCTTACAATATTTTTATTAAGTATAATAATTTCTAAAAATACTTTGAATTTATCTTATTTATTCAAACAGAATATTTTTATTAATACATTATAATATTGCTCTTGAATTATAGACTGATTAAAAATAATAAATAGGGTAATTCAATTGTATAATATTATTTTTGTTTTTCTTAAAATTGTACTTACTGCCAACACTTTTGTTGTGATTTATTAAAGCAAATTTGTTTACCTACAATGTGTTTTTAATAACCATAACAAACTATTAAACTGTATTTATAAAAGAAAAAATATATAATACTTTTTGTTTATTTTTAATTTGATGTAAAATTAATTTGTATTTAAAAGTGTTTTAAATTGTAAAATGTAAAGTACAATTTTTGTTATATTATGAAAACTGGATTTTTTTTAAAACTAATTTTTACAAATATATAAATTAAACTTAAGATTCTAATAATATTTTTATTAATTATAATAATTTCTTAAAATGCTTTTGCAAAATACTTTGAATTTATCTTATTTATTCAAACAGAATATTTTTATTAATATATTATAATATTGCTCTTGAATTATAGACTGATTAAATATAATACTGATTATAATAAATAGGGTAATTCAATTGTATAATATTATTTTTGGTTTTTTTTTTAAATTGTACTTAATGCCAACATTTGTGTTATGATTTATTAAAGCAATTTTGTTTACTTACATTGTGTTAAGATAATAATTATAAACTATAATAATTTGGTTCTAAAAAAAAAACTTTTATTTTTTTTAAATTTGATGATGTAAAATTATTTATTCAGTAACAAGAATCTAATATATAATAAGTACAATATGTTTTAGAAGCATCTATTTATTCAAACTGGTTAAAAAAAAAAGTTTATATGACATATTTCAATAATTCTTTATTAACCAATATATTATGGTTATTTTTCTTGTTCATAACAAATATTGATTGTTAACTGGAATACTCCCCTTTAATATGAATAAAATAACATGCTAGAATGTGTTCAAAATAATTGTACACAGTTTGTCCAATACAATAACATTTTAAACTTCTTTAACCTAATTCCACTTAATTCCGCTTATTTTTGTCCTCGAAATTTGTACACAAATGTGTAATCTTTATTACTTTTAGAATGAATAATCTAATACTAGATACTCCTTGCTTTTTTATCTAATTTTCTCTAACAAAAACTGTATTTTGAATTCCCCTGTTAACCTTTTAATGAATTTTAATGAACCTTTAATCTTGATTATATTTAGTACTGTTTTAATGTAACTTTCTATAATTTAAATTTATGTTCTGTATATATTCTATATTATCTATGATCTATGAAATTATATTTAATATAATATATATATATAATGAATTTGGTAAAATTCTGAACAATAATACAAATAATGTTAAAATCGCTTCAAGAAGAATAATAATTTAATTGAACATATAAACAATAGAACTAAAAACTTCACAAAAAATCTCCCTTATTTTGAAAATTCTGGTACATATAAACTTAAATGTAACTGTAATAAATTTTATATAGGTTAGACAAATAGATATTTTAAAACAAGTTACAAAGAACACATTTCTGAAATAATATTAAAAAATAACATTAACATTAATTCAGTTTTAGAAGAATTACACTTACACAATGAATAAAGAAAAATAATTTTAATAATATTTTAAATGTTCAAACCGATTTTAAAAATAATATCTTATATCAATAAGTTTTAGATAATAAATAATAATCAAATAATTAATATTTCTTAACATATCTATGTCTAATAATAACTAATTTTAAAAAATCTCTCCTATTAAAATAAATTATTTCTATATTTTATGTAAAACGACCAATTTGTAAATTATTTTTTGCTATGTATTCCTTCATTTAGTTTTTTTATATTCAGTCCAGTTTTATACTTTGACTTTGATATACCTGATGATGAATTTTTAATTTGAAACCAGTTATAATACACTTATCATAATACTCCAGGAGACGCATTGATTAATTTATTATTTTATTATTTTGTAGATGTTAAATAACGAGCTGCTTATTTCTTAAATTGTTAAAAAAAAATGTGTAAAATGTAAATATGTTCGTAGATATCGAGTGTACCTGAACATTGCTCAGAATCGTTTTTCGTTAGAAATTAATAATCGTTGCATACAGTACATACAGATACATATTCAATTATCCTACTTTCTCAACTTCTTACCTACAACAGTGATCAACTCATCATGCGAAGTATATCCAATTATTTTTATTAGATTTTTTTTTATTTATAAATATTATTTGTATTATTGTATTCGATATGTTAATTTGATTATAAACGAAGAAAACTTAATTATCAGAAAGGATAAATGTTATCTAGTTTATTATTTGTAAATTAGTAGCTGTCTGCGCCCGGCGATAGACAGTAGTTATACACACATTTTTGTCAGCCATGTCTTGTCGATATTTGTCGTGTCTTGTCGTAAGTTGTCGTGTTTAGTCGACAGTTTTCGTGTCTTGTCGACAGTTGTCGTGCAATCCCTGACATCGATCGAGTGTTTGTCTGACCAGTTTAATTTTTTATATTTTTAGGACTCAATACATGAATGCTCAGTTATAAATATCTATCCATTTGATTTATTTTTACATTATATACTCTGTTAATCGATAAATCTAAGCTGAGTTGCATCCAAAACTCGTCTATCGCTGTGCATTTCCACAACCAAGAGAAGTTTTAGGTAGAATTTGACAACAAGACTACTGTGATATTCACATAAATATATTATAAGCATATGTATACTTACGTAAGTATTACATTAATAGGCTCCACTAGGGAGCTTGGGGGCCTAAGTCCCTCCAGTTTTCCAAATAGTTCCCCTCCAAGTTACTACAAATATAGTTACTTAGAAGTATTAATAATTTATAATAATTGTTTGTATTTGTTTTTATGATTACAATATTATATTTTCAAATTTAACCAAATAAATTTGTTTGAGGCTATAGTCCCCCCAGAATTTTTACCTTAGTTGCGCCTATGATTACATAGTTACAACATTTTTGCATATTGCAGTTATATTTGTAAGCAAACATGAGAGCAACATGCCCAAAACATGCCAAATGCTTGTGCTTGAAGACTATTCTCCTAAAGATTTGCAGCATTTTACTATACTAATATTATCAAACGCACTTGTAAAGACTTCCACGATGCTCATGCATGATGTTATATTTTTCATTAGTACGCTCTCAATTAGAATATGCAAATTTGATATGATGCGCTGACTCTATAACTCAAAATCAAATTCAGAAAATTGTTTAGCTGAAAAGCTAAACATTGTTATATGTATATAGTTCCTCATTCTGATTATAATATTATAAATAGACTTTTCTTTATCTTACCATTGGAAAAAAAATTTAAAATATTGAATTTAAAAAAATTTTAAATTTACAAACTATTAAACAATATAGATTGTTCAAAACTAATTTTAGTTCAAAATAAACTCTCATAACTCCAGACATAAACAACTTTTCTATCTCTACCTAGTATATTAATATCTGCAGGAAATTCTATAATGTAGATTTATTTCACTCTTTACTTATTGATTTTTTATGATGAATTAATTATTTTTTATTTTAGATTCTAAGTGGAAGAAGGAATGTATTGATTTTACAATGATGTTTATTTTTATAATTTATTTTTTCATGAATAACTTATCTACCAGTAAATTTACTCCGGTTTACAGTCACAGCACTTTTTCTAAAAAGAAATCTGAATGGAATGTATTTTAAGGAGGCCATTTTTTGATTTTCCCTGGGGTTTTCTCAATAATTGATAAAAACGGAAAATAGATAAAATATTAAACAAATATTATTAAAGAAAATATATAATGCATATGTAATTATTTTACTATATTGTGACATATATAGGTTTTTTCTGAAATGAATGAGGACACTAGTATAAGTGTAGGTACTTACAAAGGTGGCATAATGATGAATTTTTTGAAATGTTTTTTCGATCTTCGAAACCTGTTTTTTTTAAGTTATTAGTGAATTATTATGTGAAATATAAAAATTAATACTCGAATGATATTCCTTGTAAAATTCTCATACTAATCAATGTGTTGCGTTGTTTTTTTGTTTATCGTGCGTTTTTCACGCTCGTCGCCAGAAAAAGAAATGTGGTGTGATACATATTGATATATGAGAACTCTATAGAGTAAACGGCGGGTATGTTGTCATTTAATATACCTGATTAATTAACACAGATTTTACATTATAAACTGAACTTTTATTTACAAAATATGTTCAAAGTAGCCCCCGTTAACTTGAATGCACATTTCCATTCGGTGATGTCATGAATTCCAAATTCTTTTTAACAAATTTGGTGTTTGACGGATGATCTCTGCTATTTTATTGATTCCAATCAAAATTTCATCTTTACTATTTACTTTTTTGGCTTGCATTTGTTCATTCGTAAAACCCAATAAAAAGTCACTTGGGTTAAAATCAAGACAGCGAGGTGGCCATATTATATCCAACAAATAAACAACATTATTTAAATAAATAAAATTAATTCGATAATTAAAAGAAATTATCATTAGGCCACCCCAGCGAGATAATACGCTTATACTAGTGTCTTCGTTTATTTCAGAAACACCCTGAATACCCGTTCAGAATCGTTTTTCGTATAATATAAGCGTACAGATATAGGTACATTAAATTTACTATAGACCTTCCTAACTTCTTACCTTCAACAGAAGCCGATGAAGGGACCGAATGACCTCAGCGGCAAAATTTTAACAGATTTAGGAGCGGCAGTTTTGTTGAGTGTATACATTTTTGTTTTTATCACAAAATGTATAACGCTTATATTTTATTTTATAGCATCATTGATTAAATTATCAGTTAGCACGCTGAAACATAGATTAAATAAAATTTTTTGCTATGTGATTTTGATTTTTGTACCTCAATTATAGGCACAGAAAATGTTGTGTTATCTTCTGCAAAACATTTTTTAAAGGAAAAAAAACCTAAACAGTCAAATATTTGTAACAGATTTCTTTAATTGTATTTCATAAATTGATTAATCTATGATTTTTTTTTTTTTAAGTTATAGGTAATTGTTGTAAGCACTGTTATATAAAAAGACTATGAGTGATTTTATGTCGAGAATGGTCGCCTTTTGTATAAACTTTTTTCTACACGTGTTGTCTACACATTGTAACCCCAAGTAATAAGTAATATGTGATAACAGATTATCGTATCAAATGATTTTGAGTTGAATGTAATATGAGTAAAAAGACTAATAACGTATACAATTTACTCATGATATTATTTGGTACTATTTTTTTATTTGAATATTTGAAATAATTGTAAATTGTTAAACCGAAGGATATACATTTTAAAATGTTATTAAAAACAAGCAAGGGCCAAATTTATCAGTAATTGAGGTTGGGGAGGGAAGGCCTGAGGTAAAGAAGAGTGGGTGAAAGATTTTCGGGGAGAGGATGACAGTAAAAAGTTTCGTCCCAGGGCACATATATTCTAAATGAGCCGCCATTGGCTCTCCCATGTGCGAAGAATGTCCAATTTTTTTTTACATGTGTATCATAATTATAAAGTGTACTATTATACAATTATTGTACTTTTAAGTTTCTAATTGATGTATAATTCTATGTATTTATTACATAAAATTAAAATTTAATCAAAATTAGTTAACAATCAGTAAAAATAATATTACAGCCTCTTTCCTTCTTGTGAACAACTTTTCTACCTGCAATTTTGATCTGATTTACAATGATAGCTCTCTTTTTGAAAGGAAATCTGACTTACAAAGTACATTGTGGAGGTCATTTTTTTATTTTCCCAGCTGTTTTCATAAATGGGAAAAATCGGGAAAATTGGTACAATATTAAACAAATATTATTAAAGAAAATATATAATGCATACATTTTTTTTATTTATTTAAGGCTTCAAATACATCATTTATTACAGTGGTTTACAAAATTAGTTTATGTATATATGCTCCATTGTTTTAGATGTTCGATGCGAGATCGGCTATCTTGATGAAGTCAAATATTCTTTTTTCATCTCCGTAGTTGAGCGCTTCTTTGAGTGATCTTGTGTTTAAGTTTGATTTCGTTCGAGCGTTCTGGTAGTTAGGGCATTCTAGGAATATATGTTTGACGCTGAGTTCGTTGAGGCACGTTTCACACCTGGGTTTGAGCTCCTTACGCATCAAGTGAGAATGTATGAGTTTGGTGTGCTCAATGCGTACTCGGGTAATCATGATCTTCTCGTGACGTGTTAGTTTAATTAGTGGATCTGCCATAGAGAGTAACATTTGATTTTTAGGGCATGAATTACATCCTCGTATATTACATGTGAGTATAATTTGGAGTCCGGAGATCTTCCTGCTTCCATTGCCAATTTGTCGGGATGCATAAAATTATTTTACCATAATATGACATTATTTACATTGTGGGAAATTAACAAAACTCCTCTGAGAATTATTTTCCTTTAACAATGGTTAATCATTGTATACAAATATACATTCAATTTCCTCTCTATTACCTTCCCAATTTCTAACCTATACAACAGTAGCCCACCTATATGAATTATGTCCGTCTTTTTTTTTCTCTTAAATATTCTTAAAACTGTCCCATATAATATATATATAAAGTACTTGGAATTTATCCTGTAATAAACAATATTATTATTATTATTTATGATTTTTATATAATACTCAACTCAACATTTTGTCTTTTAATTAGTTTATTATATTATCAAATTTAGAATTTATTTTATTTTCATTTAGATAAAACATTGACTATATTCAATAACACGAGGTTCAAGATGAGTGATGATGACTATGATGTTGAGTTGGAGACAGCAGAAAAGCGAGCACATCATAATGCATTGGAACGTAAACGACGTGATCATATTACAAACAGCTTCTCAAGTCTGAGAGATTCTGTTCCATCATGTAATCAAGGTGAAAAATTTGACAGTCGTGCACAAGTATTAAAAAAAGCAGCTGAATACATACAGTTTATGAGGCACAAAAATGCATCACGTCAACAATATATTAATAAGATCAAGCAGCAGAATTATATTTTAGAATCTCAGATTAGAATAATGGAGAAAACCAAAGCTACAGGAAATTATGCAATGGAATCTAATCAACTATCTTTAGATGTGTCAGGATCAGAAATTTCTGATGTATCAGATAGCGAACTTCAGAAATCTAAAAGGAGATTAAAAAAGCAGAAGTTTAGTCATTAGATTCTAATTTATTTTAAACTTATATACATTTCAGTGGCGGAACTACATATATACAAAGGTGGGATTTTCCACGGGCCTCGTCGGTGAAAGGGCCTCGCCGAATATTTGTATAAAGATAATATTGTTTTTGCACTGAATGGTTATTATTGAAATTATAAAATGTATAGTATAAAAATAAAATATATTATTTAGGTATACCCTTTATTTTATAACTTACTGTAAATTATATAACAAAATAAAAATAAAAAATACAATATTAATACCTATATAAATATAATAATACATTAATATTTGTAATTTAATATTTCGATAATAAAATATGTACTAGTACTAGTACTTGTTTCCGGTTCAAATGTTATTTATAAAATATATTTCCGATGACCGCGTCGATGCTATAGTAGTATAGTACCTATATCAATGATAATATGTCATAATATTATGTGCCACATGCGTGCCTACTCATTATGACAATAATTTTATTTTACTGTTTTTCCGTTTGCTACATTGATTATTATTTATTACTTCACAGTATAACCATTTTTCTTTGTATTAAATTTGTTCACTATTGGAGAACGCTAATTTGACAACATTTAGGTAAGTAGTATTATAGTTTTTTTTTATTAATATTTTATATACCTAATATGATTAATACCTATTAAATATTTTAACTTACAGTTTTCAAACTTGTACGTTATTGTAATTTACTCTATATTATGTTTAGCTTTTCGTTAATATTATAAAATTAAAAGATATAAATATGCATAATTGATAAATGCACTCCCCATCGTCCAAGTTATTTCACATATTATGCATAATATGAACTAATTAAAATATTACCGTTTATTTATGATATCGTTGTTTTAATCGTCATTGGCGTTTATATTTGTCTTATTAAGTATTATTTAAATTGTGTTTTAATCATGATATAATAATTTAATATTAATTATATACTGTGCGTAGGCTGGCTAGCATAACACAATAATAAATACAAATAAATATAATAAAATAATATTTAATGTTTTATTACTAAATTACTTTATACCTATATACTTTTTTTATATTTAATTTTTATTATCATTTACAATTTAGTAATAAATTATTATTATTTGTATTACCTATTGTTTTAGTGTATAATTTGGTTTTGGATCGTACCTAATCTTCACTAATAATACCTAAAAATGAATCCAGTTAAAAAAAGATTTGACAGTAGAGCGAGTAAGAGGAAACATAAAGCAGAGGAAGATCGTAAGACTAAATTATTACCATCGGTTTCAAAATTGTTTAAGAAAGTATCCGTAGAAATTTCTAATTCAAATCCTAATGTAAACGAAAATTTACAAGAAACACATCCATGTCGTTCGCTGTCCTCTCCAGTCAAAATCGAACATATTTCTCAAAATGTAACATCTAATGCTAATCTTTCGAGTACACTGGTTAACACTATTTCTCAAGAAATACCCAATACCTCTATTTCATCACTAGCGAATAATGTTCCAAATATTAATATATTTACTAAGCTTCTAATACTTCCCAATCCCACTGATATCGGTCATTTTAATTATGATAATAAATTATCTGACTCGCAGAAAAAGTTTGTTGTTACTCATGGACCATGCCAACCTTAAGGACCATTTTATAGACATTCAGATGTATCAAAAAATAAAAATTCACGAACAACATTTCACGAAAAATATTATTATTCTGTTGAGTCAATTACAGGAGCAAAAACTAATAGATTATGGCTATGTTATTCAATAATTCGTCAAGTTGCATATTGCCAACCATGTTCTCTGTTTGGTAATAGAATTAAAATTAAACAAACTACGTGGCTTGATAGTTATGATGACTGGGATCATATAACAATTGCAATTAATCGTCATGAAAATTCTACATTTTATCTTGAGTCATGTAAAGCTTATAATGTGTATTCGAGGAATTTAGGTATAGACAATCAAACAAAGAAGCAAATAGATTCTGAAGCTGAATATTGGACAGCAATTTTAACGAGAGTAATAGATGTATCTATAACACTTGGTTGTCAAAATTTGTCCTTTAGAGGTCATAGGGAAGATTCCAATACAAATAATCCTGGAAATTTTATGGCTATAATTAAGCTTTTGGCTAAATATGATCCCATATTAGCAACACTTTTAGAAAAACCAAAAGGAAGCGTAAAGTATCTCAGTCATAAAATTCAAGATCAAATTATTTCATTAATAGAAATTGAAATAAAGAAAAATATATTAGCTGCTGTTACTGCTGCACCATTTTTTTCGTTAATTCTTGATACAACACAAGACATTAGTAAGATTGACCAAGTCTCCACAATATATCGATACCTTCATATAGACAAAAGCTAATTAGGAATTCCTATAAGCATTGAAATAAGAGAAGACTTTATTGGATTTACTGAAGCCGAAGGAGGTACAGGCAGAGCAATGGAAGAACAGTCGATGAAGCAATTTAAAGAAAATGGACTTGATATCATAAAATTTAGAGGAATTGGTTTAGACGGCGCAGCAAATATGAGCGGAAAATATAATGGTTTACAGGTTTGTCTTCGGCAAAGACAGAAAAAAGCCAAACATGTCCATTGTGCATCGCACAATTTAAATTTAATAGTAAATGACTGTGTTAAAGATCTTAAGGAAATTCGGAAATTTTGTGGCGTGCTAGAATCTCTTTATACATATTTTGGTAATAGTATACTTCGGTGGGCAAAATTAAAAAAAGAAAGTCGTGAAATTACCAGATCTCTTAAGAGATTGTGTCCTACTCGATGGTCTTCTAGAATCGATTGTTTAGTATCACTGAATCATATGTACCCAGATATAATGAAGGTACTAAATAACATTATATTAACTGGCCGAACCAAATATGAACAAAATGACGCTACCACACTTAAAACACATTTTGAGAGTTATGAAACNACGTTTTTATGATGAGCTTTGTCAAGATCAACGACTTTCACAAGGATGTCAATATTTTAAAATACAGGTGTTATATAGGTGTATTGATACTGTTGTTACACAAATGCAAACACGATATGTTGGTCTTAATGAAATAAATGATTTATTCAGCTGTATTTTACGACGTGGAGTAATATCTGATGATGACATTATTATTGGTGCAAAAAAGTTGGCGGATGAATTTGAAGATTTTAATTCAGCTGAGTCAGCAAGGCAAATTGAATCATTTACTATTCTGTTTTCTTCAGAGCTTAAATCCTGTAATAGTGTTTTTGATATGACTAAATTATTGGTTATTGAGAATTATAATCAAATTACTAGTTTTCCAAACCTATTAACAACATTTTATTTATTTCTTACATTACCAGTAACAGTAGCCAGTGCAGAAAGGTCATTTTCAAAGCTCAAATTAATTAAAAACTACCTTAGAAATACTATGTCTCAAACACGTTTGAGTGGTCTCAATGAATGGTCGCAATGATATCAATTGAAAATGAACGCGCCAAAAAGTTGAACATGTCAGCATTGATAAAGTCATTTGCACAAGATCGTAGCAGAAAAAAATTATTTTTATTTTAATTTGTAAATTATATTATATTTATTGACTTATTGTTTACTTAATAAATTAATATCCTTTTTTCGCATATTACAAGTTAACAAAACAATTTATTATGTAAAAAAAAAAAAAAATTTCCAATATAAGTACTATAATAGTAAATATAAGTATTCATTAGGGCCAATAAAAATTTTACCCACGGGCCTCAAAGATTGTAGTTCCGCCACCGATACATTTATTATGTAATATGAAATAAGTTAACAATTTCACAATTCCATGAAAATATGATTCTATTTGCTACATATTTATTATGAACAAAGCGAGAAATGTACTTATTGTTTTTACAATGATATATTTTTATTTTTTATTATATTCAAAATTTCTACCAGAAATTTTACACCGATATATTAAGTATAGCATTTTTTCTGAAAGGAAATTTTATCTAGTTAATACTTTTGGGAGGTAATTTTTTAATTTTCTAAGTCGTTTTCATAAAAATTGGAAAAAATCGGAAATAAACGTAAGAAAAATGTAGGGATAAATAGACAAATATTTTCAGCGGTATAACGATTTCATGATTTTAAATTTTTGTAACTTATGTTTTCTACCAGAAATAATGTTCAAATAAAAAAACAACAAGAGACCTTATTTCTTGAATTTTTGTACTAGTTGGTTAATAAGAAAGTCGTTGATTAAAAGTCCATGTAATTTTTTTTTAATGATTGTGCAAAACTGAAAAATGTAGAAATATCAGGATAATTCATACAAATAATGTTTTTATTATTTTAAATTTTACTTTAATTTGCTTATAATTGAATTAAAAATATATTCGAAATTTGGACAGAAGGCTTATACTTGCCTTTTTCAGATGTGGAAATATTTTCAAAACATTTGAGCCATTTTTGAGCTTGTTATAAACATTTAAATGTTGAGAGTTTTGTATGTAATATTTAATTGGTTGGTACACTGTGGGTAAAATTGTCAGACCAGACAGTAATGGTAGAAAATTTAACAAGAGATTCATTATAAGTTGCAAAAAAAAAAATCAATTATAATATAGAATTTTTTTATAAGATTTTAATATCAAATTTTGAATTCATCTATATATCCTACCTTTCCAACTTCTCACTTACAAAAGTGCAAGACATATCTATCTATTTTCGTGTAACATATCATTTTTAAAATTATTGACATATATTTGTGAATATAAAGAAAAAAAAAATATAAATTAATATGGTTTACACAACCCCATTGCGGTTTTTCTACAATAATTTTTTATTTCTTTTTTGCCAAAAATAGATGTTATATAGTACCTAGGTTAATGATTAACTCTGTATTTGACTTTTAATATCATATTGATGAAGTAGTTACAGGTAGCATGTACAGCAGAAATGAAATGAATTCGTAAATTCGAAACACACTTAAGATAAACTATTAAACTATTGTTCTTTATTGTTTTGGATTTTATTAAAATATTATTAATTTATTTTTAATTTCATACAATGATCACTGGGAGAGCTCGTGGAGGGGGACAGGAGTTTTTAAAGTGTAAATTAAGTTCTAAGTAAGTAATAAATTCGTAAATTCAATATATATGTAAATATATGTAATAATATATGTATATTCAATGTATATGCAATGATTATTATTAAAACAGATGTTGTATTAATATTATATTATTAAATCAATTGATTATTAATGAAAATAAGTTTATTACATTAATAGTATTACTATTATTTTGTTGGTACGTAATTACATTTAATATTTGTATTGTATCATTTTGAATATTTCAGTTTTATCATTTATTATATTATTATGGTATCACTTGACAAATTATATATGTTTATAGATTTATAATAATTGTTATTTTTATTTATCATAATAATATGTTAGGCTGTAAGTATACATACATTTTTTTAAAAATAATATCACATTCAAGTATAGTATTTTTAAGCAGTTAGTTCAAGTTCTAATATTTTTAACGATTATATTTTATTTTGTTTATGTATTCATAAATACAAATAAATAAAAATAAGCAATTTAGTATGCTGGTATATTTTGGTCCCATATTATGTTATACATTTTTAGTTGTACCTTAGTTTTTAAATATTAAACAAGTTGAAACAAAAATCAGTAAAATACATACCAGCCATGGTTTTTATTCATTTCTTGTTAGTTAATATTATTATTAAGATTAGGGTCTTCTAGTGTTTGCATATTTTTCTTGAATATGTAAAAAATAGCAGAGTCAAATAGAAATCACGTTCATGTTATATAGAATCTAAATCCAAAATTTGATTGTGCATATTTTTAAAAATAAAATAATAAAGTAAAACCAAATTATTAAATGGTTAATACTCCTAAATAAATATAAAAATAAAATATTTCATTTTAAATAATTTAAAATGAGTTATTATTGGATATGTTAAGAAATATTAATTATTTGGTTAATATTTATTATCTAAAACATATTGATATAAGATATTATTTTTAAAATCGGTTTGAACATTTAAAATATTATTAAAATTATTTTTCTTTATTCATTGTGTAAGTGTAATTCTTCTAAAACTGAATTAATGTTAATGTTATTTTGGATATTTAATATTTCTAAGTCTATATTAATATCAAAACTTATTTATAAATATTTTCTAACACATTTTTAGCAAAACTTAAATTAGGGGCAGTCTTGTTTAATTTTATTTCATAAATGTGTTCTTTGTACCTTGTTTTAAAATGTCTATTTGTCTAACCTATATAAAATTTATTACATTTACATTTAAGTTTATATATACCAGAATTTTCAAACTAAGGGAGATTTTTTGTGAAGTTTTTAGTTCTATTGTTTATATGTTCAATTAAATTATTATATATACTTAAAGGTATCGATTTATACTTGAAGCAATTTTTACATTATTTGTATTATTATATAGAATTTTAGCAAATTCCTTAGAAATATTTTTTCTTTCACATGTTTATACATTTTATTAGGTATACAAAATAGATGGAGGAAAATTTGACTAGTGATAAAGTTGTGATGCTCAAGTGTTTTTTTTTACTGTTATGAATAATAAACTTTAAACTTTTTGTAACAAAAAATCAACATTTATTTTTAAAATTACTTTTTATATAGCACCTAGTATAATAAATTTACCGTTTGGATAAAGGGGGGGGGTGGTTGTAAAAAAATGATAATTTATAGCAATGTTATATTGAAAAATACAAACAAACTATGGGTCTGTACAAATTAGTCAGAGTTATTTAAGATCTTTATCTATTTGTGCACTCAAATTATAAAATTAACATAACTTAATTTCATTTAGAATTAACTATTTAGGAGATAAATTATTTTTTTTTATTCAATAAAATCGGTTTGAATATTTATATTTACAATAATAAATTTGACCAAATATGGATACATTAATTTTTCACCATTATGGAAATTTATTGATATTTAAAAAAAAAAAAATGTAGGTAATACCAATTGGGTTTTAATAAAAATGTGTTAGTTCTAATTAATAATTTTGAATAAATAAACGTTTAGCTATTATCATTATGCCAGTTATTTCTGAGTTAGTAGTAAACCTTGGTCTCCTGGACACTTGGACAAAATAGTATTTATAACTTGAATTATTCTCATTATCATGATATTAAAACAAAATTCTAGATAGAAATAGTCTTCAAAGACTTTAAAAGTGAAGTTATCCTTCTTTCAATAGTTTCTGGAACACATTTTTTTCAGTTCTGTTTTATTATGGTTAATGAGGATAATTCAACTTATAAATAACAATTTCTGTAAGTGTCATGAAGATCAATTATTTCTATTTATGTTTAAAATATTTTTTATTCATTCATTTTTCTTTATTATTTAACATTGTTTTAAAATGAATAATTATCAAATAATGCTGATGTAGAATTCTAGAATTAGGTTTTAATAAACAAAAAACAGATCTTAGTTTTTTACAGAGACCTACAGGTTAACCATAAATAGTCCAAAGCTATTTCAATCCAATTGACTTTTAATAAAAATACAACCATTACCAATAACACAAAGAGGAGAAAGAGGACTTTTTTCATTTATCCTCAAAAGTAAATCAGAATTAAGTTTATACATTTCTGATATTTGGTGTTATAAAAAATATATGTAATAACCCAGAAAAAACTTATTAACTCATTAAATTAGTTAATATAAAATTTGAAAATGATTAAAAATTAATATGGATGTTTGTATTCTTTAATATTGATTAAACAACAATTTTCTTAAAACATATTTTCAACATTTCATTTTTCCAAAAGTACCAAATTTAAACACATTGCCCCCTTTGCCTGAACACTTTAAAATTATTATGAAGTAAAATTATACATAGATTATAAAATGTTAATCAAACAAAGATTATTAAGATAAAATATTTGAATATAAATCAAGTTCATTTTTTTTTCCAAATCTACGAATATATATATTAAACTATTACACATCGAAAAATTTAAATATTATACAATATATTTAAATTATACATAAGTGATAAGTATATATTTCAAAATTAACAAAAAAAAAAAAAAAATAATATCACATCAATTTTAACATTTTTCATCATAATAATGTACCTTATAATTTTCATCAGAGTAACTGATTTTTACAGAATTAATATTGGGTTTGAAAACAATTATTAACTTATATTTTTTAATAAGCTATCGGTTATATATAAATCTTAACACATGTAATTTATATATTATAATATACATAACAAATATATAACAAAATCTAACATTTTTTCCATAAATATTTTGTAATATTAACAATAAATTAAAAACATTTTATATCCAATATGTAAAATAATAATAGTTTATAAATAACTAATATATTTAATATATTAATAATAATAATAATAATAATCCTATGTAAATATTATAAAGGACTAGTAAACATATAACACCAAGGGGATTTTTTTTTTTTAATATTTACATTAAATAGAAAGAGGTCAAAATATTATAATTATATCTGTATCCAGAATTTAATTCTGGTTAAACAATTAACAATTATCACAACACTAATATACATTTTAATTAATTTAATATATTTATGTGTGTATGTATGTATTTATGTATGTATAGATATTTAAAATAATAACAAATCTACAAATCTAATATATATACATTTATATATATATATATATATATATATATATATAATGTAAAATTATATTTTTACTTTAAGTTACATTTATGACACAGGTAACATAATTTTTGGAATAATTTATAGGCTAAAAATACAAATTATTTGGAATGTTTTATTTATCAATAAAATATACATTTTGGGCAAGAGATAATGAATAACAATTACTGTATTAAAAAATTGTTCTTTATATAATAATTTTGACAATTTAATCTTTAACTATTATTCACCACCGTTCTTTAGTTATTTTAAGTGTTACATGTCTGATTTTTTTTTTAGAAAAATAAATAATACCCAATATCTATGGGATAATTTATTCATAATTTGTATTGTACATATGAATACCCAGCAAACTTTGGTAATAAAACAATATTAATTAACTATACAACAATACTATGAAAATGGAGGTAACTGAATACCTCTATTTATCATCTTCGTCCATTGGTTCATCATTGGGTTCTGAACTTCTAAAAAAAATAATATATATATAACTAAAACATAAATATATAAAAATATAAAATCTTATTTTGAAAATACACATCAGATATAGCAAATTTTCATATGTTTTCTTATTGGAAAGCTACATAGCTGATTATTATTCAAATTGTTTAAAACAACTTTCGAAAAAATCACAAATGCTCCTCTTTCTTTTTTTTTTTCAAACTATATACTTCATAATGACATCCTATATAACAATTTATAAAAAATCAAAATCACTTTACAATAGATTTTTTCCCCCAAACTTGTGCGCCACTAAAACTCACTCATAAAAAATCTATTCATCCATTCATGGAAATCCACATTGCAGATTCAAAAAAACGTGGTGCTGGGATATCTTATAATAATAAATTTAGGCATATTCCTAATTATAGATACATAAATGTAATCCTCAACTGCTAAAGTACCACTAGTGTCACTTTAATAAATTTATTCACTCCCCGGATATACTTATTATGCTTTAGTGTATAGATTGTATATAACATGATAAAAAAAATATCAGATATATCAAATTTTCACATGTTTAATTATTGAAAAACTACAAAGTTGATTAAAGATTCTGAATAAAGTGAAGTTTATGGTTTTACAAAGATGATATAGATTAAATTTCCTTCTGTATTCTACCTTCCCAACTTCATTCCTAAAACAGTAGCTACACCTGTTTTCATTATCTTAGGACAGTTTATTATTATTTTTATTAGGTATTTGTATATAATACCTTTTTTTAAAAGTATAGAATTATAAATGAAATTAAGCTCTTCAGAAAAAATATGAAAACTTGTACTTACTGTATTCTGTGCCTGGTCATGGATAAGGAAGCCATGGCACTGACTGTGTCATTTTCTTCACACAGTTTTGCTTTTATAGCACTGCAAGATACAGTGTGTGCTAGCTTCTTTAACACTGGCCAATGGGGCAACTAAAATATAGTATACATTATAATGTTTTAATACACAACTAAATAGTAAATGAGAATAGTAAGTGGAGTAGTAAGATCTACATTACTTCCATGGTTACAAGTGTTTGCTAATATTATAATTTATTATTTTCTATGACATAATACATAGTAACATAATAATTATAACCAAATAAAATAAAATTAAAACTTAAATAAAATCAATAATTGATTGCACCATAATCTAAAATTGAGGTTAAATGTACAGACTCATCCACTATGTGTTAACTGTTTGGTTGTAGATCACACATATATAACCACATACAATTATATAATAATACACTGCCAAATATGAAAAGGGACTTGAAGCTTATGAGGTTGTTTACCAAACAAAATAAGAATTCACTGTTTTACCAACAACTTTACAATACATAGAGGAATTTATAACTTAACTCAAGGTAGCCACCTTGAACAGGGGGAAGATAACTATTTCAGAGTTCTGTAGCCTGAGGGAATATAATAAATGGTTGGAGGGATATGTTATACATAACAACAAGCTAATTATAGACCAAACACACAGAGTTAAAGGATTCAAACTAATAAGGCAGGAATGGATAATCCTAAACTGAATAAGCATGGGTTGTGCATAGTATATGTGGATATTTGCTTCACAAGTGGAAAATGAAAGATGTCCGGGAATATAATTGTGTGTGGCTATGTGCGAGTAATCTACAACTAAATAGTTCAGCTTAAGTAGATGAGTCTGGATATTTAACCTCAATTATAGATTGAGATACAATCAGTTATTGATTTTAGTTTATTTTCAATTTAATTTAATTTGGTTAAAGTTATTATGTAAATGTGTGTGTATGTGTGTGTATGTAAATGTGTAATGTGGGAAATAATAAATTATAATATTATGACATGCTACTATTAAAAGTTAAACCTTTTCACTTAAATACCTGTATAGCAATAGTGTTTTGTAAGGTTTTTATAGCATTTTGACAAGGAGCACGATGCAATTCAGAATCAATAATTGGTGTGATTTTATCTTCCAACAGTGCTCTTACACATTCTTCAGCACTGTCACATATTGCTGTTAGATCATATCCCCCTTCTAATGATAAAATGACCTAAATGAAACACAACATGGGATATAATTTATACTAAGTGTTTTTATTAGTTTATTAAAATAAGGTTAACAATGAAATAAAATACCTTTCCATCGGCAATTTGCATTAGTTGTTGTGTCATGTATGCAAAACAAGCTGGTGTTACATTATATCCACCTAATGGGGCTGGATGTCCTTTAGCTGCATCAAATCCTGCAGATACAAGTACAATTTCTGGTGCATAATCCTTTAAAATATTAACAGTAGTTATTAATTTTAAATAAATATTATTAAGAATTCAAATTCAATACCCGAGCAATAGGCATAACGACTGTCCGGAATGCTGCTAAATATTCTGCGTCTCCAATTGGAGGCTGTAAACCTCCACTCCAACTTATATTTACATTGTATCCTAGGCCACTGCCAGCACCACACTAATTCAAAAAATAAAAAATTAACAAAATAAAATAACCTTTTATTTATATTATTGACTTAAGAATATACAGTTGTGATTTTATTACTTATCTGTATATTTTAAAGTTAATTATTAACAAATACCTCTCCAGGTGCTCCAGTTCCGGGAAAAAAGTTTCCATCATCATGTCGATGGATAGATATATATAACACACTTCGATCATTATAGAAAATTTGTTGGGTACCATTTCCATGGTGGATGTCCTATGTGATCAAATTAGAAGACATTACAAAGATTTCTTTAAAAAGAAAATTAACAAAAATAAATTTAAAAATTACCCAATCAACAATAAGTATACGTTGTGTGGCTTGCCTCTGTTGCAGCAAACGACATGCCACTGCGATAGAATTAAAGAAACAAAAACCCATGGCCTGATTTGCTTCTGCATGATGTCCTGGTGGACGTACAATGGCAAAACCATTTTTTATATCACCTAAGGCAGCTATTACCATAAAACCATAAGTTATACTTTTAATATAATATTAATTATAATAATATAGATATTTGTTTAATTAATCTAAATTTATTATTACCTTTAAAAGCCAAATCCATAACACATCCAACAGCCATTCGAGCAGCAGGGGCAGTATGAATTTCATTCCATGTTGTGTCTGAATCTACTCCCAATCCACCACATGGAAGCCTTACCAAATTTTTTACAGGCAACTCAGCCAATTTAGAGTTATCTATTTTTTGTCGACTCAAAGGATTTGTGCCTTATTATTAAATTAAAATATAATATATCAAATAAATTTAAAATAAAAACTCAATTTCAAACTATAATTACATACCAAATAAAAGTGTATGTGGTTCAGTATGGCAAGTTTGTAATTCTTCTAATGTAGCTTTTCGTGGTCTCAATTTATCACATCGCCTGGCTAATCCAGTTTCAATTAATCGAGCCCATACGCTTTGAAGTCGGCCACTGTGTTCTGGATGTATAGAATTGTTTCCACATTTACAAGCATGTTTTAACATCAGACTGTCAAAAGCTAATCCAGTTGTAGGTCGATGAGGACTAATAATAAAAATTAATATAAATCAATCAACAAATTATAGTCATGCATAAATGTGTAGATGCTCACCCTGATAATTTTGCTTCAGAAGAATTGAGACTTTGAGAAGCTGATGCTGAAGAACTTGTGATTTTATCAAAGGCTATTCCTCCTTTATTAAAGTTTGTGTCTAAAGGACTAGAAAATGTTCTGACCAAAGATAATGGTTGTGTATTACGAGATGCAAAATTAGAAACTGCAAAAAAAATAAAACTTTTTAATGAAAATATATTTAAAATGTATAACATCATTAATTAACTATACCATCATTGGATTGACAGGTTTGACGCATCATAAAGTCTCGCTGTTGTTGTAAAAATGTTTGACTTTTATTTGTTAAGCCATTGTCTATTGGTGTTCTTGGCCGACCACCAGTCAAATCTATTACCTGGATATATTATATTTTTTTAAAGATAATTATGCAAAGGGCCTAAAGTATTAGGAAAATAATAATAAAATAATGCAAAAATTTATATTTATTTTCACTAAAACTATAAACACTTATTTCATTACCTTTGCATTGTCTTCTGAATCCTCATTTATAAAACTGCTACTGTTCGCTAAATGCGCTCTGCTTCCAACTCGAGTTAATACAGTATTACGAATTTGCTGTGAAAATAAAATAATAATAAAAAAAAAATATAATATAAATGAAAATTAACAACTTTACTTGTTTCAAATAAATATGTGTATTGAGCTGTTGGAGAGGTAATTCGTAATCTTCGTAATGTACACTGAGTTGTTGACTTGGCGCAGTGCTGTTCAACATAGGATGTCCTAGAGGAAGGGGTGCAGATTGCGTACGACCCAAGGGTCTATGTCCAGCTTTGTTTAATCTAGCATGTGCTACTTGTGTGTCAGTAATAGGTGTCGGATGAAATGGCATAGGCGTTTGTCTAGACTCCAGGCTTCGCATTTGTTTTTGAATAAAAGTTTGAGATGTATCGAGTACTGTAAAATTATACATTAAAAATAATAAAAATTTACCTTATAGAAACAGGCTGTCCCACAAAGATATACCCCTTGAATATCTGGAGATAATAAAGATAATCAAATTATGTTTTTTTTATATTACTCATAGGAATGTGGAGTACAAATATTTATATACAAATTAATTTTTTTTTATTCAACAAATTAAAAAATAACTTTATTTTATTATTTTCAGAAAAATGTTAAGATAGCCATTCTAGTAGAGTTAAATTTTTGGACATTTTTTTAAGTATTATATATTTAAATCTGATGGATAATTTCTAAGTAACAGCCAGTTTAAATTCTATAAATCTGAGAAAAAACCGAAGTTATTTAGAGAATAATTTAATGGAGTTACACAAAAACATTGATTTTCATGGGGATTAGTAGAATTTAAAATGGCTGTTATTTAGAAACTATCCAATGGATGTAAATGTGTGGTACATTAAATTTTTCAGAAAAATTAACTCTACAAGATGGCTATGATAAAATTTCCATATTTTATAAAAATAAAATATGTAGTTTTTTAAATAAAAAAAAAAAATAATAATAACTAAAATATACATATTTATAGTCCTCGTCCTTGTGAATAATTTAAAAAAAAAAACAAAAACATTATTTGATTATCTTTATTATCTCCAGCGATAATCAAGGGGTAAATCTTTGTGATACAGGTCGTATATATTTTACAGTTTAGTAAGTAATAAATATAAAAAAAGTAAAATAAAACTACAATTATTTAGAAGAAAGGAATTACATGGAAGTGTGGGGTAGTAGGGTAAAGTATTTGATAACATTTGTCCAGTAAGAGGTGCCCCTAATCTGGCTGTAAAAGCAGCACGAACTTCAGCTTCTGAAACGGATAATAATTTTGTTCCATCCTAAAAAAACATAAAAAAAAAAAAATCATAAGCAATATAAATACATTAAAAATATTAATATAATCAGATTTAACTTAACTGCAGTGAAAATGTAATATAGATAATAAACCTAATAATGAAAATGAAAATATTATTATAAACATGTGATTTCAAGGGACAATAAAAAGTGAATGTTCTTTTTTTGTAAAAAAAAATGGTAAATTCATACACAAGAGAAAAATTTTTCATCAGATACAATAAATTAATTATTTAATATGAAAAATTATTTATGAGATTGTTGTAATTATAGTTTAAATTTTTTATTTATATTTTTTAACTATTGCAGGTAAAATGATCACATATATAACTTTAATCTAGATTTTATATTAAAAAAAAAAAAAAAAAAAAAAATATGGAATCTATTCAAGCAACAGTTGTTAATTAACATCAAACATATTTGGTATATATTATTATATATAATAACTATAGAAATAAGAATACTGTACTAAATACTTTTTAATATTAAAATTTCTCGATTAGTTGTTAATAACTATTATTAACCACCAAACAAAACTAAAGCAGTATACTTTCATACAATATTCAATTTCTTAGAATAACAAATGTTGATATATTTTAATTATGAATACAGAGCAATAATAATTATTATTTCACGACTATTTGCATAATCCGAACATATTTTACATAACAACTAATTGTTATGTAATCCTCTAGATATTGTAAGGTAGTTGTACTAGTGTATTGTTATTGATTTAATTTAACTGCATTGTATATTTGTATTAAACAAACTACCAAAAATAAATTCAGCTTTTATACTGCAAACATATTAAAGTATAAATGGACATCTGATTAATTAATAAGAGAGTACCTTTACACAGTTTTTATGTATTTGTGTATAATGATATTTAATTACTAATTTTGTATGCACTTATAACTGCTTGGTACATTATAATTAACAGCAGTTTATAAAAAGCAGCATTAAACTATTATTAAATTTATTTTATTTGGCATGTTTATTGATTTACATAATTGTTAGATTAGACTCTTGATTACACAGTATCTCGTGTCAGAACTCACATCCAACCAAATTTGAAGTTGTCATCAGGTGTGAGTGGATACTAATATTTTGATAAGTGTGTATGAGAGAGTAGATTAAATATACAAACATAATTTCAAAAATTTCTGAAATGATTTTTAGATTAAATTTTATTTTATTTTTTAAAACTTAAATAATCATTGTTTAAAGAATAGAAATTTTATGATAATGCATTTTTTGAGAAGTCCACTCCTTTTTTTTTCAGAGAGAATATAGAAAAATTTGCTATTCATTATCTAAAATAAAATGTTGTTTAAGGCTACAGCAATAAAAAATTAAATTTGTTTAATATACTATATTTGGTAGATAATAAATTGTAATTATTATAGATACTGATATTATTTACCGAATTTGAGGGTGGTCGTCCTAGTGATATGTTAGGCATAGAAGGACTGGTATACAATGTAGAGAGATCAGCAACACTATTGCTTTGATTATTAGACATATGACCAAATGCCATTTCTCCTTCCTGAAAAAATAAAAATCTAGGTGAAAATCTATAAATAAATTTAAGCTAAAAATTTATATATTATACTTCTTTTATTGGAGTAGTGGCACCAGTTGAAGGAGAATTTCTACAATTTGATATAATTGGAGGAGAATTCGGCCCAGAACCAGGAGTACTGCCTGAAGGTGACGTCTCAACTAAAAACAAAATAAGAAACATTAAAATCGAAAAGAAATACTAAAATGTCAATGTTAAATGGGAACGTATTTTATTATTAAAATGGTACAGTACTTGCGAGCTTAGAAACTCTGCTGCCAGTTCTGTCTCTTGGTCGTGCTATTGGATTGTTACGTTTGTCAACCATGTGCTGTTTCAATCTGATTTTGAGCAAATTTGGTTCCGATGCTTCATGCAATAACATTTTCAACACACACAAGGAACAAAAAAAACACACTTAAGTTAGGAAAGTGGTCAGTGGATAAAAGAACAAACGTTATATTAACAATTGTTATTGCCAATAAATAATATTGTTATGATTAGACAAATTATATGGCATTTTAAATATGTTATCATGGTTAAATTGTGTTTTTGAACTATACAATTAGCAATTAAGAAACTTTTATGATTTAATGAAATATTAGTTTAGTAAGTAATTGACTTTTTTATTTTAAAAATGTGTTTTCATATGTACAACAATAAAGTAAAAAGTCACAAACTATTTTGAAAATTATAAGAAAAATTTGTTTTTTTTTTTTTTTTTTATACTGGGTATTTGAAAATATTAAATTTCAGATTTTTTTTTTCAAATACATTATTAAAAAATATATATCCATATGTATATATTTCTCAAATGTGTAGCTTTAAATGATTAATCCTTTGACAAAATTAAATTTTATCTATTATACTTTATAGTATTTACCCTATGACATATTCTACTTTTTTTTAACATTATTACTATACATGTGAAAACACACATTTAAAACATATACAAATTTTTAAAAAAATTTATATGTTGTTAAACTAGAATAGATGGTGTTATTATTTCAAATAAAATAATTAGTTTTCAATAAAAACACTAAGTTTGGAAAAAATCAATATTGGAGACTGAATTTTCCCAATCTTAATATGTTTTTAAGCTGATATGTATATTTGATTAATGTGTCCATACCTTGTTTGGTGAAGCCTTATAGTTTGAAATTTAATTAATTAATTACAATCAATATAGCAAAAAGAACGGTAACTTCTGATGAATGTATCACTGTTATAGGTTGGAAGTTGGGAAGGTGGGATAATTTAACTTATAATTGTATGCAACAATAAATTATTGTTAATGAATAATAATTCTGAACAAAGTTCAGAATTATCGTGTCTACCTCTTTTTGATATATTTATAGTACCATAAGAATAACTTATAATGAATATTATATTACATTTTTTAAAGATTTTGAGAATTTAAGAATTATAGTATCCAAATAAAAGTAAAAAAATAGTCCAAAAATGTAAATATTTGGTTAAAACTATAGGCCTCTAAGATTTTCAAATTATTGAATTAAAAAATATAAAAATCGAAAAAAACTTGAACCTTTATTGTGTCAATTTACTGTTTTTCCCAATTATTAAAAAAAATTACAAGGAAAAGCAAAATATGCAACAAGAAACTAGTTGATGAGAATAAAATTTCGGGTTAATAAATTTATAACAGACAGAAAAAACACATCATAGTAATGCATTTCTCCCACTCAGAATTAGAAGTAGATATACTTATAAAAAATAAAAATCATAGTTGAATAACACACATTTATGTATGTTATGTAATAAATATTTTTAATGTGTTATATGAACAATAAAATAACAAACATAAAAAATAGATTATTAAAACCTATTTTAACAATCTAGAACTAAAAATCTTTATTCAAAAAAATTATTAAAACAATGAAGAAGTTTAAAAAAAGCTAAATTTTATTAAATTGCAAGTAATCAAATAAATACCTGTTTTTCTTAGTGGAAAATCATCTTCATACCGCCCAACAAATCTGTAAGGTGGAATATTTGACCCGCTAGAGGATGGACTCAAATTGCTTGGCATTACATTTGGTTCTGATTGTTGTGACTGCAAGACACCCCTGAAATAAAATTATTAAGTAAATTAAAACACATACATAATATATGATTATAAAAATATATATTAATTACCATCCATGGTATGATTGTGGAGACTGTATTGAACCGCTAGACTGAGCTTCTCGGTGTTTCTTACTGAGTAGAAAACCCTAAACATATTTAGGTGGTATAATGAGTAAAATATTAATTTAATATTTTTAATTTAGAAATCTGTTGTAGGAACAAATTATTTGCACGAGACTAAAACAATTGTAATAGGCTTTTAGTATAAAATTTTAATTTATTTTTATTATTAAAATAAGTACTTTAAACTGTGAAACTTTATCAATCTAATTAATGTGTTAAAACTACCTTAATTCAGTTTTCCAGTTCAATAAGCAAAACAAAATTGGAATGTGTTAACCACAATATACAATAGTTTAAAATGAATATAATGTAATTTAAAATGAAATTATTAGTAAAATTTTTAGTAAAAAATCAATGAATTTCGAAGGTTTAAATTAATAAAAAGAAAACTAAATAACTGTTTACAAAATTAATCAACTAAAATGCTTGTCTGAAAAATAAAATCTTATCTACATTTATTTAATTTTCTTAATTTATATAGTAGGGTCTTATTAGTCGTTACAATTAGGGAAAGGAGTCATTCAAAATATTGATTTGTTTGGATGATTACCTATGACTAAAAAAAAATAAATTTTCTTGCAATTTTAATTTTAAAATTTAGTTTTACATTCAACTTGTAAAGTTTGATTTATAATCAATTTGTTTTGTTTATTTGTATAGTTTATGTATTTCAAACAACATTATACTGAATAAATGTATACATTTAATTTAAAGAAAAACAAAATATAATTTTTTTATGTTGTTCCTAATAATATTTTATTTAATTAATATTATAAATGATAATTTATACCACATTATTGTATAACACTATGTACATTTTTATGTTGTGGTTTTATTTGCCTAGTTTTAAATTGTTATAATTTTCAATTATCTCATATTCACAAAAATGCAATAGTTTGAAAAAAAAAACTCAATGTTAGTCTTATAATATTATTATATATTATTAAAAAAGTATACTTTTAATTTTATTTAACTTGTCTGATTAAGATACCTATTATAAAATTATTTTGCAATAATCAGTGTTCCTAGTGGAAAACAAAGATATAAAAGTTAAAAAAGTGAATATTTTAAAATAGTAACTTTTAGTGATTATTTTGTATTAGTATTTACGTACAGGTGTCCCACTGTTTTCCCTATGCTAATATCTATATTAATTTCTATTTTTTTTTTTCTAAGAGATTTTTTGTGAGGGGGCACTAGAAAACATGTATGCATTTAGGAAAAAATTACTTTTTATTTATTAAATTTTGAAAATGTCAAAATAGCCAATTTGTAATAGATATTATTTGAAAAATGGCAATGTCACAAACATACATAGAAATATGATAAATAGTTTTTTAGTAATAACCATTTTAATTTCTATAGAATGAAAAACATTATATTCAATAAGTAATTACTATATTACATGATAAGGAATCACTATGTATAATGTATTCAATTTTGAAAAGTGAACATATAAAAAGTCGTTTTTTTTTCTAAGGATTATAGGATGAACATTTTTAAATTGTTCACTAATTATAAAACAGTTATATAATAAATTTCCTTTATATTAGGGAAATATATCCATGTCAAAAACTCGAGTATCGAGTTAAAAAATTCTATAATTAATATAATTATTATTTATTACTATTTATTTATGGAAAATTAATTTAAATTAATTTGAGAAATTGAGGAAAATCTGAGGTAAAATCCTGTAAGATCTTGTAGTTGTAGGTAATTTATTATATTTTTAAAAAAAAGTTTATAAAATTTAGGTAAATCAAACTATCTGTTCACAATCTTTTTCCTCAGGTGAAATAAACAATATTGCCCAAAATCATCATGTAATTTTCCTACATTACACGTTTTATATTGTATAAATAATATATACATATATTTTTTTTATAGACTATAATAATTGCCTACTTGAAGTATGAATTATGTCACTTTTATTTGTTTAATAATTTATTATCAATAAATAATAATAATAATCATCTATTATTCTCGATTATGCAATAACATTTTTCACTACTCTATATTGGTATAAGTTACTATGTAGGTAGGTACTCATATTATGTAATTTTATTATTGAGTTTTTCTTACAGTTAAAATATATATATATATATATACAGTTACCTAATAAAAAAAAAAAAATTATTTTAACATACATAAGCACATTTTTGCTATATAAGTAATTCAAAAAATAATCAAAATCTTAAGTTTGGATAAACTGGATATGTTTTTGATTAATTTTAATGATTTTCAAAATAAGGAGGGAAGTGCCTAGAAAAAGTGTATAGGTAGGTACCTACCTACTATATATTTTAATTAAAAGATTTTTAATAATTTTAATAAAAGATCCATTTAACGAGGTCGCAGGTTTTAAATATTTTTACATAAACTTCTTCGGTAAAAAAAAAACGTGTATTCTTATATATTACATTCAAAATTAATCAGTATTTTCGAAATTAAGAAAAAATATGTGAATATTCAAATTAGAAAAATCAAAATTATTTGATTTTTATAAGAAAGTGTGGGACTTTTATCCGAAGTATATTGATTTCAATTTATACATTTGTTTTATTATAAATCAAATTATTTATTAAATGAAATAAAATAATTTTTAAAAATGAATTATTTGATTAAAAATTTTTTAAAAAAAAACCCAGAGATGTAATATTTTGATTTCATAAGAAAATCCGTGAGACATTTTTTTTTATAAATTTCAATCATATTATCTCATCACTCAATACAATTAATAACTTTTTTTTTTAAAAAAAAAAAATTATAATTCATTTATCCTATCATCTATTCTTCTTACTTTATTTTTAATAAAAAAAAAATTTTAAGTAATATATTATATAAAAATATAATAACATAAAAAATCGGTCGGGGGGGGGGATAATGATAATATTATTGTAAAAATTAATAAATAATTTACATGGTAATTCATTTTTGTTTGGGGTAAATGTTTACTCTACGCTAATGAAGACAGACGTAAAATGAATGGAGGACAAAAATGAACACGTGAACAATATAAATAAATGCGTCGTCAATATAATATTGGGTAGGTATTTGTTAGCAAGTTATGCAATATCAAAAACAAAATATTGGAGATAAACGTTAAATACAATAATAATAATAATAAGTTCAAATAAATAACAGCAATAATTATTATCCCCGTGCATTATATTTTGTTTGTATACACATCATTGTATTCAATAGTTTTAAGCTCCTTACCACGACGACGCATACTATTAAAATGACGATGCAAAAGAAAGAAATGCAAAAGAAAAGCCGAGTATTATTCCACAAAACATCAATCGTTCAAAATTATATAATTGAGTAATAAGGACACACTAAGGTTTTTTTTTTATGAAAATATTACCTGTAAAATTTGTTTTACTTCGGATGACGCAATCGAACTATTTTTTTTTATGGTTTCTTTTTTTTCCACCTCTTTCTTTTCGCGTTGTTCTTTTTCTTCGAGTTCCCGTTTCTGTTCGTATAATTCCTGCAAAACAGCATAGAACATTTGTCCATAAATAATCTATGAGGGATATTTGTCCATTGATAATAAAAATAGTAATTATATTGAAAATTATTCGTATACGAATGCAACATTGGTAATATTTTGATACAGGCGTTTACAACAAAATAATGTTGCATGTATGTATCAATATACAATATATCAATATATTGCCCTGTAATGATAAAGCATACTAATATAAATATTATTTTATTTTATTCAATGGGTTATAAGTATAACGTTAACAGTGATGTCATTTTACATTTTTTCATGGGATTCAAAACCAAACCAATACCGACTGAAAATTAAAATCAACTTGACATCCACTTGCGTAATATATTAAACACGAAATCAATAATTTCCATACTTAACTCTATATTTTTAAATGTATAATACAATTTAAAAACATACTTCAAATTAATTTCAATATTAATTATTTATATTATATTAAACTAAAATACATGTATGTAATATTATATAAGCATATATTTTATAGTACACTAATGAAAATACGTTTTAATTTAGCAAAACTATCCTTTTCGGTAGTCCATACTATAATACCAATATTATATATTATTTAAAACCGTTTTTATGTTTTATAAATTATAAGTGGTAACAACATTTTTTTGTAAAATTACAAAATAATCATTTTAGAGTATAAATTAGGTATATGAAATAAACTACTTTTACACATTTTAAGTATGCTGAGAAAAATGCATGAGATGTATTCGCAAAACCTTGCATCTCGCAAATGACGCCCCTGAATGCTAGGAATACGACAAAACGTAGCGTTATTTTCGTAAGTTTAAAAATGAGCCAGTGTTGAAAAATATTCATATAAATAGTATCTACCACTCTGAATCACTCAAAAATGTATCTAATTAGGTTATTTTTTTAAATTTAAGAACGAATTCATTATAATAAATTAAATATGGTTTACTTTAAGATGTTGCCGGAGTTGAAGTTCATGTTTCTCGGCTAACTGCTGTTGTTGGACTTGAAATTGTTGTAGTAGAAATTGCTGTTGGAGTTGTTGTTGCTTTCTTAACTGAAACAATACAAATATGGACATTTTAACTAGTGTAATAGGTACCTCCTATATTATATATGTTTATTTTCATAAATTAAAAATATATTGATACCTAAATAATTATGTTTTAAAAAAAAAATGTATTTATTGATGTATAGTATGAAAATTAAAAAATGAAACTTTCATTGGATTGAAATAAGATTCATAGCTGATAATAGTAATAATGTAATTGGGTAAAATCTAGTATTACTTATACACTCATTTTGTTTTACACAAATTAAACTATTTAGGTAAAATCGTTTTATTCAGGTATAATATGATTTACCTCTACTATTTGACGGTGTATCGTGTTGGGTTCCTGTACGTGATTGGTAGGCCTGACCAATTCCAAAGATTTGTCACTTAAAGCGTCTTCGGTATTGTAACTGCTTACCATTGATTCATGAGTCATTTCTAAAAAATAATGAAACATATTTGAATTTTAAACACCGATACGTGGATTTTAACAACATTCATAGGTACAATACTCTCGATGCCTACTGCAGACTATACGCGATTAAATGAGCTGCCTAAACGTTATCGGTCGTAATTTATAGCTGTTTACCGGTATAATATTATGGATCTGAAGGGGGTTAATGCGAGGTGTTTTACTGCTTGCTGATTGGTCGATTATGTTATGACGTAATTTATGTTTTATATTTGTTAACTCCCATACGCTGATATCTGTACATATATAATATTATATACAATGATATTTTAACATTAGTATATATTCGATATATTGAACGAATAGGTGAATATTTAATTGTCGATTCCAGCTTGCATAGGAATCATTATAATATATTACAGGTGTACATAAAAAAAAAAAACATATATACTCGATAATGAACGGGGGGATAGGCTAGGTTTTTAATATACAAATATGCATGTTTTTTTTTTTTAAGCACCGTCGAAATAAATAAAACCAAATAATGATAATAACATAATAAATAATAAATATAAAAATACTGCTGAAATTATTTTTCAAAATGCAATTTGAACATACTGTTAGAAATATAATATTCACGTACTAAATAGTATAAATAGTATCCCATATACATATTGTAATATGTTGCATTTTATATACGATTTTATTATTTAAAAATATCAAAAATAAGAAAAACTGGAATACACGATTTTGTTTTAACAATACATATTAGAAGTAGTTAGGTGGATATTTAAGGTTATACAATAATGGAAAACAAAAATATTGGCTTAAATTAAAAATAATATAACCCAGAAAACTTATATACAACACAAAGTGTTAAACCAAAACAACAAAAAACCACACATCCTTCATTGTAAAGCTATCAATATAACTCATCTCTTCGTTCAGAATATAAAATAAAATTAATGACTACGAGATAATAATAACATTAAAAATTATCTGAACGAATTCATATTGTTTGGTATAGTTAAATAATTTAAAAATCGATATTATATTTAAACATTTAAACCAGCGGTTTTTATAATACGTTATGCACCTATATAAATATATAAGTATAATATATGAAGACTTTTTAATTTTTTAAATAGTTGATAAATAATCATTAAGATTACATAGGTATTGATTTAAGTTGTAATCGATGTGTACCTATAATTATAATATTTTAAAGGAAGTTGATCATTAAAAAAAAAATCATCTTTTTCATAATATGTTTCTAACACAAAAAAATATGTACCTATACAAAAAAAATAAATAAATTATACATTAAAACATTTTGTATTATTTACTATATTATAGTCTTCTGACCTATGCCCAACATTCGTATACCAATAATTATAACGAACGATGTCTAAATTAAAAAAAAATAATAAAAAATAACAAAAATCTAACAAAATCAAATAATTATATAGGTCTATGATTAACGAGGTATATATTATAAATAAATCGGTCTAGGTACCGGCTCCGGTAACTTATGATAACCGAATAATTTGGTAAGTTAATTTAAAATAAGTTTATATGCGAAATAAAAATATTAATTAATACTATAGTTGTTTAAATCGAGTTTTACAAAACATTTCTAGTGTATTTAACAACTATATTGATAATGCATACCTATAAGTATAAAGTTTTATTAAATGTATTATAGACCGATTGATATTTTGTAAAAATATTAATTATTATCTAAAATTATTACTGTGATATTATAACAATGACGGATTTACTGATATCAAATATGTTTATTTAAAAAAAAGCGTAGGTAACAAAAAAACAATATATATATTATTTGATAAGTTATATTTCTATATATTGGACATAATAATATATAAGAGGTACTTATGGTTTAAAATATTACATAATCATAATTATTATATGAACGTCTTTAAAACTCCAAAAAAGTTTACAAGTATTTGTTAGAGGAAGATTATTAGTACATTCATATTTCGATTAAACTGTGCTATTATCGCTGAAAAATATAACGGTTTACAAAAGAGAAATTGAAAACTGAAAGACGACACAAGGTAAAATATTCCTTTAAATATATACCAAAGACACAACTGAGTACAATATTTTAAAATATACGTTTATCCAATGGTGTATAAGAACACTGTATGCATTACAACACGACTATATGCATATTTAATAATATCAACTTACGACCCTTTTATAATACGTTCATGGGGAAAACGCACTTCTTCACTGAATTATCATAATTATTACGAACACACAATATTAAACATATGAATATTTCTACATCGCATTATTATACTAAAATGTTACAATGTGTCACATGATAATGACTCCGGAACGATTAAAAAAATTAAAAACCTATACCGTGCGCGGTATAAATCGCGTATATACCTATAATAATGATAACAAAATGAATTTGGCCTTCGGTTATTTTTAGAATATTATATTATTGTGTTACGCGGTAGGTATGTATATTTACACATTATAACATAACCATACACAAAATATTATTACAATGAATGTGTATTTACGACGATTTTTCCGAATAATATCTAAGAAAATTACATGATTATACATATTTTATACCAATCTGTCGTCGGACCGATAATAACGTGCCAATATTATTATTATTATTATCACGTTTCTTTAAAATCACAACGATATCGCTGCACCTACACACTCGATGCCTAGGGCTACCCCTATTTTTAATTTTTTTTTTATAATGAAATGTAAAATACAATGTGGAATATATGTATACTATCGTGCGGACATCGTATTATTACAAACATGAGCCGTTTTGCTTATTCGCATGCATATAGGCGAAAGGGGGATACACAAATTTGATGTATATAATTATTATAGGTAGGTAAACGATTTTTGCGAACAAACCTGTTTTTTGCGATAGTCGAGTGAACGCGGAATTGATTTCTATACTTCGAATGGATTTGAGGTTGTCTATAAAGCAAAAACAAAAAATAAAAATAAAAATAAAAATTATAAACAGTTAATCTGGATAGTTTATTTTTAAATATAATACACATGATTCTATTTTATCATTGTAAGTAGATGAGAAATTGTTAAAAATTTAAATGATATTTTGCCAACTATTTTTTGAAAAGAACGTTTCTTTTAAAATTATTTTTCAAATTGCAGTATTCAGAATAATGCGACTGTGAATCATCGTAATATTATTGCATTCAAAATAATAGGTACTAATAATATCGTTTAGGAGTTTCGAAACTGTCAAAAACAAAAAATAATATAGTTTGAAAATAATTAAAAAACGATAATCAATATTTTCCAAAGTAAATAGATATATAATGCGCGTCGATATAAAAATAAACAAAAAGTATGTACCTAATGACATAAAAAACATTATTGGCAAAATACGATAAAAACAAAATAATCAAGAAAATATAGTATGTATACCGAATATCAAAATAATAATTGTATACAACGATGTTGATCTTGCAACGAATATTATGCTCGTGGAAATATTAGAAAAGAAACATTTACCGTTATAAAATATAATCTGCAGATGATAAATAATATACATTTTTATATAATGAATAGGTATAGCGTTAAGAAAAAAAAATACCTATAAGCCTAAAATGTAATATATTTTGTGAGGTAACTTTTTTCTTTTTTTTTTCATTAGTAAGGATGAATAAATAATGACTGGATTTTAGGCTTGGTTTTAGATTTCAATACATATATATTTTATGTATACACGTTATCATTTTAAATATCAAAAAAAGAATTTATATTAAACTGCCTAAACCACTTGCTGTCGTAAAATCCGACTGACACTACTAGCATACTACTAGCGTAACATATTATAATACGAGTGTATCTACAGGTATACGAAGAATATTATCATTTAATGTCCATTAAGAAGTTAGACTGGTTAGTCATCAATAACTCGACTAACCTGCAGTCCGCGTGAACGCGAAATGCATTAATTATTATAATAACTATTCCCCAAAACTATGTTGGATATTATTATTTTTTCTTCTATAAAAGTAGAATTTTAAATTTAAAATAATGCGATTTTCTAAACGACTATATTATTATAATACGGGTATATTAATATAATATATAGGCGAAACGCATTTTGGCAGCTGTCAAAAGCTATTCGATTTTTTATAACAACAGTACGACTGATAAACTTCGAACTTTTACCTGCGACCATAAATAAATATTACGCACACCCGATAATTAGTTATTATCAATTTAACACATATATTTGTTGATAAGTGCATTGAACTATAATACGAACAACCTCGTTTTAATTGAAACTGTGTACAGATTGAATGTAAATATAAACAGTATAGGACAGGAGGGCAATATAGAAGGGCATGGTAGAAAAATTACGCGAATTTTAAATAATAAATAAAATAAAATAATAATAAATGTACTATTATGTAATAAAACATTGTTAAAACTCCAATATAATATTTTATATAAAAACAAAAAAATTGTATACTTGCGCATCTAACGCCTACGTGAAATTCTTAAAGCTTAAACGATAGTACCTATTTGAATGTTTCTCCGTACAAATAGTTTTTTCTGTATAATTATGAGTTTGGCACAAAAAGCTATTATATACATTTTACATTGTATTAATCTAAAAGAATACAAAAACGCAAAATATTAACGGAATCAATTCAATTATCAATATTGTATACAATATGTTAAAATATAGTATTCAGAGTTTATTGAGAATTTTGATTAATAAATTAATAATATATTATTACGGACTTGAATGCAATTAAATAAGCATTTAACAACATTTATTTCAGCAATGAACTCTTGTATATTGCGTATAGACTGTTAATTACTAAAAATGAAGATAAAATTAAATATGAAAACACGGGTAAATCTCGGAATGTATATATTGAAAACAAATAATAAAATATAGATATTAACTTTAAATTAATACGGTGTAGGTGAATTCATTAACCTAAATATTAATCGAACATAACTTTATTTGTACAGTCAGATGTCATGATGTTCGTACAGTCAGATTTATTTTAACTTCACACGATTATAATATTTATTGTGTATAGATATTATATAAAAACCAAATTGTAATAGTATATTATAATAATACATCTATAAGCATGTTTGAACTTTAGTTTCATATAGATGAAACTTAAGTTCAAACATGCCGCGTAGAAAAAATTAATTAGGTGAAAATTGCAGATAAGGTTATTTTATAGGTTATTTCCTATAAAATTTGTTGTCACTTTTCCTTCGTCATAAGAGCAATAGCACAAAGTAATTAAAACAAATAAAAATTACTTCCTTAGCAATTATATTTAGACATAAAAAGCTAGCATATATTATACTTAAATAAATGTATATGTACAAAATTAAATATAATATTTATAATATTTAGTGATAGGCATTTTCGAATGGGTTTTAGTTTATACTGTCAATAGTTTTTGATGGTTTGGATGAACTATCAAATATTTTTTTCTCAAACCCAATGTCCGAATACAAACTATTTCAATATTTTTTCCCTCATAAATATACTATTTGTTCTATAGAAACAATCTAAGAGATCGATAATAAGTATTCGGTTGTGCCCATTACTAATTTTATTATAATTTACAATACTCAATGATAGACACAGTTATTATAATATACGAGTATAAAAAATACAATGTTGATAAATACTTTTCAAATTTATTTTATGATGCTACTACAAAGAGGTTCCTTAAAGGGGCCTCTTATTTGACCTAGAGTAATAATTATTATATATGAAATCCGGTCTCGTTCCTTTTATTTATTCCAGTTAGTTTGGTACCCAATTTAAAATGGGTTATTATTCGGTTAATTCACAACGCGGTATAATTATATTTATTTTTTTAGATGTAATGAAAAATGTTTAATACTTTTTTAAAAATTTAAACATAAAATATAATATTGTAAAATATCAAATTAAAATAAAACGAAAAAATCGACATTTCAAAAATCCGAGTGACGTTTAGAAGTTTAATTTGTACTTCATTCAACAATTCTTAATAAGATAAATTACATTTATTTTATTTTATTATTTTGTTTTTATTGAGTGTTATTATTTTTTTTTTTTAACGTTACATAACTGGAGAACTTGAAAAATGGCCACTTTAAAGAAAGAATCGTGTTCAATTAACTACGGCATCTTCGAAAATTCGATACGTGTTATATCCAGACGTAAACACACACATCCCTGAAAAATTAATAGCTTCATCGCCACTCAGAATCTAAACAAATAATAATAATAATAATAGTAATATACACATTTTTTAAAATTTTTTTATAGCACCTCGGCACTTCTGGTAATACTTGATTTTTCTATAGAGATTCGAAAAAAATATAAAAATAAGAAATTATTTATGGATTTAAAATAATATAATATTCTCGTTTATAGTACAAGTATGAAATTAAATTAATTTAACAAATAATCTGCAAGTAGGTATTATTATATTTTATCAGTCGTTGATCGCTCACAAGTACCTACACAATAATTCTAGATTATACAATATAATATACTAACTATGCTATATTATACTATATTATATATTACACTAATAGTGTATACGATGACTTTGATGGATTGTTTTTCTTTCATTTTATCTATTTTGAACATAATTTTAATATAAATTTGACATTATATACAAATAGTAATCGTTGATTAATTACGTAGCATAACAAAATAGATAGATATGATCAGTTTTTTTTTTTTTTTGATACGTACAGAGCACACCCCGCCTAAATATTTCTTCACTTCACCTATTATCGTGGTTTTCCACTTCGTATTGGCTAACATTAACATTTTTAGGGTGCTACCAATGGGTATCCTCCCTAATTTCAAGACTCATGTTATCTGTTCTTATTTGTCATTTATCAAACCTACTCATTATACAAAGAATATGTATAGATTGTAGATTTATTTCAATAAAACAAAAAAAAAAAACATTTACATTGAACTACAACATAGGTCGGGTGTACAGTAGATGTGCATACTGAAAGAAAACATGAAATACTGTGACCATACCTATCTATGTGTCATGTTACGTAGGTCACGTCTACAATTAAATAGGGGAAGATTAATATTATTGTTAACAATATATCGCGAACTGAAAGGCCGAGAAAAACCAATCGATGGTGAACGATATCATAATAATATAGTAAAATAACGCGTAGTCGCAATACCACTATAATATGTTATGTAATAAAACAATATAATATTTTCACCGTCGGCAGTTACCTAATTTCAACAATTCCGAAAAATCTTTACAGACTTGTCACGAGGAACTTACCAGTATTATATAGAATGTATTATGTAACTTCCAATATTAAAGGTTCACTGTGAAACACATAATATAGTAGTTATACAGTACCTAGCCGAAACATTGCAGTAAAAATGTATTCGATAAACAAAAACATATTTCATAATATAATCTAGTTGAATACCTGCATTAAGTTTCAATCGCATAAATCATATTTTTAATACTATCATAATAAATTAAAATATTATATTTCAAAATCAACGTACAATATACATGTGTATAATATTATAATAAGAAAATAGAAGTTAAAAAGATGGACCATAAAATAAATAAAAGTAAGACTAAGTATATTATAGTAATTATTATAGGCACAAAGTTACCGTTATAAAATTTGAGCGTTGATAATTTCTTTATTGAAAAGTTGAGAATTTTAAATATAGTATAAACAATAAGAAGATACGGGCATAATTCGCACGATAGATGGGCACTGTTGTAGGTGAGAAGTTGGAAAGGTATTAAGGATAGAGGGGTAAATTTAATATATATCTGTACACAATGATTAATCTTTACTACGGAAAACAATTCTGGGCAGAGTTCGGTTATACATGTTTTGAAAGGTACTAAAATTCGTAAAAAAAATTCCACAATACATTCAATTTTTTATTTTTTTGACCACTAAGTACAACTTATAATGAACTTCCTGCTAAATTTTCAAGTATTTCATTTCTATTTGGTTTAACAATTTTATCCACACCGAATAATTATTATGTAAAAAAAATCGCGTCTATGAATGACAAATATAAAGTTTCTGTTCAAATTTCAAATCTCTGTGTGTTTTTAATTACATTACAAAAAAAAAAAAATTTGAAAAATAATAAAAGCATTACTTTCGTACATTTTCCGGGTTTTCCTAATTATCATGAAAACTGCTTGGAAAATCAATAAATGGCATTCCTAAGGTATCATCCCGAGAAAATTTCTTTTCAGAAAATGTGTAGTACTTGAAAATCGGAGCAAGATTTCTGGTAGAATTTGTGTACATAGTATATATAAAATACATAAATAAAAAAATTAATCTCATTGTGATATTAGAACTTAAAATAATAATACATAATATGTAATCGAAACTAAAATGAAAAATATTGAACAATATAATTATCTAATATTGTATATTATAGGTATATAGTTGAATATTGAAATTATTTAATTTACAAAATAATGCAATAGGTTAGGTAGGTTAGAGATATACCTACAATAATCGTGTAGTGCCTTTTCTCGTGCTCTTGACTAAAATATGTCAGGTTTGATAAATATACAATATCAAATCCTATATAATCAATCCTATCCTGTAGCTAATACTATAATAATATAATACCATTTTATTTTTTATTACGGGCTGTAATAGCGCAACTGTTCAATGTAATGCACATTTATGCACCCAGGATATTGATATTTTAATACTTTATACTATTAAATAATCAATAAAATAATAATAAAAATGAATCGAGGGTTAGAAATAATAATTAAATCGAGAGGTTTTTGAAGTGTGTTGATTTGTATACAATTGTTTTCGAGTGCTAGTAATATGCACTTAACTATATAGGTAGGTATAATATGGTATATAGTAGTTACCAGACACTTATACTTATACATAACTTAACCTAACCTAAACATTTATTAATTATTTTTTTATAATTCGTTTCCAAACATCAATATTGCAATATAGTTTCCAATATTATTAATAATTCAGTTTATATATTTAAAATAACCGGTATTTTTATTGATATAGGTAATACCTTCCAGCTATATACAGTTAAAGCTCAAACAAATTCGATTTTTTATATTAATCGGCAATATAACTTCTAATTATTATCGAAACGCTTTTATTTTTCAATGCAAACAATAAATATTAACCCTTTGGACATTTAAAAGTTTTCTCATGTGTATAATTTGTGTATAATTTATTTGGATAATACTATTTTCCCGACAAATAAACGCATATTATTTACTTGGGAATGAATATTATACAAATACAGTGTAGGTTTATTTACTTATGTGATACATAATCAATATAGGTACCAAATACATAAAAGAAGAAACTAACTGGCTGACATAATATCAACACACAGCCCAAACTATTGTGTTTAGAAACTTTAAATTTTACAAATAGGTTCTTTATTATAATATAGTGTATTAGGAGACTGCTAAAGAAGGTTTTTCAAAATTAAACCCCTAAGGGGTTAACAAGTTTAATGCGTTTAATAACCCAAAACTTTATGTAGAAAATCTATCAAATAAATAATTAAACATATCTGTAGTAATTACTATTTCTGACTGTTGGGAGTATATTCATATTTTGTCTAAATCAATAACTTATTTATCTTACCTTCATACATATCCCGTAAAGGAGGTGTTAAAAACAGCTTTTATACTGGTATTTGCTTTATTATTTTCCCTGCAACCGAAACAACTACATACGATTTCTTGCAGAGGTCATAGATAATAGGTTCATTGAATAGTAAAATTAATTAAGACTATAAAATATATTTGAGATTTAATAAATAATATATAAGACTACGCAGAGATACGGTAATATTTTATTTTACTTTATTCTGTTATCTAAAAATAATAATTATTCAAACAAGCTATACCTACTCTAATAAGGAAATGTAATTATTCAAGTAATTATAGTCTATGTTCGTAATTATACATATATATATATAACAAATAGGTATAACGTATATTAAGCTACAATGTTAATATTAATTAGGTACGTAAGTAGGCTAGTAATAGATTAATAATAATTAAATCGAACCAAAATGAATAACACTTTTGAAGAATATATCTAATCTAATTAAATCTAATTAGATCTAACCTAACCTAACCTAGGAAGTATCTATCATTTTTGTATTTGCGACATGTACGAATTTACTCTCGTGTTTCAACCAAAAACCTTGATTTTGGTTTTCACCAAATCTATTCCTACCTGTATTATTATTTAAGAACTTCTAATCATAATAATGATAGGTCTATAACTAGTACTTTATGCATTATTTAAAAAAGACGTGTTAATACTTCAAATGCACTCAAAGAATATACAAAAAAAACTTTTTATAGAAGTAGGTAAAAAAAAAAGAGAGAGATGATACTGGGAATAGGAGCAGCTACTGTTGTAGGTAAGAAGTTGGGAAGGTAGGATACATAAGGTTATTTCATTTATAACGACAAACCACTGCTTGTCGAAAGACGATTCTGAGCGCAGTTCAGTAATACATAATTTGAAGTGCCGTATTTTTTTTTTTTTTTTTTGCCTTTTTCGTTTAATTTTGATTTCGAAACGATTATTACAAAAAATAAAAAGTCGTTCGATCATTTTGGAAATTTTATCACGCCTAGATAAGTCCAATATAAATATTATTACCAACTTTCAAGTCTTAACGTATATTTATAACCGAATTACAGCAAAAAAACTACCAAAAATGAAAATTTTTTAAAAGCTCAAAAGTGGATCGAAAGTTTTGGCGATAATACTATAAGAAAGTAAATCAAAAATGCAAACAAAATGTAAACAAAAAAGGTATCTTGTGATTCTTCGATTAAATAATTTTTTCTGGTAGAAAACGTCGTCCGTGTTTTTATAAAATAATGAAATTGTGAAATTGTAAGTTTTCCTACGGTTTTTTCCCAATTAAGTGCTTTTATTTAAAAAATGACGTTGAAAATTAAAACTTTACAGTACTATCTAGACAACTTGAGCTTTCAGAAAAGTTGCTACACGTTAAAATCAGAACAAGTATACTAGGAAAAAACGTATCCACAGTCTAGAAGAAAAAAAACTAACATCTTAGTAAAACCGATAGCTCCCTCGCTACGCTCGGAATCTAAAAAACTGTGCAACAATATTATACTAAACAATTTTGAAAAATGTCAATGTGCGGATGCGATTTATATAGTTGATAAAAATCTTTGACCAAATTTATAACACAAATTTTATTAAAAGAGTTATTATAATGACTTTAACAATAAAAAGAAGAGTCACCGCTAGAAGACGGTTTTCAATAGGAAGAAAAAGATTAGATGTAAACTTAAATCGAACCTTTATAATTTGATTGCCCACGTAAAGGTTTGACTTTTTACATAGGTCTGTACACGAATGAATGTGTTCGTGCCGTATGTACCTCGAACCGGATTCCGAAATTTAACCATATGAATTACGATTTTACGATTTTTGGTATTTCTGATACGAAAATTGAATCATTTTTATCAGTTACCTTGATGACACGGGGAAAAAACTATTATTATTAGTTAATTTGTTTATCACGGGAAAAAAAAAAATTCTATTTTTAAAAAATAATAACCGGACAACAACGGTTAACTGAAAATATGGATGGAAACTAGGAGTCATGAGAAAACAAGAATTTAGGTTTTTAAATTAAAAAATTTTACATCTCAATCATGTCCGTCCTGTATGATTACAGATTTTGTTGATTTGTTTGCTAGGTTTTTATTTTATATATAGAGATTAGACATAGGTATATTTATGGCATATATATTCATAAAATGTATGTTGCTGTTAAAACATAAATGTTTGTTATTTTCAAAAAAGAAATAAACATTTATACATATATATATATATATATTAACCATCGTGTATTTATAATATTTACATTCTTACAAAGTATTATACATTCTTAAGACGTTTTAAAAAGTAAATAAGACAAAAATTATTTCTATTAATACTACTGACTATTTGCTGCTTTTATACATTTAGACATGTATCAAATGTATGTTAACACGTCTATACTTGTACTAATATTATAAAGAGGTTAAGTACGTAGAAAGTAGAATAACTAATAATAATTTTAATTTAAAAACGTGAACATTTTATGCGGAATTATAGTTTATTGTTTAAAATACGTTCAGAAACCGCGAACTTAGCGCGCTCGTAGAATGGATTTTCTAACATGTTTTCTAGTGAAATATATTTGTGTTCTGTTCAATATTGTTCACGGGCAAAGCTGTGCAGTACAGCAGCTAATAGTATAAAAAATAATCGAGAAAAAATAATAATAATATAGAAAATATGTTAATAATTCAAGTTTAATTTTAAACTAATATAATCGGAACGAATAGAATAATACAAAAACACAAATTAAACGATATACAATATTTATTATACCTATATACTTCCTCCTATCGGCCGTCGAGTCATACGAAATTTCATATTTTCACGAATTTATCGATATTTTCGTATATTATAATATTTTTATCTCCGCGTGTACGTATGAATAACAGACCAGTTATAATAAAGAACACACAAACGTATTTATACATACATATATATATATATATATAAAATATAAATTAACTTAAGTATAGAATTAAGATTATTATGTATATTATTATACGAGCAATAATTATACAGAGCGATTATTTTATTAAAAAGAATTACGAGACAATGAATCCGTTAATCAAATATATTAACGGACATTATTAAAATTACGTATTATAATACGAGTGTTAAACGCTTGCGTATTATTTTATAGTTTTATTAAAATAATTAAATGGAAAACGTTTAAACCGTTGACCACCGTGCTCAACGTTTTTGTTTTTTTTTTTTTTTGCTTTAGACTACTCTCGACGTGCATAACAAATTTATCGCATTTATCGCAAATAGTGGTAATCGAGTCAAGTACACTCGGTGCAAATATAATGACTAAATTTGTCAACGGGCTGGAAAAAAAACGAATTTTCAGCAAAAACAAACATATCGTTTACATACATAAACACACAATCCGCGGTCGTCGCCGTACTTAACACTCTAATAACAATAATTGTAGGTACCTACCCCGGACACAACGCGGCCGGCCGGGGCACTGCGCAATTACAGAAGGTTTTTTTTTTTCTTTTTTTAACAGCTGAATCGGAACAGTACCTATTTTATGCGTATACGAATGCATACATACCTAAACACAAGAAATAATTTTCCATTTCGTCCGTTTAGAAACCGAAACGCGTCAGTATTGGCGAGGATATTATTTGATGCACTTACGAATGGTTCGATGTAGCGCTAATACAATATTATTTATTGTGGCGTCGCGCACGAAGATCGAAAAATAACTGTGGCGATTTAGAATCGCGTTGCCCACCTATCTCTATTATTCCGTTCGTCGCTATAGTACATAATATTATGAAGCGATAGTAAATTATTATCAATATAATATATATATATAAAAGTCGTTATTTATAATCTGCATTCATCTAGTCGGCATATACACAACAATAATATGTTTATAATATACAACAATAAAAGAGATTTATATCTCTATACGAAACGGCCGGGAATTCGATAACGCGTATCTATATAATATGGTACCTTTAATATATTATTATTAATAATGATATAATCTCGGATTCGCCGGCAGAGTATTCAATGTGCGGGATAAGATTAAAACGTGAGGGGTTTCGTCCCGTGGATTTCTACGAACGTTATGTTGTATACAGCTGTTGTTAACGCACAACGACCGATTTTTTTCGGGAATCTGTCAAGAACGAAAAACATCGTTTAACCGTATACGTATATTACCTACACGCTATAAGTAATATTTGGTTTACGTCCGCTATTTAATGTCTAATGACGACGAAACGCCCACTCACAGACAAGTGCCAAAAATAAGACCCATTTAACTGAGGGAAAATTTGTATTTCAAAAAGTTATGACAAACATTTTGATGTACTTGTAGTGAATTAAGATTTAGAAAAAAAATAAAATAGTTTTCAACTGCGAGATATAATAATAATAATAATAATAATGGTGTCCTAAAATGAGAAATGTACATTTTCAAATCTACGAACATATAAATTTTGAACGACATTATTTCTGTACAAAAATAATATGTTCCTATAAATAAATTAGAAGCACAAGCCTGCGAATAATATTGCGAAACATCGGTTATAAAAATACACGTTGCACAGTGTATACCCTTCATATCCTGTTTATCGTCCCATAATGCAAGCCACCATACTTGTACGCCTTCATTGGTTACAATGATTTGGACAGACTGCAATAATAGCTATAGATTTTATTTTATATTATTAAAAAGGATTATACCTTTGCGGAACACAAATTTAAAAAAAAAAAACCTCTTATCTTAAATTTTTTATCCTGTCCAAAACTTATCTTAATCAATCTTAATTTCAACTCTTTAGCGATAGGTATTTTGATTAGATCCGACACACAGACACATACTCAAACATCATCGCTTTGAACTTCCCACCCTTTCGTAACTCATCAATCAGAGTCTGAAATACAATAGGTAATCAATTTTAAATATTCTTAAATTTAAGCGTACAATTATTTATATCAAAAAAGATTATACAAATATGTACTTATGATAACAAACTTTTAAATAATACGGCAACGCTGCAGCACAAGGTCTACAACATATCTGTTAAAACAATGTTTTTGAAATATACAATGCATAAACGGTACTTTGTAGAAACTCATGTGGGTGCAAAAGCTTATTATGATTTACAAACCCATGGAGAGCTACGCCCCCACATACCTCTATTACTAATATTTTACTATTAATACTATAAGATTAGTGGAACATAAAGTTTTTATCAAATTAAAATTCCATATTATGTCATCAAGACATCACCAATACACCAATACATATAGGTACTATACATTTAAACTAATTTCAGTATTACAAGAAATAATATTATTTTTTAAATTTATAACTGTGTCTGTTTATAAATTGCATAGTAAATAATTATATTAGTTTGTTATGTATTAATTTTATTACTATACACTGTATTCTATATTATACAATATTTTATTAGTCATTTATTAGGAGTCTATCGTAATCACGGTTATAGATATATCTATTACAGAAATTCATAATTCATACTTGGTTATCAATTTATCATATTGAAAATTAGTATAATCCTGTCATTATTTTCATAAAACATTGAAGCGATTCATGATGTAACATGATAATTAATATTTAAATTGCATTATATTAATTGTGTTACCAATACAATAAAATTTCAGACTGTTTTCTGTGGGTGCCAAATGAAACTCTCTTGTCCACAGAAATAAATCTCATCTCCCCTCCACTCACATGTCGTCACTGATACATGACGTACCATAAAGAAAATTTTCAAATCCTGTAGATATATCCTGTATATAAAATATAGATTTTGAATGATTGTTAAAAATGAAAATGGTTTCGAGGGAAACCATGGATGATTAAGTCAAAACTTTATGTAACGAAGTAAATTATTATTAAAATATTAATAAAGCGAAGTCTATACAGAGACATTACATAATAATTATTTTGAATTTTATGTATAACAGGGGTTTCAATTATTTATTTCAGACAATTTTATAATACTACCACACTACTATATTGATTTCTTGAACGGTTTCCATGCGAATACTGAGAAATACAAGCATTGTTTGTATGCATTGACTAAATTAGCTCTCATTGTTTATGTTACTCGCCCGGACATGCACATATTATTATTATTATTGTTATAATATATGTTGAGACTGAATCTTGCACGTGGCCTTTAATACTAAATTAAGATAACCTTTATATAAACGTAATTATTTTGCATTGCCTACTTATTTAGGTTCGAATATTGTTATTACGATGAGGATAATAATTATTATTTTATTATAATATAAAAAAATAATGGATTGATTCGATGCAGTAACAAGACTGTATATAGTTTGAATTTTAAAAACTTACTAGACCAGAAAAAAAAACAAGTTCCCTCGGAATTGCAAAGAACATTCAAAAACTGTAATTCTTAAATATAATAATCTTTCTACAATACGGTTTTTATTGTTCGACCGATAAAAATTATGATTTTTGGATAGTAATTAAAATTAATATTAATTACTTATGTTATCACTATATGGTAAAATGTACTAATATTGAAAAAAATTGGTTGAAATCGTATGTGAAATGCAAAAAACAAAATAAAACAATTTGCTAGCATTTTGAACCACAAGCAAGAATTAATGGAAACAATAAAAACAAACGAAAATATATAACCTACTTACTATCTTTTAATTTTTTAGATTAAGAAAACATAATACCCTTATGACGTACTGTTATCCAACTAACCGACAATAAAGTAAAATCTTCCTTACGCAGACTGCTTTGAACTCGTTTAATTTTGATTTTAGAGTAAAAGCATCAATTATAAAATTAAAAGACGACATTATTCCGGGATGCAAGACGATGCGTTTCTTTTTTTAAATTCATTTGTTGTAACTTTTGTTGCAGTCATTTAAAAACGATAAATTAGTCCTTATTTCAAAACGATGTATTGAACGTTATTTTCGGAATAATAATTAGAATAATAGGATAAACGGATTATTGTACTCTTTTAATTTGTAAATAATTAATTTTACTCTAAAGCCAAAATTATAAGCGTGTTCTACGCAGTCTGTGAAAGGTTGATTTTGCTATATTGCTCGTTAGTTGGACTGAGACAGCACATGCGTCCTCCTCTTAAGAGCGGAGAGAGTGATAACCCCTAATCTCATAATTTTAGCAATCGATAAATTTACGCAAAACATTTCATGTGGCGATTTTATGTGAAAATGTAATATTCACTATAGGTTCTGAAAATGACATTTTTTATTTTTTTAAGTACATAATTTTTCGTATTTTCGAATTCATATTCTTTTTAATTATTATTAAGCCACACATTTAAATGTATTATTCACACTCATAATTATACGAGTAATATCGTGTGACCCCATAAAAGAGGTTAGCAAAAAATATTGTAACATAATTATTATTGTTACGAATACATATTAATTTTCGTTACGAAACGACGGCAGTATAAATTTCCACGAATTTACTTTCTTGGAATATTAAATTTAACTCGAAAATTAATAATTGAATTTCTACACGACAAAGAAAGTAAAATTAATATAATATTTGTGTGCAATTTTACACTACAACGCACCAAACTAAATATTTTCGTAATTGATAAATTAGAGAAAAATTACAATATTATTTTGAGTATACCAGTTAAAATAAATACCAATTAGAAAAACTAAACAATTTTCGTAATATTCCCCTTCACGTCACCATAGTATTATATACAACATAATAATATCCAATAGGTAGATACAATATAATATTTGTGTAAAACAATAATCATTATTATTGTCTACAACTAAAATAGTAATACATTTAAATCACCATAATTATTATTGTCAATATGTATAGGTAACAAACATTATATTAAATTACTTACAATTACTGTCAGGACATTGTGTAGATATACGTAATAATATATTCGAAATATGTTACAACTGTTATAAGAAACTATTACGAAGATGGTTAAAAAGAGGGAAGGGGGTCGGTAAAACTACAATGGGCATTCAGCATTATAATTACTAAAAATATAACCTGAAATGATAATATCACCAATAATATTGGTTATATTATAATGTACAATTTACATTCAAATAGCTACTTATATTTTATAATATTAAATCCATATAAATAATTTGGGAGTCTGTACGTCAACATAATAATATTCTCAATATTAGTACGGAAAACACTAATAATTGCGGAAAAAAAGCCAATACAGCTTATGGGTGTTTCACTGTTTCAGGAGAAAAGTAAGAATGGAGAATATTATATAGAGTAATTAAATTTGCATCTATACACAACGACAAAATATTACAAAATATCTAACGAAAAACGATTATGAGCGGAGTATTATTAGTCGTATTTTATCTCTTGTTAACAAAGTTAACCCAGAAATCAACACAAATGATATCACAAATTTTCAATTTTTCCTATTTTCTAAAACTACTACAAGGAAAATCAAAAATGACTTTCCCAAGATACTAAATAAATAAAAAATGATACTTGAAAATTTAATTGGAGCAAAATTTCTTATATAAAAATGGTTTAGAGACAATTTAAAAACAATATAGCAAAACCAATATTTTCCTCGCTTCACTTAAAATCTAAAATAGTTAACGGAAGAATTCTTTGAAAAACAATTTTAAATATTATATTTATTATAATTTATATTACATTCTTTGAGCACAGAAAAGTAATCACAAAAAAGAATGCCAAGAATGAATTGTTTTCTTAATAAAGCATTCCAATATTTATCCTTTATAAACATGGATATTTGAAGTGGAAAAAAAGAAGAATACACAATTTAATAAATATTGTTATATCTAATATTATAAAAAATAATACATATATATACATTTTTTCCCAGTTCCCCACATCCACTAAATACCTAAAGTTTACAAAACAATTGTATTGGAATATTGAAATTTTTAAATTGTAACAATAAATTATTTTTCATATAATAATTATATGAAAACTTGATCTAGGATTATAAAAGACGGCCAAACATATTATTAATTAATCACGTCTTTACAATCCAAACCTACTGCGCTATTTTTTTCGATTATAATCTGAATTAAAAAATACGAAGAAAAGTAACGGAAAAAAAAAATTAAAATGACGACAGTTTGACGCAATTTTTTCGTGATATATAAATATATATATTTTTTAATAATAGTCTACACTAATATACATCCAAAAATAATTTATTTTATAAAAATAAATGTTATCGTAGGCGGAAGAAGGAAAACTAGCCATATTCTTGAAGTTGTTAATCATATTCTATTTCATTCAAGATATTTTTTTTTCACTATTATTATAATAAATTGTAATATAGTACATATTATCTCATACCAAATCGTTCTATGACTGAAATATAATTGATAAGTTAAATTAAATTAGGCACTAGACCATATAATAGAGTAACAAACAATAGAAATAAAATTTCAATATATAAATTATATTGACCGACACACGAGAAAAATAATGTTTTAAAAGATTGCTTTTTGACACGGACGATTTTGGATTATTCTTTAACAACGTAAATAGTATCTGGCCAAATGCCATAGTTATTTTTGATATATTTTTAAATCCAATTATTACTAATTCGATACACTTAATTGAATATAAATAACAATACCTAGTCTATATACCTATTAAAAAAAAAAAATAGCTGATACTGCTTATGGTTGTATCACTATTATAGGTGGGAATAAAATAATTTAATTTATACCTATACGAAACAATAAATCATTGTTGACAAAATAAGTTGCTGAATTCGGTTAAACATGTTTAGAAATACCATAATTATTATGATTTTCGTCAAAATTTTAATTTAGAATGTTGATAAAAAAAAATAAAAACACAATTCGCTTAATATATACAGAGTGATTCACTAAGCGTGCTAAACTCATATTTTTGTTTAATGTTGCATATAATCAAATTCTGATTTTTGGAAATTTTAAGTGTAACTGAAGATGACATTTGCAATTATTTAGATTTTTCACATTTATGGAATATCCTGTGGTGACACTATAACTTAGGCTCTTTAAATGAGAAACTATATTAAAAAGTCCATAAATAGATGTAGTATTACTTTAGATAAATTTTGGTGTTAGAATTTTTAATTTCCGCCAAACCGTTGACGAAATATTCGACTCTTAAGTTTTGGAAAGAAAAGAATAGTGAAGTACTACTACTCCACGTACCGTGCCGTCACATAAATGTTACTCCATTACTCTCCTCTTAAATTTAGTGAAATATCTAAATAATTGAAAATATCGTCTTCAACTACACTTAAAAATTTCAAAAAATCAGAATTCAAACTCTGATATTTGAAATTTTGCATATATTCAAATATATGCAAAATTTAAGCAAAAAAATGAGGTGGGCACGTTTAGTTAATTACACTGTATATATATTTTCATAAATAACTTAGAATAAACATTGTGTTTAATTTTTAAGCATTACTTTTCGACCAAACTATTTTATCCACCTAAAACTAAATTAAAATTAAAAGAACTTAAATATTTTAAAGTTATAAGTAATTTAAACATTTTACTTTGTCTAGAAAAAAGGTAATAAAGGTATTCTGTGGAAATTTCAGATCTCTATAAATATTATTAATCGAATTATAACAAAAAAAAAAAAAAGAATCGAAAATAATGAAACAGTTATTTCCATAAACTTAACAGTTTCAACTCTATATTGGCTCTTTCTACTCTAAAGATTTGTATAATTAGGCGACAAGAAGTATTTTGTTTAAATTAATGCGTTAGCTACTAAAAACATTATAATATACTGAGTATAACATGAACAAATGATACTTGAATAACATTTTTTCTATTAATTTTATTATTATTTTTTTTAATTATAATAATTAATATGCATCTGCGCTATAGTTAAAAGACTATTAAGTTTTTTTAAATGGCAAACTTAAAATAATCAATTTAAAGTACAAATAATAGGGTAATATTAGTAAGTTCAACAAATCCTAGAAAATAAATAACCATACCTAAAAAGTATACATTGTTTATTTTAAGTTCTCTTTTAAAAAAAAACATTATATACATTTTGAATAAAATAAATTATTTTAGGTATCAGATATTTGTGTTACGCCCTGTACAATATAACCAATATATCTTTGGTATCACAGAAGAAGAAATTAAGTCATTTTTGGTATTTTTTTTTTTTAAATATTTTTTTCTTAATGTAGGTAATTTATTTACTTTAATTTTCTAGTTATTGCATAACTCCATGTATTTTCAATATTAGTGTGTTTAGTATATTAGTTTACGCATAAGTGTTTGCATTTTCAAAATTTAATTTGCTTGTATTGAAAAACATACAAAATTTACTTCGGTCCTTATTTCCTGAAACCAAAGATATAATCTTACATTTAATAACTTAGGCACAATTTACGATAATACGAGTCTTATATTTATAATAATATAATATGGCATTATTTTATTTGAAAAAAAATAGTTTTTAATTTCTAAGATAATATTATAATACATACAATTCATTTTTCACTGTCATTTGAACTAAAATACAATTATATTTACTTTAGCTTAAGTTATTATAATATATCTCAACATCCTAAAACTCATTAACAAACCGTAATTTGTTTAATATATTTGATAAAAATTTAGTTTAAAAAAAAAATCAATACTTTTACTTAGTTGTCTAAAATTGCATAGATACTTAATATTATATAAAAAATAAAATAAAATTGTGGGTTTTTTTATATACATACCAATTACTTTAAAAAATCTATATATTTTCGAGCCAAATGTTTCAAAATACCGTAACATACACATCAAAAAAAGAACACAATATGAGAAAAAATATCCTTCGGTGATGATAATAATAATAACAATAATAATACTAACAAATGCCCTCAGGTTATGATTCTGTTAGCAATGGCGCGAAGCCAATCATCGGGCGGCAGCCCAATGTTCAGGATTATAAATAGCGGACCAGCACAAGGTCACGTGGCTTGTCTGACAAAGAAAGCTGCATCAAGCCAAATATAAACGCACCTATTTATAACCGAGTGTCTCTCTGATAATAATCCTCCGTCTTTCTCTCTCACTCACTTTCAAAAATGCATATACAATCCCTTGTCTTCTCGTTGTGAAAATTATTCATTTATAAAAAGAATCGTACTTTTTTTCATCAACTCGGAACGGGACGTAAAAAAAGAAATAAAATAAAACGAACCAAGTGAAAGAAAACATATTATATTTATAAACGTGCGCAAGACGATGAAAAAAATAGAGAACAAATTTGCATCGATAAACGAGTTACAATAAATCGGGTTTTTTTTTTTTTTTTTTTTTTTTTTTTTTTTTTTTTTTTTGAAATCCCATATTTCTTTTATACTAACAATATAAAATTAATATATAGACGATTCTCGTACATTGTGTTTTATTATCAGTCAATTAAAAAATGAACGGAATAAATTAACGCTACGGCACAGTGTATATGGAGTGAAGCTGTTACGCATTAAATAATAATAAATCAATAGGGAACCTATAAAATTGATGAAATTATTTAAGTTAATACACGAAATCATAATGTCGAATCGATAAGCTGAATAATAAATAATTATGTACAATAAAGTAATGACACGGCGATAGATAGGGAGATGTGAATATCGAGAATAAGATAAATAGTAGCTGACCCTACACTTGCGTGGGGTAAAGGCAACGGAAAAAGATTAGATACGATTATATTACACCAACATAATACTCATAATAAAATGTCTGGATGGATAGCGTTTGGACGACTTGGCATGACAACAGTGTTTGATTTTTAATAATTTATGGTCAAATTCGAACATTTACATAATGCATTTCCGCCCTCATTTTATCAAACTATCCACGGTTCATGAGTATTATTAAAAATACGTGTAGACGCGACAGCATATTATTATAAGTCCTAATAGAGTAAAATAAGGAATAACGTATAAAGAATATTGAAATAACATTACAAACAGAGATAAACCAGAAAAAGATAACGGGGAGAGGGAATGATTTGGAAAATGCCTATAATAGGCACAAAACGTTACAAGAGTAAGCAAATATAATGATTTAACATTATATAAAAACAGCTCGGCTCCAAAATCGCCAATGATAATAAAAAATGTTGAGATTTGAATAAAGATGCATCAGTAGACCGAAAAGTACTAGAATATTATCTGGAGAATAAAGGAGCGAGTTGGATAGAGGAAATGACATAAACAAATAGTTTTTCTCTAATTAATTCGAAAGCGCTATGATAAAACAATAAAAAAAATCTAATGCATTTAAGAATTTAAAGATAAATAAATGGAATATAAGGGTAAAAGAATATGTATTAGTATTTGTTAGTATATGTTAGTAAAACAATCATAACTCTTAAATATAGTAAAGAATAATATTATAGAATACCTATAAAAACCTTTATTTACAACATTATTTATATGTTGGAACCAACACTGTTAAAAATAATAATTTTAAAAACCAAAAAGTAATATTTTCAAAAAAGTATTTTCAACATACTATTTTGTATGTATGTAGAACGGCAAACAAATAAAATAAAATAATACATTGACTGGTTTAAAAATAATATCGTAATATGGTTTAACAAGTTGAGAATATCATTCAAATGTATTGTTCTATAGATTCTTATTTTATTCTTATTTTATCTTAACATAATTATTTTCATTCACAATAATGAATTACTAACTAATTCTAGGGATTATAGATAACCGGCAATAATATTTACAGACCCATTAACTATTTTTACTTTTAATTAAACGCAAAATAGGATAGGTATAAAACTATAAAGAATAACTAAATTTACATTGTATACAGTATAATACAACATAATATTTATCCTGAGTACATTTTATTATACTTGTACGGTTACCCCAATGAACATTATTAATTTGAAAAAATGAATTATTTGAGAATATTCATACGAAAAAAAAAAATAATTTTCATCATTCGTGATAGGTAATAATAAATTAATAAATAATACTACAAAATGAACACGCGAAAAAAAATCTGTCATCAACTAGGTTAATGCCCGGTACTACAAGGACGATGATGTATTATTATATTTTACGAGTAAACGAAGCAAATAACAATAGTTTAGTTTGTAAATTTAAATAATATAAAATTACAACGAAAATTCTCGGTTTCTTAGTTCCTATCAATCTTTAGTAAATAAAACTATATTTATTTTAATTTGCAACCATGCTTAAAACCATGCTTATGATTTTAACCGTTAAAGCGGAGTTGACAAATAACCGTCCAAATTCCAGGCACCATTTAGCAAAAATAAACGTTTAATTATACATTTTTATTATTAAACGTTAATAAAAAAAATCTAAGTCTGTTTTCATCAAAATTACAAAATATGTGACTTGTTATAATTATGCGTACTGTATTGTGTCTGTATATTTGTTAATAATACAATCTTTCCATCGATTTTGGTATTTAGGACACTCTGACAGATCCCTAGAGCAGAGGTTCCCAAAGGGGGTCTATATACATCCTCAGGGGTTTATTCTGACCTACAAGGGAACAGTTTTATCAAAAAAAAAAAAATTGGGGGTGCATTAGATGTGAATAGATCATTAATGACATAGATAAATTAGCAAATGGAGCAAATTAGCAATCTATATTTTTTAATTTTTGTTGGCAGTTATAATTATATAGAAATATTTCCATAATATGAAATAGAATGAGGGAGGGAGGAAATTTGATTAGTAACAGAGACCCGCCAGTATCGGGTGTTTTCTTTTACAACTTGAGATTTAAAATTAAAATTGTTATTATTATTATTAAATTATTAATTAAAAAAGCAAAATTAAATAAATACGAGTATAATAATAGTATAATAAAATTGTGTATACATCTATATATATATATGTGTGTGTATTATGAATATACACGATTTATAAATAAAACTAATTTTATACATGTAAATACAAAAAAAAATACCTAATTGCGCGTATTTTAAAAATAAAAATGTGTAAATATATATATACATATTGTAAACATGACTTACGAAATATAGGTCACAATTCATAAGAGATGGAGGAAGAACACAGGCGTGCTTTATCTTTAAAATTATATTTTGTTGTAATTTTTTAAAATACCTGCTATCACCGAACTGTCGATTTTGTACATATTTTTGTTGCTCCTTGGTATTCGTAAAATTTAAAATATTACGGAAATGATTTAATTAATATACCATACCAATTCCATATTATATTATTGACAGTGTATAAATACTCGTATATTATAGAAGTATAAAACAATTTCAAAAATTCGTAACTCTTCTTTGTCGATTTTAAAATTGAACACAGTACACCAACATAAAAGTATAAAATATGCTTTTAGAATCTAGAAGTATAAATTTCATATTTTTAACATACAAAAGTATAATATAACCGTGATGTTTAACATATTATATTAAATAATAAATAGTTCATACCAACATTTTTTAATTTGTCTATAGTTATTTGAAAGAAAATGTGCAGATGGTATTATTATTATTTTTGTCTTTTGACCCATTAAAATCTACCTGTATCTTCGTTTAAATAACGAAAGTTTAAATAAATTATGTGTTATCGATTGTGTCCCTGATATATATTTCACATAATTCCGTTCGGAACGACATAGGAACCGAAATCATCGGCCGATCGTCAAATAAAACAGTTTGCGTTGCGCAAAATGCAAAAATACGTCTGTAATAAACTTCATTAGATTTCACGGATTAATTAGAAATTGTCGGGAATACACAGCCAATTATACGACTTACTATCGTCAAATGAACGTTCCGTTTTCAAATATTTTATCGGTTAACCACATGCTATATACACATGATTACAATATGTTATATTATTGTTTTTTGTGCTTACAAAGAATTTTCATTTTAATAATAACAAAATACTGCCCCACGATAAAAAAAATTCCGGTTGGTTTTTTTTTTTTTATAGTACAACAAAATAAAATCAGTATTTAACGATCTATTACCCACTCGAAAAACGTCTTCAGACAAAACAAAACGAAATAGTAAATATCATTGTACAAAATCAATACAATCAATTTGTTTCTGTTTAAAATTAAAAGATTAAGTCGTTAGAAACTGTTTTATTACAACAACGAACCGAAGTGTTTGAACGTAAGTTGTATGTAAATATATAGAGAGACATATGTCACGAAAGATTGTCTTTTATTTTAAGTTATAACTACTATCAATTTACATTAAAAACGATTAACAGTGTGGGTTAGTAAGTAAAATGTCCACCGTATCCAATGACCAAGAAACCACGAGTCATTAACCTAAGATAGTGGCGGCCAAACTACCGACCGTCAACTATTAGCTAAAGACTATAAAGACCGGTCATAAACTATTATCATCCGGCCTACCGATCTATTCTTAACTCGTAAAACTATTCAGAATGTTATACTTATATATTATATGTCTTAATATTTTTATGAACAGAAAGAAGCCTTGGAAAAAGTTCGTTTGACCGCCTTTGACTTAAGACGAGTAAACCCGCGAATTTAACAATCCGTGTGCACATAGAAACAAAACAAATAAATATTGAAGTTAATTAAAAATCTTGTTAATTAGTGTCACTTCGTTCATTTTGTGTCACAATATTATAATAGTGTTAAATTCATTTTGAACGTCATAATAATATTCGTTTTGTTCAATAAAAGATTTGAAGTACATATTACTTATTTGCTTTACTCGAAATAAGTTGAAAAATTAGAAAACGGGAAGTTCTGGCATATGAACAACACTTAATCATTGGCTATCATGATACGTTGTCCATGTGATGTATACAGGGTGATTTTCATCAAATCGAAAATCGGTAGTAGATTCATCGTCATACATATGGATTAAGGATGAATAAAATAATATTAATGTGAAATTTGAGACTTGCGTAGAAAATCCTAAATTTTCCAAAAATAAAATGTTAACAAGAACCAATACTTTTCAAGAAGACGAATTTTTCGCGTTAAAATAATCGCGCTGTATTACAAAATGTACGTTAAGAATTCTCAAAATAAAATTAAACGTTTTTTTTTTTTCGTAATCGCGTTTTGCTTATGAAATCAAAATATTTATTACTATATATTGATAATGAACGTATTAAAATAATAATCAATAAGTTAATATTTAATAATTACATACTCCAATTCTCAGAAAATATCGCTTGTATTATACAATACGAAATTCCAGTTATAACTATTAAAAAACTATTCTATTCTTTAAAAAACAACCTCCCATAAAATAATCCGTAAAGTATTGTGCAAAAATGCAATACTAATAATATCCCTATATATACATATTTTAACTTTTTTTTTAACTAAACGCCAATACGGCAATATACAGAGGTGGTAAATAGTTAAGATACATTAATGAACATTGAATAATAAACAGATAAAAGAAAAAAAAACATCCTAGGATAGGAAATAAGGAAGAGTGCAACCACTAATATAGAAAATTGAATATAAACCTGTAATTAGTAATGATAAACCATTGCTTACGAAAAAAACGATTTTGAGCGGTATTCAGTTGATAGTGATGCATTGTCAACAATATATATAGTAAAATAATTAAATAGGCTATATCTATTTTCTTTAATATTATTTGTTTAATGTTGTACCGATTTTTCAAGTTTTCCTGCGTTTTTCCCGTGTTTTATCCCGGTTTTTCACATTTGTTAGAAAAACCCTTGGGAAAATCAAAAACTTACCTCTTTAATGTACCTCCCTAGTGAAATTTCCTTTTATAAACATTCCTATCATTATAAGTTGGAGCAAAATTGCTGAAAGAAAAGTTGTGCACAGAAAAAATGAAGGCTGTAATATATTTTAACTAATATCTACATTTCTTATATTTTCCCGTTTTTTTGATGTTTTATTTTTAAGCTATTGAATTTGTATACTACATAAATTATAATATGTTGGAAACAATAGAAAGGTACCTAATGCCGCAAAATATTATATAAATAAAAAAAAACACACAGTTATTATAATTACATCACAATAAGTCATAAATCGTCAATAGTTTGTAACACATAGTAGTAGGCACAATAATTAATTATATTTAAATTCATTACACGAGATACACGCTGTCTATTTGCACACATTTTCAAGTATTTTAATAGGTAGGTAGTTTAAACACAATAATATTATAATAATTGTATAAATAAGTATAATTCATAGTGACGATAATCCTTAACAATAATGTAGGTAATATTTATATTAATAGTACTAAAAATCAGGTTAATGGGAAACATGAGTTATGCGAACGATATGGATTTTAATTGTTTTTGTATTTGTATTTGCATAACGATTTAGTTAAAAGCGGTTCAAACAATATTTTGAAAATGGAAATTATGTTATTTATTAGATACCTACTGTTTGTTCTATAATAATATGATATCCAGCAGCGGCGGACCAGGGGAAGGGAACAGAGGCACGTCCCCCCCTTATCAATGCAGTACAGTTTTTATTTATACATTTTATATTAATTTAATATATAGTATACAATTAATTTACTGAAAATATAAATAATGTGCCCTCCCTCTAAAAAATTTCCGGATTCACCGCTGATGTCAAGGTATTTCAATATGGAACTCAAATTTTAATCAAATAAAATTTTTTTTTTATTTGTAATACGAAAACTCGTGCTCAAAAGAAATAAGAGATCGGAAAAACTTTTATTGGATACAAATTCATAAATAAATGGCAACGAAAAATAATAGAGCACACAGATATGTAGAAAAAAAAAACCCAGCCTCACAGAATAAAAATGGTTTGATTATTTACTAATAATTGTTTAATATTAAAATCACATTTCATCCGAATATACACAAAATATACCCATAATCTAAAATGCTCCTATATTTATATTTAATGATATAGTTTAAATTTCCGAACATTTATACAATAAACATTTTCATTAACAATAATTTTAGTCCATTTATAGGTTAATGTAAAACAACAAATCAAGAAGATTCCTCTCCAAATGTTAGCTCACAAAATAAACAAGGCGTGTAATGTTATAATTATTGTTCTTTTAGTAATGTGAGTAATTTTGGGGAGGATTACATACATTATGTACCTATGTAGAAACGTGATTAGAAAATGGATGAACAGATGGTGTAAATTTTAATATTATTTAAATATAAAAATCCAAAAATTAAACGGATAGTCCCCAGCCTCCGATGGTAGAATAATTATTTTATTATCTTATACGTTACCCTTCTACCAAACGTTTTTAAGCCATCATCACAAGGATTCATTATTAAATATAAAGTTCTTAAATTGAATCGATTAGAAAATCCGCGTTGATAAAATAATAATCATTTATAAACTTGCATATTATGTTTGATTGTGAAAATAAAAGTTATGAAATTAAAATTTCCCGTGTCTATTTGTGTTTTAGAAAAGTGCATTATTATCATAATCTAATCGTGAGACTAAAATAACCAACGTAAAATATTCAAAGCACCAAATACACAATACGGCAAAACGTAATCGTAATAGGTATATAATGATAATCGCTTTGTGTTAGTATCTACAATAATATTACAGTTTGTAATATGTCAAGTTTAAAACCGCAATTAAAAAAAAAAAAAGATTCTAATACGAATTAAGGAAAAGCATATTCGTCTTTATTTACCTCGTACGAAAAGAGGAGAACTCGCAGGTTCAGATAATCCGAAGTATCTATATGAATTGGTTTTTTTAATTTATAATTAATCGCATTTTTGCGTAGTAAAATTGAAAGAAAAAAGTCTTAACCTATCATCTGTTGTTTAACCGTTAATAATAATATTACCACGTAATCCGTTTGCAAAAAAAAAAACGGCTTTTGATGACGCGCAGGGTTTTGAAACTTGCGGTGGCGACGATGTCCGGGACAAAGCATACCGCATGGCGGGCAACACAGAAATAGAATCTGGTGGACGAGAACAACGCGATAAATTTATTACAGTAAAATTTGGGGTCAACACTTTGCTTTATTTAAAGATCGCTGACATTATTATATACACCGCGTTGACAATAATAATAATTATTTAGAACACGCCTATAATGATATTTCCATTATTCTTAATACTAAAAGTTATTATACGTTGTTTTTCATACTTAATACCAGTGGGGAGGGGGGTAGATACTTGTACATTTATCTGTTATTATTCTATATAATAATCTAAACAGGACCCTGACGACGCGCTTAAAAATATATTTCGAAAAATGTTAGGGTAACAACAGAGGGAAAAATTACAATTATTTTAATTATTATTATTATAAGCCCTATATCATTCGGTACAACCGTCTTTATTACGGTATTATTGTTATGACATTGTATTTGAATTCGAATTACCTCTACCTAACTATAGGTACTTCATATTATTTGTCAATAATGATTTAATGATATTTTTTTTCCATTCATAATATTATCTTAATCCTATGCCTATAATATCGATGACTTAACATTGGGTCTGATATCAGCGTTACTATATAATTTAGTTAATTAGTTAATATTTTTGTTTGTTTATCGCGCGCCGAACGCTTCAATATATTGAGTATGTGCCTAATAACCTCTATACCTATTCGAACCTCAAGCGACCAATATAATATTAAAACATTATTATAAAAAAAAAAAAACAAAAATATTTCCTATTTTCGAATAAAAAAAATATACATATAATATCAATATATTCGCTAATTATAGTATAAAATACAAAGTATAGAGATAAGATAACGGGATAATTAATTAATCATTGGTCAATTTCTTATGTTTAACGAAAAGATAATACGGTTTCCCGGGTGGTTTTATATTATGTTCGATGTAAATAATGCACGGCTATAATATTATATTATTCATGGTTAAAAAGAAACTTATTTAAAAACAAAATAAATGTACAATAAAAGTTGACAATTTTTCAGTAAACCAGTGTTCAATATTTGTATTGTCCAAAATTATATTATGTTTGCAGTGTAAACGACGATGATATTATTATATAATAGGACACCGAAACGAAAAAAAAATGATACATTTTAGTAGTTATCATAAAAAAAAAAATACGTTCATCGGTAACCAATCATCACTATTATTATGTCATATTAGAAACATAAATAACTCTATTTTAGATGGATAACAGACCGCGCGGACACAATGTGTTTGTGCGTTTTAATATAATTTATTTTACAACATCATTCAACAAATTGAAGTCTTGCATTTGAAAAAAATAAACTTATTAGTAGTATTGTAATCCCTACTAATTTTTAGTTAATAGACAATTAATTCTAATTTAATTAAGTCGTTCGAGTAATTTCGATTTTATTTTATTTTTTCCCATATGATCGCGTATTATCGAGGGAAATCAGTTGGTCGAAAAATATTAAGCGAGAAAAAAGCGTTTTCAAAGTACGATAAAAATGACAGGATAAAATATTTCGAGTATTCTGACTTGAATTTATTTTCATTGGATATATTATATATGTATGTATGTTTTATATACACACATATATAGAGAAATATAGAAGTATACTATGGTGTGTAAAATGGAATAACTTTCTCGGTCTGTTGGAAATCTAGAATTACCATTTGAATGAAAAAATAATATCAAAAAAATAAATAAATAATAATAATTTGTGGTGGCCCACGCTGGGGAATAATTACAGTAAAGGAATCCATACATACCCCTCCGGCGGTCCCCCGTCCGTTTAAATCGAATACTGAAGCAAGTATGATTTTACTACTTTATATTTTTTTTTAAAACGATGTCGTAATATGTTTTCTATTGATAGAATTAAGGATTTGAAAAATTCGTCAAATAAATTGGACATTTGTTAACTGTATTATGTTAAAAAAAAAAAAAGTATCAGGCGAACGCAAACTAACTCCAGTAGGTAATATATGTATATTTTTTTATAATATCCCACCGAGAATATAGTACAGTGAATAGAACGGTGATGTCATCATAATATTATTTATTCAAACTAAACATATTATTTTTATTTTTTTTTTTATTTTTACTCGTTTATTATAGTATAATAAATATAATATAAGAATAAAGAAGATAATTTTGAAGTTCGTTTTTTTCTTATATAGGTGGATATCAAAGGCAAATCCAGAAATTATTCAAGGGAAGGGGATGAAGGTAATTAAAACGTAATGTACCCGATACCGAATTCAGTCTTATTCTGTAGGGCAATGCCTGCTAATATATTATTATGTTAGTATGCTCGAGGGCGGGGTAATTACCCCAATTACCCTCTCCCTCAGTGGATCCGCCACTGTTGTATATTATTTTAATTCTATAATAAAAAATAATAATATAAATTATTTTTGTATTTCCAAGAATTAGATTATAATATATTATATAGGTACTATAGATATAATTATATAATCGGGGCTCAGATCTTTATGCACAAAATAACATTCATGCACTTTAAAACGTTCATTAAAAATGTATAAGTACCCGAATTTGCATTATTACATAAATAATACGATACATATATTTGTAAGTATCGAAATATACATAATATTGCATTTTTTTTTTTTAAGTAAAAGGATTTACTATTATTTATTTATATTTTACGCGTTGAACATTATAAAAAAAAAAAACACTGTTCGGCATTAACGTATTTAATCTCACACATTATAATAGACAGTTTGTCTTCGCAGCCCTTTGAGCATTTTTAGATTATGTTTAAAAATACAGTCTTAATAGGTACACTTGATAGAAAACTTCTTTAAAATCGTATAAAACAAAAACGTCGTACAACTGTCATAAAAAAAATTCAATACCTACGCACAAAAAGAAGACAGATTTTGCTGACATAAGAAAATTGAACACCAGCATACAAATTAAAATATTTTTTCCGGAAAGAGGGGAATGAAATTATCGAATCGATTTTAAAAAAAAAGCCGACATACTTCGCATCATAGATGAGCCACAGTTATAGGTGGGAAATTAAGAATTAAAGGGTTATGACATTTATCTATAGCTCAATGCAATATTAAATCATTGCAAACGAAAATACGATTTTGAGCGAAGTTCGGATAAACATATTTTAATAAATTTAAATCGAAAATTGTATTCATTTCTAGGTTTTTATTGAATATTTTTTTTAACATAAGATAAACTTTAACAAAAAATGCTAATAAAGTAATCACACAAACTTGTATCCAGACAACACATAAACAAAAAATGACAAAATATTATGTAAATTGAAATACGTCTAGTATAAGTGCAAGTTTAATAACATTTATCTAATACTTGGTGAACGTTTCGGATTAATATGATTTGTTTTAACTGAATTTTTTAAAAAAAAAATTAAAAAAGCAAAATTGAAAATAACAGAAAACGTTATAGCGGAAATAATTCCGTTAATGATCGAAACAATAATTTATGGTAAAAAGTTCTTAATTAATAGAAACAAAAATGAAATTAAAAATCGTACAATAAAACCAATGTAATTCTCGCTACACTTAGAATCGAAAAAATGAAAAAGACATTAATATCAAAAAAAAAATTATCAAAAATAATCTTAATTTATAATCTGAAACATACCCACAAAGGGAGAGTTATGGAGTAAAACACCCACTTTCTTCCTTTCCTAAAATACCTCCTACAATTATTTTTTCAATGTTAATTTATAGAAAATCGACTTAAATGAGAGAATTCCTCCTCCCTTCAAAATGTTTTTTTCTGACTACGCCACTAATTATTCAATATAATCAACACTAACCTGTTATCTTGCTGTTTGATTCAGAAGGATCAGCAGACATATTTCAATAAAAAAATTGGGCTACAGCCTTCATAAAAAATAAATTGTACATCTACGGTATCTTGTCAATGAAAACACTGAAGTATCAGACTGCCACACATCATATTCCTGAAAGAAAAAAACCATCATGATCAAATTACAAAAACATTTTTTTTTTTAAAGGAAAATTCATAAGATATTTTTAGGTATATAAAATAATAATAATAATAATAATAACAATAATAAATGAATACATGCCATGATTAATAATTTTTTATTTTTATAATTTTTAATATATCTACAAACTATAATATATAGTACAAATTATTAAGTATTTTATTAGATAATTTCTTATTCGTTTCAATCACGATGGCCACTAATCCGAATTTAGTAGATACCTAACTATAGGATTAGTACGGGAGATATTTACGATGTAAACTATCGGATTATATACCGTTATGTGCACATATCAGGAAAATCAATCAGATTTCTTGATCCGGATTGAAAAACCTAATCTGATTTATTAGCCCGGTGTAATTATACATATAAATACTGATTTCGAACGTAATAATACTTACATTCTAATTCAATAAAACCAACTGCCAGCATACTAAAAAAAAATTTACTTCATTAAAATTATAAACCAATTTAATCGTTACACGCACTCGACATCGACGAACTAAATTAAATAAAAATAAAAGATATTATCAACAAATAAACGTAAACGTAAATGCGGGTAACGCGCTAATGCACTAGCTAACGCGTCGTCAAAGCTCTAAGGACAAATGGCACGCTTCCTACGTGGAAATGGCGAACTCGATAAGCGAAGTCACGAACCTGTCGGCCACCATCAGCAGGACGGACAGGACAAGATGGCGGCGATTATGGACGACGACGTTATGGTTTTACGTGCAAAAAATGTACTTTACTTCATCGAACTCGTGAGGAATACAAATTGTATAACTATACAAATGACAGTAAGTGACAGTTTATTGGTAACTGCCGAGCACGCAAATAAAATGTCAGAACACCACTGTATAACAATGTATAGGACACTGGTTTATCGGTAGGTAACTGGGTAGGTAGTGCCACGCACAGGAGGAAGAAGATTATAGGATTCATAATACCCCGTCCATTAGTTGTTTACAAACAACTATGAATATTTATCTAGTAATTTAATCTTGAAATATATATATTCGGTCAAGTTACAACGAAAAGCTTGATTTATATAGGTATTAAAAATTAGTTTTTTGGATCCGTTTTTTAAATTATCATTGTCGACAGTGGCGGATCTAGAGTTTGATAACTGTGGGTCAGCTATTTTCGAGAGGCCACTGATTAGAGTCAATATTATTAGGACTAAGTACACCCATATTTTTTTTTTGGGGGGGGAAAGGTTACTAAATAAAATTATTTAGGCCATACGTTATGGCTGGTATTCTATGTTATTACATACATATGCTGAATGGTTATAAAAATATTTTATTCTTTGAAAAGGATACTTTTAAAATTTAAAGCGAGAAATGTATTGGTTTTACAATGATGTTTATTATTTTTCCTGCGAACAAATTTTCTACCAGAAAAATTACTCTGATGTATAAATTGAAGTACATTTTCTAAAAGGAAACTGCATATAGTTGGTACTTTGATTCTGTAATTTTTTGATCTTACAAGCAGTTTTTATAATAATTGGGAAAAACAGGAAAATTAAAAAAAAATAATGCTTTTATTATTTTCAATTTGGATTTTAGATTCTGAGCAAAGTGAAGAATGTATCGGTTTTAAAATAATGTTTTTTTTTTTCTGTTAACAACTTTTTTACTAGCAATTTTGTTCCGATATACAATAATAGCACTTTTTCTGAAAGAAAACCTGATTGAAATGGTACTTTAAGGAGTTCATTTTTTTAATTTTTCCAGCTGTTTTCATAATAAATAAGAAAAACCAAAAAAAATCATATATATTATGGCCTTTCAAAACATTTATAACCGAACTCCACACAGCATCATTTTTTGTTAGCAAAGATTAATCATTGCATACAATAAATTTCCCTCTATATATCCTACCTTTCCAGTTCCAAGCTTCTCACCTACAACAAATGCTCACCCAACGTGCAAGTATATACGTCTTTTTTTTAGTCTCGTTTTAGAATGTGAAATGGTTAAATTTTGAACGTTTGTTTTATTTTTATGGAAAACTATTTTTCAGTCGATGGTAACTATTTGATTTAAACTTTTATCGGAATTCCCAGTAGTTAAATATAATGCATAATTATGTTACCAATCATCCTTTAGTTCCTTTTAAATCATTCAAACTTAACCTTTTGAAAGTGTATTTAAATAAAAATATTGTACATCATTCCAATGTATATCTCAATATATATAGATTATATATATTATATATATTATATATTAATATATATAATATATTATATAGATTGATTATATTCTGAATACTATTTTTTTTACGTATTGGAATATTTTTTCTAAATACTTTTAAAACAAATGTTACCCAAGTCTTATTATATATTATCATGCTTCAATTTCGATAATTTATAATTTTTTTCATAGGAAAATTTAAATTCTGTTTCTACTAAAATAAATAATTGTATTAATAGTTCAGCCATTTGGGGAGGTTTTAGGTATTAATTTATTATTTTGTTTTTATTATTAGGTTATACGTAAAACCACTGTAGAACCATAGATAATAAATGATGGACGGGTTATGTTGGTTATCAGACGTTCATTTATTTTCTATCTCATTCGGAAATAATTTAACTATTGGGAAATACACGAGATAAATACGCAGAGTAGGATAAAGATATGATTTTAATTTTACAGATAATTACTATTTATCTGCTGCGTAAATTTAAAATTTGTTTTTAGAGGCCAAAGAGGCTAATTTTATGATCAAAAATTAACTATGAGTCAGAGAACCTTCTGAACCCTCCCATTAGATCCGCCACTAACTCTCAAGTTAAGTAATGACGAATATTCTACGATTTATTCATGATTATTATGATTAATATTTGCTACATTCCCTCCCATTGAAAATTACTGGGCAAACCACTTTCCACAGCAGTGGGAAGTTTGGAAAGTAATATAAATATTATGTGATCATTGTATATAATGCATGCAACGATAAATCATTGAAAATAAAAAAGATACAAAGAGAGAAATTCGGTTGAAAATTAAAATTGTATTAATTTTTAAATAAATTACAATAATATTGCGTTTAATGAATTTTGTCATAAATGTTGAAATAAAACGTTTATAAAAATAAAATACGACATAACATTCAACTTTATTTTTTTGTTACTAAGCACAACTTAAAGTGAACGAAAAACTTATCTATATCAAATTGTTAAGATAATCAGCAGGCCAAACAAATTAAGTCACAAAAATTAAATAAAAGTACGCAAAATGCTGTAGTATATTAAAATGGTTTAAATATATTATTATGTAAACAGAATTAATCATAATTATTCAGGAAAATAAGACAAGTGCGTTTCCTTCCAGAAATTTGTATAAATGAGTTTTAAATATAGACGGTTTAAATATAGAAATGGATATGTGTAACTCAACAATTTTGACTTTTATAAATTGTCTAATAAGAATTTAAATAGGCTATGACGTATTCTATGCACAGCTAACTGTTGATGTGAGCCCTTCTAAAAATTAAAAAAAAATATAGGTGTAATATTTTAATCAATGATTAAATATAATTTTGAGTGAATATATTTTCACACTAATTTAATTCTTCCTTGATTTTGGAAATTTAAAAGGAGATTTTAAAAAATTCCTTTCAAAAACCGAAAACAATGAAATAAATTACATTTACCGTGTATCCCAGTATCCACCCACGCTACTATTACAATTCACCGTTGTACTTTATTGCCCCTGAAAATTAAATTAACTAATGCAAATATACCTAACAATGTTTTTTTTTCATCCACGTCATCAAAGTAACCCATAAATCAACAAAAAACTGTATTTCTCGAAAACCCCGTGTGAGCTACCTTTTAGGGATTATATTTCAGAAATCTGGCTTCAAGGTGCCCACGAACTAGTTTATCCACTAAACTTTATGAAAAGTATCAGACTTCTGTGTGTGATAGATTCAACTATGAATCGCCCGATCGTACACTAACACTTCACTACACTACAGTATACATTTTTTTTTTTTTTTGCGCATATGACTACATTTGACTACAATGTCCGATAATTTTTCACGGATGTTCTCCAATGCAAAGAGGTTTGATTAATCAAACGTCTGTCGGGAAAAATATCAAAATATTAATTTACAGAATAAAATCCACGGTATATAGAAGATATTATGCATAATATTCATCATAATACCGTGTTAAACTCCTAACGTTCTAATCAGCTGCACATTTTCCAAATGATACCTCATAGTCGGAACCTCGATTAGAACATTTTGAAAATATTTAATTCACTAGATATCCGGTTACATGATTATCATACACAGTATCATATCATATGAAAACATTCACAAGTTTTCATAAATCATTAACTGTGTAATAAAAACTTTTGTTTGTTTATGTGTATGGTGACTTGGTATATATTTATTAACTTTTAATATTATGACTTAAGTATAAAAAAAACTAAATAAACTTAAACTAACTTTAACTAAATTAACTGAATAAACATTATGAGCATTACATATATAATATAATCAATGGTGTGATACGTGCGTGTTTTAGTACCAAGATTTGCTAGCTAATTGTTAGTAAATAATTATTATATTAACAAAACCCTTAATACCTTGATTGATTCATTAAATCCAGTGGTCCAGCGGTTGGTATACTATCGTATTATCAATATTACGACCAAATAGATAGCAGAGTGAAAATCAACACTTTTATTTTTTTTATATATATATTTGAATAGGTACTTAATTATAAGAAATTATTTTAAAACTAATTTTATACCCGTCATACATAGTGGGTTATAACAAAATATTTACAATGACGAGCGCTACATCCAAATGCTGCAAATCTTCATGGCGAAAACTTTTTTACATACAAATTTTAAATAAAATAAATGGTTTAAATTTAATCTAAGTTTTATTTCCATTTTAACATTAAAACAATCATCATTATGTACAAAAATTGCGCACTGACTTAGACAGACTTAATTGATATTAAATGATTATAAAAATCAAATGAAGATAATACATTAAATGCCAATCACATTAATCTGATAAAAGTTAACTGACAGCAACAACCAATATTATACTCTTTATGGGCATTTAAAATTCAAGTAACTGGGTGCATTATAAAGTTGCATTGCAGTCTTAATTATTACAAAGAATAAATTATTGATAAAGGTGGGTACACCTACAAATTTTTGGTTTAGACAATACTATACACACATGTGTTGTCTTACTAACTTTGTTAACCTTATTAACGCATACCATAGCTTTCTTCTAAACAATTTCCATACGAAAAAATTACAGCTAGGTATATAAATGCAAAAACTAACATAGTTGTAACTTTTTATGACAATTTTTTTGAAAAAGCTATGTACAGCACTTAAAAATATTATCCTATCCTCTTTAAATATTGTTATTTGGGTTTAAATTCCAATTTTAACCTAATGTCACAATTTATAATCTAAGTATAAGAGAAATAGTGTTACAAACAAATAGATTAGATCATATTTATATACAGAGTGATTTTTTTTTTTTTTTATCATGAACCAGCAATTATCTTGGAGTTTTTTTAAAATTAATTTGATTTTTGTTTTTTCTAATCATTGTGGAATCCTTTAAACTTTATTTTAAAACTATTTTTAATTTTTACCACTACTCCATATACCTTAAATAAGTAACCCCCCACACATACACTTTTGAACACAGATTTGCATAGAGAATATTTTTCTAGACATATTTATATGCATAACACTAATATCAGATTTACTGTTTATGAGCTATAACAGTTTAAAGTTTAGACCGAAAAGGATTAGAATAGGATTATTTATTAAAAAGGATCGAATAGAAAAGGATTATAGATAAAAAAATCACCCTGTATATGAATCACTCGGATTAACTTAAAAAAAACTCTATCAAATACCTAATATCAATTAGAAATCTATTGGAAATTTTTTAAAATATTCTATCTGATTTTATAGGGAGCTGTGAAAATAATAATTTATGATTTTTTTTATAACAATTTGAAAAATAATGCCATGGAAAATGAAACTGTCTAAAATTACACAGGTGTGCAAGTGTGCTAACTTGAACATGTTTCAATAGAATCGGTAACATGTTTAAGACCTTCCGTAAAAATATCACATTTAATCAACACTGAATGTATTTTGTACAAACCAAATGTAATAAAAACTAAAACCTTTTTTCATATGTTTGATTTGAACAATAAAACTGGTCTTATATGTATGATTATTGACACAATATAGTGCATGTTTGGTTAAATTGTGTAGACAGGGTACCTAACAGTTTTTCTTATTTATTTTATATTAAGCAAAATGTTTCCAAGATTGTCTAAGTATTATGCAAATCCATGGAAATAATTTGTTACATTTATTACAATTAATATTTATTATTATACCCAAGTATTACGAACAAAAGCTAAAAAATTTAAGAATTTATTATAATAGTACTGAGGTATAATTTATTTGTTAGTTACCTATTTATTGTTGAACAAGTTTTTTTTAATAATATTGCGAAAAATATGTTTGCTTTTTTTCAATGCGCCTATAGGACTGACCATAGGATATATAAAAATAAATAATGATTTATAATAATAATATACTTTTAATTTATTACATACCTAATACTAATTGGGTACATTACTGAATTAAATTTAATTATCTACTGAGTATTGAAGTTATTTTTTTATCATTACAAATATATATTAGGTATATAGTAAATATGTATTAAATTTATAAATACATTTATGATGAATTTTATTGGAGCTTATTTTACATAGTTCTGCTAATGAATAAAATGTATTTTTATAGGTAGGTAATTACTACTTATTTTTACTAATAAACTATTTATATTATTATAGTATAGGTACATGTAGTAAATTATAAGTACCTACCTGGATACTAAGTGTATAGAAATTTGTCAAATAGAATATCTAATCTAATACTAAGCATACAAATATTTAAAAATACTATGGACAAGTAACTAAAAAAAAAATTTTTGGAACAATTTTCATATATAATAGTACCCAAATTATATTTATTGTATAAATTACAAATAAAAAAAACATAATACCTACACAGTTATTAAATACCTATTAAGAAAAAAATTAATTACTTTTACAAAATAAAATCTGATAAATAAAACTATACTATAAATGTATAGTTTTAATTAAACAAATATCACAATGTTCCTTATTTAGTCTAACATCCAAGACTGAATATAAATGGCAAAATTCTATTAGTGACTACTTTCTACTGTAATATAGAGGAAATAAATTTTCCTTAAGTATTATAGGTGGTAGTCTGGTAGTAAGTATTTACAAAATAAAAAATGGGATATGTTTATTAAATACTCTGTGTGTACTATGATGTAACAAAAACAGCTGATTGGAATTCCCAACACTGGTTTGATTTGATTTTCTAATTTATGTAATATATAAAGGTAGTCATAGGTACTAAATATTATTATAAAATAGCATAATAAATAATAACTATTAAATACACCTTAAAAATAGGTACATGCATTTATATTAAAAATACAATTTATTATTACTTATTTTTTTTTTTTATATATATATAGAGAGATTTTAATTTGGTTTACATTATTTACAAATTTTTATAACAAAATTAAAATACTAAAATATAGATAGAGATAGACCGGTTAATATATATATATTATTACACCTATATTTTTTTTATTGAAAACAACTTTTCCACAAGTAGATTAAGAAGGGCAAATGGAATGTTGTACTCCCAGTTTTCTAAAAAAATAATAATAATAATAAAGAATTTATATTACTTTTATGCTATTTCATTTTATTCACTGTTATTACTTAATTTCTATAAAAGTGTAGGTAATATATTATCATATAAATTATATTTATACAGTCCTATCTAAACATCTTTCACTTATTAACCCTAAATTAATCATTTAAATTTTAAATACTCAAGTATTGGTTTAAAACTGAGTACATAACCTATTTATATTTATATTAATTTACCATTTATAGACTTTAGTTCTATAATTTTACTATGTATTTACACAAATAAGGCTTGGGCTTATAGTTTAATTTCTTTTAGCATAATGCATACAATAATTTAGATATTGTCAATAGTCACAGAAGTAATTATTTGAAAATAAATCTTATATGTAGGTACCTACCTAATAATGGTCAATTATTAGAATAAAACAAATAAGAATTAAATATATATATATATATATCAGCACAAGTTTACAGCAAATATCAAATTAAGTACCTACTGAAAATATCAATTGATAGGTAAGTCAACACAATATAAAAACAGTGCCTATATAAAATCTACAAATAACTTATAGAAAACAACAATAATTAAAAATTAATACAAAATGTCATAATTTACTAGATCCTGGGTAACTTTTTATGACATCAATATTAAAATAGACACTAAATGTACCGAAATACTTGAAACAATTAAGTTTGCAAATAGGTAATTAATTTAGTAGCTGGTGGTGAACCAAGTAACTACATATTATTATAATATTGGCCACTTTATTAATTTGTATAAATAGTAGATGGTGTTTTATTAGAAAAATATTGTCGTGACCGCTAACCTAAAACACTATTATTATTTATCTACCAAGTGTTTTTTTTTCTTTTACTAACGATCTAACTGACTACAGTTAATAATTGTCAGCAATTTAATATATACTGGCATGGTATAAAAAAAAAGTCAAACTGGGTTAATAATATATAGAATTTTTAACATTTCTGTAACGTTATAATTGATATCAGTGTAAACAATATATGAGCAAGTAGGTATAGGTGATTGTTATCGTATAATTTCTAGCAGTTATATGAAATGGCCTAAATGTCAATATTAGGTACCTAGATAGTATCACACCAAGGATTGTCATGCAGAAGGTCTTCAAGCAGAAGGCCGACCATTCGTTGTATATGGTGTGTTTGTCCAAGTTATAATCCACCGCGGTCAAACACTATCTTATATCGCTCTACAAATATTTTAAAATACAATATGAATCAAAAGACAAGTTCAAGGTTAGAACACCTCTTGTTGAGAATAATACACATAATAATAGTAATATTAATAATAATGTAGTAGTAGGTAGTAGGTACACAGGTATTTAAATGCATAAAACATAAAGCCTATTGTAAGACACACCGTAGGCACTCTTTCAAACGCTCTCTCTCTCTCTCTCTCGTTAGCACAAGCACACACACATTGCACATATATACACACACACACACACACACACGCGCGCGGGCGCGAGCACACACACACACACACACACAAACGAGCGCGCGCATAAGCACACAGGCATATTACGTTCGTATGCATGTGCAGGGCTCTCGCACGCGCGATACACTTACGCGGAATACACACGTACGTAACATTAATGATAATATTATTTACTAAACGCACAGTTTACGTTATTATTGTTACGGGGCGGCGGACAAGAGCGCGTCGGCCGATAAACGTTTAATAATAATTACCCAAACAACAAACGAGCCGGGCATACGACGGTGCCGTGCCGTAACACGACCGACCAATAAAACATAGAGAAAAAAAAAAAAAACCACCGATTCGTCTGATGTAACAAACGGTAATAATTACCTGCTGTGCCCCGTGCTTTTTTCGGTGGTGGACGTCGCGCGGTGATGCCCGCCGATGACGATGATGATGACTGTGTGCGCGTCTCTGTCGGCCCGCCGTCGTCGTTCACACGGCAAAGTTCACGCGCGCGCACTTATTATCGATAATAACGAAGATGATAATGTTAATATCAACGAGCGTGCCATTTGTTGTCCCTGTGTTGCCGTCACCGCCGTCCCGCCGTTACAACGCCGTGGTCGTCTGCGCGGCGATACATCGCGCCGTGGTGTCCGGTCGCCGTCCGTCTTTCATTAGTTAACCGACGGCGATAACGATATTGCAGGTAGGTAGGTGTACTATTATAACGACGTTCGTATTTTTCAAGTCGATTTATTGCGTCTCGATTGATAGTGGACGAGCTCGTGCAGTCGTTTCGGTCCGATAAAAATCGCGTGAAGATAATAAAATATATTATATTATCACGGCGGCGGCGGCGGCGGCGGCGACGACGACGACCACGGAATAACGCGGCTCCCGTATCAATGAAATCCGTATCACGACATAATAAATAATATATATAATATTAGATATAACAATTATAATATTCTACTACGTTACGTATAACGTTACGATTACTACTATTACGATTTCTTGTTTTTTAATATTTTTTTTATTATTATTGTTATATCAGAATGTGGAACGCGTATATAGAATATATTTGTTTTTTTTTTTTTTATTATTTATTTTTTTTTTTATCGATACGCGACGGCGAATGAAAAAAAAAAAAACCAGTTGCCTGAAACTTTGAACGCAACCGGTGTGCGGGCCGGTAAAGAGGGGAACGAGACAAAAACGACGTGTACGCGCGGCTTTTTATTTATTTTATATTATTCCGTTATTCGCGTATTATTCAAACGCTATTATTTGTTTAATTTAATTTGTATTTTGTTATCTCGTAAACGATTCGCGCGGAATAATTGGTTATTGTATTTTATAACGAAAAATATAAAAAAAAAAATTAAAACGAGAACAAAAACGTAAAATTACAATTGATATTAAATTTTTTGTATATATATTATATACAACAAGAGTCAAAGAGAAGAAGACGAAAACAAAAACCGTTCCGACGTGAAATGCGAAAATGTCGACGATCGAATTATTATCATTGTTTGTCTTGTTCGCGCATTATTAATATTATTATTGTTTTGTTTTGTTTTTTTATTTTCTGTGCTGCGATAAATCTCTCGACAATAACAACAACAACAACTGCGGTCGTCCACGGAAGAAGTACACGCATCGACTCGTTACCCGACAACACGCGCCCCGAGTCTCGACTGGTAATTCGTACAATGGCCCGCTGGGCGCGCTCGCGCGTATGTCTACGTCCGTTTTGCTTGCTTTTTTATTTTTTCTTCTTCTCTCTCGTCGTATTACAGTTACGTACAAGCGTAAGCGCGTCTCATTGCGCCGCCGCGGAATTATTGCCGCCGCCACGGTCCGCGTCCGTTTTCTATAATACGGCGTTATACAATAAACAATACCGATTACCGAACCCTACGTAGGTACGTTATTATTATTATTATTATACGCGATTTGACATTATATTCCGTAATGACCGTAATTGGATTATGTAATACGAAATAAAAAAAAACCGCGTCCGTCCGAAAAGCAGAGAGAAAAAACGCTTTTCGATGTAATAAAACACCTACAATACCTACCCTCGAGTGTAACGTAATCACGTAAGGAGGGACGGTCGCGAGCATTTTCACGTTTGTATTACCGGTGGTGGCGTGTCGAAGCGCGTGAGACGCATTTCGACCCCCGAAATCCGCCACCGCTGCAGTCCGCAGACTCTATGACCTATTACTACCCTCCCCCCTCCCCATTCGCCGTTTATTTTTTTTGCAATCAATTCGCTGTCGCATCGTATAGTTCATACTAACAATTATGTAATATAAATGTATTTGTTGAACCAAAAAATTGTTAAAAATAACATTAAATGTCATAACTAGAGGGGTGCGCGCTGATAGGCCCTTACGTATTTTTCTAGAAATTACCCACAATCCCCCTCCCCCAATGGAAATTTCTGAGAACGTCACTGCCTATTAATATTATGTAATAAGAGTGTTACTTAATAATAGGTGGATGTGCACCTTTTTAAAACGAAATACAGCCGATTGTTAATTTCTAACAACCTACCTAATTATACGGTGGTGCGTAACTGGGAAAGGACGCTAAGAAAACTTTAGCCCTCCCCCCACCACCCGTTAAAATACACAAACAAAATTATATTATAATCTATTTTCAGCGTTGATAATGTATTACTAATAAAATAATGATTATAATCTTTGCACGTGTACAACACCGGACACTTAGTCGAGGGGTTGAGTCTATGGGCCCCCCCCCCGACCTCGAAATTTAAGCTTCTCACCAAGAAGTCAGATTATTGATGATAAATTGTATGTTTGGACCCCGACCCCCCTCCATAAAAAAAGCCTGGATACGTGCCTATACAACACTACTCAATTAAAAGTATACATATTATTATTATATGATGGACATTAACTATAGTTATAATAATTTTTATTTTCAACTAATTGACTTCAAATTTCAATAATTTAATTAATTTGTATATTTTTTGTATGATCTTAAATTTTTACCGTTAGTAAATTTTCGTAGAAATCCCAGTCGAATTAACGAGTTTAAGATGAATAATTTTTTTAAATTTTAATTGGTTGTTCTCTGTAATACGATTTATGCTAATTTTAAATTTAAATGTTAATTGTTGATATTTTTAGCAAAAAAAATAAAAAATAGAACTAACTGAATTTTTTCTATATTTACTTTTAACTTATATACCTGGTTCAATTTTTTTTTTTATTTAACTTAATCCAGTTAATTATTTATATTAACTTGCCCACCGTTACAAATCTGTACTACACAAATTATGTATTTAAAAAAATAATATTTTTTTTTATAAATATAACTGTTTTATTTTACTTGTACAATTATATAATATAATTTTCATTTACTATATAACCTCTTCCCCCCCCCATTGAAAATTCGTGGATACACCACTGTATACCTAGGTACCTATTATATCATTTCATGTGATGAAAACAAAAATCTAGATAGGTAGTTATAGAACACAACATTTATAATAGGCACCTAATAAAAGAGTTTAATATTCTAAAAGTTGTAGAGCGACCAGATGGTCAAAAACTAATACTATTCATGGCGCAAGAAACTGCTGATAGAATTGGAAACATTTTTGCTGTGTCAAATTAACTACTCAACGAAAAAGTAAATAGGGATACATAAACTTTTTTTTGTGTCAGTACTTTCGGACAATTTTTGTTCGATATCTCATATCGATGAATTTACCCAGTTTTCTAAAAACTAACATTAAACACTCATATTTAAATGCTATGATAATTTATACTTAGATACAACTTACGCACTTACATTCGTACCACACTTAAATCCCTTATATTTAGCATCTTAAAAAGTGGCAGTGTGAAGATAGTTATGTGAGTGAAAAATCTTAGGTTTTTTAAATAGATATTAACCCGCGAGAAGCATAGGCACAATTAGAGAGTCTTAAATCCTCCCCCTCCCCCCAAAAAAAACCTAATCAGCTTTTTCGTAGTAACGACTAAATATTTTATTCGTGTTTTTCATAATTAGTGAGTAACACAAAATAAAGTTTTCCTACACTGCATGTGTGTACAAAAAATAATGTTAAAAGAGTTATGATAAATTTGTATATACACAATTATAAATGAAAAATGTAGTTGACCAGCAAAAGTCGTGTAAAAGGAATTTCGAGATCATAGCCCCTATGGGTCTATGATGTGTCCATAAATATAGCACCCCCAAAGTTGGTGGTCTAGTTGCGCCAATTGCGTGGATAATTTAATGTGGCATACCAATGGTTCACCGCCGCATCGCTTCACGGCGCTCAGTGTTTCCACGACCTCGTCAAAGACATTCCGTGCAACAAAGAGAAGCATGAGAAGACCAGATATGACGAAGATAAGGTCAACCGGCTCGGATCTCTTCCTGCGGATTGATTGGCTTAGGTACGAGAAACGAGACTATATATAATATGTTTGTTTCGAAATATCGTGATTTATACGAATAAAATGTCAAATGTCTATAAATAAATTAAAAATTGCCAAAAAAAATTGATTAATTTGATAATTTCACCACATCTAGAAAAGGTTAATATCAGTATTTTATGAAAATGTCGGATCTCTACGATTATTTTTGACCAAATCGAAAATAATGAAATAGTTTTTTCTATAAACTTTCTGTTTTCCTACGTTTTTTTCCAATTATTAATAAAATCAATTCAATGACATCTCCAGTGCACCAACAATATAATTTGCTATCAAAAAGATGCTTCACTTGAAATCAGAAAAAGATTTCTGTTAGTTGATAGACAGAATATAAACTTGATAGTAAAACCAATATATTTATTGATGCATTTAAAACCTAAAATACCTAGTACAAAATTCAACTATGAGTCTTCGTAGTCTGTAAATAAACAATTGAAGTATAAAAATGTCTTCACCTAAGTTCAAATTTGATATATCTATCTCCATAGATTTTTTCCTAAACCCTAGTGTATCGACATAGTAATTTATTGTCAGTTTTAAAAATGTATTTAGAAAACCAATATGAATCTAGAAAAATCCACACATTTAGACAATATTTGTTAAAGTTTTAAAGGTCTTTAAATAACTAAAAAGGTGTTTTTTGTGAAAAAAAGGTTAAACTAAAATAGTTTCGTCGATACTCAAAATCTAAAACATAATATTATATTTTGATAATAATAAATCAGCTAACAGAAAACTTAAGAATCCCCAATAAAACATCTCAAAATGTACTTGTACTTCTACTACTTCGTCAACACCTCAACTCTTTGGGTCGGTTACCCTTTTTCTAAATTTCCACTTGACCTGATCTTTTCTGTCGCATATACTGACGTCTGACTGCAGTTCTCAACATCGCCTATAAATGCTTATTGTCGTTAGCTAATATTTGTTTCTGCAAACTCATACTCTGTTTTACTTCTACTTATCCTTAATCCCTTTCCTCAAAGTGCTATTCTCCATTCCTTTAGTCTATTGTTAAGTTATTCTATATTTTCTCTTATCATTTTCGCCTGTTGTCCTAGCGTGCATCCGAGATGGGATAATCCGCCAAAGTCTTGTTTAGAATTTCTCATATTGTGTGACAGAATCTTATAGAGGCTGTCGAATTAACATTTGTTGCCTCTTACAACGGGTCTCTACCGAACGAAAAAAAAAAGGACGGACATACTTCGCACGATGGGTGAACTACTGTTCTAAGTGAAAAACTGGGAAAGTAGAGTGGAAATTTAATGTATATTTGCTGTACGCAACGATTAACCATTGCTAACGAAACCCGATTTTGAACGGAGTTCGGGTAATAGGGTTGCTTTCAAATTTTGATATATATATAAAAATAAAATTCGACATTATCTATACAGAATTTTTTTTTTAACGACATAGTACGACTTATACTGAATCTCCTGTTAAATTTTCTAGCATTTCTGTTTGGTCTTACAATTTTATTCACAGTAAACTAACAGTAAAAAACTAGCAAAATTAAAATGTCTATAAATAGTTCAAAAATGACTCAAATGTTTTGAACATGTTACCACGTTTAGAATAGGCAAATATAGGTTTTCTGTCTAAATTTCAAGCCTTTACGAATAATTTTTTGACGGAGAATACCCAAGTGGAGAATATCCAAGAACCACAACGATTTAACTGTGTTTTTCTGAAGTTTCCTATTTTTCAATATTCTACCGACCACCTAATACCGATTGTTAAATGTTTAGCTTACTTGCTGCTTCACGTTGTCCCATCTTCGGAAAACGGTCCTACTCCAGTACTAGTAGAAAAATAATATTAGTATAATATAATATATGTAAATGTAAACATATTATGTTAAATTATAGATTATAATTAATTCTATGTTGAATTGTAGATAGAATTAATTGTAAAATGTACCGCATACAAGTAACTGCTAAACAATTTAAATTTTATGATTATTTTATCATAAGTTATTAAACAAAATGTTTTTATTCTGTTTATACTTCGTTACTATTTGTATCATTTAAATAATACAATATACCTAATGTATTTATCAGGTATACTACTGTTTATACGTATACTTAAATATTAATGTTCTTATGTATTTACTGTGCATTTAAGAATGGATATATATATATATATACATATATATGTATCATAATGACCATAATAATTATAAAAATGAAATATGGTATTTAGAAGCATGGAAGCATAGCCCCCACGAGCTTGTGTCCTCTATGTAATTTTAGCACTCCCAGTGTTTGGCCTCTAATTGCGCCTAACTGTAGTGTCAGGTGATCGGGAATGTATTTATACCTCACACTACGATACCGATAATTGCAATAAATGTGAAATTCGATAAAAATTTGTTGTACCTAACCTAATCATACATATTATAAAGCATGAATCGAAACCAGTAATAACCAACACAAATATGTAACTTTTCAAAATCAATTTAATTCTAAATTTTAACCAGAAAAAGTTTATTTTCCATCATTTTTTTTTTACGAAATTTGAAACTTATAAGTTATAACTAAATTTTAGATTCTGATTGGAGCGAAGAATGTAATAGTTTTACAAAGATTATTTTTTTTATGTGTACATTTTTTCTACCAGAAAGCTTACTCCAATGTATACGATGTAGACGCTTTTCTAAAAGGAAATTTTCTCGAGGTGGTACTTTAGGGGAGACCATATTTTGATTTTCTCAGGAGTTTTCTCGTCAAATATGAAAAACCGGGAAAAAACAGTGGAAAACCGGGAATAAAGAAGGAAAAAAGGGAAAATCAGTACAATATTAAACAAATATTACTAAAGAAAATATATAATGCCTATTTAATTTTTTGATCATAATGACATAATATTGTCGACAAAGCATCACTATCAACTGAGCTCTGCTCAGAATCATTTTTAGTAAGCAATGGTTTGTTGTTGCTTACAGATACAAATTAATTTCCTCACTATATCTTACTTTCCTAATTTCTCACCATCAACAGTGGTTCCATTGTACAAAATATGTCCGTTTTTTGTATAATGTATTTGGTTATGTCCGGACCGGATGATTTTCTGATCTATGATTTTGAGTTTAATGAGCGACTGAACGTCTGAATCTTATATCCGAGTCTTATAAGCGGCGTCCACTGTATTTAAAAAGTAACATAATACAAACTGAAGTCAGAGCTATATTACAGTTATTGTATTATCCATACAAATATAACCTAATATTGTAAGAAAACTAAGGAATCTTGATTTAAAAAATTATTTTTCATTTGTTTAATTAGCTAATTTAACTATACTAATATCAATTATTATATTTTACTTTTATTTTAGACAAATTATTAAGTTCTATATGAGGTATAAGCTTGGGTCGTAAATTAGATTTATACCAAATTAATATATAAGTGTACCTATATTAATATTATTTTAATAATATTTGTTTAATATTGTACCTATTTTCCAACTTTGCCTACGTTTTATCCCGGTTTTTCCCATTTATTATAAAAACAGCTAGAAAAATTAAAAAATTACCTCATCAAAGTACCAACTATATAAAATTTCCTTTCAGAAAATGTACCACACTATATAAATAATATTTCTGGTAGAAAAGTTATTCACAACATAAATTATAATACAAAAAATAAATAATATAATTGTAAAACCAATACATTCCTCGCTACTTTCCGAATCTAAAATACAACATTTTAGAAATTAATACGAATTATTTGAATGTGATTCATATAAATTTTACATTTATAATTTTATAATTTAACTATTTAACTATATTTTATATTATTATTCATTTTGATAAAAAGTATACCACTGAAATGGTTGTTAGTTGTAACTAAAAACGTGGTAACTCTAGGTTGCTTCTGGCACACTACCCCATAGGTTATAATGTATCTACCTCGGTTATAGCCATATATATATTATATCAATATATTTTATGTATACATATTGATTTTATATAAACCTGTGGTTAAAGCATAGATAATATTATATTAATTACATAGATAATATTAGAATATATACTTAGTACATTTATCTATGAGTTGTAGGCAAGGTTTATAGATAATAAAGAATACTATCTATGGGTAACTATAATATTCATGATATGAAATAATTGATAATAGCTAATTATTTTTTATCTACTCGTATAAAAATAAAAATTAATAAATTTTCTAAATGTATTAATGGTACCTAGTTTTTATTAATTATTTAAATTTTGTCTTTATCTTAATCATAATATCTACTTTTATTGTATTTAGAAAAAATGGAAGTTATCGAAGAAACTCGTCGGTATCCATTTTGTGTTGTATGGACTCCTATACCATTTCTTAGGTAAATTTTTCTTGTGTTTTGACATTTCTTGAATTTTTAAATAAACTATGACTGTATGTATGTAAATCATTTAATGTTTAGATGATTTGTCATTTTGAGTTTATCTGTATAAAACCGTGTACAAACAATTTTTTTACCAATTAGTGAATTAATAATTTACTCAATAATAATTAATGTAGGTATGCTGGTTAATATGTTAATATGTTTTGTTTAATGTTTAGCTGGGTGATACCATTGATTGGCCATGTGGGTATTACAACATCTACCGGTATAATTCGAGATTTTTCTGGATCGTTTTATGTCGCTGAGGATGATATGGCATTTGGATATCCTACTAAATATTGGCAATTAGACATACGAACCGTAAATGGTGGACCCAAAACATGGGATAAAGCTGTCAATTTAGCATCCATTGAATATTTTAATAGAATGGTAAAATAAAAAAAAAATTATTATAACAGTATCAGTCTTTGACAATTTAATAGTCTTTTGAAAATTTGAATCAATGTATTTTATTATAACACAATAAATGATACCAAATTGAGTATTAACATATTAAAGCAATTTTATTCTCTTTATAGTCATTAACTGTATTATTTTAAATACAAATTTTATTTAGTATAAATAAATCGGTGCATATCAATGAATGTATTATGGCACTTTTTTAAATTATTTAAATTAGTTTTTTTTGTTGTTGAAGTTAGTTAAAAGATATCTACATAATTTGAAAGACAATGGTTTAAATTATTATATTGATAAACACTAATCAATTTTAATTCAATGGTTTTTAGTGTATATATTTTGTTAGATCAATCAATTCTGGTGAACTGCCAAAAACAGGTATCATTACTCTAGTTGAATTTCTCCATAAATCTAGAGGTTTTCAAGTGTGTGTACTTTAAATTTAACATTTAAATTTATATTTTGAAGGACAGAATGTTTTCTTTGCACATGTTATGCTATTTAACAATTTCTCACTGAATTTAAAATAATGATTATTCTTTTTTTTCAGCATAATTTGCTGTCTGATAACTGCCATTCCCATGTTGGTATGGCATTATCATTAATGAATTATAATCAAAGCAAAAACTGGAATATGATCAAATTAGCATTGTGCATATTTCTTTTCGGGAAACATGTAAGGTAAAGTATATTCAATTTATAATTTATATTTATAAAGAAACTACATGTATATTAATTTGAAGTTTTTATTTTCAGTTTTATTGCATGGTTAAAAACATGGGGCCCATTTATAATATTTGTGGTGTTATGTTTTGGGATTTATGCCTATGATAAATATATTTAGGCTAATTTTACTTTACTAGATACACTTGATGATGTTTGTGAAAAAAGGTCAAATTTTATAACTTTTCAGGAGACAAAAAAAAAAAAAAATGAATAATTTATTATATAACTCGTATAAATTATGCTTATACACACATTGTAATTATATGATGTTTAAGGATAAATTTCAGTGCTAAAAATCCATACATTATGAAATTTTCCACGATGTACCATAATAAAATTTGACAAAACTTGATGTAAATACTTTTTTTCATGAACACTGACTACTATTGTATTATAACAATCACTGAATTTGCTTAAGAGGATGCTATACTTATAAGTACAGTTTCTGTCCTACTAACAGACAATATAGAAAAATTTACCTTACGCAAGGACTGTGCAGATCTCACTTTATTTTGTTTTTCAAGTAAAATCATCTGTTATAAAATTAAAAAGGACAATATTTTGGAGGGTAAGACGATGTGTTTTTCCTATTATTCTGGATATAATATTCAGATAATTTAGAAATAAAAACTATTTCATTGTTTAATATTACTCAAAAATTGTAAAAAATAAATGCACCGTCTTACCCTCTGAAATATTGTCCTGTTGTAGTTTTAAAAAGACTGCTTTTACTCGAAAAACCAAAATTAAGCAAGTTTTAGGTAGTCTGCATAAAGGTAGAATTTGCTATAATATAATATTATTACCTGTTAGTTAAACTGAGAAAGCATATACAGGTATATTGTCCTCTTAACTACATGTATGAATGTGCATTTTTTTTTATATTATACAATATAAGAAACCAAACAAAAATTTCTTAACGGCAATCTAACTAAAGTATTTTTTCTACTTTTTCAAATATAAAATAATTTAAAGATTTATTTTTTTTTACTTTTGATTAAAAATAATTAATAAATGTGTTTAGTATGTGTTAATATATTTTAATATTCTTATTTCAAATGGTTATTATTACTATTATTTTGATAACTCATTTATTTGTAAAGTCTTACAAATTATAACATTAAGTATTATTTTTCATTAAAATTAATTGTTGTCTAGTGTTATTATTATAATATTAAAAATTATAAAATGGTGTCTCATGTATCTATATTTTAATATTTATATACTTACTATAATAAATTCTAACAATAAGTACAAATTAAAAAAAAAAAAAAACATTGAATGTTGTGAAATGTTATTAGTAGAAATAAATCCTCATAATTCACAAACATAATCCAAATATATTTACTTTTAAGTTTGTAAACATTTCATAAATTAATGTTTTTAATATATTATTATTATTTTGATAGAATTTATTTTATTACAATGTATATTGTACTACATTTAATAGAGATAAGATGTCTGTGTGACAACAAAAATAATTGATTGCAGTAAATTGCAAAGACTGTTGCATGCAAACATATTCAAATATATTCATTGACCAATTATTTGAAATGCTGAATAAATAATTAAATTATTAGTAGGGTGGAGATTTATTTGTATTTAAATAATTATCGTGAATGATAATAATGAACCAATTATATTATAGGAATATGTTGCAGGCTAATTGGATTGTTTTAAGCTATAATTGATATTACACATTTTTACTTAGCTTAAATTGCATGTTTTAGTTTAAAAAAATTTGTGGTTTATAGGTTTTATATGATATATTGTTTACTTTTCCATAGCAGCAATTTTAGTATAATTGAAGATAATTTAAAAACTTAAAATTTTTTGAAGTGAATGTTGGAATTTTAAAGTTTATCTTCTATAGGAATTCTGGGCAGGATAGTTTACTGGTTATTAATTTATGGACAAAAGCTATGTCATATAATCTTGTAGAAACCAGTCTACCAGTCAGTTGATTCTAAACCAAATTCTACAGCCAATAAGGTATCTAGTGTCACATCCATTCGACCTAATTTGTATATTATCATTCTTAAAAACGTCTTGTATTTTTTCAAGTTTGTCAATTAAGTAAAAAGAAATTATTAAATAGTTGATATCCATATATAAATATATAAATAAATAAATTCTTCCCCTGGAGAATTATGCTATGTGTATTGATACATTGATATATATATAGAAATAATTTATTTTAATTGGAGAGATTATTTAAAATTAGTTATTATTGACATAGATATGTTAAGAAATATAAATTATTTAATTATTACTTATAAGGTAAAATGTATTGATAAGATATTTTTAAAATCGGTTTGAACATTTAAGTTTATGTATATTAACATTTTCAAAGTGGGATTTTTTGTGAGTTTTTAATTCTATTGTTAATATGTTTGATTAGATTATTATTAGTCTTAAAAGCAATTTTACATTATTTGTATTATTGTTCAGAATTTATTAAGACATATTATTTTGATATTTCGTACTACAATAGTATATTGTTAATATTATTTGGTGAGTTGTGTATTATTATTTTTTTAATGTTATTTAAACTGAAATTATTTTTAATTAAATAAGGTTTTTTTTAAAAAAAAATTATCTGTGTTTAGGGATGGATGTATATACATTTTTTACATTAAGAGAAGTCATTTTTTTAATCAGATTCAATATTAAGTTTATTAATTTATACTCAATGATATCATAAGTGTTTTTTTTTTTTTTATAAGAGTATAAAGCAAGGTTGGATGGAGTAGTTTTAAATATAATTAATGGGAAAAATTGGATAATCTTGTTTATGCATTTTATGAATGAATGTAAGTGTGTTGCCTCTATTCTGTATACAGATTTTAATAATAGTTTCTTTTGAAATGATTTCTTTGTAATTTGTTTAGTGTAAATTAAAGTTGAGTCATATGTTAAGTTTATATATTATTATTACTCATAAAATCTAAAATTTCTTTTTGTGAATTTCATTAGTTTAAATAACAATAGCATTAGCTTTATTTATTGGAACTATTTTTGAATTATTTATTTTTAATTTATTCAGTATGTTGTTAAAAATTGATTTTTGTTGTACAATACACATATTATAATACTCCAGGTCCATTTATTTATTTATATACTTAGGTAATTCTGTTTAGGATTCCAAATTACTGAAAAAAATTCTAATATAGACTTGACAAGAGAACAATATAACACTTTAAAACAATTAATGTTTTTAAATTTGGTATAGTTTCCAATACAGGGGGCAATAAAACACCTAAATCACACACAGTAGAAGAGACTTGTAATTCAAAATTGTTTATACTATGTGGTTGTAGTTTTATTTCTTAAATGGCTAAATGAGATGTACCTAGACTTAGAAAGGTTAATTGAAAGACCATTATTATAAAAATAAAATACAACAAAACCTACAAAGGCACAAAACACAAATGACTCAATATAACATTAGAGTATTATAAAAATATATAATACTGATTTGATATATTATCTCAAATAATTATTTTGATAAATTTTGACATTATTTAGAAATTTTGGATATACTCATAGGTACATAAATATAGTATAGCCTTGCGTTTCATAATTGAAATCCTAGTCCCATCTGATGTATAGTATTTTATTTTATATGTCCATGTGTAATTACTTTTAAATTTATATCAAGAATTAAAATAATTTTTTTTTACATATCTTGTATTTTAATTGCATATTTGGTTATAAATATTTATGCATTTACACATTTTTAAATTTTAAATACATATAAATATGCACCTTGATGTTATTAGGAATCATCAACTATATTATTAAGTAGATATTAATAGTTGACAAACAGAAAAGAGTATTCAATATATCTTTAAAAAAAATTTATTAGGATAAATTCACAAAGTAATTAGTATTCATTTTGAATATTACCTATGTACAGTGATGGTAATTTAAGAACACATTGTTACATCGTTTACCAGTTTTCTATCATTAGAAAAATCGTAATTATATAAGTCAGATTCGAGAATTTCTTTTACAGATGATAAGCGTTTTCTTATATCGTCCAAATTACAAGTCAGATCAGTGGTCACATTGATTTGGCTTGATAATACAAATGGTATACTGTCCAACATACTAATAGGTTTTTCATTCTCATCAGACATTTTTGATTTGGGTGGAGTTGGATGTAAATTATAAAGTAAGTTAGTTGCGGGCAAATTGTTCACAGGTTCTGGGTTCAAAGTTTGAATGGGTTGAGTGTCTTTTGAATTATCTTTTCTCTCCTCAGCTACATCACTCGTCAGCTTAGAAACTCCAAATAACCAAGATGCCATAATCTGAAATAATTTGAATGTTCAATGCTAAAAGGTGATTGACAATAATACAATGTAACAAATAATGATCAATTTAAAGAGTCAAAATAAAAAATAACTATTTAAACACCATAAATAAGTTACAATAGGTAACCATAATATTAAAAACTGAGTAGTTAGGGCAAACAATAAAGTAGATTATTGTGACTATATATCATTTAACAATATTTTTTAAGATTCATGTGAAGTGAGATGGAACTCAAAACAATATTTGAATAGTAAAAAGTTAAAAAAAATTCACTATTTAATAAATTATTTATAGAGTTTTGATCTGCTTAAAAGTAGTAAGAATATTTATGTTTATTAGACAAATTAATTAAAAGTTATTAATCATAAATGTTTCATTCCATTTAAATATAATAATCGTAGTAGAATAAAGTTATGATATATTATATTACCTAAATTAAGTAAATATGTAGTTTTCTGATTGCAAGGGTCTTGTCTTATTTTTATTGTTTAAGCTAAAAACAAGGAATGATTTGATCAAAACACTATCTGGGATGTTGTGATAACAATAGTTATGGATTACAATGTAAAAAATATAGGCTCTGATTCTTGTTATTTAGCTCCCCCCACTAGACGCTACTACTCAGTATAATGAGGATGTTAAGAGCACTTATTCCCAAAAGAGTAGATATTAAACTCACCTAGTTTAGTACCTAAAACACAAAATATAATTTTTAATTGTCAGAATTAGTACCTACCTATACAACATTACATGTAAAGTTACCGGTAAGTACTTATATAGATTTAGGTATTATACTTACTTGAGCAAAGATTGGAACTGATATTTTCACAAAATAAATTACTGACAAACAAACGATGAACTTTCGAATTAATAAGAACGAAAGAATTTAAGATATTATTCTAGGAAAGAATATATGTATGACTGTAATACAATTTTTTTTTATTAACAGTATCACAACTCACAACCTCTTATCACCGTTAAAACATACACTCGTGAAGTAGTGAAATTAATACAATTTGAATCAACACGCTCCGAACCACATACCTTATACCAATAGACGGAAGATCCAGCTAAGGCGCGGGTGAGTGGTGCGGTTACTCGTAGTATTATACTTTATGCTGGTAATGACACAGCAGTGATGCCATTCCTTGCGACCAAAAACATTGTTATTAAATCATTAGCCATGCATCATATTATTATTTAATAAAAACAGCAAAAGATTTAATAGTAATTATTAAATACTAAACAGATCGCCGTTCAGCATTCACCAGTAAAAGTCAAATTACTTAACTTTAGTAACTGAGTAAGTTATACTTACCTACTTTCTTTAATATAGCTAACTTAGCTAAGAGTTGTTAATAAAAAATTTACAAGTTACAAAGTTACAAATTAGTTATTTTATAATTTTTTTTAATTAACTTTTATTTTTTATTACTAATAGTTATAATAATTACTCGTCAAAAATTAATAAATCTATAGAAAATTAGTGACTGGTTTTCATAGGAATGGAAAACTTTCATAACTTGATGTTAGAAACGATTTTTTCATAGTAACAGCCAATGAATTATATAATATGATTTATGTATATATAATGCTCACCAGCCATAAGACCAAATATGTAAACATAACCTAGATAGCGTGTTAGAAAAAGGCAACAAATAAGAATGGTGTTGCTATCTTTATTTATCACACATAACAATATGATTGCTAAATTGCTTAGTCATTAATGTTAACCAATAAATAACGTTCTTCGTTTAACATGTTCATCTACGTTTTTAATGTTTTAAACTCTAAACATAAAAAAAAATTCGAATTTTGGGTAGTTAAAATGGTTAATTTTCATAATAGTTTTAATTTTACTAGCTCAATTGATGTAAGAAAAGACTTGACATTTAACAAGTTAGTACAAAGTATTATATAGTGTTATTAATTTTTCACATTGATCGTTTCAAACAAATATATATTATTTTAATATTTAAGGTTCACTTTTAAAAAAAAAGAGAGACTTAAGAAATGGTTATATGGTGTTCAAAAAAAGGATTGTAAACCTAGTTCCAGCTCAACATTGTGTAGTTTACATTGTAGTGAAACTGATTTCTATTCAGCCGTTGTAATTGGAAAACTTATGTTAATGAAAACTGCTTTACCAACTCTATTTAATTTTCCATATCACTAAACACCAAAAATTAAATTAAGAAGGATTTTACAACAAAAAGTAAATATACTTACAAAAACAAGGATCTTTATGTATTTTATATTATTACATATGCATTAGGTATATATTAAAAATTTTGTTTTCTTTCATACAGTTTTTTTCTAAATGTTTTTTCAAGAACACAACCACAACAACAGCCATTCATAATAGTGAAAGTACATCTACTTGTGAAACGTATTAGCGTACAGACTAAATTAACTGGTGAAGAATAAAAAAGAACATTACATGATTTATGTTGGGACAAGAGAATTTTGTAACAGAAATTAATTTGAAGAGATTAGCAAGTAAGTAGTAAGCGTGAAATGTTAAATTTATCAACCAATAATCACTTAATTGGGGATACTGTTGAAGGTTTTTTTAAGAACCAATTTGATTATTTTCTACCTTTTGCTTTATTTCAATATGAAATTGCTAATGTAAATAATGCTTCTTATTAAAAATCATACTCAGAAGAAATGCAGGAATTTCATTTAATGTTGCATTTTTACTTACCAGGAGCATATGAGTTCATAAAGTAAAGAAGTACACTTCTTTTACTACTAGTTTTAGTAGATAGAACTATTATCAGATAGTTAGCAACTAGACATTGCAACCCTGTTATTTTACATAGAGAAATAGAGTATTTTAAACAAAAACTGAAGTCTGAGATATCTAAATTTTTGCATGTAAAAGATGATGCTTTGATTTATGATGCCATGTCAATTAGAGAAGGATTTAACCTGATAAAAGTGGTAAAGTGTATGGATATTGTGATCTTGGTGGTATCTGCAGGGACAATAATCCTTTTGCTCTACAATTCAAATAGAATATTCGTAAAATGTTGTATAGAAATTCTTTTTTACTCAGTAAAAATACCAAATGTCAAGATTTAGAAGACAAAGGTAAATCAATTTCTATTGGAATTTTTTTCTCTGTCACATGAAAAAAACTATTTCTGTTGATCAAAAATGTATTGTTAATAAATTAGTTGATGAAGAAGTATTTTCATTTCTATATCTAGATGATAATACATTTAGTAATTACCAAAAAAATATTCTTTATTATATAGCAGGCAATGCAGCTTATACATTTATTGAAAAGTTTCCATGTTCATTTGTGAAAATATAATTTAAAAAACGATTTTTTTAATAAAGATCATAACTATTCATTAATGCCAATAACAGATTATGTTTATTTTACAAATTTTAAAAGTCGAGGTAAACTATAATTTGTTTCAATGTTTATTTTCGAAATAATATTATTCACTCAAAAATGTTACCAAATATATTCTTCAAACATAAAAAATAACAACTTTAAAAGAGATATTATATAAAAGTTCAAAGCAGATTTTTGGATCAAGTAAATAATATAAGTCCTCTCCATCCATTTATTGATACATGTATTTTTGTATTACATGAAATGAAAATCTTAAAATGTATAACCTCATATTATTGTACTTTAAGAGTACAAATGCAGTGTAAACATTTGACACAACTAAAACAAGGTTCAAAATTATTCCTTCAACACTCTTGTTATTGAAAATTGTGTGTGTTAAATACTTTAATATTTAATTAAGCTCGTTTATTTCATAACTATTAATTATTTTCCTTGTAGTTGTATGCTTTTATTTTAATATGCTTTAAGGTTGTATGAATGCTTTTAAATGTAATAAATCAACTGTCTTATTTCACAATTTTTTTTATATTTTTTTAGGAAATTTTGGCCATGAAGTATAACAAAAATGTATTGAGAAATTTGTTTATTGGATCTTTGCAGTATTATTCTTTCCTAGAATATAAATCTACAATATTAAGTTAAGTTAGGAAAGTATAATTTAAGGTTAGTGCACTTTTCTTTCATTTATGAATAATATTATAAATACTTTATTTTTATTTTAATAAATATTATTTCATTAAAAATAAATTTGTTATTTTATATGCTTTTTAGAACAATAAATTAAAACCTCTTAACTTACAATTTAACTTAATTTATTCCCCTCAACTTCCTTACATTTATATGAAAAAATGTAGAAGTCCACCAGAAAAGTATGTTTCAATACTTGTTATATTACTCGTATAAATTATAATTATCTACCTACTAATAAACTATTTATTTATACATAATAAATAACAAATTTATATAAAAATAAAAATAATTAATTAATGAATGTGTCACCTGCAGTATTATAATGAGTGTATTATACAACTAATTTCAAATTAAAAATTCATCATCTGGTATATCACAGTCAAAGTGTGACTGAATATAAAAATTAAATGAAAGAATACATAGAAAAAAAGAAAAATATACAAATTGGTTGTATTAATTGGTTTTACCTAGAATATAGAAATCATTTATTTTAATAGGAGAGATTTTTTAAAATTTGTTATTATTAAACAAAGATATGTTAAAAAATATTAATTATTTAGTTATTATTTATTATCTAAAATGTATTAAAGTAAGAAATTATTTTTAAAATTGGTTTGAACATTTAAAATATTGTTAAAATTATTTTTCTTTATGACATTGTGTATGTGTAATTCTAGTAAAACTGAATTAATGTTAATGTTATTTTGGGTATTTAATATTTTTAAATATGTATTAATATCAAAACTTATTTTATGGTTATTTTCTAAAACATGTTTGGCAAAATTTGAATTAAGGGCAGTCTTATTTAATTTTATTTCAAAAATGTGTTCTTTATATCTTATTTTAAAATTTCTATTTGTCTTACCTACATACAATTTATTACAGTTACATTTAAGTTTATATATATCAGCATTGTCAAAAGAAGGTGGATTTTTGAGACTTTTTAATTCTATTGTTTAAATTATTATTAGTCTTAAAGCGATTTTTATATTATTTGTATTATGGTTCAGAAAATTATTTTAGTAGTATTTAAATTGAAATTATTTCTATGGACTATATTATATAGATAATATTGAAGTCCTGTTGATAATTATGTTTATTTAATGGAATATATTCAAGCCAATAGAATATTGAATTAAAAAATAATATTTTTTTGAGAATAATAATAATAAGAATTATGATGTGGTATTATAGTGTCAGTTTTTAGAAGTTTCCTGTAAATAGTAAAATCAAATTTACTTTTTATTAGGGACATTGTAAGATCTGTTCTTAATTTATTATTAATTTGTATTTTGAGTGTAAATTGAATGAATGTTTGTATTTATTTTTTTTAATTAGTTAACTCAATTTTCTAGTTGTCTATTTGAACCTCTAAATAAAATTAATGTGTCATCAACATATCTATAAAATGTTTTTATATATGGACTGTATATTTTGTTGTTTATAATATTTTTGGTTTCATAATTTTGCATGTAAATTACAGATAAAAGAGCTCATAAAGGACCACCCATAACTAACCATTCTTTTTATGAATATAAAGTTTTTACTTTATTTATTTACAAGTATTAACCATTTTAATATTTTTGTTTTTACTTTATTATTATATTAATAATAGTTTTGATTAATAATTAAATTTATTGATTGAATAATTTCTTGTACTTCGTTTGTATGGAATTTATTACTATGTATGAGCTTATTTATTTATTATTTTTTTTTTTTATGTATAAAAAATAAACTTATACATAGTAATAAATTTAATACAAACGAAGTACAAGAAATTATCCAATCAATAAATGCAATTATTAATTAAAACTATGTATTATATAATTATAAATTGTCATAATACTCCAAGGGATCCCATTCATTAATTTATTTATTTTATTTTAGATTCTGAGTGGAATCTATTAGTTTTGCAATGATATATTTTTTGTTTTTTATGTGAACATTTTTTCTATCAAAGAGCATACTCAGATTATCAAATATAGTACTTTTCCTGAAAGGAAATTTTCTCTAGGTGGTACTTTAGAGAGATCATTTTTTGAAATTTTAATTATTTTTCTAGGTAATTTTTTTTTTGTTTTTATTATTTTAATCTTTTTTAAACAATCATTGTTGTCATAGAAATACACATTTTTGTTTTAATCATTTTACCTTAATATGACATAATACCATGTATTATTGACAAAGCAATATTAACTGAACTCTAATCAAAATCATTTTTTTGTTGTTAGTAATGGTTTATCTTTACTTACAGATATACATTAAATTCCTGTATATAGCCTACCTTCTCAACTTCCCACCTACACAATGGCTGCACTCACATGTGAAGTGTGTCCGTCCTTTTTTTATACATTTATTTGGAATTTATATATTTATTTACAAGAATTTATCATTTTGGTAATTTTGTTTTTAGTTTATTATTGTATAATTTATCCATGATTAAATTGTTTTTATAATAAATGTATTTATATATATTCTATTAAATTAATCAAAATTATTTTGCGGAAACTAAAATAATGAGATTTTAAGAACCAAACTAAATAATTTAACAGTAAATAAATATTAGATATTAGCATCATGTGTAAGACAATGATAGTAACACCTTTAGTATGTGCCATCTCGTTCTAATAATTTTCTCTTAAGTACTACTGCTTGATGAGCATTCCAGTTATTAAAAGTGTTCAATGGTAACAGCACGTTATCAAAATGTTATGACATTGTATTAAATACAAATTACGATTATAGATAAGTTAGGTTACATATTAAGATATTCAGGATCCCAAACGGAAAAGTCATCAATGTTTCTCTGAGTCCACCCAGTTTTCACTAGATAGCTAGCGCTTTAAGGAAAAATCGGTATGAAAGTACTAAAACTAGTTTAAAGTTTAGACAGGAGGAGTAGTGTATGTAATAAATTGCTATTATATAATGAATATTGACATAGTTTGTAAAGAGTACAGTGTACACAATATGGTGTTAATGGTCTTGCTAAAAGTGAGAACGTTTACGCTCCACTTATCATACGTTTGTATATTCTGTATATTTTAACTCGTAACCTAACTTTACTCTGGTCGTATTGTCCTAGCCATTGAACCATAATATAATTTATAAGTCATCTAATAGTTCAATGGTTATAGCCACGGCTATAGATAATATGGTTGAAGTTATCTTATAGTTCAATGGTCGCAGACACGGCTATAGATAATATGCTTAAAGTTATCTTATAGTTCAATGGTCGCAGACACGACTATAGATAATATGGTTGAAGTTATCTTATAGTTCAATGGTCGCAGACACGACTATAGATAATATGCTTGAAGTTATCTTATAGTTCAATGGTCGCAGACACGACTATAGACAATATGGTTGAAGTTATCTTATAGTTCAATGGTCACAGACACGACTATAGATAATATGCTTGAAGTTATCTTATAGTTCAATGGTCGTAGCCTCGGCTATAGATAATATGGTTGTAGAAAGAACCAAAAAAAAATAAAATACTACTACTGCTGTTTTAATTAGTATTTAACATGTAAAGCTAGAAAACTAATTGTGTACCTAACTTTATAACTTATAAAGTTATGATTTATAGTACGTCATAATGGTCTGCATTATATCTAAAGCCATGATACAAGTTCTATTAAATACCGTAGATGGCGCGACAGGTTCGTAATTTTAGTCACGTGACCTTTTTAATAACATTCTGACTCGGCGTTTTGTTTAATATAGGTTGTTTCGTAATTTCGTAGGTTAGGACCATTAACCATAACTCTATATGATAACATTATTAACATATAAAGTTATCATATGTAGTTCATTGGTTATAAGCAATAAGGACCTATAACCATAGACCTTATAACTATAGACCTTATAAGGTCTATGATTATGATTTGTGATGACTCATGGTTCAAATGTTGTAGAGGAATCGTTCTGTCACTAAATCTAACCCTAACTTGTAGTTCTTGTGCGCATGTGCAGTGTACTACACACTACTTTTACCTCTTCCATGGACGTTGAATCTACCACAATGTTCCGTCTATTAGTACAAGGTCTATGCTTTGAACAGTACAAACTCTTTTGAAATAGTTGAAATTACCTTCGGTTTCTTGTACCGACATGTCAAAGATATTGCATTTGGTGAGTTTCCAACCCTGGTAATATTAGGCTGGTATTGCCACAAAAAATGGGCGTACAATTGACTAAGTTGTTTAGAACTATTAAATCATTTTCCTTTTAGACACGTAATACTGTAACGCATTACTTTTACTTTGATTCCTTTGTTTGAGTTTTCTGAATTATACGAAAAAAAAAAATAAAATAAAATTGATAATTAAGTTAATTAAAAACTTTAATAAAATTACTACATTCATCAAGTGTATGTTATTTACTGGAAAAGGCGAAAAATGGAAATTATTAATGAAGAAAATCCACAGATCTTCAAACATAGGCTTGATAAAAAGATCTATAAGTAAGTAAACATAAATGTAGTTTAGCTCCTAAGCGATTTTTTTTTTCAAAATGTATTTATTTTGCATAGTTAATTTTATGGTATTTTTAAAAAAGTCACGCAAACTTCCCTTGAAAGTTATGGTTAAAAAACTTATAACTGCTCAATTTCCAAAATCGTGTTTTTAACCTAACCTAACTTAACCTACTTTTGTAAAAAGATTAAATTTGGTTAAATCAAAATTTACCTATCATACTTACTTTTTATATTATTATATTAAACCATATAAAACTTAATTATAAAGTACTTTCAAACATTTATTTATTAAAGTAAAGTAACACGAAATTGACTTTTTTTTTCATTCAATATGTAATAAAAATATAACTTCCCCCTCCCCCTCGCCAAAAAAATTGTTTTTTAAATTTAATATACAAACTTTATAATTAAGTTTTCCGTGGTTTGTTAACAATAGCAACAAAAAGGAAGTATGATAGGTAAATTTTGATTTCACTAAAATATTGAGCATACAAATAAAGAAATTAACAACTTTGGTATTTTAAACTTAGAATCATGATTTTCAAACATAAAAATCAATGATTTTCAAGTTTTTTAACCATAACTTCCAAGGGAAATTTGAGTTACTTTTTTTGAAAATACTGTTAAATTATTAAAAATGCAAAAACACATTTTGAAAAAAATTATAAAAAATTGGAATTTACAGGTTAATAAATTTTTTTTCTCAATTTAGATGTGAAAAAACAAATGATAGCGAACAACTGAACTTAATAACCAGAAGTTTCATTCACATGCAAAATGGAAAAGTCATTAAACACATTGATAAGCTGGATTATAATAATCCAATATTAATTTCCAGGTGGGTAATTTATTAATATACCTGTTTTGATATTATATATATTATTTTACACATTTTGTTTCAGTTGTATGGAATCACAAATTTTGAAAAAAAATAGATTTGCAGAATTAAAGTGCGAAATAGATGTAATAAATGATACACATTTCTTTTCGAGTTCTATAATAATAGAAAACAATGATTTAGAATTTGTTTATAATGTACAAACGGAATATGGAAATAAGCCATACATATGCAGTATCTGTAAAAAATGGTTTGGCAGATTATCAACATTTTTAAGTCACATGAAGGTTCATAATACTTCCAGAAAATCAATCAACAGATGTTCTTTGTGTGGTTGTCTTACTTTTTTTTCTTCTAAAGAACTGACAAAAAAGAATAATAAAGCTATTATTAGTAATAAAACCCCATTTAAATGCAGAATCTGTCAAATAATTTTCTAAAGTTAGAACAAATTAAAACAACGCGATATTACCCACTTTTTTATTTATAATATATATAATTTGCATTATACATTTAGTTGAATTTTAACATACAAAAACTTCTAAAAGAACATATTGTACACAATTAAACTTTTCATTGTTTCACATATTATATATACAGACTTTAGAACATATGTATTTAAATAAAGTAAATAAGTAGCTAAATAAAAAAATTATGCATACAAATAAAATTAATTAATTAATCAATGCATGTTTTACATTTTGACTGTGATATAACTAATGATGAATTTTTAATTTGAAACCAGTCTTGTAATATATTATATTTATTTATATTAATTAATTAATTTTATTTGTACGTATACATTTTGTATTTATATATTTGTTTACTTTATTTATTTACAAGCATTAACCATTTTAATAATTTTGTTTTTACTTCATTATTTTATTATATGTATTTAGTATCTTCTTTTTGTAATTTACATGCTTTCTATTTGATGTTATCTGCAAGATATTTTGTTACTGGTATTATTATAAGTAATAAAACCCTATTTAAATGCAGAATCTGTCAAATAATTTTCTAAAGTTTTAGAACAAACTAAAATAACGTGATATTACCCACTTTTTTATTTGTAATATATATATATAATTTGCATTATACATTTAGTTGAATTTTAATATACAAAAATTTCTAAAAGAACATATTGTATACAATTAAACTTTTCATTGTTTCACATATTATGTATACAGATTTTAGAACATATGTATTTAAATAAAGTAAATAAGTATATAAATAAAAAAATTATACTTACAAATAAAACTAATTAATTAATCAATGCATGCTTTACATTTTGACTGTGATATAACTAATGATTAATTTTTAATTTAAAACCAGTCGTGTAATATATTATATTTATTTATATTCATTTATTTATTTTATTTGTACATATACATTTTGTATTTATATATTTTTTTTACTTTATTTATTTACAAGCATTAACAATTTTAATAATTTTGTTTTTACTTCATTATTTTGTTATATGTATTTGGTATCTTCTTTTTGTAATTTACATGCTTTCTATTTTATTTATCTGCAAAGTGTTTTGTTACTGGTAACCTCAATAAAATGATCACCTCTAAATAGCAGTGGATATTAACAATTACCATTATTACTTCTGTGACCATAATATAGAAGTTGAATTGCAATAAGGAAAGCTAGAATTGAAAAAGAATACATGTTATATTTATACTTATTGAATAATAGAAATATTTTTTAGCTAGATTGCCTTAGTTACCAACACAACTACTATAATATAGGGAGCTGAGAAGTAAGGCTAAAAATGTAAATAAAAAGAACCCAGTTCTAATTGATGTTAAAAAGAAAGCGACTGTTATAAAACAAAACAGAAAGAATATTATGACATAATGCTACAGTTGAAGAAAAGAGTTTATTCTGTACAAACTGATTCTATTTAAAAATTAAACAGTGGTCAAAAGCAATAGTGAAAAATAAAATTATTAAACGGGCTCAGATTAATCACATTATTGAAATCATTGTTAGTTGTAAAATAAAAATATATTGTAGTTTAAAAAAAATGTATTACTTTTTTAAATATTATTATTTTATTGATTTAGTTTTTTTTTTAGTTATCCATAATTTTCCATTATACAATAATGTTATTTTTTTTTGAATTGGTAAACAGGGAGTTGTGATAATGTATTGAAAAAAATAAATTATGTATTGTATATACTCCTTTCTCTTCTCTACAACTGCAGATATACACTAATAGTACTTTTAAATTTACTTTTTAATCAATCCATAAAACAAGGAATTGTTCTAAGTATTTATAAAACACGACACATTAAAACTATTCACAAAAGTGGCTCAAAATTAAACATAAATGACCCATAACAATCTTAAATCAATTTCCACTATTTTTTGAAAAACCTTAATATTTTAAATCAAATAATAAATATAAATCAACATTGCTCCAGGTCAGGTAAATATACAGTCACAACCTATTCCAATGCACCAATACCATTAATAAAGCATTTATTGAAAACAAATAACTACACTCATTATCTCAGAAAGTATTAACTATTTCCAGAATTTGTTTTCTAGAACATTTAAGAAATAAGTTGCTGTATAATTGTACATTTATGTTAATTTTTGGGGGTAAAACCACTACCTACTTTTGATTTTCAACTAGCAACCTATATTAAAAAGTTCATAACTAGATAGTTAAAATAAATTTCAGTGTGGAAATTTTTGATTTCTGTCAAGTCGTTGACAAAATATTCCACTTTTATGTTTGAGTTGGAGGAGAGTAGTAAAGTATCATTTGTGTAAATAATGCACCACTACTCTCTTCCAACCTAAAATTACAAGTACACTATACCCACTTAAATGAACCACCTGGTTTAAGTATACACTATAACTATACACTGATTTGATCAAAGTAGATGATTAAGTTCACACTAATATACTTATACAAAAACTTGATTCTAAAAATAAAAATAAAAATAAAAAAAACAATAAATTTGCTTAAATGAAAGTTTACAGATATGAACTTGCCTCGGGAATACAAATTAAAAAAATTATACATGTTTAAACATACTTGTTAATTGCTTTGTCCAATTTGTTTGTTTTTTCCTTTAACTATCATTTTAAATTTTTGAATACATAGTTTCATACTAATATTACAATTTCATGTGTTCTTATTTTGTTCACAAACTAAACCACTTAAATATGTTTATTTTTTTCTATTTTTCATTAAGGCAAATAATAAAATATAATATGCTAAATGTAACACATTTTTTATTAAAAAAAAATTCAAACATCCAGTGCAAAAAAAAGAAACATAGCGAGATAGTGTAGATTATACAAAACAACAACTTTTCCATTTAAACACATGTAAAACAGCTCGTTTTTTGTGCACGCATGACTATAAAACTACAGAATCAACTGACTTCTAATTTATGTCAAAACATTGAAAATATTATTGAGAGATGCCTTTTTATAATTCCATGCATATCGGTTAAATAGAAGTTATTTAAAAAATTTTTAATGATTTTGTTTTGTTATTATAGTGGTTTTTTTTTACAGTCTTGTACTTGTGTCTATAGTATATGTGCCCATAGTTTAAATTTTATACAAATGAGCCTCCACACGAGCATGCTCAGTGGGGCCCATTAATCTTCGAAATAAACGTTAATGATAATGTAGCAGAAAAATAATGATAAACGAAATGGGGACACGAAAATATGCAAACATACAAACGCATAAACTCAGAAATGGTCAAATAGTAAGGACACAGAATACACAGATATTACAACATTCATAATTCCATCGCATTCGAAATTTTGAATAATGCTATAACGAGTTCCAAGTCTGTGCATTGTGTATGTACAATGTAAATAACTTCATTTTTAATTTTCCAATATAAATTATTATTGTAGATAGGTATTTATGAACAAAACTTATCAGTTATTTTGAAATCTCCAAGTACTTTTATATATTTTTTATTGTTAATGCATCAATAAGTAGTTGATGGATAATAAATAATAAATCAACTAAAATGAGATATTTAGATGATAATACTTTCTAGATTTATTTTTCAATATTGCTTTTTTATGAATAAAAATATAATAATTTACCCTACTCAATTTTATTTTACTTTTGATGCTGAGCATTAGTTTAAAAATAAAACATTTCAGGCAAAGGCGCAGCTTGGGGGCTGTTTAGTAGAACTTATATGCTTTTTCATGTCTTTTTAGTAAACTTGGAGTTTGATAAACTTGCAAATCTTCAGACGATAAAAAAAACCCTATTCGCGGTTCGGTCGGGTCTTTAAATATTTCAAAACGGTCCGGTCTCGTGGTTTATATTTCATCGGTCAATAAAGCGGTAGTTTAATATTTTGCAATCCCTAACTCGTCTCGGCACCTACCTTGTACGATATTGCGGTGTGCTGTAAACTACGGTTTAGTTAGAAGAATAAAACAATTCAGTAGGTAATTTAACGATTAAGTTATAATTGGTGATGCGAGTATCATATTCGACAATTTATCGTCACGATGACGGCGACGTCATAGCCGAAACTTCGGTCGTATCAAATGAAGAGCCACCGTTTTCGTTGATCCATATACCGAGGTTGTCACGGATGAGCCTCAGTATAAGAGTAATATCGTCGCTCGTGTGGTCAATTGAATCTAGTTCGGCCACAGCATCGTCGAACGCTCGTTTCGCGACGTCGTGCCCGCGTTTACGTTCGTTGCACACCTGGTACAAGAACACGGAATAATTGAGCATCAGTCCTAATCGAATGGGATCGATAGGCTGCAGGGCATGTCGCCCCAGCTCGTCCGCTAGTTCGTAGGCGGTCCGCGATTGGTCTACCACCTGGTCCCGATCGGCCGTGTCCACAGCGACTTCGGCTGCGTAACGGTTATAGTCGCCATACAGCTTCCAGTAGAACACGTTGGTAGCTGGGTCCAAAGTGGACACCCCAGAGGGTTTAGAGCTCGACAGCCGACTGTTGATGACGGACAGCATCTCATTGCACTGGGCTCGGAGCTCTTTACCCACCTCGTCCCGATACTGGCGGGCCACGTCCACCTTCCACCGATCGTCCGACCGTTCGATAATCGTCATCAGCGTTTGCCTGGACATGCGCTTGGCGTCCAGCGTCCGCTTGTATGCTACGGCCAACATGTTGTCCTCGTCCTTGGTCATCGGTAAGCCCGTCCTTACGACCAATCCCATGAATTTGGCCATGTCGTCGAATCGGTACGCTTCAAGCGCCAATTTCGCTTTCCATACGTACGTTTTTTTTGCGTCCGACAATTCCACAGTCGGTTCCGCAGTCAGCTCCGTCGGCTCCGTCGGCTCCGTCTTTTCGTCCATATTTACGCGTGTATTGGTATAATTAGCTAAAAAAGTTGTTAAATTTTTTCGTCAATATTCGCGTTTGCTTATACAGACATCGATGAAACAAGTTAAGAGCCGAAACTTGGAATTTATGTCAATGGTGGATTGTACAAATATGGAAGCGTGTGAGAGCGTGTTGCTAAAAAGTTCAAAATAAAACATTAATATAATAATAATAATAATAACAATGGAATGCTCGGCAACCAAAGAAAAAAAAGAAACAAAAAAAATTTCGTATTTTTCAGCAGTCTAAATATTATTAGGCATATATTTTAATCGATACGTTTACATTCGTACTTTTTTATTATAATAATAGGTAATGTTAGTGTTAATATTTAATAATAATATAGTAAAGGCACAGTACATTTTAAAATTAATTAAATTATACTTATAGAATAGTATTGTAGTAATATAGGTAGTACAACATAAGACGTATTAACTAATTCGTATGCGATACAATTTTGACTTGTTACATGGTTATTAATATTCATATTATAATGTGAGTAAGTATATATACGTGCTATCTACCTAGTAGATATATAGGTACCTTACCTGCCACAATTTAAATATACCTACTTTAAAATATTAAATCTGTGTTATAACTTCAGTAAATGTAAAATGTAATATATTTTAATGTATGCTAGTATCTAATTAATAATTTAATTACCTATGCTAAACAGAAATTATTATTCTTGTCTTTGCTGGGGTATAATTGTATAAATATAGGCAATGATGATTTATTTTAGTAGGTATAAAAATAAAAATAATAAAATACAAATGAGAAAATAAGTAGATTAGGTAGGTTATATTGAGTACCACAAAAATATTGAGTAAAACAAACAAAATAATAGAAAATTACAGAACTGATATTACAATATTATAAATACTGAAATTTAGCGAACCTAAAATTAAATATTATATAGGTATCTATGTCTATTAACATCTACTTATATAAAATATTAAGTCTTATAGTTGTATTTTCTTTAAGGTCTTTGTATATAATATTATTACCTTATAATGTAGATACTATCACTAACATTTAATTATAATAAAATCCTTAAAATTAAAATTTATACATTTTTTAACATCTATTTTCATTGGCATATTTTAGTTGATTTTATTTTTTTGAGGGAGGGGGCCAAATTTATACTTTTATTGCTAACACATTTCGGTCATTGTTTCTTTTTAATGGTCGTGTTCTATTTTTCCCCCTCACCCATCGGCACTAACCTTTAATAACTTGGTGTTTAAAGTATTCAATAATTCATATTAATTAATAATAGTTATTGCAATAGGTAACAATTTATTTTTTATTTTTTGGCCTCTGGGTGTGTTTCTCCCAAAATACACAAGAGCTAATAATTACAATAGTCAATTATTTAAATAATACATTCCAAAATAAAATACTATTAAACTAAAATAAATATAATTGCGTTACATAATTTAAACTGGGCATTATTATAGTATTGATTATTCAGGGCTGTTCTTACAAACATAAATTTTGACTTTTAAACAGAATTTATATAACTGACTGGTCTAGTGGTCAGTTATCATCCATAAACTCAATTTAAAAATCAAATAAACAAAAATGTTTATTTTGGAGTGAATGGCCCTCAATCAGTTGTTCAGTCAAATTTCTAAATTTCAAATTAATTAATAAGGTACCTAAACAACTGACAGAATGAAAATTTACCTATTACATTTTGTAAAACAAGTAAAAATATGACTAGATAATAAATATATAAATGTACTTAATAAAAATTAATAAAAATTACTAATCAGAAAATTATATTGATATGCATAATCGACCTATAAAAATTTATTTGGTAAGAATCATTAGAAACAAGAAAACAAGTATTTTGTAAAAAATTTCAGTTCTCTATGATTATTTTTAACCAGTTTATAAAAAAACATAAATAGTTATATCATTAATGCAATAAACTTTCCAACTTTTTTCTAGTTATCAAGAAAAATACATGGATAATCAAAAAAATTAATTTCTTACTCAACAACTAGATAAAATTTTATTTCAGAAAAGATACTCTTGAAATTTGGAAGAAGATTTTTAGTAGAAAACAAAATAAGAAAACATTTAAAATATTGAAATCGGGATGTTGTATGAATTTGTCCACTTTTTTCCAATTATTATGAACATCACTTGGAAAATCAAATAATTATCTTCATACCATATCAACCAGATTTAAAATAGAATAAAACAAGTATTTTGTAATTTTTTCAATTGGAACAAGATTTCGAGTAGAAAAGTTGATCACTGATAGAATACATAAAAAATCATACCATTAAACCTATTACTATTAATATTCGAATAAACAATGATAGTTTGATTTAGAATTTTTAAAAATGAAATAAAATGATACTTAAATTAAAATATTTAAAAAATTTTTTTTTTTGTTTTAATTTTACCTCTAGTTATTAGATTAAAATTTAATACTATAATATTATTAGATAATAGGTCTTGTTAGATTCTATGCATACATTATACAGAAAAATAAAAATAAACTTTTAAAAAATGTAAAAAGACTGTAAATTTATTTTTCTATGTCAGAAATTAATGCATTCCAATCAATATCATTCCGAAAAACTTCTTGGTCTAACCAAATTTCATAATGTTGTTTAAATTCATTTGATAATGTGACAGGTTTTCCCAAAGCACAATTGATGGAGTAATCTTTTGGTGTAAATTCATCATCCTTTAAAATGTACAAAATTAGTTAATATTTTTAATAAACGATGATTTATTTTACATTTGAATGAAGAATTTAATAAATGTTTAATATGTATTAAAATAATGAAAATAACAACCATATAGGCACCACTGTTCATTATATTTAAATATTTGAATATGAAAAAATTGTATTACATAAAACTACTGTACATACTGTACTGTATTGTATATACTTACACATTTTGGGGAATATCGTCGTGCGTGGAACTTATCTACTGCAGACCTCAAAAATCGTTCTTCAATTTGAAAGTCTGTAGGCCTAGCTTCAAGATCTTAAATAAAATCATAAATGTAAATAAAATATATTATTCAGAAATGGTGTTAAAAATCTATTTGCTAATCCATTCATTTTTTACATATTGTACGATATATTACGTTGATAGTTTAAATCAAGGATATTAGACATGTGGTTGACCCTCATCCCAATTTTATGTAGCATGCAAATAAGATTTGTTATTTGTATAAAAAATAATTATTATGTATAATGCCTTGTTTTCCTGACTTGGTAAATATTGGAGTACTTGTCCTGTGTAAAAAAGGCATACATTTTGTATGGTTTTATAACAAAACAATTATATATGTTATATTTGATGATTAAATTTTCTGATTTTTATTCCATTGAATCAAAAACTAAATTATTCTACAACCCATTTATAATAAATTTTGGTGACATTGAAAACTATTTACAAATATCAATATAAAATCAAATATTGACTTTGTTTGAAAACATGTATATTTGTTAGTAAATTTCTTTTATTAAGAGGATGCCACATGACATCTACTGTCTCTGTCTTGCAAAGGAAAGACATAGGAAATTTGAGTTCAGTAGAACACATTGTGCCATTAGTTTTAATATTAAAGCAAATTGAACTATTACCAAAATTAAAGATGAGAGATTATATGTACTCTAACATTAATAATTTTTTAATATTTTTATTTTTAAATGAGATATGAGTATATTAAATATCAAAATTTAAAAATGATTATAACTTGCTTAAAAATTGAAATATCAAAAAAAAAACATAAACGATAGGGCATATATAATCTTATTACCTTTAATATTAAAACTAATAGCATAAAATGTGTCTTAATGAACACATATTTGCTATGGTTTTAAGACAGTAGATGCCATGTCAGTATGGCATTCTCTTAATAAAATATTAAAAACAAATGCTTCTTGATTAATCAATACACAATTAAATGCTGTTAAGAATCTCTACATTTAAAATTAATTAGTTGATGCTTTTTAAATTAAAAAATACTACAAAATATTACAATATGTATATATCATGTAACATATCAATATGCATTATGCATTTATTATAATAACAATATATCTTACCATTTCCATAAGCCCAGTCATCATTTAATCTGTGGCGAACTTTTTGATAAATATTGCTCATTGTTTTCATATTGGATTTTCTCCATGCTCGGCCTAAATATTTCGCTTGCATTTTCAATAATTTCAAAATGTAATTCTGCATCATTGCGTGTCTTACTTTTAAAGATTTTTTCAATATAGGTGCTGATTTAAATATAACTAACATCTAAACACAAAATAAACCATATTTAATTTTTTATTTGTGAACATCATAATTAGAAACTGGATTTATATTCTTTAGAATACACAAAAAGGCACTTAAAAACACAAAAAAAACCTTGAAAAAAAATAAACACTTAAAACATTTAAAAAAGTAAAAAAGACAGAGGGGTATTTAAGTCCCCTTCTAATGACTTTAAGTTAAATTTGATTTTGTCACACTACAAAAATGATTAACACAAAACTATTTCTGTTAAATAAAATTATAAAAAAAATTACTTTTTAGTAATCATTTTTGTGGTGTTAGAAAATTATATTTATTAATTAAATTCGTTATAGGGAGGACTATTAAATCCTTTTACTATTTTTACATTGTTATATTTATTGAGTGATTTTTTTTCTAGGCTTTTACTTTTCAAGTGATTTTTTGTGGATTTTAAGAACATATTAATCTAATCATAATGATACAAAGTATAGGCAAATATTAAAGTGAACCTTACTAATAATTGATAAAAAAAAAAAAAAATAATATTTATAATCTTCTGTATTTACTACTCTAAAACTAAAAGTTTAAAAAGACTGACATACTTCAAACATGGGTGCAGCCACTGCTGTAGGTGAAAAGTTAGGAATAATAAATATATATATGTCATATTATGGTAAAATAATTACATAAGTTATACATTTTCTTTAATAATTTGTTTAATATTGTTCCTATTTTCTCGGCTTCCTATGATTTTTTTCATTTATTAGGAAAACTTCTAAGAAAATCAAAAAATGACCACCCTAGAGTACTATTTCAATCAGATTTCCTTTCAGAAAAAGTGTTATCATTGAAAACAGAGCAAAATTGATGGTAGACAAGTTAATTTTATTTGTATCTTTTATTAGAGATAAAATTTTAGAGATTAAAATACATAATAAATACCTTAGTGGTTACACATAGAAAAAAACAAATAATAGTACAAATAACAAAAAAATTATTAAAGATTTTCAGAAATAAAAAAATGAATTATAGTATGGATGAGCATACCTAAATTTAGTTCCAGGATATATAAAAATGTCATGAGCAAAATGTCATATAGACAGTAGTGATTATTGACAGCAGGTTGCAGTGGCCCATTCCGAGGATATATATAGCCACCCAAATCATTGTCAAATCAGATGAGTCTACCATAATCTATTGCGTGTACCTTTGCATTAGTCTACTTTACGTATTTTTGGACTTGTGTTTTTTTTTATTGAGAATTTAATGGATTGGACTTAGAATAATTTTGTGGAGAAATAATATTGGACATGGAATGTTTTTTGAACTTTTATTTTTATTACATTACTCAGAGTTGAGTCAAATATTATATGTAGCTACCTACCTAGATCCATCATTGGTCTCATACATTGGGCCTATTACAAAACTAATGACTTTTAAAGAATTTTTAAAAACTAAAAGGACCTCCATAATAAGTATAGTATATTATTTACCATAATTCTGGAATGTTTCCATTTAGTTATTTTGTTCAAAACTCTTAGTAAATTGATACAAGAATAAACATTTCTCCAAGAACATAATGGAAATTCTCCTACTTCAATATTATCCAGATCAGGTCCCTGTCCAATAACACACGTTGGGAAATCTAACAATGGAATCCTAAAATCAATTAAGTATACAAATATATGTTAATATAATAAACTATGATTTAAATAGAATACAAGAAAATTAAATACTCACGTATTTTTAGAGGAAATGTAAGTCACAAGATTTTGATTTAAAAACTTAATGACAAGAGGAATGCAATTTGCAAATACTAAATGCTGAGAGATAAACTCAAATTGATATATGTGATTTGCTTTAAAATGTTTTAGAAGCAGAATTAATATACCACTAATGGCTTTGACAACAATTTCTTTCTGTCTGTTTATATCTGTTTCTAGTTTCACAGATTCAGAAAATGATACTCTGCAAAGTACAATATGTAACTCATTAAAACATAATAAAAATTACTTGACTGACTGGTAATTTGTTAACATACGGGACATTAACTGGTAATATATCAGCAACTATATTGATGGAATCACTTTTTGCTTTTGATGTAGGTGAAGCAGCCAGTAATATTTTTAATAAGGCAATCATTTGTGTTGGTAAGTTAGGTAACATGGCCTAAAAAATTAACATTAAATTATTCACATGTTTATAAGTCATCTATATTAAATTATTATAGACAGGTTTTTACTTTTTATTAAACACTGTTAAATATGAAATAATGCAGAAAACATACATTTTAGTGATATAACCAAGGACAATTATACCACTACAATGATTAAAAGAGTTTGAGAATTAAGTTATGGTATATTTTTCATTAAAAATAAATAATAATTTTAAAGGTGGAAAAATAGAAAATCAAAATTTAATTAACGTATTAAATAATATAACATCTTACAAATAATAATCAATGTTGTGTTGGGAAAAAATTGTGAAGGCCAAAAATAATAATAAGGAAATAATTGGGCCACAGGTTTACGCTTTAAAAAGCATATTCAAATTAAAGTAATACCTTATATAAAATTTCTGCTGGACTCTGTTGGTAATAATCACTTTCCCCTAATATCATTGGATTTTTTTGAATCATTTCTTCTCTTTTGATTTGATAATCTGCTAATGATGTATACAAATACTGAAAATAACATTATTTCATAGAATTTTAAATTTTTTAATTTATATTATTAAACAAATTACTTGTTTGAGAATAGATACACTCTCATGAATTGGTTCAGGCAAACCAATTAATGTATCTGTATCATTTTCTAATTTGTAACCAAGAAATTTAATTCTGGTTTGATCCAAAAAAAACTGTAATTCTTTATGGCGTACTTTAGGAATCCAAGGTAGACCTTTTGTTATCAATGGACTAGGTGGCAATTCGGATTTTAAATAGTCTGACATTTCTGGGATATTTTTCACATTAGTAATCTCCTCCATTCCTAATTGTTGATCTTCATAATCTGACAAATCATCATCGTTTTGGTAAGATAAATCCATGACCACAATAGACTCATCCAATGAACTTTGCTTTATTAAGCTCTAAGAAAAATTAAAATTAATTAGTATTGTCAAATACTACATATTACCACAGTGGTGGTCAAATAATTTTGTCATGAAAGGGGGATAAAGATAATTTGTATAAAACTATTAATCTACATATTAATCTTTTTTTATAACTATGAAGATATAATACAATACATAAAGTGATTTCAAATTCAGTGAAGATATTTTCCCACAAGTACCTTGATTTTCAACAACATTAAATTTTGTGGAGTAATTTTAAGGAGTATCCTGTGGTAATAACATCATTGGTTTTTCAAATTAAAACCTACATGTTTTAATGCAAATTAATAATTTTTTTTTTTAGAAATGTTGAGTATTGTAATCGAAATGAAATATTTTTGAGTTATTCTGCTTTAAATACTAAGGATAAGTCTTTTAAGAAGATTATATAGTAACAGTTTCATTTGTATAAAGGATTTCTTGATTTGTGATAACAGTGGAGTTATTATTCTTTAGTATTTAAAGCATTTTTATTCAAATTTTAATTAAAATATTAATATTTTCAGATAAATCATCTGATTGACAATTTGCATTAAAACATGTAGGTTCTCATAAAAAAAACCATAGTTGGTATAGTCACAGGATAATCCTTAAATATTGTGAAAAATCTAAGTAGGTATTCAAAAATATCATCTTTCACTACACTTCAAAAAATTCCAAGTATCAGAATTAGAATTTATATGCATAATTTAACAATCTTCTTCTTTTTGTGTCCTGTTTATAGAAGCTTAACATGTACATCTTTATTTATAACTTCCCATTTTAATATTCTGGCGTTGTTATTTACTTCTATATCTATCTTTGTGTATTCAGCATTAAGATTAAGATACTCATAAACATGTCTTTCATACTGAACTTTCTCCTCATTCACATTTTTCATTTTCAACTAAGTCCTATTTATACAATATGTTCTTTTTAATACAGATGTATGATACTTTTATTTGGTTTATGGTTCTCCTTAAATTTCATAGAAGTGTTTTGTCTTTATGTAACTCTTCTTTTGGTGTTTTTGCAATTGCATGTTTTCATTTTCTTCCTTTTCTCTTAATTTTAACATAATTTGTTTCCAGTGTTTTACTCTTTTCTTGTTACTTTAGCTATGAATCACTATACTTGTTTTTATAAAACTTCCTTGACTTTAACCTGTATTTTGGCAACTTTATCTCTACATAAGATGTTTGGTGTCCTTTCTATTTTTATTTTCTCTAAATCTGTTGTCATATCTCTCCTAATCTGTGAAGGAGCTACTCCACTAATAACATATAAGAAGGGCTTGTATTTGAAAGCAAAAGCTTTTTTTTTTTTTTTTAAATAATGATAGAAAAATAATTTTTGCATAAAAATGTGTTTCATTTAATATCCAAGATAATGGATCAATATTTTTTATTGTTTTTTTTTTTTTGCCTTTATTGGTCATAATTTTCAATTGATCTAATAAGAGCTTGTGAAGACATATTGTCAATATTATGTATACAATTATTTTTAATAGGTTTTTTTTATCAGTAATATTTATTGATATTGCTAAAAACTTTATCTAATATTTGGTATGGCAAGTTAATTTAATGTTTATAAAAGATCATTCTTTATGTACAAATATATTTTAAACCCAAACCATCAATTTTTCAGAAGAACATATATATACCTAAATATATTATGGCAGTTAATTTAAAAAAAATGGGAAAATCAGTACAATATTAAACAAATATTATTAAAGAAAATATATAACGCCTAGTTAATTATTCTACTATAATATGACATACATATTGTTTACAAAGTATAACTATCAACCGAACTGCTTTCAGAATTGCTGTTTTGTTAGCAATGGTTTATCATTGCTTACAGATATACATTAAATTTAGCCACTACTACCTTCCCAACTTCTCAGCTATAACAGTGGCAGCACCCATGAGTGAGGTATGTCAATCTTTTTTAGTTTATTTTTTAATTGTTTTTAATATAAATTAAATGCTTTTTTTATTTTTTATATTGCTTTCAAATCCAAGCCCTACATTCAAGTTTTCTATTCTTTATAGGTTTTAGGTAGCATGCAATTATTCTACATGTTTCATAAGTAGCAGTTTCTATTTTGTGTGCATGAGAAGTTTTTCTATACGCGATTTCGACAGGCATATTCTGTAGCAGTATTGCTACAATCAATGTAGTAGTATTAAACCACACAAATGAGGTAAGCATTGAGCTCACTAATACTTAAAAGATGTATATTTCACTCTGTATATTATTATAAATGTTTAAGAGAAATGACTTAATGGGGGATCCTGTCATTCCCCCTTCCTGTATTATAGAAAAAAAGTACAGAAGTTAAAATTAAAATACATTATATTTTTTAATAATTGTAGTATATACTAATTAATAAAATAACTTTTGTTTTATATACAATAATATAAATTACCCTTTTTTGACGGTTTCCTCGTTTTTGTGCATTTATCAAATCAGTAGAGCTTGGAGGAGGGGAAGAAGATCGCATGGATTTAATTATTTCAATTGGATCTTCTTGAAGAATTGACAGGTTTACATTTTTTCGATATTCATCTAAGATGTGTAAGATTATTATTATTTAATATCACATGTAAATATAAGTAAATATAAATACTTTTTAAATTAGCTAATTTATTCATTCCACCGAGTATTACAAGAATTAATTTCCACAGCAACAGTAAAACTTTTTTCATTGGATAATGTGGAGCAAGACCACTACAAAATTTAGTAATCATTCCTTGGAGTTTAAGTATAATATGATCTTGGTTATGAGGCAAACCTATAAATATCCATAGAATTTCAAAATTAAATATATATTAAATGATTAAAGCATTTTTTTTAGAAAAATTTTAGTTACATTTTTTAATTACCTATTTCTAATAAAAGATTGTTTCTAAATTCGTTGATTTCAACATCAGTTTCAAATTCTGAAATCCTTAAAACTTCAATAAATGTGTACAATACATTCAAAATTAATCTTAAATTCATAGAATCTGTACAGTTAGTTTGAGTTTTTCTATGAGATTGTACTGAACTAAAATTAAAAGTTTTAATAAATAACAACATTTTGGACAGTACTAATATAACCAGCATACTCTATTTCCATGTTTAAGAGATTGACAAATATATTATAAACACCAAATTTGTATAAAAATAGCACATTTTCTTTGGAATTCATTTGTTGGTCTCTGTCTGATTGACATTCAGCCCAAGAACCCTTGGAAAGCAACAACGTGTTTCATTTAAATAATTACTTAAATTTATTTAGTGAAATAAAATTGTTTAAATATATTTACTTGTAATAAATACAATACACATCTAGCAGCATTCATTCTCTTTGAACTGTCTGATACTTCTAACAAATCAAGCAATTTTGATAAAACAATATTTTTATTGTCCATACTCAAACTATGCCATGCAGGTTTAAGATTCAATTCCTGCATTACTTTTTCGAATTCCTACACAAAATATAATTCTAATTCCAGTTATATACAAATAAAAATGATTTTAGAATGTTTAATGCAGAAGTTGCAGAATGACAAATGAAAAATGGCTGGAAAAACTGGAATAGCTTGGAAAAAATGAGGAAAAATAAGAATAAAGAATATGGTATTTTATGAATAAGTATATGGCGAATAAATTATGTATAAATATGTTTAATTATCAGTATACATATTATTTTTTTTTATATAACCTGAATATTAGTTTGAAAATCTTCCAGCTCAGAGTAACTATATAATTCTGCAATTTCGCAAAGATGGGTATCAGTATCTCCATATGTATATTCTATATCGGGACAGTCAAATTCTTCCTGAATTAAAAAAATTTAATATAATATTATTAATTATATAGTACCTACACCTACACAAAAATAAGTTAAAATTTTATATTATCTTACTTCTGAATCCTGTTTCTTATTTCTGTTTAATGCAGATTCTTTTAATTTCGGAGTAAACCGTTTTCCATTAAAACTATCCATTGTAAGTTAGATTTAACACGATTAAATATTATTACACAATTGTGTACTAAAGTAAAGCGACAATATTGTTTTAACGTAGTCGGCTATTTCACTTAACTATACACTGTACACGGAAATCAATAACCAGTACGAACTATATATAACTACTACTATAATTCTCACTGAACGTTTTGAAATACGCGAAGATAGAGTATGATGAATTAAGAATTTAAGATACTTTAATTCGTGGTGAGTAGAGCTAAAATACGGACGATTAAACGATACTATTATCAAACATCCTGTTATCATTATTTCATAGTTATATACAACTTCATTGTCTATTTGTTAACGGAGGCGGCTTGAACGAATTTATAAGATGTCATTGCACTCCAATGAAATGTGGTGACTGAGAGGGGGCTGGTTTATGATAATAATATGATGATCGATGATGTTTAGTAGTTTCAAACTTTAAATTCGTAATGTATTAGTCGTTACTGTTTAAAATTTAAGTATTTAACCACATAAAAAATAAAATATTTAATTTATTGTGAGTAGGACCTTGAGATATATATACAGTGTAATTTTTTTATCATAGTAATTTGCTGATAATTATCTCAGAGGTTTTAAGTGAATTTGATTTCTGTTTTTTCTAACCATTATCGAATTGTTTAAGCTTTATTTTAAAACCATTTTTAATTTTTACCCCTACTTCATATACCTTAAATAAGTACACTCTTTTGGTTTTCAAATAAGAACCTCCCTTTTTGAACACAAATTTGAATAGAAAATATTGTTATAGATAGGCGATATTATTATCCTGCCCTACTCCTCTGGTCTAAACTTTAAACTGTTAAAGTTCATAAACAGATATTAGTGTTATGCATATCAACATTTTCAAAAAAATATTTTATATTTAAATTTGTGTTTTTAAGTGGGGGGTTAAAGATCACAATTATCTATATTTGAATTAAATTTGCATGATTTATAATAACTTTATTATAACTTATTATTTTATTGTTTTCGAAAATGTGAAGATAGCCATTTCGTAGAATTCATTCGCCTGAACATTTTGACGTTAAATACAACTTTTTATTTTTATTAAATTCGTAATCTTTAATAATTTTTTAAAGTTCAGAGAAAAAACAGACGGACATACTTCGCACGTGGGTGCAGCCACTGTTGTAGGTGGGAAGTTAGGAAGGTAGGCTACAGACAGGAATTTAATGTATATCTGTAAGCAACGATAAATCATTGCTAACGAAAAAACGATTCTGAGTGGATTCTTCAGTTGATAGTATTACTTTATCAACAACATATATGTCATATTATGGAAAAAATTACATACCTATCCATTAAATATTTTCTTTGATAAGTTTTTTAATAATTTATCTACTTATTCCTGTTTTTTTTTTTACGTTTTTCTCTGTTTTTCCTTGAAAACTAAATATCCGAAATACGGGAAAGAAAATCCCTAATATTATTAGCGATTGCCAAACTTTGGTATTATGGTTCAAAATATATATTCAGTGCAGTAACGTATTTATCATAGGGCAAAGTAAGGCAGTATCTCAGAGCTCGGAGGGCCTCGAATAATTCTGAAATTACTTCCTTAAAATAATTGCAAATTTTGATGTACTTAGTAATAAATGTTTTAAATCTTATGTGGTAATTCCAGTCACAATCAGTATTTAATTATACTTATACATAATAATAATATGCAATGAATGGGATTTACCGTGCTGATAGTTATAATTTTTATAGTATAATAAACTGTATAGTATATTGGATTTCCTTTTACTTTATTTATTTATTAACTATCTTTTTATTATTTTTATTTGTAGTTCCATAGTAAGTATTGGCACAAAAAAAACTGCTACGTGTAGGTATATTTCGAATTTTCATAAAGATCATGTTAGTTAAAAGGACTAGTTTTTTAATTGCCTCGGGGCTTTTTCACATCTAGCATCAGTGTTAGCCTGATCATGGCCACTAGACCACGAATGTACACGGGCCCCAGTCGTGTTTGTGTTAAGCCCCAAGATTTATAAAATATGGTAATTTAATTACTTATTGTCTTTAAGTAAAGACACATAGTAAGTACCTATTGTTAAGACTTAAGTAGGTAGACTATTGCATACTGTGTCAACAAATAAATGTCTACACAAAATACTAACAACTGAACTGTCGCTGAAAATCGCTTTTGTTAATATAGTAGAGATTTATCAACTATAAATATACCTATACTATATATATTGTTAAGTACCTACTTTTTATAAATATTCGAAATCTCCCAAATAGGAGGCGATTAAAATATTCCCAAGGTACCTCTACTTGTCATAAGAGGCAACAAATGGAGTTGCGTCAAGTTTAAAGTTCTGTCAAACAATATAGTTCTAAATCTAGTAATAATTTTAAACAAGACTTTGCGGATTGTCCCATCTTGGATGTGTGCTGAGACATGTGAGAGGATGTATCATGGACCATGTTGCATGATGTTTGCAGATGATATAGATAGCTTTAACAGTAGAAAATCTTGAATAACTTAAAAATAGACTTGAGGAATAGAGATTTGAACTTAAAAGAAAGGGATTAAAAATAAGTAGAAGTAAAACAGTGTATGAGTTAGGAAAAACAGGATAAAACAGCTAACGACAATAAGTGGTGTTGGGAATTTGAAGTAGGTAAGTATCTAAGATCTTCTGTACAAAATAGCGGTGACTTTCATGAGAATGTGAAATACATTATTAAGTGTGATATGAGTAAGGGGAGTGAAGCGTCAGTTGTTTTATGTGACAAGAGAATTTTAATGAGACTTAAAATAAAGTTCTAAATTGTGGTGAGACTGAGATTATGTTGTGTAGTTGGAAGTGTTGGGAGTGGTAGACAATAAAATAGTACAGAAAATGAATATAGCACAGATGTGAATGCTTAGGTGTATGAGTGGAGTATGACGAGAGAAGATAGGATAAGGGACGAGTAGATATATAAGAGGTGGGTAAAATACGATTGGGTACAAATGTTTAAACGTTTTTGCCAATTTTCATACCACTATGTCGGAATATAAATATATAGGTATTGTCTGCCTTTAACTAATAAAACCCGAAAAAGGAAAACAGTAAATGGTTTTAAATTTGAATAGATTAGGTCGATTATACAATTAGTTAATAACAGAAAAATAAAGAAAATGGCATTTTGTTGGATTTTATTCGAATTAAAAGAGTATAAAAAGCATAAAAGATGAGTATAAAATCTATACAAATGTATTGTAATATTTAAAAGTAGAAGTTTATAGATATTCTGGAATTCAAATTTAGGTGTTTTAAAATAATTCATTTTCAACTATGATTTTAGTGACTTATCAATTATTTTATTAGTAATAATATTTTGTTTTTTATAATACTCGATTATTTTACTGAATATTTATTAAGTGTATAGTATTTAAATTTGACAACGTTGCATACGAATTTATACGTAATCTTGTCGATTTTATTTTTTCTTAAGTGTTCTTAAATCCATCGACATGTATACACAATCGTGTTTTCAAGAAAGACAAACGTACGCAATCGTGTTCTACCCATAAGAGGTCGCTTCGATATTAAAGAAAATTAGAAAAAATAAGCTGAGATAGTTTGGGCATGTGAGGAAAACTGAAAAAGAGATGGTTGAATGCAATTTAGTATAATATGAGGGTAAATGTGAAATGGGAAATAGGTCAAGTAGATATGTTTAAAACGAGGGTGGCTTGCCTCAAATAGTTGAAATGAAGATGAAGTAGAAAAAGAATATTATAACTATCCGAAATCCGTTGTTACTATTAGGAATGCTATTAACCGATGATACCGACTTTAGACCTAATATCGCACATCAGTGTTTTTGTATATTTCATCTATAAGGCGTCATAAAACAAATGTTCAAGGCGCTTTTAACGTACCAGGTCGAAACTGTATACAATTAACAAATGTATTGGCATTTACCTATTGAATTTTTTATCAATAAGAGTTAAGACCTAGTAATATTATAAATTAGGTAACACAAATTATTATTATATTATTGTCACATTTTATTATTTGAAAATAAAAATTATTAGTTATTGTATAATATTATGGTGATTGGAATGAATTAAAATTGCATTAAATTAAAAAATTATTTTATTTACCTAAACTATGAGTTTTACTTCTCAAAAAGTTGTTATGTTGGGATGATCATATACAATATATAGTCACTATATAACAATATTTGAATTGAAAAAAATAAAGAAAAGGGGACAATGAGACTTAAAACAAAATTAACACTTCCCTTACAATGATTGAAACCAATCTAACTCGTTCAAAGTAATTAGTTGGGGTACGTTAATATTTTTGAAAACATTGTTGGGTACTTAGTTCTCACAATTCCGAATTTGAGCATTCCTGACTGGTTTAAAAACGAGATTGTGATGGGAAGACCATTATTATAGATTGAGCCGCGATGATTTGTTGCTTCAAAGCAACTTAACCGAATAGTAATCCGGGTAAGTCTGTTTACTATTTTAAGTAGGTACCAATTGACTAAGATTATTGTACGTTCAGAAGTCGTGAATATTAACAATTTTCAAATTAGATTTAGGTAAGTATTTATAATTAATTATTTTAGTTATATTTTATGGTATATGTATGAAAATTATTAACTATAGGTTGAATGGTAAATGCTAACAACGTGTAGAATACTAAACATTATACTTCACACTGGAACGGGTTTAACGTCGAAGTAGACAACAAATCGTCTGGTTCCGTTTTTGAACAGTTTCAGCGTTTAATGAACAGCGCAATCGCCGGTCGGCCGTTCCAAAGTTCCAGCTACTCTCTCATTCACTATCTCTCTCACTCTCTCTCTCGAGATTATACTATTGTGGCGCGAAACCATAATAATAGATAACCATAGATAATATTATCTATAATCGTGGGCTGATCCACCCGCGAATAGTTGATAATCATTAGGTGGTGTTGCGCTGTGTACGAATTTACAGCATGTGGTAGTGACGTCACACGCGTATCATTCCACGGATGACGGGCGATTAATCACCAGATGAGTTTTCCACTTTCGACGACGTATCAACTATCTGTTTTCTGAGGGCATTGTACCGTTATTCTTGTCTATGTTACCTACTATTACATCCGTATATTTTTCAATAATAATAAATGTCACGACCACTGTCGTGACAACAACACACAGTTAACCGTTCGTTAACAATACGCCAAATTGTAGTACGCTCGTTGCGGCTGGAGTGGTGTGTGTTCTATATTTTATCGTGTGAACACATACCTATCATAATTGTTGGGAAAAAGAGGCGCGTGCATGCAAACTGAGACATGCATGGAACTCAGCTACTATGTGTCTTTTCGCCTAGGCTTTATGCCTAGTGTTCTTAGGCTCGAATGATACTGAATTTGGGTGAGTGTAGTACACTAGTACACCCACTAGTCTGTACCCACATACTTGGATTATAGGTAATTATTAATGAAACCATGAATGTATTTGCTTGTACGGCACATCATCTACCTATTCACTATTTATTAAATTTGAGTTTTTTTTTATACTATATTTTCAAAGACTACTTAACATATAGTAACATTGTTGTGTTTAGATATCGTCGAAATGGGTGATCATTCTCAAAAATATGCCAATGACAGTGACCTAAAAAATTCATTTTGGAAAAAAAATATAAGAAATCTTCCTGGCAGGTGATTGTCAATTTGATTTTCATTTTTCAGTCCATCATTCAAATGTGTACATAATTTTTTTTTTAGAGCAAGTCCTAAGAAAGACAGTAAATCTGTATCATCATCTGCATCTACTTCATTTGATGATTTCCAAGAAAGTGTTAGTGATGCCTGGGAGGTAGAAGTGGAAGAAGAAATTCTACGTATAGCAGGTAAACAATTGATTACTTATCACATTTTTATTTTCAAATGGACTTGTATGTTTTGAATTGTCTAAGAATATAAATTTGTTTATTTTTTATATTAGTTAACAATTATGTTAACTTTTAATACGTTCTATACATTATACTAGAAATAACGATTTATGAATAAAATAAATCATGTACCTCATGGTTAATACTACATCTTTTAATCTATTAAAAGTGTCATACAATTTGTCATAACTTTAATGATATAAACATTCAATATTCTTTTTTTTTTGTAAAATATACATATTGAAACTATACAAGTAGCTTTTTTTAATAGAATGTTCAATGCAAATTTAAAAAAAAAAAAAAAAAAATAACTAAATAACAGAATTAGTATAAAATCCTCGTAGATTTTCGTTATTCATGTTTTTTTTTTTGGAATTTTGTTTACAAATTACATTCAATTATACCATATGTGATTATATTTTGGTTTTTGGTATTTCAATTTTCAATCATAAATTAATGTTTGTAAATTTGTTTGCTTGTTATGTAGTACCAGCAATATTAATTACCTTATCTGTTCATCTTTAAGTTTATTTTGTGTATTTCAAAATCATTGAATTTTCAGACGTGAAAATATCAAAACGTATTGTGCATTCTTCTGCGAACAATGTTATCGGTTTTGATAAGGCTTCGATAGAGAAAATTCATAAATCAAAAAACTACTCCAATTCTGATTGTAAGTTTCATTCGCAGACAATAAGATATTAAGAAATATTAATATCTTGATATGTTTATGGTTCCATTGTTCTGGGAATATCATCTTAATATTTATAAAATTGTATTTGTAAACATGGTTTGGGTGTACGTTTAGTATCATTTCCTATCGAATTGTGTCGTGCATATTTAAATAATTTGTTATTCTCAATGTCCCTTAACCTTTTTAAATGTTTTGCTTTTAAAATTAAAATTGTATGTTAATTTATAATCATAAAGTTCATAAATAATACTATTAAATATTGTGTTTTATTGTTATTTACAGAGATTGAATTTTGTGAGTAATAATTTTTTTTTATTATAGTAAAAGGAGAATCGAGTTCACAAACTGATAAAAATAAAAATATAGAAAATGGGCTGAATTTATCTGGTAAGACATGAAACAAATTGAAAATAACTTATTATTAAATGTTTTTAATTATTATTTTAGAAGCTGATAGCAACAAATTATCCAAATTCCAAACGCTGCTTGAAAGTAATTTGTTAAATTTAGAAGATTTGAAGGCATTAAGTTGGTCTGGTGTCCCAGTTGAAGTACGCCCCATGGCATGGAGGCTTTTGGCCGTATGTTTTATAATTATTAACTATTTAATTTTAATTATCTAGATTGCCATATGATTAAATAAATAAATAATCTAAAATATACCTGTACACAATTATTAATGTATATTAATGTAATTATTTATGTATTAATTATACACATGTTTTTAAATTTACATAATCCTGATGCAATAAATTAATTTAATGTAATTAAATATCTAATGTTAACAGGGTTATTTGCCAGTTAGTTCTGAACGTCGACAACAAACTCTTGAACGAAAACGTATTGACTATGCGAATCTTGTGAAACAATATTATGACACAGATAAGGATGAAGTTTATAAAGATACCTATAGGCAGGTTTGTATCTATAAAATATTGAACATTTTTTTTAAAACCATACTGATCAATTTATTAAATTATAATTAATAATCTTAAATTAATACATTTATTTTTTAAAGATTCACATAGATATTCCTCGTATGAGTACAGCCCTTTTTCAACAAACAATTGTACAAGAGATGTTCGAAAGAATTTTATTTATTTGGGCAATTCGACATCCAGCTTCAGGATATGTACAAGGAATGAATGATTTAGTTACACCATTTTATATAGTATTTTTACAAGAGTATCTCCCTATAGGTAAGTAATTAATCCTTCAAAATCCTGACGGTTACAATTTGGCATTTGCCATCAACAAGCTGTTTCTTTTATAAAATAATTACTTTTTATTTGAATATATTTACAAATTATTAGGTACAAATATTGAAAATCTTGATGTAAACTCAATATCAAAAGAAAATCGAAATTCACTTGAAGCCGATTCATTTTGGTGCTTGTCTAAGTTCCTGGACGGTATCCAAGACAATTATATTTTTGCTCAGCTTGGAATTCAGTACAAAGTAAATCAGCTAAAAGAGCTCATTCAAAGAATTGATGGTTGGTTACTAATTTAATTAATTTAATTTTTCATTTTAAATGATCTTTTTCTTTTTCACATAATAAATCTATCCTATCCATAATTTTTTATTCTACTGAACATTATTTCATACTTACCTTCAATAATCTCTAGCCACAATTTTATTTTTTAACTTCTATTTACTCTTAATTCCCGTATGTTCTTGACTTTTATCAATATACTATCAGCAAACAATTTTTATGAAACTGGTTTGAATTTGTGATCCCCGGGAAGACATGAGATATACTACATACCACCATTAGATTACAATATATATACTATGTAATTGATAATATTGATTTATTTGGCATAACACACATATAATATCCGCAATTCACACAATATTAAAAACTTCAAAAATCATAACTAAACATGTCGGCCCAATTCTGACTTTATCATCTTTCTTAAATTGAGAATAGGTATACATATGATCAAAACAAAAAAAATTGAATAATGTGCAAGGACCAGTAGGCTAGATTTGTTCCACATAATATTTTAATTTGATATTAAAATTCTTTTATAAAAATAAATATTTCATAAAACTCAATTTTGTATTTTGTTCACAAAGTATGAAATTTAAGGAACCACAAGTTAAAACTACAAGCATTTCTGTTTAGTCTAACAATTTTATATACATAGTATTTACAGAATAACAATTACTTATAAAACTCACAAAATTAAAATGTTTATAATTAACTCAAAAATACATCAAAAGTTTTAAAAATTTTACTATATCTAGACAAAAGAAATCTAAGTTTTCTGTCAAAATTTCAGGTCTATGAATATAAATTTCATTAAAAAAAACTTAATTATAAATAATAAAATAATTATTTTTATACATTTCCTCATACTTACTGCATTTTTTTTTCGGTAGTGTTCAATTATAAAAAAAACTACAATAAAAATCAAAAAACAACTTTCTTGTTCACCAACTAGATCAAAAATTTAATAAAAACGAGCTCATGATGTTTTTTTTATTGGAGCATTATTTATGGTGGAAAACATGAGCTATATAAATTAAAAATAATTTAATCATATTTCATCCCTTTTGGTTTTTCCAAATTATTAGGATAACTACTTTGGATTTCAAAAAATTACTTTCACTGTCAGTGGTGAAATATTATAAGGAACAAAATCTATCTTTTGTCATTTCTTGTTTGGAGCAATATTATTGGTAGAAAAGATTTTCAGATAAAAAAAAAAAACATAATTTATAAATATGTACTGTTTTATAAATCAAAATTATATATTTATTTAGGTACACTACATGAACATTTGATGAAACATGGAATAGACTACTTACAATTTTCATTTAGGTGGATGAATAATTTACTAACAAGAGAATTACCATTGAAATGTTCTATAAGATTATGGGATACATATCTAGCGGAATCAGATTGTTTCGCTACTTTTCAGCTTTATGTTTGTGCAGCATTTTTGTTGCACTGGCGTCAAGAATTACTTGAAGAAAAAGATTTTCAAGTAATAATTTATAAATAATAATAATTATCTTGTCTGGTTTTTTAATAGTATATTTTGTTGTTAGGGTCTCATGATTATGCTACAAAATTTGCAAACTCAGAATTGGACAGACACTGATATCAGTCTATTAGTAGCAGAAGCATACAGGTTAAAATTCACATTTGCTGATGCTCCAAATCATTTGACTACGAAAAGGTGATAATTTTAATTGTATAATACCTATCCATATTTTTTAAATTTTAATTTCCTCTACACATTAAAAATAAGTGATATAAGTTTTACTTTACTGTATTAAGTGTAAATACTATTGGTAATATCAAAAATGTGTAGTTTATTTTCTTTTTATTGTTATGTGTTTTCAATACACAGGGTTTTTGATGTTATTTTTTTTTTTTTATCAATTTATACTGTGCATACACTTTGTATTATATGTATGCCATAGAGGTATAGTCAAATTATTCATTTAGTAAAGATTCTTTACTAATTGATATTAAATTGTTTACTATTTTGTTGGGAATTAATTAAAATGCCAAATTTGACTATATGTCCAGGACACATTATTTATTTTATATAAATATATATACATAGTATTATTCTATTATAATTACTTAATTGATAATAAATTATAACTAAAATTTGAAGCCACAATGTGGCAAAAATAAAAATATTTAAGATTAATTTATAGAATTTATATTTATTATTGTTCTGTTAACTATATCTAATATAAATATTGCATTTGATTTTATTTTAGATTTTTTTTTTTTAGAAATGTTCCTTCCATATTTCAGTTGTAGGACCATTTTTTTTTAAAAATTAAACAACTCTTGATTATAATTGTATAGGTATAATAATATATTAAACATTATTTATTACAGATTCTTTCAGCATATTATTAGCATTCAATATTTTTTCAAAAACAAAATATTGAACTCTGTTCAAATTTAACTAAATATAATAATACTTAATGAGTATTTAAATGATTTAAATGCACTTATAATTCATAAAAAGTATTTAAAAATACTTAAAAAAGCAAAAGTGGTAGACAAGTTTTTTAAAGTTCCCACCCTGATGATTCTTACCATATAAATACATTTTTCTAACACTGAAAAATGATTAACATAGTATCAATTTATTTTTATAACACTTACAAATTTATTTGAAAAAAATTACTTTGAAATTATTTATAAGTTAGAAACCATAAAAGGGAAAACTTTTAACTTCTACCTTTATTGCTTTTTTAAATAATTTTAAGTAAGTTTTTAGAGCTTTTTTTGATGTCTTTGAACATTTTTTTTGTGGATTTTAAGTGCATTTAAATCTGTGCACTATTAATGAGCAATCATAAAAATATTATATCCCATTTAATTTACTTTTCATTTGGTAAAACCATTGGAATTAAATCTTTAATAAGACAACTGGTAAAATGAGAATTTGAAAAAAATTTTGTATTTAAATTACTAGAAAGTATTTATTTTTTTAAAGATTACAATAATTTATATAAAATACCTGCACATTATACCTGTAAAAGTAATTTTGTAAAATGGTTTTTTTTTATAGAATATCTGTATTTGAATCAATACTTACTCATAGTTAATAGTATTATACAAAACTAAGCTGTAAATATTTTTAAAATGATAAATGTATTCATAATATCCTTATTGCATATATATTTATGAGAAATAATTGTCATGGTTAATTATCTAAACAAAAGACAAAACTAAACATTTCAATCAACAGATTAATCTAAAAAAGTATACCAAAGTAAAAATAAATAACTATACCATGTATTAAATTTTAAAAATAATAGGAAATGTTTCAAACACATGATCTTGAATTTGATTCAGAGAGAGAGTGGGAGAGGAATACATATAGGACATACACTTTTTTTGATAAATTTCAATTATTAAATAATTTTGTCCACGCATGCGTGGTAAAATACAAATTTCTGAAGATCATAAATAGGAACTACTGTTTTCTAGATTGGATTTGGATTGCTTTATTTTTTCTGAGCAACTTTGACCATTACAGTTTTTTGATATCTTCAAAAATTACATTTTTAAAATGGTCGAAAATTTCAAATTAGATAATTCATAATTATTATTATTTAAGATAATTTTGATAGTAGTTTATTAATTTATATTTACATGTAGAGGATTTTTTTCACTTGTGTATAGTAGGCTTTGAGGCCTATCAGTCTGCGCTGGCCCGAAAATTTTGGTTTTGAGATTTTGAAAAGAAAATTAGAGTTTTTAAAAATTAGATTGTTATCAAGCAACCAATAGCCAGTAATAATATGGTCATCTGATTTTTCCATGGAAAAAAAAAATTGGTGGCAGGTGCACAGCACAGGAATAAGTAGATTTACATGGGTAGTTAGTAGTAACTACATAGTTATAAAGTAATGCTACACTGGAAAAGCCAAAATCTTCGATTATTTTCCGGGTGTGTGGTTTTCCTTGAGGCGCAACCTTAAGAATTTGGACTTTATGATTTCCTTTATCTTTCAAATTTAACACACAGCATATTAGGATTAATTAACATTTGATCATTCCACACTTGAAATTAAAACAATTTACACATCAGAATCTGAATCATCACCAAAACTTTCAATTTCTGTATTCCATTTACTAGCAATGCTAGCAATTTCATTAGCTAAATTTTCAGATGGTAATTGCATAGAAAAACTATTATCAGGTTCCATGTCTAATGCAACTTTACGTATACTATTGATAGACTGGTTATTAACAAAATGGTTTTCATGAAAATTTTCCTCATCTGATAAATCATTTAATTGAATATGTTCTTTTTGTAATTTTTCTTCTCGTTGTTTCCACTCCATTTGTTTTTCTTTAAGGGCTACTTTTAATTCTAATATTAAATTATGATTGTTAGACTTATCAAATATTTCTTCTCCAAAAAATGTATCATTTGTTTCTTCAGAAATCTTTTCAGAAACTCCAAAAAATAATTCATCACAAACAAATTTAATTGGATCATTATTTTCTTCTAAGGAATTATTTTTTGTTACATTAATAGCATTATTACTTAATATTATTTCATTTTTCTTTTCTTTATTTGCTTTAAGAATATCAATTTGAAAGGTTGATATCAATTCATTAAAAACAGTACTTTCTTTAACCAAAATACTTACTGAAGCATTTATGCTATCATTACAGTAATTTGAAGGCATTTCAATTAAATCCTCCATAACTCTTAAATGTATCATCATATTTTGTAAAACTTGTCGAATACTGTAAACTTTTGATTTAAAATCAAAATTACTATTATTATTCAAATGAATATTTTTTAAATTATTACTATGCTTAAATAGTGAATAAATATTGTATTCTTCAGATAAAATATTATATAAATTTGAATATACTTTTTCAAGCTCTCCAATAAATTTAATTAAATTATTAAGTTCTGAATAGCTTTTCGGAGTCCACAATACTGGATTTAAACATAGAGTTAATTGTTTCAAAAATTCTGACTGTAATAAGTAATATGTATACTTGGCTCTCTGAAATAATACAATATATATATATATTATATAGATAATTAAATTTATTTAATACTGTGAATGTTAAATGTTAGAGTTTTAAATCTATATACTGTTAAAAAAAAATGAACATAATTTCTTTTAAATATTTATATACCAATATGAAAGTATTAAAAAGATAAATTATTTTTAGAATAAATAAAACTAGTTTGTATATGTCATACTTACATTTATATTTTCTAATGATGTATTTTCTATATCAATTTTGCAATCTGTGAGATATAAATATATAATGTTTTTAACAGAATCTTTTAATGGAAAAAATGTCTGCACTTCAGATATATTATATACAAGACAATTAATTAAATCTTGTAACTCAGTTAAAAGTAAAGATTTTAACTCAGGCATCAGTAAATACAAATATATATTGGAATTCTTGTCCTTAGAAGTATCATTGCAACTAAAATTTGAATAACAATTATAATAAATATATGGTAGTTGTTAACTGATTATGTTTTATTACCTATTATGAATATTGTAGAGTTTGTCACAATCAGAAAGAAACTTATACATTTTTTGTATTAACAAAGATGATTTTTCCATGGATTTAATGGTTTTTATTACAATATTTTTAATTTTTCTACTTTGAATTAATTTAAATAGTATTTCTAGAGAAACATGCCCAAACCATAATATCAACATACTTAATGTTATCCATGTATCCCAGTATTCCAAGATAAATGCATTTAATAAACCACAAAATATACACAATAATAGGAATGTGATACTGAAAGATAAAATGCAATTAAAATAATCAAACATTCCTATTTTTAATTAAATTTATTAAAAAGTATTATTTGTTAGCAGGACTTGGCGGTAAAAAATTCAAGGAATTTAAACCTACTCATATATTTTATTTATTGCTTTAATATTCAATCATTAATCAAAAAATAAAAAAACCAATATATGGTGGTGGTGATTAAAAGACTAAATTTGAAATTTACCCCGCAATTTTAATTTTTGACTTAGGTGAAAAAAAAAACAAATTTTTTTAAATATAGGAAATTTTTATTCAAAATTAAAAAAATATTATTTGTGAAACAAAATGTCTGATAAATGGAGTCTGTGTATAAGATAAAATCTTTGACTTTAGATTCCTACATAAGGAGAAGTCACAGGGTGGCCATGGAATAAAAATTCAGACATGTGCTACATTTTCTGGTGTCACCACAGATGGACTATGTTTAGGGATATTTGGGTATATATTACTGTGTTCTCAAAAATCTTTAATCCATATCAAAATTGATTAGTGGATGGGAACAATTACATGTGGAAGGAGACTGAATCAGAAAAGTGCAGAATGTGTGCTATGTAGCCACAATTGAATTGTTACATACAAATGTGTCTGCAAGGATTTTGAATACTCCAGTACATTATTGCAACTAAACTTCCTATTATGTGACATCCCTATTCAATGCTACAAATGTAGTCTTTTATCTCTATCACTCTGTATATTTATTTTAAAAATAAAATGTTATTATTAAAATACAATAAATATGAATATAAGTAAAATTAAATGAGATAAAATAAGTTTCATTGCAAATTATTGGTTTTATCAAAAGTTGTAGAGGCAATTATTTACTCAAATTTGAATAGTGAATACTCTTGGTTAAATTGTTATATGTTGGGCCCAGATTTATATGTTCTAAAAACCTTAAATGCACTTAAAAATATACATTTATGCTCATATTTTGTAGAAATATATCCTTAAAAATAAAATATAATGCACAAAAATATTTTGTATTTGTAATATTTGTATTTGAGTTCTATTTTTCTCTGTCTAAAAAAACATGCAAATGCATATAAATCCGGGTCCTAGTGGAATATTTTTTGTATGCTAAGTTTCCCAGGCCCAACACATAAAACTAATGTTTGTCACACAAATAATTAAAATTCGAACTGCCCTTGTAATGTATATTTTTAATATTTTAATGCAAGTATAATTTAATTTACCAATTTCGTTTTGTAAAAAATAATGAATATCTAATATTTTCTGATGGAATAAATTCTTTGGCAAATAATGTATCTTCTTTGAAAATAAGTTGACTTTCTAAAATTATCTTGATTAATGTTATACACAAATTATAATCCTAAAAAAAAAAAAAAAATGTTTAAATTTGAATAAAATTAAATGAATTAATAATTGCAGAAACATCACAAGTCACCAAAATTATACAGTGTTTCCCACCAATTTTTTTAAAACTGTTAATTAAATTTTTTTTTTTTATTTGGTTTGTCTTCAAGGGAGTAGGACATCGACTTGGATAAAAATTAAATTTTTATTTTCAACCCCTAAACACACACCAAAAAAAAACTTTATTTTATTCACTTTAGAAAATTTTCAAAATATTATTCTAAAAATTTTAATGTATCATAAATTCATATCCGATTAAAATTTTCTTAATTACAGTAGTTTTAATTTTTAGAAAATAGGCTTGAAAACAATTAATATTCAATAGAAGGTGAAGAATTACCATGCTGATTGTGATTTCCTATTGCATAACCTGTTATTTTATGATATTTCAGTAAGTATTTATTCTTAAGTTAAATTTATCTTTAAAGCTATTTATACCGATATAATAAAATTTTTATCAGACTCGTGGCTTTCTGCAATCATTGATTCAAATAATTATAAGTAGGTAAATAATACATATACACAAAATATGTAATGCTAATTTATCTATATCCCATATTTTACTATACAAAATTGATAAAATTTTGATTTTTTTTAAGATATGAATAATACTATTCACATTGTATATTAATTTTATATTGCACAAGATCGTTTTAGGGTAAAGTAAAAAAAAAACATGCTATTTTGGATAGTATATTATTTTCATAATTTCAGATAAAGGGGGAAATTTCTCTGAATGGATAATTATATCATTAATTATGCAATATATTTATTATTTATACACAAGATGTGTAAATAAAGTAATTTGACTGAAAGTGTAGCATGCTATCTGGTAATGCTAATGGCTTTCTATTTGAAAAGGATTGTAAATAAACATCTAATATGCCTTCAGTATGAGTTTGAACTTCCTATAGTCATGTGTTGGTCTGAAATGATTATTTTTATAAACTAGCCTTTTTAGTATTTCTGAAAATTAGTGACAATAATATTTTCATTATTTTTTTGGATCTGAAGGCCTTCCATTTAATCAATTCTGCTTTCTGAATATGTCTTAAATCACCTAAAAACCTAGGCCCTTAAAAGTACACTATATGAAAAATTTCTATCGTTCTGTGCTCAAATCTGATACTAAATTAGCAAACTCATTTTCATTGTAACTCATTTTTAAAATGTACTAAAAAAACAGTTTACGAAAATAATCACTACGGACAAATACATGACTCTGGGAAGTACAAACTTGTACTGAAGGCTCATTAGTGTTGCCAGATAACATGTATCAGTTTCATTACTTTATTTACACACACTATATACATATATATATATATATAATAATAATGTTTATATTTATATAAAAATATAACATTTAAATCGAAAAATGGGATTTTTATTATGAATTTCTAATTACAAACAAATAATAGATATAAAATATAAAATAGAATTTTGTGCACATATTATTTTGTGTTCAAACTTAACATTTAATACATTTTTATTACAAATTAGTAACTAATAATTTACAGTTAAATATGAAATTTGTTATAGGTAGGTATTAAATAAAAGATTTTTAGACATTTATATAATTTATTGCATTAATACTGAATAAAGTTTATTTATTTTAAACTTAATAAAAACAAACATACCTATTAAAATATAAATAAATAACTAATGTGTACATACTTCTGTGCAATGTTGAGGTCTTTTGGAGTATTTTGAATCTTTTTTGTGGCTCTACAATTAAGCCATAAATCACAATAATATAAATTACTACAATTATATAAATAAAGTACTACAGAAGTGTGGTGAGATTGACTGTTTTATGATTCATAGTGTTGAGCAGTAGATAGAAAAATAACAGATATGACAATGCTTCGGTGGATGAGTGGAGTGACGAGAGAAAGTATGAGAAGGAATTTGATGGTAAATAAAATGAGGAAAACAGACAGAAATGGTTTGAATATGTCATGGAGAGAGAGGAATCTGAAGCAGTAAGTATTGTAATGATAATAAATGTATATATATAACGTTAAAAAAATAGAAGAGGAAGACTGGTGTAATTTAAAGTGGAATATCTTGTAAATTGGAAGTTTAGAATATGAATGACCGATCCTGAATAGTTGGGATGAGGCAAAGGAGAAAAAGAATGAATAAAATGAAAAATTGTTCAACATTGAACAATTTATTGAGTTATAATAAAATAGATGATTATTTTTGTTAACTTACTTTATTACGATAATTTGTTATAACATTAGTTTGTTCAAATGTTTTACATTCCGTGTATCCCGCATCGTTTAAATATTTTTGTAATTCTGTACCCTGAAACAAGTAGATTTAGTTTTTGAAAATGTAAAACATTCAATTTGATCAGTATTTACTTGAAACAAAACATCTTCGTCGTCGACCTCCATTTTGGATGTATTTAGAATATGAGTTGTATCTTAGATATATAAATAGGATTGGACAACTTTTAACATGTTTGGGCGAAATTTCTCATTCCTATTTTAAAAACATTTTAAATCTTACGAACACTAGTGGATAATACTGATGCTATTCTGATACTGACCATTTGTAGTAAATGGTAGTCAGAATTCCCATAGATAGGTATGTAATTCTATATCTATGATAACTAGCCTTATCAACATGGTATTATCATAGATTATTATTATTTGTGTTATTGGTGTTGTTTTATACATTTGTTATTGTAAAACCTCAGTTATATCCAAACAAAATATTTGTAGGATGACTACTTGGCCATTCCAATTAATTGAACTGCAAGATTTAAAACCGATGTACCTAATCAAAATAAAGTTAGATGAATTTGTTTGCTCATACAAGGCCAGTAACCATTACAAACAGGTATATCAGAAATTCTTATCCAATGCACAAGATATAAATTAAATACATAAATAATTAAACTAATAAAATTAAAGGTATTTAAGCTATTTTAATAAAAACAAATTTATTTTAGTGGCAAATACAAACTTATTGGTTGTAGGTTACCAATACCTATACTTATATAATTTACAATATTTGGATGTATTTTATATTCTAGTGAAAAAAAAAATTTTAAATGTGTTTAGTTATTGTACTGCTAGAAACATTTTTTTCTATTAACTATATTTGTGGTTTTGTCAAACATAATTAAATATAGGTTGGTACCTAATACATTAATATTGGAAATATGTAATTCAAAATATGAAAAAATTACCAATTGTTGATTAAAATGGAAAAGATAATGGTAATTCACATATTATAAACATGATTTATAGGTTACTGTGTTGATATTTTCTATGGTTTAGCTTGAATTAGTGAGAGATATTCAATGTTTATTCTACAAAAATGTACAATTATGTTGTTAATTTATTGAAATTAATTTCCATAATTTCTTATGTTATAGTTTATATTATATTCACAATTTTTTATGTTAACAAGATAAATAATAAATAAGTAATGCAAATTTAAAAATTTGCTCATGAGGTATTGCATTCAGATTCGTTTCTTTTTAAATTTATAAGAGCGGTAAAGATCCCCAATTGGCCTAATAACCCACACATCTCTAGCTGAAGTATTTATTGGTATATTAACATTCGCATATATATATATATATATATATATATATAATAGTATGTACTATGTATTTGTAATGAACACATGTAGATTTCATTAAATTGTACTTATTCTACTAATAAAGTACATGTTTATTGGAGAAGACTAATTTACTGACCAGACCAAACTGACCTGACCCGGACTCCTCATTCTCTTTGAAACAATCAACCATAGTTACTTGGTCTTCCTTAAAGTACATTGAATAAAATACCTAAACATGATTTTTTTAAAATTTCTTTGAAATTAATTGAGTAGAATTATTGTACATTTTTGTATTTGCTATATAATGCATATAAGTACTTTTTTTTTTAAATTTAATGTGTTCTAAGTTGAATAAATTAGTTAATTTTAATTAATATAAACTTGAGTTTAAGTAAAAAAAAAGCCATAATTTAGTAGGTATGAGTTAGTTAAAAAATAATTATTATATAATCTAATAATTGTAGACAAAAGATACCTATATATTTACATGTACATAATTTCAGTAAAATAAAAATAATTAGGTATAATTAAAAATTGAAAATTTTATCCAACCAATATTTATTTATTATTATTAAGCCCAGAGTACAAAATGAAAGATAAAAAAAAAAAAGGTACAGATAATAAAATATTTTAAAATTGGTTTTAATTAGATAGCAGTGACTGAATTAGGTATAGGTGATGGTTGGAAAGAGTATTGGTTAGACGCATTAAACAATCAAGAGAATGATTTCGGCAATCATCCTGGGTAATCATGGATATCATAAATCAATATATTCCTAGCTCCTTTCAGAATTTTAAACACTTGTAAGCAGAAGAGTCCCATCATCAGGAAATTAATTTTTTTCCACCAATTTTGTATAATTTGAATTGCCCTCCCATGAATCAAAATTTCAAAACTTTTTCAATATTAGATATGGCGTATTGAAAAAAGTAGATTTTGCAACGTCTTTATTTTCACTCGTGTGAACACACAGTGTTCAGTATGCTATCTATCCCCTTGTTTTCGTCAGTCATTTTTTGTAGTTGCACGATAGCGACTAATCTTGATAAATTTTCGAGTTTGACCATTCTCGAACTCGACTTGAGTACAAATGAATCGTTGTTGTGCATCAGATGTAAAGGTCAAGCCATTTATACAGGCTTGACATTATATACAGTCGCTTGTCCGCGACTCGTCGTAAAGGTTAATAATTAATTGATAAAATTGCGAAATGTACAAAAGAACTTCTTAAAAGGTTAGGTTAAATATTACTTCCTAAAGTAACTACGCAGTAAGATTTCCTTTCAAAAAAGTTCTATACTTGTAAATTGAAGCAATACTTCTGGTAGAAAAGTTGTTTACAGATAAAAAAAAAATAATAATAAAAAACATCAATGTAAAACTAATGGGGTTCGGAAAAAAAGCAACGGAAATAAAAAAAAAAGGCGAATGAAAATAAAGCAATATATTTATTTTATTATAATATAAAGAGTAATATTATTGATTAGTACTACATTTTATATAGTACCATATAATAAGCACCATATTATAATACCATTGGCTATATTGTTATTAGAGATCTGATTTATATGCAAAAAAGTACCAGAAAATATCAAAAGCCTTGAAAAAATTACTTATAAAATATATAAAAATGCAATTTTTTAATTCTTATTAAACTCTTATATTATCCTCTTCTATTTTTATTTTATTAGAATAGATTATTCTCATTTATTATTGATGTTCATATTTCTCAAAACTATTTGAGTGAAATTTATAAATCATTGAATTATCACTATAAATATAGGTTAAAATTAATAAATTAACATTCACTGTTATAATAATATTTGATATTCACACATCCTCAAAACTGAATTGGGGTTTAAAATATATAGAGTCATCACTAAATATGTATTGAGTACCTACCTATACTAAACTAATATTAAGTTAAGGATTAAGTTAAGTTAATATTAAGGAAAAAACTTTTTAATACAGATTAAAAATAATTCAACTATTCATAACAAATTAGCTAGGACATTGATTAGAATATAGTCTACAATTTCAATTAGGGTTTTCATGTTTTGTTTTTTTTTCAATTTCTATTAAACATGAGATATGCAATCATCACACTGAACCATCTTATTATCATTATTAGCTTTATATTTATAATTCTTGTAAGATTGTGCAATAACTGTTAGGATTGAAAACATTAATTATTCTTTTATTACTTATTAATTGGTATGCATAATATAATATAAATACCCCACAATTGAATCTATTATTTAAATATGGTATCAGGATAAACAAATCATTCCACTTATAAAAATTGCTTAATTTTTGATGATTGACCACAATAAAGAATGTGACGTGTGATATTTAGATGAGGAATTCAACAAAGGGGGTACTGATATTACACATTGACCTTACTAATATCAATACTAATGAAGATGTACTATATTATATGTAAACTAGGTCTTAAAGAAAGGTAATTTGAAATATTTTAAATTTGTATGATCTTATTTAATTTCAAAGAGTTATTCTAATGTTTTGTTTTGTTGAATTTTTACAGGTTTTTCAAGAAGTCAAATGTGGTGATAATAATATTATAATTTGGGTAATTGAGGAAGATGTAGTTTGTCGCCACTTTATAAGCCCAAATTAATGAAACTAGATCCAAAGATTTAGTTCCATTAATTTGGGCATTTCTTAAAGTCCTTAATGAAACATTTTGCAAAGTTTTCCTCATTATTAAGATCGAGATTATCGGACTGTCAACCAGATATTAGTATCGTGGTGTGCCATGCAACTATGTAAATCAATTTTTCATTAAATCATTTCTTACAAAACTCATCTTTATAAACAATGTTCATAATACAGCAAAATGTTACTATTAATCTTTAAATATGTATAAATTGTTTAAGACTTACACTGTAGAAAATGGGTACAAGACAATGGCCACAAGCCTGAATCATCATTTTTCACCAATATTCCAGGAAGTGATTGGGTCCAGGTCGTGGTGGACGAGGATTATATATATTCACACCATAAGTCATTGTGACACTGATCAGTAGTAGAAATCAGACACAATATTGGCCAAAACATCATTAATATCATTCAAATAGCCAGGATGACATGTATACCAGTGGCCACTAACAACAGTGACTATGGGTTGGCCACAAGCCAGAGATAGGTTACCCCTATGGTACATTGCTTGCATGTCATTTGGACACATTCGATGGGACTGCCCAAACAATAGTAAGTAAATTAATAAATAAATATTTATAAAAAAAATGTAATGATATATTATGGTGACGATTATAAATACATATGTATTTTTTCTTTTAGGTCAATAGGTTTTAAACCTACTGGATAATATTAATTATAATTATATTTTTTAACAACTGTTATGTTTTTATTTATAATTGTTTAAAATTCAACATTACATAAATTAAACTTTAATTTAATATTATATTATAATATTCTTTTTTTATTTCTAAATTAATATCATACATTAATTAAGTTTTAACGTGTCTATCAAAAAATTGTTTAACTTTTTTTTTTCATTAAAGTGTTAGGTATTATTCTTGATTTTTAATTTGTTTAAGTATAATATATAAGTAAATAAATTCACATTAAGTAAATTCATTTCAATTTAAGATGTTTTGAAAAATATTTAAGATTTAAGATTAGCTAATTTTTATTTATTCAAAGCTAGTATAATTTTATTTATCTAAACATGTAAGTGTCATCTAGTCTAGTTAATATTGTGAATTATTTTAATAATAGGTACCTAGTAATTTATTGAGAGTTGTTATATTTTTTAAATCATACAAAATTTAATTTATTTGTTAATGTGAAAACAGTTTACAAATCTGTAAGTACACAAATTGAAACTATCCATTGTTGTAAGCTTTAGAATAAATATAGTTTCCTCTCTATTTTTAAGAATATATCCACATTACTTTTAATTTAGAAGTACTCATAAGGCATAAGGCAAGGCGTAAGAAATATTTGTTTTCTTTCGCCAGATACACCACTCCTTGTATTCTACAGTAGCCAAAAGGATCCTGGCCTGGGTGTGTTGAGAACATCATGGAAAACATCCCTGCAGCACATAGCAATAATTTATAAAATATCAAAAGTATAAGACCAGCTACTGCAAGGGGTACGTGACTTTAAAGCTGTAGAAATACAATGCTGAATTCATTTAGTAGAAGTTATAGGCAGAAATGTGCATGCTATCTGGTTGAAGCTACTAGACAAGGAATATTAAACGTGGAAAGGCTTATCTTAGTGGGGAATTGGGGAAATGGTATGATAAGTGTACATTAACTAACTCATGGGTATCAAATAAAGGAGGTCTCTCGAGTAGTGAATAGTTTAATGCCATAAAGGCATCGATGAATTCAATGGCTAACCGCAGAATAGGTAGTTGCAGCGTGGACGATAGTTGCCACTGTAAATAAAAACATTTGAAGTGTTCCAGGAAGTCCACTGTTTATCGATGATAGATAATAATGCATAAAATCATTGTGCTGACATCATCATAATAGAAGCAAAAGCTGGCTTCAACAACAATATGGCATCGCAAATTGGGAAGTGTGTGGACTTTGGTTTGGAGCTCAAAGTATAGCCTATGGATTCTTAAAGTCATTTTTCCAATCTCACATGCTCGCTATGGAGGACCTTATCAAAATATGTCTTTCTATTTTGAAAGACTCATTATATACAAGGTGATTTTTTTTATCATGAACCAGCAATAATCTCAGAGGATTTTAAGTGAATTTTATTTCTGTTTTTTCTAATCATGGAATTGTTTAAGTTTTATTTTAAAATAAGTTAGGTCATAGATAGGTAATTTATTACCCATCCCTACTTTTCTGGTCTAAATTTTATATTGATATAACTTATAAACAGTAAATCTAATATTAGTGTTATGCATATCAAAATTTCTAGATAAATATTCTTTAGTTGAATCTGTGTTCAAACGAGGGAGGGGGGTTTCTATTTGATAATCAAAAGTATGCACTTATTTAGGGTGTATGGAGTAGAGGTTAAAAATTAAAAATAATTTTAAAATAAAGCTTAAATGATTCCATAATGATTAAAAAAACAGAAATCAAATTCACATAAAATCCTTTGATCCTCTGAGATAATTGCTGGTTCATGATAAAAAATCACCTGTTTAATAAATTACCATCTTTATGCATAGCAAAGCTTGTTCGTCTCTCTTGGTTTTATTATATAAATATTTTATGTAAATAGTTCGTTGTTAAATTTTAGTACACCAAATACCCTTGCTATTATATACTACTATATACTATCAACAATTATTGTAAGTTTCACCTTGTCCCTATGAGTGTATTGATTAAGTACGCTGTGTCTATTGGCAACTCTGGTAGTTTATTTATTTAATAAAATATGTTTCTCTCTAAATTATTTAACTCTCAGATATAATGTGAAATTTTATTAGTTTTCCATTTCCTTAATTATGTTGTTTACTTGACTGATTAATGAGTACATTTATAATACTATCTAAAAATATTATATAATTATACATTTTTAGTTAGCTAAATAGGTAATCGTAAAACACTCAACTATATATTAACATATAGAGCTACCAAACTTGTATATAGATACACATTTAAATGTAAAATTAATTTCACAAGTTACATTATTATTATAACATTACACGTATTGGAAAAAAAAAGGAAATGTTTACCTATTTGATATGTAAATATAAGATATATAATAAATATAGTTATCTTACACATTTTTTTATTTATAAGGTATTTTAGGTTTTTAAAAATATATCACCCGCTGTGTTAGTAATGGTATTTAGGAAAACCAATAACCCACAGTTATTAATGTCTGTATTTTTATATAAACAAACAAAAATATGTATAAATAAATTAATAATTATGAATTAAACACAAAATTGGGAAGTATTAATAATATAGAAAAATATCTAAGCTTTTGTAAAATGAAAACTGCTTTTCGGTTTTATTTGGTAGGTATAGGTGGATAAATTAATTGCTAAACAAAAATGATTGAAAATATAACACAGGATTAATTTTAAGTTATGTTTAATAATTTAAATTGAATTGAAATTAATACATGATTATATAATATATAATTTTTCATTTAAGCGTTTTAAGAACTAATTTTGAAGAAAATTTTGTCAAATTTAAAACATGTTTTACCAAACTTCATATCTATAACAATGGTACACCCAGGTCCATCACAGGTGTGAAGTTAGGGTACTTCCGGAGTCGGGGGATTTTATTTCATAAGAAATGAGTGTCATGGAATTGTGTAATTCTGTTGTCTATGGCATAAAAATTAAAGGCGTAATACTGTGCAGACTGGAAGAACATGATAGTATAAATCATAACACTAGATAGCGCTCATGTGTCTATTAAACATTTATCCATTTGGTAATATATACAAATACGTGTCATTTCAAACAGCTAAATGCAGGAACTATACAACTAAATTTGTTAAAGCATTATTTGATTAATTTTTTAAAATCGTTGTATAAATATAAAATTAGGTGTCTGTAAAATGTATGTATCATGTACAAATAAACTAAAGACATGACTGAACGGGTTGGTGTCGAGGTGACGGTGCTCCTCCTTCTCGTGCGACGGTGGTGATGTCTTGACTCCTGATTGAGTTCAAGTTTTTCTTTGGTGATGATTCCGGTCTCCTTATATATAGTTGTCGTCTCGATCGGGGCCTAGGTGTTGGTGGACGCTGCCGCCGTTGTCTACTGGTGGCACGTCTTCCGTACCCGGGCACGTTTTCCCTTTGGCCCATGAACACTTATCATCCGTTGTTGCATGGGAGCGTCGTCGGTTTACCACACCCATATTAATGGTCCTGACGTGCGTATACTTAATTCAACGATCGATTTCATATTTTGTCGCGCGGAATTCTTAACTTATAATTAACAAACTTTATACGTGAAGTACAGAGTCCGTAACACCTCCCTACCAAAAAAAAAAAAGTCTATGTTCTTAAAAACATAGACTTTTTACAATTTAATTTAGAACCAGATTTCTAACCTACTACTCAGTGGTACCCATATTACAATATTGTATAGGTAGCACAGATTCTTACAATTTTTCTTTTTTTTTTTTTCATTTACAATTATATCCTATGGTTAGTTATCTTAAAACAAATAAACCCAATTAATATAATTTCCCTTCTCCAAATGACAATATTAATAGAAATTATGATTACACATTATTATTTTTTTCTTATTATTCTTTTTACAAACAAATATATTCGATCATAATTTTAAATATATACATATTTATAGCAACTCGGTCAGAGATAATCCACATAAACTGTATATACACCTTGTTAAGACATGCCGACGTGATCTTTATCAACATCCGATCCCTTTATGCCATAATACCTACTTCCTTCCCTGTGACTAGTAATTTTTTCCATCTAAAATAATAAAATTAATGATATATATTTATATATTCACACAAATATATATATATATATTCCTCCCCGTTTACAAAAAAGGTGAATAGATACTCCGTTGAATTGGTTGCTCCGAGCTACTTAGTGGGATTACTTTTTTTTTTTTTTAATATAATTTTTGGAATAATTATTTGTATTATCTTTATAAATGTTAAGGCGTCGCCTGCCCTGTTGTACCATTATAATCTCTTTATCTACTACTGCTGACATCCGACAAGGCCCTGGCCATATTGAACTTAACCTACTCTCATATCTTATTTGCTCCTCTTTTCTTATTAAAATATTTTTGTTGTTTACGTCAGTCGCTGCTGTAGGAACAGAAATTATTGTTTCTGATCGGGCTATTAAAATTATAAGCGTATCTGGACACTCGTCGCGCGCATCGTCGTTTGCGACAATGTCTACACTGTCTATGTGTGAGGGCCCTGCAATTATTTTACTATCATCTACCGTCGTCGGCTCAACTGTATCTATAATGTGTGTATATATAATGTATATACTATGTGTGTTCTACCTTTTAAACTTCTCACTTACAACAGTGATACAACAGTCTTTAGTATAGGCTCTTTTTTTATTTTTGATCAACTTTAGTTATCATAAAATAACCGTTAATAAAAATTATAAATACAAAAATGCAAAAATTATGTTCTTTCCCCCTGTAGTTTTGGAATTAAATAACGTTGTGTTTTCGTATTATATTATATATTATATATTATATATAAAAGACAACGAGCAGATTATATCATGTAATATTATTTAAGTTTTCAAATGCATTAGTTTAAATTTCAACACATTTTACAGGCCGTATGGCACATCATCGTCTTGTGATTAATAGTAATATCTTGATAAAGTGTATTTTCGTTTACGTCTTCTGGTTTGGTATTAGTGTACTGGGTCATTTCGGTGTATAGTATGTCCCAATCGTTCTCGTCCAGAGTCTGTTGAAGAAACGTAACATAAAGTGTGTGTAATAACTAGGGCCCGGAAATCGTTGCATTTTCTTTTTTTTCTTTTGTTTTAATTACGTTACTCATATATATATATAGAAACATGTTTCGTGGAGGAGCTGATGGTACTAATTTTATTTTGCATTTTTAGGGAAATTTGGGCCACACAGTCATTTTTGATCAATTACTTAATGCATTTTTGTCTTTCCGGAGGGAATATATTGCATTAGTTGTATTCAATATTTTTCAATTTCCCAAAATTTAAGGTCATTGCACACAGGGCATGAATAATATAATTTATATTGTACATTATGATTATTCAGATTTGTATGTTATTACTAATCACATACAAATGTACTATATTTTTGATAGCTGTCTTTTAAAATTATTTTGTATTAAAAATTACGAACTGCAATATTTGGGACGGTATATTTCGTTTCGGTGCAGAAATTAAATCAGATATATAGACATATTATACAATATAAAATGCGCAACGGGGAAAAGGGATGGACAGAAGAATGTTACATTTGTGATAAATAATATAATTACGACGGATTTAATGAGAGATTTATTTATAATCGTTTGCGATAATAATATAAATAATTTCATTTTAGTAAAATGAACACTCATTATAATGCGAATTTCTTTCCAAATTTATGCACTTTGAGCCGTCTACTCGGTTACCATTGACTGTTAAAAATAATGATTTTTCACGAGAAAAAATCACAAGTTTTCGGTAGACTGGAAGGTGCCAACCGAGTAAATCAAGGGAGGTAGACTTTGCAATAGTACACGATGATAAACTCGTAAAGAAAGTCCAACACCAAAAGTAATTATTAAACCTGATTAAAAACTTTTACTTGTTTACTCTTTAGGAACGAATATTTAATAAGGAAGCGGCGATTAATTTTAAAAGTTTTTCTGAAATGTATTATTAGTTTTTACGTACCTAGGTATTAAATATTCACTTTTCGTAACACTATTGTCAATAAATAGTTAATTTTTTTTTCAAAGTTTAATTTGTTTATTAAGTATTAAAAAAAAAAAAAACCCAACAGTATTTGAGAATATTTAATTACTCGCAGAATAATACCTTCGAAATTATTGGGTTTTCTGAGTTTCAAAAAATGTATACACATTTAGGTATACAGGTATAATGTAATTTTAAATGATAAATTTACATACGTGTACACTTTTATCGTAAACAGTTTTTAGATACTTAGGAATCGACGAGTCGTCCGCCAGTACAATACCAATTGTATTTTTAATAACTGGTTTATTTTCTAGTGCGATATTCATCGCTTTGGACTATAAAAATGAAAAAAGAATACCTTGTTTACCATTATCTATCGGTACGTACAATTCAAAATAGATTTCTGATATTTACACTTAGTTTTCCCGTTAAACATTGCGTTTGATCCTCGTCGACGGTTTTTAATAACGTACAGTTGTTGTCCGACCGATCATTCCACGTTACCGATTCCTCTCCATTGCCGACGTCCATATTCGATTTTTTTTCAGTTCGACCACAACCTAATAAAATCGCATATTACGGAAATGCTCATGAACGTATGGTGCAAAAACTCGATTAATAAACCTGCATGGAATAACCGCGTAAACCAAACCATTGTAGACTTGAACATAAACATTAATAGCTTTTTGAGAAATACTAACATTTATCCACGTCCAATAGATAAAATATAATAATTTTTATCGACAATTTTAAACGGGACAATACATTCACTTTTGTTTTCCTATCTATAGATTTATCCTAGAAACCGATTATTCGTTTATTCGTCTAAACTGCACGAACTCCATCGACAGTGATCGATTATTATTTTTTATACGCATAACAATATTATGATACACAAATTATAATTTGAGCTAGTGTGCCTAAAACTTATATAAGTTTGGCCAGTATCTTCGATACAATAGTATCTTATATACGTTTATATTAGATACGTCATACAATATTGTACATTATTGTACTTTATCTTATACTACGACACAGTTCTGGAAGTTATCGAGCGTCTTGTATTGCGATATTAAAATCGTATCTAGTATTGAGTATTCAGATAGTATCTTTCGTCGCGAAATATCTTTACAACAGTAGGTAATCAATAGAAAACGATTTCGTGGTTGACTACTCTCTCTCTCTCATATTAAAATGTATTCAGTGTTAGGTATGTAATGTAAAAAGCCTTTAATCTAAACTAATCGATATGATTAATTTCCGTAAAACAGAAACAAAAAACCCGGTAGAAACCACAATTAATCTGAAATTTGGCATACTGATAGCTATTATGACGTAGGTATCCGCTTAAAAGAATTTTTGAAAATTCAACCCCTAAGGGGGTAAAATAGGGATTTTTAGGTACATTTGGTACCAATATCTAATTGCCTAATTTTGTTATTTCTTATTCAAGGGTTGCCACGGAAAAGAAAACTATTACATTTACACTATTAAAATTTCACAATAGAACACATTTAATCCGCTTAAGGTGGACTACTCACTTTTCATCTATTTGTTTTCATTCAATTCTGACACGGCCAAAACCAAAAATGAATATGAGTAATATAATAATAATACAAATTAGCACGGGCAATGCCCGAAGTCCTGCGTATTTTTACGAACTCAACAAAATAATATAGGTATAAAATGTACACGATAATGTAAACCGAAAAGGAATGATGCATTTTCTGTATAATCCGATGAGCTTATTGTACAACGAGTAGGTAATCAATAAATATATTAACGGTGGTTCGGAATTGATGAAAATAATAATATGTCCAGTGTCGAATTAAGCAATATGCCACCTACAAGCAGAAGGAAATTTACTGTCCCTAAATGTTCATGTCTTTTTTTTTAGCAAACAAAATGTATAAAGAAATATATATATATTAACATAAAAATATGTTGAGTTTATTATTGAAAAGGTAGTACTATTAACTGAGATCTGCTCAGAATCGTTTTTCGTTAACAATGATTTATCTTTGCGTACAGATATAAATTGAATTCCCGTCTGTATCTTATTTTTTCAACTTTTTGCCTGAAACCTAGTCCTACTCGTCAATTTTTTATTTTATATTATAATATTCGAAATTACTTTATTTGAAAAAATAATAAAAATCAAAAGAAACGTTGAAAATATGAATATATTTGGTGACAGTTAACTTACATTTTGAAAAAAATTTCAAAATAATCGCTTGTGTAAACTAGAAGTGTACCAAAAAAGTTATTGAATAAACGGTTTTTACCTGTTTTCAATTTCACCACCGCAAAAAAAGTCTCAAGTTTTCTCGTTTTATAGATTCTGAGCGAAGCGAGGAATAGATTGGTTTTATACTGATGTATATTTATTTTTTTTTTTATACTATGACAAAAATTTCTACCAGAAATTTTAATTCAATACCTGTGTGATATCTTATCCGAGGGAAAATTTAATCTGGGTGGAACTTTAAGAAGGTCATTGTTTGATTTCCTAAGTGATTTTCATAATTATTGGGAAAAATCGGAGAAAAACAGAAAAACGGGAAAATTTACGAAATTTATTATTTTCAATTTTGTTTTTTGTTGTGAATTTTGTTGGGGCTTGAACATATAACTATTATGGTCATGGCACATTTTTATTCTGTAGGTACTCTGTGGATAACATTGTTAGTCCAAACAGAAATGCTTGGAAATTTAACAGGGGGTTCATTATAAGTCGTACTTTCTGGTCGAAAAAAAAAATAAAAATTGAGTGTAATGTAGAATTTTTTTTTATAAGAATTTTAATAAAATTAAATTTTGACGAAAATCGTAAATATTACGGCCTTTTAAAACATTTATAACCGAGCTCCGCTCAGAATCCTTTTTCGTTAGCAAAGATTAATCATTACGCACAGATATACATTAAATTCTTCTCTATATCCTACTTTCCTAACTTCTCGTTTACAATAGTGGCCCCTACCCATCGTGCGAAGCATGTCCGTCTTTTTTAATAACACTATTTTCCTTTTACCATTTTAGATTTATCGCTGATATGCAAATAATACTTTATTTTTGTTTTTCATCGATGAAACATAGGAAAAACATCGGGAAAAATATAAGTTTGCTAAAAATACAAATTCTAGTTTTCCGCGTTCACGGGAGCAATATTTCGGTGAGTTTATACAATATTATACATAATACCTTTTATACAGGCATAAGTATGTTTTTTCCTTTGTTATGAGTCCCAATTTCATGGTAATGAACAAAAAAAAGTTATCTTTTTATATTTTCGAAATGTTGACCATTTTTGTTATCAGGGCGGCAAGTTTGCCACCCCTGAAATGGTACCGTTTCAATCAACTGCTTGGGCTGCTTATAGGGTAGTCGAATGATTTTGAAAGCTTTTATCGCGTTTTAGATATTCAATTTTATCACGCTCATCGACATTACTATATTTAGTAATAAATGTGTTACTAGAATTTCAGTCGGATACAGAAGCCAAAATAAGATCGCTTACAATGCAGAATGACATCAAAAAATTAAACGCTAAAGAAAAAGAACGCATAGAATTTATCATAAATTAATATAATAAAATATACAAATCTAATCAAACATATAGACATAATTTTTTATCACAAATTGCAGGTCCACGATACCAAGAGAAAAAACAAGTATGTGAATTTTTAAAATTATTTCGACAATTTCATTTTATCTACAGGCAACGATACAATTTTAAAATTGTTATTTCCTAATTATCATATTAAAAATAACTATAATTAACATTATTTTGTATTTTTATAAAAATTCTAACTGGCAACGTCACATCAATATTTATACGGAATCGTGTTATTTTAAGGTAAAAAAAACAAAAAAAAAAAAAAAAAAAAAAAAAAAAATCTTTTGTGTAACGAAAATGTGCCCCCACGAGACACTGGGGTGTTCATATTCCTGCTGAAGGCGTATTGGATATGTTAGCCTCCCTCCCGTTCAAACGGGAACTCATCGGTGTTGTTAGATTGAACGCTACCCTATTAGTCTCATTATTTTATTTACACACTTCGTACATTGGACGAATTAAATATTTTAATCGAACGTAAGTTAGGTTTTTAAGTGTGGTCTTCGGAATTTGCCTTTTATTTAAAAATTATGTCTAAGTATATTTTGACATCATGTAAAGATACCGAAAGATGTACAAACCGGTGAGTGTAATTACAGTAATAGTTATATCCACTTATTTATTAATAATGTATTAATCAAATTAATCGAATAGATATAGTCTGTATTATTATGTAAAATTAATACAAAATATTCATTACAGGTACAGGTATGTATAAATATACAATATTATTCTGGCAACTCATTGGAATTTTACAACAGTAAAATTTTTATCAATAAACTCTTACTTGACTATTACAAACAAATCTAATTGGTACATAACACACATTTTCGGCGTCAGAATAAAAATTAAATATATTTTTTTATAATGTGTAACAATATTTGATTGGAAGTTTAGAGTTAAAAAAACAAAAAAAAGGCGTGTCGTCCGTTAATATTTTCAATGATATCGATATGATCATAACTATTTTATATAATACAAAAATATAATAGGTCATTTTAAACAATTTAAAATATAGTCAATAATCGTGCGGTATAAATGATTTCTATTGCTGGAAAATGAGTGACTTTCGTCGGGGTAAAACTAAAAAAAAAAAATAAATTAACACAATAATTTCTGCCAATACTACACTGTATATTACGTGCATTATATTATAGATATACGTACGAGTATTATATTAATATATGGATTTCACATCCCCCATACCCTTACGTTGTTAAAATTTCCTTAAATTACCAGTGGCGCAGCTATCGTAGAGCAAAGTGAGGCAATGCCCCGGGGTCCCAGAGCTGAAATTACTTCTTTAAAATAATTACAAGTTTTGACGTATTTAATAATGAATATTTTAAATCTTAAGTGGTGAATTCAGTTAAAATCAGTATTTAAAGATATAAATTATGTATTACTGAACTGCGCTCGAATCGTCTTTCGTCAAACAATGGTTTATCGTTGCTTACAAATATAAATGAAATAACCTTATTTATCCTATCTTCCCAACTTATCACCTACAACAGTGACCGCTCCTATCTCCAGTATCAGCTCATTTTTTTAAAAAAATAAATATTAAAATTAATTGTTATTTACTTTAAAACTTTACATCCGAGTCATAGATCTTATTATTATTTTATATCACAGGCGTAAATTGCCGTTATGTTATTTTTAGATTCGGAACGGAGCTAAAATTTTAATTTTTTGTATCTGTGAGCAAATTTCCTACCAGAAATCTTGGTCCGAAGTGTAACACTTTTTTTTTAAAGTAAATTTTATTTAGTTGGTACTTTAGGTAGGTCACTTTTTGATTTTCCATAATAATAGAAAAAAACCGAAAAAAAATTATCAGAAAACGGCAAATATTTACTGCACACCGCGACGTTACCGATTTTGATGTATTATTTTCAAATCGTAAATATCAAAGTTTTTCAAAACATGTATAATTGAACTTAGCTCAAAATCTTTTTACGTTTGTAATGATAATCGTTGCGTATAGATATACATTCAATTTTCCCTTTATACTTTTTAACTTCTCACCTACAACAGTGGCCCACCTATCGTGCGAAGTGTGTCCGTTTGTTTTTGAAATCAAATTTATTATTCGTAAATACGCCACTGATAGATTATAAAATCGTTGCTATCTTTTTCTAATAATTTTGTTATCTTTGTTGTTAAGCTTTTTTCTCTCTCTCAGTATTAATGGGTATATGGTAGATGAGAGAAATAGGTTATACCTATACTGTATAATTTACTCAAAATATTACCTTTATCTTTTTCAAGTCCACTATCATTTTTTTATATACTTAAGTTAAATTTAAACTTAATACGTTTTATACACATCAATATCACGCTATCTAAAATGCATGAAAAAATAAAATACAATAATTTTATCCACATACTTGCTGGCTGAACGTAATACCCAGGTGTTGTAATTCTTTCGACAGCATCACCGAATGTTGGAAATGAACGTTGTTGTCGAACAATCCATGGATAAGCATGTACTTCTTGTGTCGTAGGTTCGTGGCATTTTCTATTAAACTAGAGTTACGATAACCTTCGAAATTTTCGGTATACATCCCCATAAGACGCTCGGTATAAATAGAGTCTAAAAATTGAGTTCAAACAATGGAATTGTCATTTTGATTTGAGAGGATGAGGTTCGTTGGAGGGCGGAGCTACTCTACTAATTTTTATTTTTTTTAGCATCCCTTAAATAATTATTTCTATTGTGATGGAGGAACGGTATGTCTGTTTTGTAATTAATATTTCCAAAAAACTAGGTATTTAGGGGTTAAGATAAATTATTATAATTTTTTAGATGTACGTCGAGGAATATGCATTGGTTTTATTATGATGTGTTTTTAACAGTCTATCAACAACTTTTATACCAGTAATATTATTCCGATTTTCAAGTATTTCACTTTATCTGAGATCAAATTTCTTTTGGCTGGTGCATTATGGCGATTATTTATTTGATTTTCATTGCAGTTTTCATAATTATTCGAAATAACTGGGAAAATAGTGTAAAGGAGTGAGCGGAGTCAAGGCAAAATTCCCAAGTTAAGTTTACTTCAACCATTACAAGAGCCGTTAAAATATTAAGTATCGTAGCTCCTCATCTTTTATTCTTCCAATTTGAGCACTGGATGATAATGATCATGGATCAAAATTAATTATAATATAGGAGGTAAATATACGAAACCATAATATATCCAATCGGTTACGGGAGCGATCGAGACTGCGCATTTAAATACGTGTTCGTTGTCTTTAGCTAAAGCCATGCCGGCCACGTAGCCACCATAACTCCATCCGTAAATGCCGGTCCTGTCGCTGTCTACGTACGATAAGGTTTTTTGTAAATATCTGTAGACATTCAGACTAGTAAAAAAAATTGTACTAAAAAGTAAAAATTAGGTAATCTTTTGAATGTAAACAATTTGGAAATAGAGCTTGGCCTACTCATCGAACAAAGTATGCCCGTTTGCTTTGATGTATAGAGATTTACTACTGTAGAGTTATTCATTTTATATTAATGTAAATTGTCGTAAATACGCACTTAAAGGTATAAAAGGAACGCCGTGCAGTCTGCAAGCGACGACTTTAATATAGTACACGTGCTCTCCCTCTATGGAGCGTTCCCACTTCCCGATAGGTTAGGTTAGACTTCACTTCCTTTGAAATCCACTCCCCCCCATATTTGGTATTTAGATATTTTTGGTTTGAAAATGATGAACAAATGTCACAACAGAACACTTTTGACACTTTTAGAAGGTGGACTACATACTTTTTGACATATATAAAATTATAATATACCTAAATATAAATTTTTATTTTATAAAAAATGAAAACATTTGAAATACCTATTGTGGAGTGTAAATTGATTATTCATAAATGCATAATACGTTTTAAGATCATATTCGGTTGCTGTTTCACATGCCAATACTATCACAATTAATATCACGGTGTAAAAATTAAAAAAAAAAAAAAATTTGCTCCAACGAATTGGCATCGCTGTGATTTTACTTTTTATAACTTCACCACCCTACTGCGCCAGGCCTGGATGTTTCGTCTATAAGTATAAGGTTTATGGTTGAAATATCTCATGGCCTTTTCGAGCTCCGTTGAAAATGAGAGTGGTAACGTAATATCGAATTATTGGTTATTGTATTATCATAGTAAATATGAGAACATGTAGAATTACAAACTCACGACTCAGGGCAAGTTAAAGAAAAACATTTAGAAATTATATACAAACTTTTTTTTTTACGCATTTCGTCTATTTCGTGTAAATATTACTGATATTACATAATATTAGAAACAATTTAATCAACTAAAATACATAGTTTTGCAGGCAGGTACTTTACAAATTAAGTATTTAACTATGAATATATATATATATATATATATTAAAAAGTATTTATAATCACTTGAAAGTTCCTACTTTTTTACATATGTTCACGTGAGTTGATAGTACATGATATTTAATTTTAAATAAATACAATTTTCCTGTCCTTGTACGACATATGCTATTATAGTATAATAAAAAAACCGTACCGTCGAACTAGTGGGAAATTATGAAATGTAGCTGTGACGCTGCAGGACGAAATGAGTTTTTAATATATTAACAAAAAGTATCATTTACATAAATTTGATGGCCAAACACAATAATATTATTATCAACCAGAACTGGGCAAAAACAAATCATCAACGAATAATGAATACAAATTTAAAAATGGGTCCTATACCTATGAATAATAATTGAGTTATTTGCATACAAATTATGTATTATAATGGACATAATAATTTACTAGTAAAAAATAATGGAGATATTTTTGTAGAAATATTTGTCGAATCATTTTTTTTTTCTTGGCTCGTGAACGTTAATTTTTTTATTTTTATCTCATTTTATTGAATGACAGAATCAATTTTTTTCACTCTATACGCGTATTCCGTATGACGTAATTACTTGTACGTACACAATTTCTATTAAAGTTAAAGCAATTGGATACCGATATTTTCTTTCTGAAATTCTGAATCTACGTACGACACATATATACAAAGTATACTAATTTAGACCTATTATTTTCTTCTATCATTCGCAATCTATGTAGTGAGGCAATACGAATTCTGACAACAGATATGTTATATTATGAATTTAGTGTGAAGTATACACAATAACGACAGGCTAATTTTTAGATTTTGAGTGGAGCAAAGAAGCTTATGGTTTTACAAAGATATTTATTTTTTTATTTTTAAAATGTGGACAACTTTTCTCTCAGAAATTTAGCTCCGGTTTATAATGATATCACTTTTTCTGATAGGAAATCTGACTGGGAGGATACTTTAAGGACGTCATTTTTTGATTTTCTCAGGAGTTTTCCCAATAAATAGGAAAAACCAGGAAAATCGGTACAATATTGAACAAATATTATTAAAGAAAATATGTAATGCCTAATTATTTTACTATAATATGACATATATATTGTTGACAAAGCTACACTATCAACTAAACTTCAATTAGAATCTTTTTTTAATTTTCGTTAGCAATGGTTTATCGTTACTTACAGATATGCATTAAATTCCCTTCTGTATCCTACCTTCCAAATTTTTTTTAAATCGGTAAATATTTTCAAATTAAATTTTTGTAAATTAAGAACTGAAAAAATGATTTAAATTCGTGTACATTTCACATTGAATTTAAATTTATTTTTCAGAACTATTATAGTTTCACTATGTCGAAAATCAGTCTAAATATGCATATTAATATTACAACATTAGTATGTATTAGACAAAAAAAAAATCAAAAAAAATCGGTATTGAATATACTTTTATAAACTCGTTTATATACATACTTGGCAACAATGATTTGATCGTCGATTTCCCCTGTACCCAATTTTTTATAATTTTCAAACAACGTATCGGTTCCTCTAAGCTCTGTGCCTCGACCATCGATGCAAGCCACAATAATATTGTGGTTTACGCTGAGATACATGTCCAGGTCTATTTGAAATTTGTCCAACGCTACGTTTACCATGGGACCACCATAACTACATGGAACATAACAAATGCCGAACAAATTATATTTAAAATATTAGGTTTTATATTTTGTTTTGAGGGTAACTTAGGCCTACTTACTGATTTGGGTATATTTATAAGTTTTCAATAAATGAGTTTAATATTTTGTTTTTAAAATTTAAATCGTTAATTATTGTAATTATCGTGATAACGTAAGCAGCGAACTTAAGAGGGTAAATCGAGGTAACAAAAATGTATTTTTGTTTTGAGAATAATAATTGATAACTAGTTTATTTTAATTTTATATTCTGGATGAAACAAGGAATGTACGTATTGATTGTATTATGATGTATTTTTTTCCTGTAAATAATTTTTCTACTAGACATTTTGTTCCAATAAAAAACTATACAGGAACTTTCATATAAAACTTTTGATTTAGTCTGTGCATTTAGATTTTCATTTTTTAAATATCCTTTTAGTTTTTCGATAAGGTAGAAAATTGTCGATTTTTATTGATTTTTGGATTACCTTGGCAATTTGGCTGGACAACAAGAGAAAAAATACGACGAATAATACTCGGTTCAGAATCACTTTTCGCTGGTAATAGTTTGTCGTTGTATACAGATATTAATTGATTTATTTAAATTTTCATTTTTATCTGTATGATTGTATGGGGGCTTATTTATTCGACTGTGCGGGCCACTTAAAAATCGTTATATAGGTATTATAATTTAACTTATATACCTGTTAATTATTAGGGGATACTTTTTGCCCGGCGAAACGTCAAGTCCCGGTGGAATTAGTAATTTCACACTAGCTTCGAAACCGTCGACCAACGGTATGGTCAAAAATAACACTCGAGGTAAAGTGACGTTTTCCAATTGTCTGTACACATTTTTATTTGTTTCCCACGCAGCAATATTTTCACCATCCTTAAAAGACAATAAAATAATCAAAGATAATAATATAGTCACCGATTAGATATACAGTACACACTTAATTTATAGCAGCGTTCAGCTTCGGGGATTTTTATTTTAAATTCTGAGTATAATGATGAAGACACTTAAATTTTTACAAATATGTTTTTTTTTTTTCTGAAACCACTTTTACGCAGGGCCGGCCTTAGGTATTTTACCGCTTTATGCAATTCTAATTTACGTTGCTTTATTCAAAAATTAATTTCTTGGAGAGGACGGAGTTGCATACAATATTGACATTCGTTTTTTAACGATAAATCCTTGTTTTTATTTAAAAAAAAAAAAAAATGTTTTGACAGAACTCGGGTTTTTTTTATAAAATTAAAATAAATGTTCTGAAATAGTACAAGTCATATTTATAACCGACGGTACATATTCATTATCATTATAATTATCATACATTAACAATAAGTATTTAATTAGGTACATTGAACAAATATATAATTTCAAAATTAAAAAGACGTCCTAGGATAATGGGGGTTGGGTGCAGCTACTGTAATAAATAATTTAATGTATACCATAAGCAATGATAAATCATTACTAACAAAAAACGATTCTGAGTGGAGTTCAGCTGATAGTGATGCTTTGTCAATAATACATGCATATATGTCATATTATGGTAAAATATAATTAAATAGGCATTATAATAATTTATCCAAATTTTCAACAGTTCGACTTTAATACCTTTTTATTTTTTTTATTTTTTATTTTTGTTGATTTCCGTGTTAACACGGCTAAAAACACGACTAGTATACTAATTTATTAATATACTAATATACTATTCCATTCAGAATCATTTTCGGTTTGGAACGAAGTACCGTTACATATAGTACATAAACTAATTAATTATTCTATCTATATATTATATACACCCTATATGACTATATCTTCCAAACTGTAGCCGATTCACATCTACAGCAGTGACCTACCTATGGTGTGAGTTGCTCTTTTTTCCCGACAGAATGTGGAATAAAAATATTGTAAAAAAAAAAAAATCAATAATTGTACGTACGGTTTTCATTATGTTCACGTACGGTATGCTCGGTCCCATACATATGTGCGCCAAGTACGTATTTTTTTCACTGAATGTTGCTTCGTTAAAATTGCATCCTGTGTCACATGTCAAACATTCCGGTTGGTTCTGTTGGCCGCATTCAAAGTTCACCAGCACTCTGTATAAATGTTGTTTCTCGGGACCACCCTCGACGTTGGCTAAATAATATCTGCACAAACGGTGTCATTGTATACTATTATGATAACACATCATGAACCAATAATAATAATAATAATAATAATAATAATAATAATAATAATAACATCGTATATCACAACAAATCAACAGGGTGTCCCACGATGGGGGTGTCACACTTGGAATAACTTTTGTTCTATTCAATGTTTTTAATATATATATATTTTAAATAATTACTATTCCTCTGCTCCACAGTTGATATATTACACATTTTTTTTTAGGTGGGTAAATTAAAAATTTTTAAATTTTACTATAATTAAGAAAAAATAAAAGTAAAATAGATTCTTTTGAAAACGTTTGATAGTTGAAACGTTTGTTATAGGTATGATATTTTATTTTCTAATAAATAAATGTGAATATTATTTTGATTTACAATTTATTATGATATTAGTCCGTAGTATTGTTGTATGATATTAATTCATGGAAATGAAAAAACCCCGTTATGTGCTATGGATGTTTTTGAAAAAATTACAATACAATTTTTTAATTTTTAATTTAAAGTTCTCCTGCCTAAAAAGAAAAATTGAATATATTAATTGTAGCGCAGAGGGATACTAATTATTTAAAAAAATATATATTAAAAACATTGAATAGAAAAAAAGTTATTCCAAGTGTCGAATAATCGTGGGACACCCTGTATAGTATATATCTATGCGGTTCGAAGTTAATATAATAGTATATTCGAGGACGAAAATATATTATTCTATAGAAAATCCAATTATTTTTTTTAAATAACCGGAATATTTTGGATGGCCGAATCGAGCAGCAACAACAACAATAACATAAATAATAATACATATTAGAAAAAAATGACCAGTTGAACAGTATTTTAGTCTCTGGACGCTTCATTTATCGTCCTCGGGCGATTGGTAAATTATTTCACGGTGGTAATTTAATAAAGTGTTCAATTCAATTATTATCAAAACAAAATCGAATGCGATGCCCAATGTCGCAATAACGACGTGTAAAACCACCCACGTATAAAAGAAAAAAAAACAAAAATAAAACCTGACCCGAAAAAAAATAACTGACGGGTTTTCGGACATTCGAACGACAAGTAGAGACACATTTAAACACGATAATATGACAACGGTGCATGTTTAATGCATCGCGTCGTACCAATTTATTTTTTACACCGTGTATACCAGTACAGGTGTTCCAACAATCCGATAACAGTTGACATTTGAGGACGAAAAAAATAAAAATATAACATAATATTATGTGGAAATAATATTTTCCCGGGACATTATATTCGACCTAGTATATTGAACAACTATATTAAAAATTGTCTGGAAATTAATCGAAATTTTCGAAAATGACAGAAGTCGTAGAATTGCTAACTCATTCGTTACAATAACCATGCGAAACTATTAATTATTATGCAAGTATTTTATATATGTTGTACTGATGTTTTTTTTTTTTTTATTATTCAGCCACCCACTGAATTATTATGGTTATTTGTGTAAAAAAAAATCATGAATTTACATAATTTTATTGTTGAATGATCTCGGATATTCAATTATTACAGAGTTTAAAAGTTAGTGATTATTATAGTTTGAAATTAAATTTTCAGTAAAAATAAAAACCGCTTGAAAACCGTGGATGGTGTGCGCTACATATTTTGTATCGACGACTCACAAAGTTTAAGTTGCAAAACCTAATTTTGCTTGCGGCTTGTCTATGAATAATAGTAACGACTAATTTTCCGAATATTGTGACGTCATATAAAAGTTATAGAATCGCCAAAGTCTCGCTGTACAAAAAATAAAAAAAGAGAGAGAGAGAATCACGTTTTATCGTTTTTAATTTGTTAATTTATCGCTGCCACAAAATAATAAGCGCACCAAATCACACGAATACAATAAATTTGACGCTATAAATTAATATGAGTACACCAGCTACTATTATATTTCGTATATAATAGCTTAATAAATTATAATATTAAATTTTTGATTGTAAAGTCATATGCCATATTCATTCACTCATTGCATTGATAACTATTAGTTACAAGAGTTATCAACTATAAGTATTGTTTGTATCTCATCATTAATGATGCGTTTTTTGCTTTTTCTTCAAACAACTTTTCTACCAGAAATCTTACTCTAGTCAAAAACATTATCAGAATCTTTTTGTTGTATTTTTATTTATCTTGTTGTTTGGGAGATCACTTTTTTGATTTTTTTGGATAAATTGGCAATTTTTTATATTTTTTTGTTAATTTCTGGGTTACATTAGCATCAAAGGAAAAACTAATGATACTCCGATCACAGTTGTTTTTCATTAGCAATGGTATATCGTTGCACATAGATATAAATTAAATTACATTATACAGAGTGTCCTAAAGTGTTTTCTTTATGCTAATAATGTTATCAATATTAATTTTGAAATTTTTTTTCAATCGGGTTTTGTGCAAGGAAGACATATATGTTGAGAAAAATTAAATTTTTATTTTCAACCCTTAGTCACTGATACAAAATAATTTTATTTTATCACTTTTTAAAATAATCAAAATAGTCATTTTGTAAAATATTATTTTAGTTAATATTTTAATGTAACATATATTCATACCCGATTAATAGTTCCTAAGTAATAACCGTTTCGATTTCTAGAAAATTTGCGTGAAAACAATTAATTTTTAATAGAATAACATGTTAAGTAATAAAGAATAACAATCAATACGGTAATTCCTTATCTTGTATTGAATATATATTGATTTCATGTGTATTTTCTACACATTAAAGCCACTATATCTGAGAAACTAAGTCGAATATGAATGTAACATTAAAATGTTTAGATTAATATATTTTAAAAAATGGCTATTTTGACATTTTTAAAAAGTGGAAAAATTAAAAATTATTTTTCAGTGATTAAGGGATGAAAATAAAAATTTAGTTATTTTTTACATAAAACCCGATTGAAAAAAAAAATTAAATAAAATGAATATTAACAGTTATTAGAATAAAAATATCAAAATATCACTGTAGGTCACCCTGTATATCCACCTTTTTAACTTCTCTCATAAATATTGATATAGATACTTACTCTATCAGCCTTTATTTTTATTATTATTTATGGGTTACTCTGGTGACACTTATGAAAACCAAAAATATTATTTTTATTATTTACGTGCAAGGTTTGCCCTTGCCCGTACTTGACACTTGACAGATAGTATAATACAAGGGCAAAAAATTTGAAAAACGTTTTTTAATTATATTAATATGTATAAAAACTTATTTTTAACCATTTTTAAAATCATTATTAGTCCTAAGGCTGTAAGTGAGAAGGGATTAAAATGAGTGTTTTCAATTCTTGTAAGTTGAGTTTTTTGTTTTCAAAGGGTTGTAGTTTTTACCTAAATGCACTTTGACTATTTATTTTTTTCAATCCGAATTTTAATTCAGGTGGAAAGAATTATTCAAAATATTGTTTATCCAATATATGTAAATCCGCTTCAGTGACCACTAGAATAGTGGAGTTTTTAGGAGTGGAGCTACAAACGGTAGGGTGCAATTTTTTTCCGATTACCATCGTTACCTACACGCCACTGAAGAGCTCGTTTTTATTATTACTGTAATTACCAAAACAAATTTTCCGTCACTTACATGTAATTGGTTTCCGAGTTCCACTTCACGAGCTTCGTAACTTCGAATTTACCGTCCGTCAATGTTTTCATTTCGCCGTTCGTTTGTATCACAGTCACGTGTCCATAAGAATCGCCGTTCGTTTGTTCCGTCGGATACACCAAGGCGACTTGCTGTTCGGAATCGATTAAGATGGATCGGCGAAAATTGAGCCATCCGTTTTCCTGGAGGAATTCCATTGTCTATAATAATATAAAAAATGCTATAGCAAATTAATTGTTTTCATGCCAATTTTTTTAGAAATAAAACTGGCTATTACTAAGACACAATTGATCGGATGTGAATGTATGTTACATTCAATTTATAAGAATAATATATTTTAAGCTTCGTACAGACTATTCGACTAACGCAACCGAAGGCACACGTGACCACTATATTCGGTGATGTATGAAGTGTGGAAAGTGCAACCGAACGAATGAAAACGGCGAATGTGTTTTCGGTCGCTTTCATTCGCGGAGCGGTAGGTAAATTCAAATAAATTCTTTATCAGTTTGATACACGATTTGTTAACATTTTAGTCTTCGGTTGGCATTTGGTCCGAACGATATATATTTTTTTTTGTATTGTGCAAGTTTAATTATTTCAATAATATTTTATTAAATTATAATTGTGTATAATTTTAAATGATAAATATTTTTAAAATGTATTAGACTGATAAACTATTCCTTCAATTAATAGGTTTTTGTCAAGGAAGGTCTATTCTATGGGATCCAACTGATTTTGAGTGTGAATTAAATAAAAAAAAAAAAATTGATATATATATATTTATGGAGTGAAATTGCAAAAGAATTGAATTCTGAAGTTATTGATATATGCAAAAAAAAAAAATGGAAAGTTTATCGATTTCATTCAGGTGCGAACGGTAGGAAGAAGGAACTACATCTGGAATGGGCAAAGACGAGGCGTATCACATATGATGGTTTGAATTTAAATCTATGCAATTTTTAAACAACAGTTAAAATCTAGGAAATTAAAAAATACAGAAAATACTATAACTATTTATTTATTTATAATAATAGGCTTGTGTCCTTACATCAACATAATTATAGGTTATTCAGATACATTAATTTACAAGAAAAATTACAAGAGCATAAAATATATATTTTGGTTCAAAGAGAAGAAAATTGTTGGTTTAAGATACAAAAAATATTAAGAACAAAAAAAGGAAAACTTGGAATTGGCAGTAGACATAAGGTGGATAATTAGTTCATTAAATTCGTAATTAATAGAGTGGAAAAGAAGGGAAATTTTTTTAGATAAACAAGTAATACGAGAAGGAATATAAAAGTTAAGATTAGAAAGTAAGAATGGGCAATCAATTTCGTTGGAGAGAAGTTTCTGCAGGAAGTAAATATTTGGCAGAAAGTCTGCAGTCCACTAAGCTTACTAAATTAAGTTTATGGAGAACGATATTGTAGATATGTGGAGTGTGATCTATTTTGAGCAGGAGAGCTACATTCTTAAGAAATTCGCACTTGTACTCGTTCTAATTGTCTGCAAGCAACCGCAGTTTAGGGATTCCAGAAAATAGAGCCATATTCCAATAATTGGCCGAACGAGGGCACAATGAAGAGCTTTAAAAGAAGCACATAATTTGAATTCGGAGGAAATACGCTTCAAGAAACCCAACATTTTTAGAACTTTACAACAGGCTTCCTCGATATGGAGATTTGGACTTAGTGAAGGGCATAAAATAAAACCGAGATCACGAATTTCATTAGAAGCTCTAGGTAAATTAAAGCCTTAGATAACATAGCTGAAGTTAATAGGTTTTAGACAACGCGTAAAGGTCATAGTGATATATATGAAAATATTCAACTGAAGATCCAAAATATTAGACCAGGTAATGGACTCTGGATATTATCCAGATCAAATTGTAGTTTTTTACAGCAGTCAATAGAATTAATACGCATATATATTTTTAAGCCATCAACGAAAGCTAAAAGATGACTGTGGTTAAGAACCCGATTAATGTTATTAATATAAATAACGAAAAGAAGGGGGACAAGTGGCCACCCCGAGGAACCCCAGACGTAGGGGTAAACAGATCAGATCTAACATCATGAAAGTAGACCCAAGAGACCCTGTCTTTAAGAAAATATTTAAACCACGCTAATAAAGGATTGCCAAACCTCGAGTCCACTAGGATATTCAACAATGCGTCATGGTTAACTCTGTCAAACGCTTTTGAAAAATAAAGAAAAATGGAATCTACTTGAGAATGATCATGGAATGCATCAAATATGTAATAAGAGAAAGTGATAGAATAAGCGTTGGTGAACCTTCCTGGACGAAAGCTAAATTGTTCGTCCATGATTATGGGGTTGACAAGTGGAAGAATATTTGTATAAACAATAGATTCGTGAAGTTTACTGACATGAGAGAGAATAGTAACGGAACGTAAGTTTTCCACTTTAGAAGAGTAGCCAGATTTAAAGATAGGAGTAATAGAGTTTAACTTCCATATATCGAGAAAGAAACCTTCATCAAGAGACCGCCTAAACAAATGAAAGAGCACATGGGAGAAAAATGTCCTAATTTTATAAACAAAATCACCTGAGAGTCCATCAGGACCGATAGATTTAACACCACGGAGAGCAGTAAGTCCAGAGAAAATATTATGAACATAAAAATGCAGTTGTTAGAAAGGTTATATAGGAGCATGTGAGACAAGGAGGTTTGGAAATTATGTTGACATAAATTGGTAGAAAAAACAGAGCTGAAGAATGAAGACAATTTATTTGGAGCATCGAGTTTATTGGCACTGGGTGAGTTATTGAAGCTCAGGAAGACGGTTATTTAAGCGATTTTAACGTAAAAAGCCCCAACATTTCCAAGGATTACAACTTAGGGAATATTCAGTTCTTGATATGAAAGCTTTGTTACATTTTTTTGATTCTAATTTAAAGCATGCCCGCAAGAGAGAGAAATCCTGATAATTGGAAGGATCAAGAGAAACCTTGTACTTAGAATGTACTTTGTTCTTAAGATAAACTATATTTTTAAGTTCTTTAGAGAATCAGAATGAACATTTAGAGACAACAAAGTTTTGTTGTGGGACATAGTGAAGGATACAGAAATGTAAAGCGTCGTATAAGGCACTGAGTTTAAATCAAGCTGGGAAAAAGTTTCATGCCAATTAAAAGAAAACAAGAAAAGGAGAACTACGTCATATTGTGCGTATCAAAAATCAAAGGAAGTATGATAAATGCTAAGCGGAGGGGTGAGACAGCGATTTTAAAGGGGAAACAGAGTGCTGGGTGAAATTTATCAAAAAGGAAAAGTGGTTCAAAATACGGGTTCGCGACTAAATTAGACGACTATATTATAACATCTTCAGAGATGTAAGTTTTAAAAATAACACTGATTAAATTTTAAATTTAAAAATTTAGGAAAATATTATAAAATTATGTACACATGTGAAATGAATAAGCGAAGGGTTCCATATGAGGACTAATTACTCATTCGGAATGAGTTTGGACAATGTGCTTATGCTCTTTACATATGATTACAGACAACACCGAATGTGGTGACATTTGCTTTCGGTTGTATTGGTCCATAGTCTGGATGAGGCTTTACAGATGGCTATTTTGAAAATTTTGAAAATTGATAAAATAAAAATTTATTTATTTTCCAGTGATTAAATAATGAAATAAAAATTAAATTTTTATCTAGGTCACACGGTGTCACACTACCGTCTCTATTTCCCCGTTTGATTTATTTCCCCATTGGACATTTTCCCGTCCAATTAATACCTTATACAACCAATAAATAAGTGAATCTCTAGTGGTCTCTGGACTTATTAATTTTAAACTATAAATAGGGAAATACAGACATTTTTAAAATAAATATTTACATTTGACCATGACATAGAAATTATAATTAAATATATCATTATATTTATATATTTAATATAATGTATATTATGAATATAATTGTATGGTAAATTTATTTTTTTTTTTCAGTTATGTATGCTGAAATAATATCAATCTGAATAATTGAAAAAATTACTCTTGAGAGAAAACCCGTTTGCTCAAAAATTGAAGAATATGCAAATTTTAGTAAATTATTTGCAAAATAATGATGCAGGTGCTACAGACTTGACGAGTCTGTAGCACGAGTAGGTAGTGCCAACATTATAAACGTGATATCAACTGATAATAAATATTGATAGAATATAAATAACTTAGATGTATTAGATGAATTAATTTAGAAAATAAAATAGTGAGATACTTGCAGTTTTAGTATAAGAAAAAAAAAATTACAATTTTCTTACCTATATAGTTACATTTCCCAAGCCATAAGCCATAAGTGGTAGGGCAATAATTATACTTATATTATACTTTTTATTAAAATTCACTTATTTATTGTTTGTATGAGGTGTTAAGATTAATTGGACGGAGAAACGTCCCACAGGAAAATTAATCGGACGAGGAAATTCCCGACAGGGAAATGGCAACTGGGATATATCAGACGGGGATGTTACTTAAACCCGCTAAAAATCCAATTGAAAAAAAAATTGATTATTGACAGAATTATTAACATAAGAATAATACTGTAGGACATTGTGTATATTCGTCACTGACGGTGCCACTGAATAGCGCTATACTAAGTAAATCAATTCCTCATAAATTTTGTATAGTTTCACTAGCAGAATAATAAGGGGGGGTCCTTACATACTTACTTACTTACTTCTCTGACTTCAACCGAGTTATTAGAGATGTAGTAATGCACTAAGTGTGACTCGTTTTGAATTCTGTTCATCCACATGACGTACAAATGCTCGTCACCCGACCATATAACTGTATCGAGAATAGTCTCGTTGCTGGAAACATTTAAGTAATTATATAAGTGACGATGATACGTTTTTTTTTTTTTTTTATTAATCTATTCTTTTCGTGACTAAATGCAGTAACTATATAATGTATTGTAATGGATTTGTATTCCGTTTTGTTTTTAAACGGAATAACGATTATATAGTTTATCACGTGTCTGCGCTTGTTAAAATTTGACAGGACAGAGAAATAATTACATTATATTGACCTTGCAAACTACCTATGTGATAAAATGTTTGAAAAAAAATAAACCATCGTGTCAACACTATTGTTTGTTTTTATTAATTATAATTACAATTATTCTGTAATGAAATTAACCTTTCCAATTTTCATACAGTAAAACTGTATATTATTCTAGCAATAATAATATTATTTTCTGCGTATTCGGGCAAACGTTATAAATCGCATTATACATAAACGGCCACTTTAGGCTCGAAATTGCGTTATAACATGTGTTTTTACCTTTAAATTATACATCTATGTCGAGCACCTGCCTTCTTTTAAGTACACTTCACAATGAAAAGCCCTTGATATAATATGTGAAATGTGGACATACAATTTATACGGTTCGTAATACTAAATAATTAATTACTATGCAATTCTGTCGTCCATGAAATAGGACGGGGATAATAATAATAATTGGAAATTTTGTTCCTAAAGGTTAAGTATATAATATTATAATGTTGTGTAAACGTGTCACGTTTACTTTTCGTGTGAATTGTACGGTTTTTTAATTTGTCCGTAACTAAACAAAGATATTTTAATAACTTTCAATTTTCCCAACTCTTAAGTACTTAAATTAAAAAAAAAAACGTCCATAATTATATGTTCCGTTTGTGTACCTCAAAGATGATGTTGATATTTATTTTATTTTGAAAAGTTAACGCCAAACAGCTTTTACAATGGGAATGATATAAAAAATAAAGTAAAATATTTGACAATAAAAACCTATTCAATTATTATATATTAAACTATATCGAATTATATTGAATCGAATCTACTAATAATAGTCAATTACGCGTCTAAAGTTTGGATAGTATAAGTTCAGTTATAAGTTTAGCAACAGGATAAATTGTTCTGTATTCCTCCGCCTTTTGGTATACACATTAAATGTTTATATAATCTATTAAGCCAATACTTAATTCACATGATTACAATTTAAAATGTTTTTCTTTCGAGTATGCCCAAAGTTAAAATTACTTTTAATATTCATGGCTTTATTCTTATTCGAAAGTTTACCATAATTTAAAAATAATTTATATTGCTTCTACAGGCTACAATATTTGTTAAAACATTTTGAAGTTGATAAAAATATTCAAAAAATTATAATATATTTATATAAGCAATTTAATAATTTGTTTACTTGGCAACAAAATTTAAGAATTTATAAATCATTTAAGACTTTTGTCCTATCTAGTTATAAGTATTTTTTCCACACATCCGAGGCAAATATACGTTAATATCGTATATTGGTTTATGAACTATGTTTTACAGGGATGAATTGATTCTGCTTTAAGCGTAAATTCTTCGGATAATTACGTCTAAGATTGAAGGATTGAGGTAATTAAAATATCAGAGGAACTAGGAACCTGAAGTACATTGACGAGACGTAACATTGAACAGAGAAAAATGGTGAATTTGATTTGGAAAATTGGTGTAAATATTCTAAAGGTTGAACTTACTAAGAACATAGTGAAAACAATTTATAAAAATATATTTACCTAATAATATGACCTATAAATTATATATTGTGTACACCATTATACATAATATTTAATTAGAAATAAATAAGGATGACGGGCCATTCGATGCCTCGATACATTCGCATATCGGAATAATAATAACCAAGGTAATGTTTGTTACCTATCGATTTTGATATTTAATTATGTTATAAGTTTATAATATTTTAAAATTATAAGTGATAATGTGATAACCACGCCGTGGTTAAGTAGATTAAATTAAACTATTTAATAGGTATTTTTTAAATTTTACAACGTTTATTTACATCTAGCGAATTTGCGTTCAACAGAACCAATTTTGGGTTGTTAGTTTTAATATTAGCTTGAATCCACCTACTATTACATTGATATTTATATTATGAGATAAATAAATAATATTAACGAATTATTTGTTAATATTTGCATTTTGTTTTTATTTTTAAACAAGAGTATTGAGAACCGAGTATTGAAATAAAAATGAGTATTTTAAAATTAATTAAATACACCCAAGCTAAATATTGTTATACTCACGTGTAGGTATTCACCGGTTTTATCGATATTGCAGGTGCGGGGTCGTTTTTAATGTTTAGGCTTTGCACGAATAATTCTACGGTGGGATTTGGATCGTTAACCTATTTATATAACATGCAACGTTCGAATTTTAAATGTACACAAAATATTACGAATAATAATGATACGACAATGTGATACTTTTGGATAATGGTAATTAAACAGTCGGCTGTATTGATCGTACATGGTGTCCGGTATTCCGTAATACTGTAAGTATACCGTTGGAACTAGAGTTTCGTTGAACGTCGCGTACGCTAATTTGGTCCCTCGGCCGGAAAACCACATTGCACGGTTCGAACGAAATATTTCTTCTAGAAATTAAAGAAAAATTACCGTATTTTAGATATAATGATGAAGACTGCATTTTACGAGTACATTCGTAAGTAGATATACATATTATGGCTATTCGATTATTTTTTTTTTCCATGATCGAATATTTTTATAAACAATTAATTGAAAAAGCGAATCATCGATTAATCGCGAAGCGTTTTTTCGATTGATACTGTACCATTATATGTTATAATGGTAATGCATAGGGTGCGGATTTATATGTATTTACATGTTGCAGGAAAATCTGATTGTTTTAAGCTAAGGTTAATATTACATATTTGAACTTACTTACATATTTTTGTTAAATATTCTCCTATTTTAAAAAATGCAGTGGTGTATCGCTGTTATCGTTGAAGATATGATTTTAAATCTTAAAATAGATGTCATTTCAGTAGAAAATATCAAAAATTGAATTAATAGTAATTTATTGAGAAATAATTTAGTATACATATCCTCCAATACTACAGTCCTTGTCAATTCTAATACAAAACTTGGTCCTGTTTGATAGCTTGGGTATTGTCTATATTATTGTGATCAAATCGAAAGAAGCCCTCGGGGAGCTCGACAAAAAAATCAAGAAAATAGTTTATAAAGAACTTAGTGAAAACCCCGGTTTAAAGGCAATTATTAAGCTTATTATAAACAATCAAAATCGTAGAAATAAACTAACTTGTCTTCAATTCAGTTTTAATGAACTAAGAAACTTTTAAATTTACTCCAATAATTTCTGTTGACGTAAAAAGGTTCTTTAGCCGATATGTTCTCGTTTTCCTGAAAACATTGTATAATACGCTGCGGATTCGCACGTTTGAGAAATGTCGAACAAAACAACTATAATAATATGTTATTATAAACCTTCCTTACCTTTGTACACCCAGTCAGGAATTCCATTGTAAAAGTCTTTGGAACCGTGGAAAGTTAGTTGTTTGGCGTGGTTCGGTTTCGCGACCGTTGGAATGTAAAATATATTGTAACCGTCAACGATGGCCAAGCTTGAATCGGTCGGAGACCATTCAGCGTGCATTACGTCTCTAGGCTTATGAAGCGTGTCCCTTAACGTTACTTGTTTTCTGACAACACAAAATACTGGCGTAAATATAATAATATATTGCAAAAGTTTTGGAAAGTTAGACAGGTAATAAAAACAATATTAAATATTGGTAAGAGTCAATGGCGTGTTGAAAATTCCGTTGAATATTCTCTCAAAGATGTTATGAACTCGCTTAAAAGCTTGCATATTGAAATTTAATCAATTAAATCAAAAATTCTCGTCCAAGAAAAAATTTCAGATATAATTCTGGAAATAATTGATTCTCTTTAATCTGATATTCTAGTTTTGAAAAAGGAAAATTCTGAACTTAGAAAACAAATCGAATTTCTTCATTCTAATCTCGTGCAGAAAAATTCAAATTCATATCTTCCCACTTCGTCTATTGACCTTGATCAGGAAATTAAAGAAAAGAAATTTAAAATAACGTAATATAATTCAATAATATTCAATGCTCCCGAGATTTTAAAAGATCTAGTAGATAATTTATTAAACCATTTAATTTATAACTTCCTATTTCTTCAGTGTATCCTAACTGATGGTGTTCCCGAAAAACTTTTGCAATTGTGTAAGTATGCTTTTTATCTGTAAATACAGATATTACAGTTTTATAATCCTCTATTGGTCAAATTGACTTATTGTACCTTGGTCTGTTCCATTTTAGAATATAGTTCCATTATTTAAAATTGTTTATTTAGAATCCATTAGCAACTCAGAGAGATTCAAAAGAGTGCAAAGAGGATTCCATTCAATTTATTGGTTTTAAAAGGAGAATAACTAATACTCATGATAATCTCTCTTTAAAGAGTATTTAGCTTTATATAAAATTAGATTCCCTTTCTACCTGTCGTAAAATGTCTTCCCTTTACGAAATATTAAATGGTATTATATCGTGTCCACCACGGTTTAAACTTAGTTCCTCAGTTTTATTCCCATTCATGTCTAAATTTCTATGTGGTAAATCAGTTCATCTATTTGTATAATATGACGATTTTTTGTTCTGTGGACAATTTTTCCGCCAGCAGTTTAGCTTCAATTTATAATGATAGCAATTTCTCTAAAAGGAAACTCCATATGGAGGGGGGGTACTTTAGAGAGGTAATTTTTCAATTTTATTAGGAATTTTCCCAGAAAATGTGAAAAATCGATAAAAAAACATGGGAAAACTGGGAAAAATGTAGGAAAACTGGGAAAACCGGTGCAACATTAAAGAAATATTATTAAAGAAAATATATAAAGTTTTGTTAATTATTTTACTATAGTATGACATATAATATATTGTTGACAAAGCATCAATATGAACTAAAATCGTTTTTTTTTTTGTAAGCAATGGTGTATCGTTTCTTACAGGTATATATTAAATTATTTATAACAGTGGCTGCACCTATCCCCATTATCTTAAGACGTCCTTTTGAAAATAATTATTTTAACGTCAGTTTTAATGAATAAAGATATATTTTGAAGTTTCTTTTTTTCCTCTATATTAAGTATTAAGTATTTTGTAGTAGGTATGAATTGAACATAAAGTTCAGTTCAGTATATAGTTTAATCACAGAAATATACCACTTTGGTGAATTTCTCCTCGCATTTAACCGCGGTTATCTACCTGCATCTATTATTTAATTACTACAGTAAAACTTTCATACAACGGTCACCGAAGGGACCGGAAATAATGACCACTATTTAGAGGTGACCGTCCTCTAGAGATATCTTATGAAGACATAACATTTGACGGGACCGAAAAAAATGACTGTTACATAGAGCTCACTGTTTAGAGGTAACTGTATATACACATTATTGTATAAGTATAATGGTTGTATTACATTGATTGTGATTAGAAATGTATTATTCATTTTTTAAAATAGAGCAAGGCTGATACTGCCGATGAGCGTGTCACTGTTTTAGAAAGGAAATTGTGAGGGAGGATAATATACAGAGTAATTTAATTCATATCTGTACGCAACGACAGATTATCACCTCCCTCTGTGGGCACCCTGCACGTTCAGAAGTTAACGCATTTACGATCCAAGGCGTAACCACCGCCGTTCTGTCGATGAGTAAGCACAAGGTGCCCGGACTCGACCGGATTATAGCTGGCATCCTCTCACAGGTCCTGCCGATTCTCGCCCCGGAGATCAGGGTGTTGTACAACTCATATCTACAGGTGGGTGTATTTTCGTCGACCTGGAAAGTCGCTGACGTGATAGTTGTTCCGAAACGCAATGCCAAGGATATGTCGGATCCGAAATCATATCTCCAGATTAGTTTGCTACTGGTTTTGGGCAAGACACTGGAAAACCTCTTAAGAGGGCGGCTTCGAGATCACCTTGTCAGTCATTCCTCCTTGGCTGTCAGACAATTTGGCTTTACGGCTAAGTGCTCGGCGGAAGACGTGATCAATACACTGCTCGCTACAGTGCGTGATTCAACTGCCAAGTACGTTGCCATTGTGTTTCTCGATATCTGGAGAGCCTTTGATAACGCTTGGTGGCTGTCGGTCTTGGCAGAATTGCGTCGTCGTGATATCTCGCCAGACTTGTTCAATTTTGTGATGGACTTTTTATCGGGTCGCTGTGCGGTGATTCGGCATAAGTCGGTCGTAATCGAGAAGGAAATCTGGAAGGTTTACCCCCAGGGGTCGGTGCTCGCACCGACCTTATGGAACGTTATGCAACCTTCGATGATTTAATAAGTGCTACCATGCCTGAAAGGGTTACCGTTTGCGCAGGGCCGATCAAGACCTCGTTACGGCCCTCGAGTGAAACAAGCTCTGTTTTTCCGTGGAGAAAACCGAGGCACAATTAGTCAGAGGTTTTCACGCACGTTCTCCGTCGATCCGAATGAATAGTGCCTGCCGAGTCAAGTTCGTACCGCAGGTGAAATATCTCGGGGTCATTCTCGATCGAAAACTTAACTTTGGGGCGCATGTTAATTACGTTTCCGGTAAAGCTAAATAAGTCTTTTCTACAAGAAAGCACGCGACGCTAGCCGCCAGCGGTTAATGATCCAGAAACGGATGTGGGTAATCGCCCGTGGGGTGGTTTGGTGCGGCGGGCACTTATGCTTACGCGTAATGCTCGTCCGGGACCAGTGGGCGCAACCCCGAATCTCAGACCATAACTAAAGAAAACGATTCTGTGCAGAGTATTTTTAGTCATATTTGTTGACCTTGTTACCAAAAGTATTCAAGATAGTCCAGATCATTGGTTGACAATTTTCCCATTTATTAAGAAAAAATTCTATCAATTCTATCAATGTGCCAGTAACAAAATCAAAAATGCTACGAGAGAGTTCCCATAAAGTTTTCGATTGAAGGAAGATTTCTGGTAAATCGTTATTTAAAGAACCACAAAAAGAAAACACATTAGTAAGTGCTAGTAAAACTAACGCATTCTTTGCTTTCTTCAGAATCGAAAACAGCAAATTACTATGTGATAATCGTTTTGTATGTGTACAATAATATTAAAATAATATAGTTACTTGAACTTACCCGGTTTTAATGTTGATAACATCATAATTTCTTGTATGAATATGTTGGTAAGCATTCTTCATAAAACAAACAAAAATAAATCAACATGGTATAAAAAATATATTAGGACATTTTTTCAAAAATAATCCCAAAGAAAAAAAAAAGGAAAAACTCGTTCGTCACCATTAATATTTTTGATACGAATATCTGCATACGAATGCATTTTTTTTTAAAATTACACTTATGTCTTATTTGTGGGAAATTCGATGAAATAATTATAGAATTGATTTTTACAATATTATTATAGGTATATATAAGTATGTGTACAAATACAATAAAAAATGATGTCAGTCGAAGTTTAATATTATACGTTTTTGATATTTCGTAGAAAACAAAAACAAAAAAACAGTATAAATAACAATTTTTGAAATTATTGAATAGGTATTACTGGCATGGGCTACATGCTGTAAATATTATATTAGTATTATGCATTTAAAATACGGTACTTGTGAATATTTCTACGTATTACGTATTGCCGAATAGGTTATATTTCCAAGAAACCAATAAAGGATCGAAATAAAAGAATCAATTGCTCTCGAAAAGTATCGAGGCTAAGAAAATGTTTTAAAGTAAATATTATTTAAAAAAATATATCATATTATAATAGTCTCTGTGTAAATATTAACTATACTGGTATAGAATAAGGTATCCGATGCAACTTTATTCAAATATAATGAACTGTCCAGTGTCCTGCACGTTGTAGGTCACGTAACGCGACACGCGGTATATAAAATGCGATTCAATATTATTTTACATATTATATATAATATGTATAACGCGTATAGTAAAAATAAATATGATAAATGGATGGGTATAAAATATAAATATACGATAAATATTTCTAGAAAAAACGAACAAATAAATTTTATAAAGAATAACTGGAACGAAAAAAGACGATGCTTATATTTTTTAAATTTGTATTGACAACGCATACAATCGTAATGTTGCGAATGGTAATATCTGAATATAATATTGTGTACATTCAAACAAATATATTGCAAATATTGCTACTAAATTGTGTGGGGTACAATAAACAAAGTGTCTCGCGGACATCTTACAAATGCAATAACTTTGGTTCAGTTCGATATTTTTTGTATTTTGTATTTTATTAAAATTGTTTTTTGTAATTATTACTATAGCTTTGCACTAGGATTCCTCTGCTTTATGTTTTTATACTATTTTTTTTATTAAATCTAAAATAGTTAAACTCAAAGTGTATTATGAAATAAAATGTTGATGTATACAAATGTTTGCTAATGATGAATCGTTAATCTTCGACGAATTTTTGAAGTTTACATCATTTAAGTTATTAACATTACTAAATAGTATCAATCGATTCCCTAGTTTTTCTATAAAAAATGATTTTTTAAACGATTGTTGTAAAAGTTACATTTTTTTTAGAAAATTGACGATTCGTAGTTAGTAAAGTTATTTTGTTTCAAAATGAATTTGATCTTGATTTTTGTAAATTATTTTTTTATTTTGTATTATGAATTTTAAAGAATACATAAAATAGAAGAATCATAGCGCAAGGCTTTGGTTTTTTTTTTTTAAACCACCTGAAAGCTTTTATTGTAATGATCAAAAATTAATCATTACAATACATTATCAAAAGTGTACATAAATACTTGTGATGTAATTTTATACAAAAATTAAAATTAAATAAACATGTGTGGAATTTCACTCCCAGTGGAGTGGCCCCGGTCTTAGTCTAAGAATCTTATACTAAGTCATATGGTCTACGACGTTTGAGACGCCTAATGTCTAGACTCTAGACTCTAGAGAGTTGTTTAGTTGTTCAATTGCTGCTGGTTTGGTGTGTTGATCTAGTCTTTTCTTATGTTTGCGAGCACACTTGGTAATCTCGTCCTAAATGAAGGTGATCATCATATCTCGGTGTATAATGCCGTTTCTGTCATACCGGTAAGCTTCGACAATGGTACGGACAGTTAAGTTCTGGCAACGTTGTATAATCTCAATATTGAACTTGCTGGCACATTTCCACAGTTGAATTCCATAAGTCCACAATGGTTTAATTATCATTACGTAAAAGAGGCATTTAGTTATGAGGTCTAATTCGGAATGTTTTTCGACCAGCTAATATAGTTGTCGCATTTTCATTCTAATTTGCAGTTTTTTCTGTCTAACGTGGTGCTTGCAGTTGAGCCGAGAGTCCAGGTGCATTCCTAGATATTTTGTTGAGTCACACTGTGGGATGCTCTGCTGATCTAGTAATACCGGTTTATAGACGGTTTTACGCAAAGTGTAATTTATGTGCACCGATTTTTCACTGTTAATTTTAGTCTTCCAACGTTTCGTCCAGTTGGAAACGTTGTTGATGGACCTTTGAAGCCAATCAGTCGCAGTCTGCTGGTTTTCATTTTTTGTTATTATTGCCGTGTCATCAGCAAACATGGCTGTCATTGAATAGCTGTTGGTTGAAATGTAGGCTGTGTAGAGTAAGTATAGGATTGGTCCAAGGACACTTCCCAGTGGTACACCCACCGATATTTTTTTCCAATCAGTTAATGCTTCTTCATGAATGACCCTGAATTGACGTTTAGTAAGGTAGGATTCGAAAAGTGCGTACCAGGTGTGTGGCAGCTATTCACGTAGTTTTATAAGTAATCCTTTGTGTCAAACTTTTTCGAAAGCTTGTGCCACACCAAGGAATACTTCGCAGCAATACTTTTTCTCTTCAAGCGCTTTGCTTATTACGTTGGTAACACGATGGACCGGTCGATTGTTGAGTGTTTATTTAGAAATCTTAACTGATGTTCCAGTATAAGCTGTCTTTCTTCTATCAACGGTTTTAAGTGTTTTAGAAGAAGTTTTTCGAATAATTTTGAGCTGCTTGGAAGATGCGAAATTGGTCTATATGAAGTTACGTGTTCTGGTGGTTTTCCTGTTTAAGTAGCATGATCACTTGGGCTCGTTTCCATTGTTTAGCAACTATTCCATACGTAAGATGGCATTGAATATGTGTGTTAGATGTTTTAGATAACTCTTTCAGGATTTTTGGGTTAATCTGGTCGTACCCAGGCGAATCAGTGGGCTAATACGTTAGCTTACTTGTAGTCATGAATTCAGCATTGTTTGCAACTTTTAATAAGGTTCGTCCCTTTGGGGTGATCAGTCTCGATCCCTAATGAGTATGCTTGGCATTATAATCACCTCCAACAATGAATTTAGAACCCAACGTATGAAAAAATTCAGCGAGCTTAACTTCATCTGTACCTTCTTGTGGTGAAGAATAAATTTCGAAAGAAAGAGTATTTTTCGAGTTCATAGTGTTTTATGGACTCTATTATTATTACAGCAATACCACCCCGAGCTCTACCACTAGGATGAACTGTCGTATATATTCTGTATTTCTGTATTTTAAGAAAAGTCCACGTTGTGAAGTGAATTTCTGAAATAAGGGCTATGTCAATGTTTTCACTATGTAAAAGATCTTCAAGTTATTGTCTGCGCTGTACTAATTCATTGACGTTCCATGCAATGATCCGCAGTGTACTGTTCATTTCTTTATTTTTCGCGAGGTATTTTTGGACTTTGTCTGGTTTATTTCCAGTTTGTCCATTCTTGCTGTGATATTTGCTAGTGTCTGCGTTACGTTGGTTAACACGACTAAAATATCATTAAAAGTAATCTATTCTTGGTTTTCTTTTGGTTGAGGTGTTTTTGGATCAACTTTTGAAGTACAAGCCATCTGCATGTATGAAACATTTGTTGTGACAGGTTTCTGCTGTATTCTTTGCATAGAAGAGACTTGTTTTGGGTGTGCTCTTTTTACTGCTTTCTTGTAAGCGCAAGGATTTAGTAAAAAAAATAAAAAAAAGCAAATATAGTTATTGCGTTTGTAAGATATCCGTGGAGCACTCTGTATTAGCGTAAATAGACTGTTTCTTAGGCAATAAATTAGCTACTGGTACCAATATAGTAAACCGATGCTTAATGATTTCAGTAATTTATTATTGTATATTAGGCACCCTTAATTTTTCAACGGTATAGTACGAATATTATACCACTTGGTTAGAATTATTAATAAAAGAATAAAGTAAAAACAAAATTATTAAATGGTTAATACCCAAAAATAAATATATAAATAATAAAAAAATTCATCGTAAGGTAAAATCACAAAGTTAAAAAGTAAAACGAAAAGTTAAAGTGCAGGGTTTACTTTTTACTTTTTGACTTTGTGATTTTACCTTACGATGAATTTTTATTTCGAAACCGTTCACACAATACACACATCATAATACTCCAGGGGATGCATTAATTTATGTATTTATATTTATTTATTTATATATTTAGAATTATTAGTCGTTGTATAATGATGTATGTATGTATGTAGGTAACAATATTATTTTACTGTTCAAAAAAATGACACCTCATTGTTTTCAATAACCATATTGTATAGTATTATACTAGGTAGTTGTAAAATATTATTACGTTGTTATCGCGGAAATCATATTTACTTTGCTGAAGTTGTAACCTATTAACAGATATTTTCTGTCGGCCGAAAGTTCATATATTCCACAATCTTTTACGTGCTAGAAACACAAAAATTGTGATAAATAATCGATATAATACATTACCTATTGTTCGATATTAATCGTAGGTCCATTATATTTACTTGCATTGAATTGAACGCTAAAACCGATTTGATGGATTTATTTACATCGTACAAAATAATATTTCCATCATCGTCCTGTGCCAAAATTTCGTCATCTAGAGTAACGGGCAAGTGGTTTTGTAATTGTTTATACTTTTCATTTAATAGGTATATTGCATTTTTTTTTCAAAAAATCTTTAATGAGAAGGTGTACAGTAGGACGGGCGATAGTGATCTGCCTCTATAAACTAGATGAAATACAATTGTAGGCAAAAGAAAGAAATGGATTTAGGACCAGTTTTCACCAAAATTAACTTTTCCATCTTCTACAAATATTTGTTTCCAGAGTCGTTGACAGGGGAGGCCAACAAGGCTATAGTCACCTGCCTGGACCATGTTTATGAATATATAATATACACTATTTTCCGATTGGAGTGTTAACTACGGTTTTAACTATTTCTTCCACTCCTGAAAGAAAGTTTTCTCTACTGAATCGTTTGAAAACGATTTAAGGAGGGGCACTATGACATAAAACAGAACCAATAAATTGGCCAGCCAATGGCTAGTGTAAATAAAAAAGAGGGCACTAACTTATTTAGCCTCCCTCAATTAAAAATCATAGCTATGCCACTACCCGTTTCCTCAAAATAAATTTCTGTTTTTTCCACCAAAATAATTTCTGTATCACGTGTATACAAAAATATCGCAATTCTATCGGCCATATTTACCGATATAATATGAAACCAATGTCCTATATTATGTTTACTAATTTATGTTTAAATTATGTTTATTGTTTATTGTGTATATATTTATATACAATTTACATTATACACAATGTGTTAGTTGTTTTTCTTACTATTTATTATATTGTATTAATTCCTGCGATAGAAAAATTTGAAATAGTTATTAGTGTTGGTGAATAACGGCAAGGGAAACATTTGGTGGAAAACGGTGACGACCGAATCTCCTTCGGAATAAAACATGAATAATTGCAACAGTAAAAGAGAAAATCGGAGGTAAGAAATACCTAGAAGATAGTAATGTATATAACAAATTACGTTTGGTATAGGAAAGGAATGATCCTTATAAAAGGAACTAAAGGAAGTCACCATATGAATAGAAAAAAGCGGAGGAAGTATTTACATTATTAAATTGTAATTTATGGGTTCGTAAAAAAAATATCGATAATGTTGGTATTGTTTATTCAAGAAGTAACTTAATTATTAAATGCGATCGTACACGTAATATTTATATTATAGAATATTTTAATATTTTATATTAAAATATGTAGTATAAAATAGTAAAATTATTACCTAAGCTTGGCACTTTTAAAAAATGTAAATACGTTTTCGGCTTTGGTACATCCACAGCTTATTATATATCTATATTGTTTAAAGAATTACTATTACCATAATCGTGTTTGTATTACGAACAATATTAACAAACAAACTCGTATATCTACCTATGTGTTGTATTTTTATAGATATAAAATTTACACTGACTTTTCACGATAAAACGATGCAATTTTAATATCATAGTTTTCGTATTTTTAATATAATATAAACATCAATATTGTTTTACGTACCTGAAACCCACGTCGCGTCGAAATATTTTTGGTTGTCATTCAACAGTGTTTTGAACATGATCCGTCCGTGTTTTCTAACACCATGTTCGGAAATCTCATCCACGTCAATGGTGAAATAGACTATTAGGGTTATAGTCGAGACGATGAAACAAAACGCCAACCATGTCATAATAAAGCAGTTTTTCATTTTCCACAAAACGTATTCCTGAACAAAAATAACGTTATTCATTATTTTACATTTTTACGTTTATTTATAATATTAACTTCTTCACTAGGTAGTAGTTACGTATGTAAACCAAGCCAATTAATCGGATTAGATAAGTTATTCTGGATTGGGATGTTATGGTTTAATATTTTCTCGGTCAATCGATCGAGTATCAACGTTTTTGTATATAACAGACATTATGCGACTAACACTTCGACACCCCTGAATCCTGAAATAATATATTGTACGGGGTACGAGCAATATTCCGGGGCAAGTTTTTAGCAATAACTGATAATATTAGAAACAAAAGTTCTAAAAATATTTGTTTCCACATAATTTTCAATTTCCAATAATACTTTTATTATATTCAGTCATATTCAACTTCAAAATTAATTTTTAAGTTCACACGGCTGCTTATACAACACACCGTTATTTTGACACGTTTTATACACCGGTTCGTGGTGTTAGTATAGCTACCGTGATAGTTATTAAACTCACTACAGTGATAGTAACCATCATGAAATTTATTCGTGATAACAGGGTAATTTTATGTATTCAACTATTGATATGACATTATTACGCATATTCGATAGATACTATCTTTAAAGTGATGTATAATAACTACTACAGTGTAACACAAAGTTTCGATATATTTTTTGTGGTATCAGTTTTATCTAAATTCACAAATTCTATCGAAATTTACTCTATACTATAATTTATTCGGCTAATAACGCTGTATTTTGTGATAGTTAACTATTGTGTTACATTGTTAAATATTGTGACAAAAACTAACGTTATAGTACTATCATCGTGCCGACCGGGCTTTACAAATCAATCGTAAACTGAAAGGTAAATTCTAAAAGCTATAATCATTATGTACCTATTTTAAAATTAAAAATAATTTTTAGTCACGTACCGAATACATAATGTTCTTTAAATATTTTATCATTCATTCTCGTAAATGATAGTTATTTGGCATAATTAAGCTCAAAAAGCATGCAAGCATTATGCATATTAGTACTTTGATCGGTTTACAATTATTATCAATGCTACAGTATAAATTTAGTTGAATAAAAGTAAAATCACATAAGTAAATTCAAAAACGAGTATAGCAGCTACTACATTTTCCAATTGTTTTAATTATCATTACTCGATTAGGTAATATTAAATATGTTAAAAGTAATGTTGATTTATCAAGTAACAAAAAAAAAAAAAAAAAACACATATGCATAAGTGATTTTAACTGACCTAAATCGGATTCGTTGACAAAGTAAACATTTACTGACTTAAAAACGTGTTAAGGTATTATAAATGGACTGTATAAAATCAATTTGAAGACGGGTTTAGGTGGTTTGTCGAATTATGGAATACTATTAGAAAAAAATATGCACAAAAGAAAAAGAACAACAAACAATGTTGAAATAAATAAATTTAAGTGTAAAGGATGGAAGGGGGAGAGGAGGGAATAATTTATATACTGGTCCAGTGTATGGTAGTTGTAAAAAAGATGGTATCACAAACAGGGGGATATTAGAGTAATTATAATTTTAACCTGGCGAATCTTCTACCAAAAATCTTGCTCCGATTTATAGATATTTAAGAAATTTAAGGACATTTTATGTAGTTAGTAGAAAGAACTTTTGATTTTTCTAGGGATTTTCAAGGGGATTTCAAAAATAATTGAAAAAAACCAGAAAGAAAATTACAGGTAAAACGGCAAATATTTACGCCGTGCCGCGGGGTTACCGATTTCATTGGTTTTAATTTATTCAAACAAAATTTTTACCAGAAATATTGCTCCAGTCGATAAATAACGAGAGATCAATTTTATTCAATTTAATATAAAACCACTGATAAAAGAAAGTAGGTTTTTATTATCTATAGTAGTTTTCATAATAATTAGGTAAAACCAAAAAAGACGAAACATATGATTTTTCCAAATTATTTGATAACGATTTCATTATTTAACATTTTTACGATTAGATTTTTCCACCTAAAATCTTTATCCAAATTTTAAGAATAGCATATTTTCTAAAAGAAAACTTTGTCTAGTGTGTAAATAAGAAAATCGTTTTTTAATTTCTAGTATAGTATTCCTAAATAGTTACGAAAAGTCGGAAAACCGTAGGAAATATGGAAAAGTGTACGACATTTTGGTTTTTTGTTGTTAATCGGTTAAACATAATTGTAAAGTCCTGTAATTTTTACAAAATACTTATATTGGCCTGTTGTATACGTGGTACAATTTTAAAAACAGTCAAATAATGTTTAGATTATCTATAGGTATTTGATATTCTCGTGTTTTATTTGGTAGGTATCTGCTATTAAAATAATATAACTTAAGAATAAAATGCTTGAGAGTTTAATTCAAGGTTCAATAAGATGTAATTAGTACTCTAAAAACAAATTCGACTTTAATGCATTAGTTTTTTTTTTTTTTTAATTAGTGTTTTAAGATCAAATGTTGATGAAAATCATAAAAATTAATGCATTTTAATATATTATGTCTTACTGAATTTCGCTCCGAATCGTTTTTCATTAGCAATAGTTTATCTTTGCGTACAGATATAAATTAACTTTATCTATCCTGTCTTGCCAATTTCCCACCTATAACAGAGCTGCACTCTAGTGCAATCCGTAGTATAAGCTCTTTTTTTTTTCTTTTGATATTACACCGTACGATTTTTGTCACCATACATAACACAATAAATAATATTATTATACTTATGTATAATAATATTATTTTATATTTATGTATAATAATATTATTTATAATAACTAACGTAAAAATTGTATTGCGGTCGTGGCTTTTTTTTTTTAAAATTTATTTTGTACCTTAATATAAATATATTCTAAATGTAGATATTATCATACGACTCTTAAAGATATATGTTTCTAAATGAGAAAAGTGTTTTGTATATGTGAACGTTACATTATTCACAGTAATAGAGACGTTTGAAGAAGCGAATTTTAAATTGAAAAAAAAAAAAAATAAATATAGCCCCTTTTTTATCGGGAGATATTTGTCGTGTTTGTTTTACAGATAATTACATTGAAACATAAATAGTTATATTAATAAACGAAGGCAATAAGTTCAAAAAACAAACACAATTTGTCGGTCATAGTCCTGTAAATTAATATTAATTGAAAATTAAAAACATTTACCATTGTCGTAGTTGTCCTCCGGTAACTTATATGATGATATTCGCTACGGCGCGGCGAAGTTTTCTTAACGGTTAAGAATATAATATTATTTACCTATACTCGTCGTTCGACATCAAACACGTATATAGAAACCTACTGCCAAGTGTAATATTGTAATGCATTCGTTGGATATACTATAGATTAAATATCTACATTTGCGGTTTACCATAACTAACGACAACGTGTCGTGCGGGAGAGCGTTTACAACTATTTAAACAGGTGTTTCGGTATTTTGCAATTATAACGAAACAACAATATTCTATGCCACATAATATTTCACACAAAATTAATTTGTTATTATTTTTTCAACAGCCAATTGTAAAAACGGCATTCGGTGAAATGCGTCCTCGAAAAAAATATCAAATTGACGAATTGCGTTCTCAATATTTTTTATAATATACATTATTTGCGACTATCACGTCATTCGTTTATATTGGAAATTTGAAATTTTCGTGCTTTTTTTTTTCAAGAAATAACAAACATAAAATTTAAAAAAATATACAACGGTTACAAACAGTGCCCATCGACTGTGTCACGGGATATTCATAATTTGGATGGGGGTTTTTTTTTTAAAAGTTGACGCGGGACGGGTTCTTCCTGGGACAGTGAGAAATCCAGATTTGTGTTGATCCCGCAAGCAGGGATATATTATATCTTATATAATGAGTATCTCGTCTTAGCCTTAGGCCGTCTACGGGTCTTTATATGAAATAACAGCGCCAGAAAGCCGTACCAAATTGCCTAGAGTTGCAACGAGTTGCATTCGGATCTTTCGGCCCGGTTGGTCGGCGGTTTTTTACTATCTTAGTGCTGGTGCAATAACCCCCACGTTTCAGTCGATATAGACTTCTCATCCTTAAGGAGTAATATGTTGGGTATGACGAATCAACCCGGCACACACTGGGCTCCTCCTCTCCCGTGATACCGATTAATAATTGTGGTGAATACTGGTGGATTCACCCGAGGTTCTTGAACCTCTCCTACTATTTACACCGCCGAGCCGACCGGCTAATGGTTGGCCTATGAGGATTTATGAAACGACCTATTCATGTTCCCAGGGTTCCTCTTCCCTGCCGGATGCCTATGTCCGGAGGTGTTTAGTGGCTATTTGCCATCCACTGGATGTTGTATAGTGACCTCTTACGACCCGGGGAACATCGAATGCGTATTTTTTAGCACCTTCATACTGGGCAAACGGTTTCTTGAGTCACATATGTTTCCATATGTGGTCAAGTCCTCGTATCTATTTCTCGGGTGTTTCTCGGAGCTAAGAGACTTTCTCTGAAACCTACGTAATAGGCAGTAGATCGTCCCCAGTCTCATCTGTCCGCTCCATGTGCCATCAACACGTTGACAAATTTTTACGAGTCGTTATATCATTTTCCGTACACCTTGATCTACCCTGATATTAGTCTTAAGTACGCTCCTTGTGCCCAAAGCACGTTGACTAATTTTTACGAGTTGTCACCTCGTTTTTCCGTTATGAGCCACTCGCCTCAAACTTTACAATTTTACGACATGCCGTTCCTGTCAGGCGTACGAGTCCTTTAAGAAATGGTATCTAAAATTCGCTCAATGTGCCCGCAGCACGTTGACTAACTTTATCGAGTCGTCACCTTGTTTTATTGTCTTGTTCACTTTTACAACGTGTCGTCACAATTTTAGTTTCGGTGTTCAAGCGATGTTTAAACACTTACTAACATTTAGCGGGACGAGGATCCAATTCGACGCGTGACAAGACGTGGTATCAAGGCGCACGAAGGAAACCATGAGCCACTAGGTCATGGTTTCGCTAGATCTTTTCCTGATACAGTAAGCAATTATCATTTTATCTTTATCTCTATATATATACGTTCGTAAAAAAGACAAAGCTAGATGAAATCGAGAATTATTTGTCATTAAATAAGCTTCGTAGCTCGATGTGATTATTGCACATCATTAAACTATGTATCCGTACAATATATTGTATTATAAGACCTACAAAATAATAACAATAAGTAATTAACATCATTATCCTGATTTTTTCAAATTCTATGTGTAGCCACACAGGTTTACTGTAGGCCACTATTGTATGCGTGAAGTTGAAAAGGTATATAGGATATAGTGTAATTTAGGTTGTTATAATATACTAAAAACACAAAGTAATGATTAATTATTGTAATCGAAAATTATTCTAAATGGATCTTGGTAAACCGATAATAGGTAGGTAAGAGCTGTGTTTTCTCCCTTGTAAATCAGTAATCAAACAAAAATATTTGTTAGTTTTTAAATTGTTTAGAAAATCTGTTGAGAATATAGAAACATTGTTAAAATAAAGTATCACCGGGTAAAATATCTATATTTCTATAGTACTGTGTGAAAAAAAAAAAAATGGACATTTTAATCACCAAAATAGGTTGTCAACGAAAATAAAACACACCTTGGAAAAACGCTACACTCAAAATCTAAAATATGTTGTATTTTAAACTTGCATTGGTTTTTTTTACAGTTTAATATAATTTATAAGCGTTTTACAATATATATTAAGTGGTTAAATTATTAATTAATTATTCACAACTATACCTAAGCGGATACAAACAATTTTTGCAATGTAATTTTACACGAAATTATTTAGTACGTTTCTATAATTATTACCAATCAAAAACAAACGCTTGTTCAATTAACATTATAAATTTAAATAATGTAAGCGATGTCTAAAGAAAAACTATAATTAATTTGACGAGCTCAACCATACGGAATCCAGAGGGAACGCGGCGCAAAAACGAGTAGAAATTGTACGACACAAAAGGACGACGCGTGAATTCACCTAGGTAATAAATTAATTTTCGTAAGCCAGTGAGTAGAGTTTTGGTTTTTCTTTTATATTTAACGAGTCACTACTGATAGCGAAAATTAAAAAAAAAATAAAATCAAATTTGTACTAAATATTAGTTCTCTTAGTTTATTTGCTACGGAATATTAAAATACCTATGTATAGTTCAATAATTGCAGTTGTATTTATTCTGCGACCGTAGTTTCAAAACTGTTTTCTCGAGTGCTATTGGCATTGTTATTATTGATTTGATGATACGTCGGTAATGGATCGACGGTCGTAGTTTTTTCGTTTTGTGTTTTTTCCTGCGGTTTCCTCGGGCTATTATTCGGGTACGATGGCGTTTTCTTCGACGGCACTACGTTCGACGAGTGCGGAGTTTCTATAACGGTTAAACAAATAAATAAATACAAAATAAGCACAAAATTAATAAACGTCTACACCTAGATTAATTTTGAAAAAAAAAAGTTTAGCACATGATGTAAAGCTAAGATATTGATAATGAAACTATTACATTTCTATAAAAAAAAGAGAACTTTCACTGTGTAATTGAATAAAATCAAATGACTTTTGATTTTTTTTAAATCACATTAGTAGGTATACAAAAAGTTCAACGAGTTTAAAACATAACATTTTTGGATTTTAAAACAATGATAATTTAACATTTGTACATATAGTGATGTCGAAATAATAATAAAAAAAGGTTGTACAGTGCGAGTTCTCATATTTTTGTTTCTGGGAAAATGTTTGTTTTTATACACAAAATTGTATGTATGTTCAATTTTTTTTTTTAATAGTAATAAATTACTGTCGAAATATCCGGATTTTATTTTATTTACCATTGATCGAATACCGCTTGATAGTTTTGCGACTCTCGTGGTGTGTCTTGAACATGCTCTTCAAAGTTATGATTTTTCTGTACTTGGGAGTTGTGAACGTGTACAGCAACGGATTTACCCATGCGTTTATAGGCACAATAAAAATAATTACCCATCCGTATGTGCTACCTATACACGACGATGACAACAATAACATTAATATTGTTGATATCGAAATAATAATGAAAACAATTTTAAAAAAATAAAAATTCGCTCACTGGAAATGTGGAACTTTTTGAGCGCGGCGATTTTCAAAACGATTACGGGCAACCAGCAAAAGGAATTGGCCAAAACGATGAAAAAGAAACGGATGGCAAAATCATAATCTTCGGCCGATATTCGGGCGGCTTGTCGGGTTTTTCTCACGCTTATGTACATCAGCGCGTACAAAATGGACATTAGCAGCAAACTGCGACGGACAATAATTATTAAACATTATTATTTTAATAACCGAATGAATATTGTATGAAATCGAACACGTTTGAATTAGTGTCGTTTATTACACGTGAAATTAAAATCTCGTGTTGGAGACCGTATAATCCGTATACAAAATTTTGAATTCACGAATTCGCCAACACGTGAATATAAAATTTAAAATATCCAAATAAAAGTGACATTATTTATTATTTGTACGATTTACATTTTTATCAGGAATCTTGCTCCAATTAAAATATGATTTTATTTTATCACATTTTTTGAAATTTTATTGCCCTATGTTTTTCTCCGATTTTCTCCTTATGAAAACTGCTTAGATAATCAAAAAATTACCTCTTCAATGCACCAATTAAATTTAGAATACTAAAAATAAGCTCACTTGATATTTTTTGATTGGAGTAAGATTTATAGTAGAAAAAGATAATCGAAAATAATGAAACGAACTAATTACGGATCATACGAATAAAAATCACGAAATTCACAATTTTGTAGTTTTCATGTAAGTATATTATCACGGAATTTATGTGTTACAGCAAATACGTATTAATAATATAAATATCCGTCGACATGGATACATGTGATGTGCAATGATATAAAACAAGTATTTTTGAGACCTCTAGTTTGAACTGTATACTTACCTGAAAACGTGTAATCCCAAAAACATGAACGCCGAATATTGCCACCCATCAACAAATGGATCTTCGATGTACAAAGGATAACAAAATCCGTTGGAACCGTAGAATTTCGACGAATGCTTCCATAAAACTACTGTAATTATTGATACGTATTATTATGCGCGTGTTTGCTTAACATGCCGTTGATTTTATTATGAGATGGTTATAATATGTGATTTTTTTTTTTTGTGTCTGTGCCTTTCTACCAGAAATCTTGCTTCAATTCAAAAACGACAAGAGGGTTTTTTTTTTTTTTTAAAAGTATTATAGATATATTAATTTATTTAAGATGTTATTGTCATTTATCGTTTTTAAATGTAATAAAATCTGAAGATTTTCAGTTTAATTTTTTTTTGGTTTTACGTGTATAAACTCGTTTAAACAAAAATGCTTGATTATGTAACATGAAGCTATCGTCGCGTAAAGATATACATTATATAACTGTCCTATCCTACTTCCCTAAATTCCCACCGACAAAAATGGCACATACATTTAGCTGTAACAGTTTTTTTTTCAAATTATTGCTATTAGAGTTATTATTTGTTTTGTAATTTCTGCGATAAATATCGGATGTTATACATATAGTGTGTATGCATGTTGGAAAATATGTAAGTATCCTGTTATACGTACCTATTATCTTTTTAAATCGTAGTTTAAGATAATATGAAAGCATTATCAAGTTAACAATTTAATATGACGTGTGTTTAAACAGAATACGGGTAAAATTTTGAACATATTTGGAAAAGTCATATTTAAACAAAATTCTATAATATTTAGTTTGAAATGATTTGTTCTCGAATTCATAATACATATTATGGAGTCTTAACGTTATTTTTGCAACGGTTAATCGAAACGGAATTAATCAAATTCAATGAAAAACCATTGACTATTATTTCCCAGCGTTGACCAGAAAACGTATCAGTTCGGTGAAATAAATTATGTGGGGTAAAATAGTTTTTGTGTTTAACTTACGAGGTGCTATTGATATAGTTATTCCGACCAGCCAGATCGACGCCATACAGCGAACGGCCGTTTTCAGTTTCAAAACTCGATATCCGGAAAGTGGTACGGCTATGAGCAGAAACCTTTCCAAGCTGATGAACATCAATATTAGCATCGACACCTATAATACATCAATAGTGACAGTGTTATTATTGCGTAAATCCTAGTACTCTTATATAACAAGTATTTTGCTTTATATGTAAAAGTATTTTGTCGGGAAAAACATGGAAATTCGGAAACTTCTATTTTTGTAAATAATAATTTACTAATAAACAAATGGTAAATAATTAATAATAACGTATTATATTTTATTCAATTAAAAAACTTTTCGGGAGACTAATAAGAGAGAACTAGAACTGTGAATGAAGTAAAAGGAAAAGCAATGAGCTAGAGCTATAAGAAGTACTCTTTCAGGAATAGAACTTATTTACATATTGAACACAATCAAGAGTAAAATAATACAGTGAGCTGGACACGCTTGGCGAAGTCAAAATATATTTTTATGTGATGATACAACCTAAAAGTTCCCGAAAAGAAAGACCCAGTTTGATACAGGAAGATGTATCGAGAGGAACATCGAGAGACGTGGTATATTTGGAATTAAGAGCGGCTGACAGGAGGAATGGGAGGATTAGGTGTGCGACGGAATGTTCCTTGTGTCTAATAAACTCAAAAAAAAGAAGAAACGTGTATTAATTATTTATCTAAATCTAAAAACTATAAAAAATAAACTATTTGAATTTAAACGAGTCATTTTTAATGTACACACTTCTGACGAGATCACGGCCATTATGCCTATCACGGTGCACAGTCTGGACGATTCCCAATCGTGAGCATGCGCGTAGTAATTGTTCTCGTACTCGCGGTCACGGTAACCGACGACCGTCAAGTAAATCACCATGCACATGTCTGCGACTAATAACATTATACTAAGATATTAAAAATCGTATCTGGTTAAGTGTATAATATTATTCAAATAAAATCTTATATGTGGTTGAATAATTATCGGGTGATTAATCTTTGTAAGATACTCATTATCTCGGAGAGTATTAACTGTTTTCGGTGTTTATGCCATAAATACATGAAGTTTTAGCGTAGGTTGAATTTTTTTAAATCGAAAGTGGTTAATGGTTTCACGACCAAAAATAAAGGTAACAAAAAATAGCGGTAATGTAATATTTTAGAAGTACTTGTTTCACTAGATTGTCCGAAAAAAAAAATGTTTAAATAATGAATGATGTCTTATCGAGGTTTGATCACTCTGTATATTAAATTAGAGGTAGGCATTTTATGATTTACATTGTTTGTCTTGTTTTGACTCCGTCGAGCAAAAATTGAAGGGGAGCAAGTTATGTTATAACAATTTATGAAATTCAGTGTTATTTTTTTTTTTGACTTGGTGAGAGGGGGTCGGATAAAGAGTACCTAAATTAATTTACCAGGCATTTTAACGCACCCATACTATTTGTTTGAAGTGGAACACATAGGATGGTAAATATTTTCACATTTTTATCAAAATACAAGCATTATATTTTAAACTTCAAACGCGCATAAAATAAAGTTACTAAAGAATGCTGAAATTGTTTGGATTTCGAGTGCAGCATAGAATATTAAACAAAACGACAAAGAAAATCAAAAACACTTATTTGGCCACCAACTAGATTAAAAATACAACGAAAAATATTTCTTTTGTTTTTTCTATTTGAGAATATTTCTGATAGAAACCGGAAAGAGTACAAATGTAAAATAATGAAATTGTAATTTGAAAAAAAATCGTATTTTTGTCTTTTTATGTTTTTCCTAACTATTATGAAAATACTTTAGATACTAAAAAGCGATTTTGCTTGTCAGTGAATATGTATTAAAAGGAATAAAATCGATCTTTTGTCATTTTTCAATTGGAATAAAATTTCTCGTAGAAAACATTGAAATCGGCTAGCCGCTTTCATTTACGGTGCACCGTAAATATTTGCTGTTTTAGCTTATAATTTTCTTTCGTTGTTTTCCCAATTATTTCGAAAATCCATTGGATAATCAAACCTTTAATTTCTAAAAACTTCAAGAAAATCAAATATTCACTAAATAAATTAAATTTAATAAAAAAAAGTGGTTTATGTACAGACAAATTGGTATAAGGGTTATGAAGGGGGGGAAGAACAACCTTACTGGTCAGGCTAAGTTCAATAATTAATACATTTGTAGAGTCTCTTTTCTATTATTTTTCAATTTAAGCACCGATAAAAACGTATATTTTACGATTAAAGAACATTATTTCTCTAAAATAATGCCTAAAAACAATATAAAAACCCAAAAACATACGCGAAAAATATTTTTTTCCAACCATTTTTACTGAATCTTAAAGGATATAACATTTCTAACGTCACATAATCATAGTAGTATTATATTTATTAGATACGATTTATAGATAATATAAATCCAACTTCTAATTACTATATTATTAGCAATCGAACTCGGTTGTATACCTACCTGCTAAATTCCTTATCACAAAATTGATCGCCGGGTTTTCGTCTCTGAGCGAACAGAACATCCGGCCGCACAGCACCAATGCGTTCATGACAAACGTGAAACCTGTCACCGTCCAGCAAATCCATCGGATAAAACGGTTCGGGAGTAGATTTAAGCTCGACGACAATCCTTACGGTGACGCATATTTGCAAAATAATATACTATAATTATTTACATACGGCGTGATGATACTCGAGAGACTACTTTCTGGTGTACCTATATATAATTTTTCAAGAAAAGCGAAAAACTAATAATGTTCGCCTAAATTATATTTTATCAAAACCACTGTAGGCAGATTATCAAATACATAGTTACAACGGAAAAAATATATAATATGTGTATTTAGTATGTAATTATTATACTAAGTTTATCAATGAAAACTAAATACTAATATTAAAAAAAAAAAATATTTATGTGTTTTTTTTTTATTATTATAAATAGGAATTTATTTAACGAACGAAAAGTCTGTCGCTTTCGTAAACACAATATATTTCATTAAAGTAAAGAGTTGTTTTCAAATGTTTGGTAAAAGTTTTCCGAAGACGTTTGTTGGAATTTTATTTTTATTTTTTTATTTGTCCTTTTTCGTTAGTTGTCACTCGTATTAAATTAGTTTAGTATATCGTAAGTTTTCATTTCGTATTTTGCTTTGATGTGACTGCACAAACAATCCGTGTATCGTTAGGACCGACCAAGTTACGCGAATGATAAAAATTGTTGTGTACGTGTTTCGTATTATATACGAGTAAATAACACTGCCGCAAGATTTTGATTAATATTATGGCTAAAGTGTCATATACTTGTAGGTTATATGTTTCTTTGACAAATTATATAGATAAATCGGTCTTCTTTTTCTTTCTTTAAAAATAAAAACCTTAAGTTATCTTTGAGTTTTGTATATAATATCAAAAGTCCTAACTTTTCTTTGTAAAAAAAATATTGTCAGATTTGCACTTACTTTGTTTTTAACATTTTTGACGCAAAAACGTATGAAATACATAAGTACAAATATCGCAAAATATGCCTTTGGTTCCAGAAAATAAGGGCTCAAGTTAATTTTCGAATTTTTTTTTTTTTAGTTAATTTTAAGTGTATGTATACATTTTAATACATGTCATACTAAAAAACAAAGTATCTTAAGTCATCTACACTAAATTACCTAAGTACCTTTTATTTGGCGGATAAGGTATAAGTTACTGTTGCTCGGGACGATTTTTTTAATTTCATCCGTATCACTAAGGTTATCTATGCATTTTTCATTACGTTCGTATCACTAACGTAACCATGAATAAATAAAAATAGTTAACCCCCGTAGAGATTGGATTTTCAAAAATTCTTTCTTGGCTGAATGCCTCATAATAGCTATCTGCATACCGTATTTTAGCCCAATCCGTCCAGCGGTTTGGGATGAGAAATCAGTCAGGACATTGTTATTTATATATTAGGATATAATATAGAAAATAGACATTAGATTCTTTAGTCATTAAGAACGCCTGCATTTAGGTTAGCCAATTAAATAATTTAGCCATTTACAAATTATGTCATTATTTAGTAATTTTAAAAATTTACTTTTCTTGTATAAAAAATTGACTAAATCTCTTTTTCCTTACAACCAAAGATATACGTATAAATTGGAAATAAAATCACGGTATGCATTATATGATATATTCATACCCGGCCCAATAAATTAAAACTACGGGGTTTCTTTTTTTTTTTTTACTAAATGGTTTAGTGTTCTTATGTAGGCATTAATAAAAAATATAATTATATATCAATTATCGAAAATAAATAATTATTGTAGTAATACAATTGGGTACTTACCATCTTTATTCGGTAAACAAACGGGAACGTGTTTGGCATACAGCGCACAGTAATGGAATTCTTTTAAATAACTGAAAGTGTATAAAGTATCAATAGTATAACTATTGACTATAATATAACTGACGTTTTAATCGATAAATTTTAACGAATTAAATAGTTATAGCTTACAGAAATTGCAGACTAGTCAGATTATCAAACAACGACATTTCAATTCTCTCTTTACTTATTCCGTTAATTTCTCTGTTAGATAAATATTGTATGATTATCACGTAAATTAGTTGAGTGAAAGTACTTAATACATTTAAATTTTCATACTTACAACGACGTAAGATTTTCCATTTCCATGAAAATAACACCGGTTATCCGTTCTATTGGGTTATAACCTATCGCCCTAAAAACAAAGATAGGTTCAAAAGTACAGAGTGCGTATATTGTAGTGCGTATGAGTAATAATTATCTGATAACAATTTAATTTAACTTACAAAATTCATAAATTCTAAATAGAAAAAAAATAGTTGTTACTGGGGACTGTTGTGACGGTTGCACAACCGTAGTAGGTGGAAAGTCAGGAAGGTAAAATCCGTAAAGATATTGAATTTATATTGGTACGCAATGATAAATAATTGGTGACGAAAACGATTTTGAGCGTAATTCGGTTATCCATAGTATATTATGTCATGTTATAATTTTTATGATTTTGTCGAAATTTAATATTAAAACACTTAAAACAAAAATAAACGACACTCGAACTTTTTTTTTTAACACGAAATTAAACCTATAATGAACCTCGTATTACATTTTCAAGCATTTCTGTTGAGCCAAATAATTTTATCCACGTTAAACCAAAAAAATTAAAAATTAATAAAATTCAAAATGGTCAAATTTCTAAAAATAGCTCAAAAATCGCCAGAACGTTTTTTTTAACAATTTTACTACGACTAGAAAATGCTAATACGTAAATTATTTTTTGAAAATAACAGGTCTCTACAGTTATTTTTGTATAAATTCCAACAAAAAAAAAAAAATATGATGTAAACGTTTCAGTTTCTTTTTTTACGTTTTTCTTAATTATTTAGAAAACTATACTAACAATAACATTCTTATTCACGAACTAGAAAAAATGTTCAAAAGTAGAAAAAAAAAATAGAAAAAATGTAGAACAACGAAATTGTTAAAAAAAATAACGCTGTAATTAATCTATTTTACTTTTATGTTTTTTTTTTTCAGATTTTCCCAATTATTATGAAAATTGAAAATGTATAGTAAAATTAATAAATTACTTTCTCAATGTACCAACTAAATCTTAAATTCTACAAAAATCTCTCTAGTCATTTTTGATTGAGGCAAAATATTTGTTAGAGAAATGTTGTTAACTTACGCAAAAAATTTAAAAAAGGACACATTATAATAAATCTAATAAATTTCTCGTCATACGCTTAGAATCGGAAACTTACAATTTATCTAATAATTTCAACGGATGTAATAATTCTGGTGAAATCGTAGTGATCCGATTATTGTTTATGTTCCTGTGAATAAATCAATTGTTTTTATTATTTACACAAATTATTCCGATTTTTTTTTTTTAATTACAGGTTAAGAAGATGTATTGTGTTTTGAAACGCATTTTTGTGAATTGTTGTGATCAAATTATTGTAAAGAATCCTGTACATAACATACAGTTTTATTATTAATTAAATTAACAAATAATATTGCATTATTTGTATTGGGATAAAAATTAATTTAATCTTACAATATCTGGAGATTAGTTAATTCACTAAATAAATGCTCGCTTATTGTTTCGATACGATTCCAATGGAGATATCTTTTAAAAACAGTGTTAACAAACCATTTGTATTAATTATGAATATTAATAATATATAAATATGATAATAGTATTAAACAAAATTTAAAAAATTACTTACAGCGTATTCAAATTTCGTAAAAAAGGAAAATTTTCCTTTTCAAACGTCAATAAATTATTTGATAAATCTCTAAAAAAAAAAAAAAAAGAATCAAAGTAGTTAAATTAAATACCATTATATAGTCAATGGTTTTTGAATCTTACAGCCAGTTTAATTCGGCCATATGTTGCCAGGAATGTAAATTTAAATGTACTAAATAATTGAAGTTCAAAAACAAGATCCCGACATTGTTCAATCCGAAAAAAGTATCCTCTTCCAAAGTGTTCAAATTATTGTTTTGCAATAGACTAAAATAAATTTTGACACTTATATTAAATGCCCAAATTAATTATTTTTTTTTTTACTGTTGTTTATTTTGAATATCTCATTACAAAATTTTTAGACATACTTACAGCACACGTAATTTAGTTTGATTTCGGAACACCAAAGGCGGTATTTTTGTTAACCCGTTGTGTCCCATCGCTCTGTAGAAAGTATTATATATTTTATTTATGTATATTGTACAATAACCGTAATGAAATTAATATTGTCGTTATTCCAATGCATATGCAAAACGACGTAAAACTGCAAGACTTACATCGTAATCAAAGACTGATATCCGACAAAGGAATCGGCAAACAGTTCAACTCTATTATTGTTCAGTGCACTGAAATATTTTGAAAACATATAACCTCAATCCGAAATTGTTGCGGAGTAAGTCGCATATGTTTTATCGATAAATATATTTGCTTACATTTTTTCTAAGTTGTTAGAAACAGTTCTAGGAATTTCCGTCAGCCCGGCGTCATTGCAACGTAAACATGTTTCATTCATGCAAACGCATTTGTTGGGGTATCCGCGTAATCCTAACGCGGTAGACAATATTATTTACAGTCAAAGTATTTTAGACGGCAACGGTCTGTCCAAGTAGAAAATAAATCAAATAACAGCGATAGAAGCATTTGGAGACCGATATTGTTTTTCATCGTTCAACCCGTATCCTACAGCAGCAAAACGATTTAGACCTATGTTCCTTCAATTAGTTCGTTCGATGTGGCGCGGAAACGATTAAAATTATTCTATAAACATATTTTAATATAGCGTGAAGTAGGTCCATGGTCGGGTCAAATTTTCGAATCAATTCGATCCTTGATTTCAACGAATTTTATTTGAACACGCAGAACAGATTTAAAAGTGAAATGAAATTAAAAAAGGCGCTCCGATGCCTGATCGATCTCACGTCACACGTCTTTACGCTGAATTAAAATCTGTTTTCCAAACGCTTCACTGTGTAATATAAGTACCTACAATCGGTCCGATTGAAGGTAAATTTTTGTCAATTAACTATGCTGCGTATATGTGTTGGACAAGGAAAGAAAATGTTATCGGTTTTTAATCTCACTAATAATTACGCGCAATTTTATTATTCATAAAACCATAACATTTCTTAGTTAATAATTTTTATTTGAAAAAAAAGGACTCACTTAATTAAAATAAATATAATTACATTTTTATAGGTAAAAATAAACTTTAAAATTAAACTAGATTGGATTTTTTTGTAAGTGCTATAGTTTTTTAATTAAATTGAAAAAACCGCAAAACTACGCTCTTTGGTCAATATTAAACTCTCCCGAGACACCTGAATGGATGTAGTGATCATGACCAAACTTTAGTAAAATTACTTTCTTATGTTAATAACCAACATTTGCGGGTTAAGAAATCAAAAATTAAAAAGTTCAAAAATAAGGGTTACCCTAATTTAACCTAACCTACCGATCACCTGACACAAAACACTATGTACATAAGTTTTTATTAAAAAAAAAAAAAAACATAAATATGGAAAAATCAACTACACAAGATAAGATTACATAAGATAATAATTTATTGGTCAAGAAAAAAAATGCAGTTAATAAATGCAAGAATAATTGAAACATTTTTTAATATATATATAAAAAAATTAACATATAGATTGTTTTGCTCACATCACCACTGAGATTGGACCTGTTATTGATGAATTTGGAGTTTCTAAATTAATCTAACATAATAACTGCAATTAATAATTGTTTACTACACATTTTTGAGTTGGTTATTTAAAAAGTTAAAACTAGAATGGAATTTAATAATGTTCACAATAAATTATTATTAATGATAAACTATATGGAAAAATGAAAATTAGTAGATATTATAACATAGTAATCATTTACCGTATATTTAGCTTATCAATCATGTATTATAGAAAATTGTTTATATGTACTGTAATTTTTACAGTTCAACGTAGATTGTGGCATATTGTTTAGTAGGTCAAGTTCTATTTTACAAAGTGTCTACTTGCTTTTAAAGTTTTTTTTTGTTTGAACGAATATATTGTTTTTGAGGTTGATTAGATTTAATTTGAACATGTAGTATAGTGAATTTCACTGGAATAATGGAAGTAATGTTGAACATTGAGCACTCTGAAATCTTTGAACGGGTTACATGAAGAGAAAGTTTTTTTTTCGTTTAGGATTGTTTTTATTACGCTTTTTTGGGTTGTTATTAGTTTATTACGTGCTACTGTCCCTAAACCACCCTAAGCCGCTTTATTATATTGTTGTACAAACTGTGTTATGACAAAGTATACTATTCATCATTTTTGTTCAATAAGTATTTTTCTTGAATTTGTATAGAAAAATTCGAGCTAATATTGAAATAATAATGTATTTATGTTAAAATAATAAAAAACTAACAAGTACCTGATATTAAACATATTTTGAATCGGTGTTTTATGATTAAACGTTGGTACAACGTATGTATTGGAACATGCAAATATTATAAGCTCCCGATTAATGCGGATTAAAATAAATTCTACTTATTTAACATAATATTATACTTACGGAAAAATCAAAATTATCATGTTGGGATTTCCTAATACTAAAAACTTTCCATTCTAGCACTTTATTCCGAGTGGTAGATAAGCATAGGTATACCTATTGGCCAATTTAAAATTTTTCGAAATTTATTGATACTGGGATACTGGGATATAACCGTTGGAAACCGTCGAATATGACTAAATTTTAAACGTATAGAAAATTAAATGTTGTTGGCTGTAAATGTAAATAATAAATTAACAATATACGATTAATCTAATAATATACAGATTTCGAATAATTGTTTTTGGTTTGTTAATTCGGTAAGTAATACGATACGAAAAGTATTAATAAAAATGTATGTTTAAATTTTCAAGGTAGTTAAAATTATAATAAATATTATTATTTAAATGAAAACAAATATTTAAACCCGAAAATAGTATATTATATTATGTGACGGCTAATGTTAAAAATTGAATGACGTCAAATTTCTATTCGGTAGAACTGATTTTGTGCTGATAGGTCTATGGTTAGAGTACAGTTTAGTGGCATAGTATTATCAACAAACTTGTAGGCAAGAACAAGTTTACATCGTTTATAGGTTTTTCGATATTTTAATTTTTAAGTGAGATGAAACAATTTTTATAATGCAATATTACGTATGTTCTTGTTCTATTGAAAAATTCAATATCGGAAAAAAACAAACATATATAAATTGATAATTTTCTTCTATGAAAATCGACAAGTTTGATAAGACGCCGATTCACTCTAATATTAGAACTTACCGCTCACACTTGGAACTACTGAACTAACACCTATTTTCATATTTTATTTGTACAGGCGTAGCAATATGATCGCATCTTATTTCACGAAAAACAAATATTCAATTCGCAAGCAGCGATTTCATGTGAATAATGAAATTTGTATGTATTATTATTATTTTTTTTTTCATAAAATCGGTATCGACGGTATTGTTACAACTGTAAAAATAAATATGAAGACAACAAAAAAAAAAAGGCACTCCATAAAAGTCACGCGCTGTGCCACTGCATAAGGTGGCATAGCGCATGATGCTTCTACTAGGTAAACCCTACAAATCTTACAAGTTGAATATCTCGCCAACGGGTTGACGGAAATCGAAAATGTTAACATTTAAATATTTAAAAACAATACTCCATTTGTTTACAGAATTTATAATGTTACCGTNACAAAAAATGATATTTTTCCAATAAGTATCAAAACTTGCCTCAATGGAAACCCAGAGAACTAGAATGAAAAACATCAAATCTGTTTACAAAATATAAATCCGTCAATCCCAAGTCGCGCACTTTTGTTTGAATTTCGGGTCGTTTTTCGAGTTTTTTTTTTATCGAATTGTTCCGGGCTCCTTTTATGGACCGACATCGTCTGAATATTATACACATTAGGTTTTTCATACAGTCAAATAATAACATTATTGAAATCACTAACCGCACTCCACTGGATTTTCGTCTTCGCCGTGAATACAATCGCGATAACGATTGCATTTGTATTTGTTGGGAATACAAACGTCCGACTTTTGGCATAAAAACGAACCTTTGTGACATTGTGTGGAACCTATGAACACGCGATATACATAAAAACGATTTCGGGCTTGAACGTAATGCACACGAGAAGATATACAATAGAACACGGCAGGGGCGTATACAAGATAGGGTTTTGGGTGTTCAACCCCCTCCTTCAAAATTTATGGTTCGTACGGCACACGTACGTATTTATGAATTTATTTAATCTATGTATTAACCAAAATCTAAAAGTTCTTTATATAATCTCATCACCCTAAATGAAGTTCTATATGGAAGTTCTATACTGGACTACCCGGTACTGGAGTATACTATAGCCATTGAATTAGTCTTTGAATTAAAAGCATTAAAAAAATGTTGAATAAGTCTACATTTACGCACTAAAAACGGACGAAATTTGTCTTACAATATGCACCGGATAGTTCCAAAATATGCTTACATTATTTTATATCAAAAAAAAAAAAATATAAATAAATAAAAAATAAAACTTGAAGTTAATAATTAAAAAGGATTTACAAAAAAAAACCAGAAAAATTCTTTATTTACATACTTAATCTTCCAGTGGTTCTATACCGTACAAAAAAAAAGGAAATATTGAATAAATTGTATTAAATATCTATTGAGTTATATATATTTAAGCTAATTTATTGAAATACTGCGTGACTGCAAGTTATTAATATATTAGGTATTTATTTATGTTTCTAATAAATTTATAAAATATGACGAATTTATATAGTAGATATATTTTGTGGATATCAGAAAAATCCGGACTTGTTTATCGGGTAACAATTTAAATTAAATGCCTGACTAAAAATAGAATATTTCTATTAAAACTATAAAAGACATATTATTACGAAAAAAAATATTCAGACCAATTGGTCTCAGACTGATCTCGAAAAAAATAGAAAAATTAAAAAAGAAAAAAAAGTATTTATACGAAATCTTATATATATGTATATCTCCTGATTTGATAAATATGCGAAATAAAATTTCGTATTTTAAATAAGCCAAAAATAAAGTCGAGCCGAATCTATTTCCCTTTACGGTTTAGCAATTTTAGACAATTCATATTATAAACGCCACTATACTGGTGTTACAGTGGAGGTTTTTTTCGATTTCCAGTACAATAATACCTATATCGCATACGCACCGTAGTTCAAGTAAAAAGTAATGGCGGCTAACGAAACGAGACACGAAATTATGAAAACGCTGATAATAGCCGACCGGGTGGCCGGCATAGTGGCGCAGAAGACGACGACGACGCGCGACGATCCGTTGGAAGTATTTTCGGACGTCGCGCGCTGACGCTGTGCCGACTGCACGCGGCCATTGCAAATTCGGAGTTTTATACCGACATTATTACCCACGTGCAAATTTCGGATTAATTCGGCGCGTTACGATATTATTGACAAAATATTATAATATCCGTGTGTACGTT